ATTTATCTTCTGGGAACTCACGAAGCTCGTCAAGGATTAAATCGTCGACGAATAACGGGTTCTCAATAACTGCCACAAATGGGCCTTCATCTTTCTTTTTGGCACGAACACTTGCCTTGAGCTTGGAAAGACGGTAACGGAACATGCTTGAGTAATCGGTTAATTGATTTCGTAGACTTCTTACTTGAGCTTGTTCGATTTTATACTAAAGATAGTATGAAGAAAAGAATCCAAATCTCTAGGAGGGAGAGACAAAATTTATACCTAGTGTACAAAAGGAAAAGTTGCAAGGTGAGAATACGAGTAGATAAACTATTGATTTGCTACAGGCGAATAGAAAATGATAGTACAATGAATACAAATGAGTACTTCTGTTAGGATTTACTGTTAATCGAAGCTCAAACTGCTCTCTGAAGCAGCCAAACTCCTCTTGCAGATCCTTCTAGCTGCTGTTGGCTGCGAAAAATATCACGTGACTATGTTTTTGGAGTGTCAAAGACCCAGTGAACTGATGGAACGCCTTCACCCCTGTGAGATTCTTCATCATGGAACCTTACTCTAAGTTGGGACTGCAATGGTAAAGAAGATATGATATGTGAGTTTTAACTTAAGGAGCCGCGGGCCCAAATCATCCGTGGATAATTGAGTCTGAAGGCAAAACAAGTACTTTCACCTTATAATCAGGCAGCTTGTTGCCACCTTTAATTTTAGCGACCGTGAGTTGCAACAAGGGTATTTAATCATGGATTGGTTTTCCCAAAGTCAAATTTCTTCAACGATCTTCATAATGAGAAATCAGATAGCTTCAGAGTTTCCCACCTTCGATACTCATGAAATCTCATAGGATGGTTGACTATTCTAACTCAAGATATCACCAGCACGCCAGAAATTGTCAACAATTTTCATCGAATCAATTCTTCCCATTAATAAGTAGTTGTCATCTGTAGCATTGTAAGTCGCACAAGAGTGATTAACATGAGTCATCTTTCCATTAATTCCGTCTGCAAATCTAGCTAAGCATTATTACAGAGTGAAAAAGAACATGAAGAACATAGATGTATAAGCATAAAGTAGAAATCTTGAGGCGGAGTAAGGTCCATCTTCAAAGCCATACGGCTCTTTATAGGGAAAAGCAGATCCCAGTTATAACATGGTTCGTATAGAAAATTATAGACCGTTGAACGTAATCGAATTTAATCTGGAAGAAATCTTCTGTGCTCTTTTAGATTCTGATTAAAAGTCTACGATCACCCCACTAACTATGATCTTATTGACTGTAACGAACTTCATTATAGACCAAAACAAATCCTTGTCCATGTCGTCAAAATAATTTGCAACTCATTTGAAATCCTCAATACTACTACTACAGCTGCATTGATCAACGAGGGCTGGTATAAATCACATCGAACTTCATGGTTGTGCTATCTCATTAGAAGAATTAAAAAGTTCAGAGAAATTTAATAATCAGAATGTCACTTTTATCAACTCATCTTCTCTTCTCTTGGTAAGCTCAAAACCTATCACCAACCCATCCGTGTATGTAATGTATAGCAAGAAGCGTGGCAGCTCTTGGGACGGCGAACGGTCACGGATACAAATACCTGCGATGGATCTAAACCCATTGTGGCCAAGAGCAAGGCTGATGGCATTGGGGAATAGGTGTTCCTGGCGCATGCCATACACTCCTCTATGACAACACAAACGCATGATGGTAACCAATCCTTGTTGCGTCACCGCTATGAAAGAACTGAGTTCAGGAATGATGTGAGTAATCGAAATACGGTTGGTGAACTTACTTTCATCATGAGGAATGGGTAAGTCAAAAACCCGCTTGGTTGCAGCATTGCAGAAAAGGGTGTCAGCTTGGAATAAGCCAAGTTTTCGAGTTGTTGATACAGCTAGAAACATTTTGGCTTGCAGATCATACTTTTCTCTGAGGCTGTACAGTTCTGAATTCATGGAGGTTTCCTCTTTGCGATGCTCAAGCCTTTTATAAACCCGCGAAAGACCCTTGTTTACTCTTCTATATTCATCGTCAACCCCAGTGAGCTTTGCTGGCTCAGAAATAGCTTCATGTAGTTGTGAAGGTTCAGCAAGACTGGTGATTCGCGATTCAAAAAACTGCCAGCCAGCTGCAATACCCAAATGACTCGTTTTTACGGGATCGAACACCAAGTCGAGAAGAACCGACTCGTTGTAGATATGTTCAATCTCATCTGTTTCATTAATAGTAGGATCTCCAAAAACTGCCGAGAGAGATTGAACTTCATGGAAAAATTTAGAATGAATTGGCTTTGCTGTCCAGCAGTCCTCTTCCAATAATGTTCTACTGATTACCGGGGGTGTCACAAAAAAAACCCGGTAAAATCTTTCACGATCAAGCCTATCCAAAAGCTCAAGCTCCGAAGGCTCAAGTTGAGCCATTGCAGGATCAATATAGTAAGTTGCTTTTCGGGTAAAATGATTGGCTTCATTGATATTGAGCGGTCCTTCTATTATTTGAAATCTGAATCTAAAGATGATCAATTCTGCTGAGATAGAAGCACACGAGATTTTAACTTCATGAGTATTATTTTTAATTTCATGACTTATGAATGAAACTTCCGGAATGTTGTGTAATACTTGATGGGTTTTGACATGGTAATACTCCTCACTAGATGTATCGTAATATATGAAAGTGACCATCTGCGAATTGTCAGAAGCAGCTATCAAGTTATGAGTAGAGCCCATGCTATCTTTGTATGAAAGGAAATCCAAGCCCCATAGAGATGATTCCATCTTGACCTTAAAGTCAGGATTTATTTTAAGCCCGAAGAACCTGTTATTGTCCTGGTAAAGATCTCCTCCATCTTGCACATGTGACCTTTTCGTCAAGTTAAAACGTTTTATAAAATTAATAATCGTTTCAGTGTACCAAATTAATAGACTCCCATCATCCACGCAAGCTCCTAAGACAGGTCGTCCCGTGAAATTATCGTTGAACTTTAAGAAGTTAATGGTGTGAGGGAATTGAGGCCAAGTTGAAACAAGCCTATCTGATGTAGACGTTGACGCAGGCCTGGTATCGAATCTCAAAACAGGCCTAGTGTTTGGCATCAAAGTTGTTTTGTCAAAATCAAAGAGAACAAGCTCAGAGTTGCAAGCAACCACCAAGAAGTCTTCATTCTCTGAATCAGTTATAACTGTAGAGATATTGTTCTTGTATCTTTTTACCCCTTCGAGAGACAATTTATTTATCTTTAAATGTTTGAGTTCGGTCAGGTCCCTGTAGATTTCACCTGGCGACATTCTGACCATTTTTGAGGGGTCATTTACCTCAACACAACCAAGCTCTGGATTATAGTTATCATAGATGCCTCGATTACCTTCGATTTCCCTTCTAGTTACTGGATCGTACAAATCCCATTTCATGAATGAGGATTCACTATTTAAAGGAAACCCATTTCTAACCTGGTGTCTTCTTTTTTTTAATGGAGTTCTTTCCTTCGAATTGTTTGAATACCTTCTATCGCCGCTCTTATTAAAGAGTTTGTATTCCACATTCGCATCGTTAAGTATCGGTGTAAAATCAAGGTTATCATCGTCGCGTAGAAGATGATCATTCCTGTATTCTTCTTCGGCATGCTGTTTTGAAAGCACTCCATAAATTTCTCCCCTAATGTCGTATCTGTGCTGATAGAACAAATCAGCATCCATGATATCTTCGTCGCGGGTAATTAGGTTGACTTGATTCAGTGCCTCATCTAGAGGACCTGGGTACTCCTCTTCGGATTCTTCATCGCCATCTTCTGTATCCTCCCAAGCTTCCGATCCACCAGAACTTTGGAAAACATGATCAAGATATCTTTCATATTCAATGATGCTAGGTGTCCGTTCTATTGGCCCTTGAGCAATCCTCTCCATGACATCTTCGAAGGTTATGATATTTTCTTCATTCAGCACCACATCAGAAGGGCCATGATACTCCTCTTCGGATTCCTCATTGCTATCTTCTGTGTCTTCCCAAGCTTCCGATCCACCGGAATTGCCATGGAAAGCATTCTCATGACGACTGACAAATTCATTAGCATTTTGCCTCAGTGACATTTGTCTCTGAGCATACCTCTCCATAGCATGCGCCACATCGTTTGGTAAAGCATAGTAGAGATCTTCGCCTGTGATGACTTCATCAAGTGCTCTGCCAAAAGAAGCAGAGTGATTCTCTTCAAATTCTTCATCGCTACCTTCTGTATCCTCCCAGGCTTCTGATCCATCGGAATCACTATGGATAGCATTATCATGCTGACTTTCATTCTCGTTCCGTCTCAGTGATATTAGTCCTTGAACAATCCTCTCCATTGCATTTGTCACATCGCTGGGTAATGCATCATTAAGCAGATCTGCATGGTGATCAGTAGGAGAATCCAGCTGGAAAGACGTCTTCAGTACCCTTTCAACCCCACGATACCTCAAAAATTGAGTGAACTTGGAGGCGGGTGATTGGGTGCCCTTCTTTAATTCCATACTGATTGGTTCGGATCTTCCAGTCTTACACTCTCAAAGTACAGCATATGATGACACCTGCTGACTCTAGTAAAAGTACTATGTCCGTACTCTCTTACGAAGGGGTCTTAGATCACACTCTGCTGCTGGATAGTAAGTGCGGTTTGTATGGAACAAAAATGGTGTGTAAGGATTCGAAATCTTGCGAATCTTGTGAAGTTGTTGAGAATTACGTTGAACGAAAGCATGCCTAACCACGCAGATCATAGTAATTATAGCGCTGGCCTTTCCAAGAGTGAGGTCTTGGAAAGCGTCTTGCTTTCATACGAAGCTTTAAGCTCAGATACTTCAAACTGGGTTGCCAATTTGGCAAACTGTTCTTCATTAGTGTGGCATGCCTACCATTCATTGGGCATCAAGGTAAACTGGGCAGGTTTTTACGTATTGAACAAAGAGGTTGAAGGCGAATTGATATTAGGACCGTTCCACGGAAAAGTGGCTTGCCAAACAATCAAGATTGGCAAGGGCGTATGTGGAGCTGCAGCACAGACGAAAGAAACTCAATTGGTAGCCAACGTACACGAATTTCCAGGTCATATCGCGTGTGACGGCGATACAAACAGCGAGATTGTGGTTCCTTTGGTGAAGGACAATGTCACTTTCGGGGTATTAGATATTGACTGTTTGGAATTAAATGGTTTTGATGCAACGGACAGAGAATACTTGGAGAAGTTAGCACAGCTCATCATACATTCTTGCACTTGGTAACGAGCTTACACTTTACACATATCTTATCGAATAGAATTTCGTAATTATCCTGGATTGCCAGGAACTTCCTCTACTAACAGTTCACGTTCATGTCACAATAAATTTTGAGTAAAAATAAGAGTAAAATCTTTTAGAAGACTGGCGTAGATGAATGTAAGTTGAAACAAAAACCCTTAAAAAGCCAACATATAACTATCAAAACAATAAAGAAGTCGAAATAATAATTAAAACCTCCAAAATACAGAGGATAAAACCGGGAAAACATGAGTCTATGTCAACCCTATTGAATAAATGTCATGATCTATGCATTAAAAGGACGCGGATGATAAGTCATCATAAATTTCGTTTAACAATCACACAGCTAGTTATTCTCAGCTTCAGCTCTTCTTTGCTCTTCCCTCTCTAAGTTGTGATATAACAAGTCCTTAGCCTTTTCCACGGCATGTGTTGAGCCAGAGATCGTGAAAATTCTTTCATCTTTTCCTTCAACTTCTTCAGAAATTCCGATTGTTGCACCACTAACTTTTCTCACGCCTTGGATTCTGGATCCATTCTTACCAATTAAAGCACCGACAATTTCGTTAGGGAAACTGAGTGAAGTAGTTGTAATATTTTGATTCTTTCTGAATGGTGCAGCAGCAGTTTTAGGAATAGGTGCACCAGCTCCAATTCCATTATTGAAGCCATGGCCCCTTGGAATATAATAATTTGTTCCTACTATACTTGAAAAGTCCTCAATAAGGCATCTGGAGATTATTCTTATGGCATCATACAAATCGTCAACTGATCCTTGTAATTCAACTAATCTTTCGTTCGAACCTGGAAGGAAAGATTTGGAGGCGATCATTGAAATATTATATTGAGTTTGAATTTGCTGGATTCTTAAACCTTTTGACCCAATTAAAGTACCCATTTGACTGTTTGGTATTAATAATCTGAGTATGGTAGTTTCATTTTCGATACATGGATTGGCTGATAATTGTTTAAGCGGGAAGAAGTTGTATGTTTCAATCGCTGACTCGCATAAAGCTTGAGCAAAGTAACTGAGTGCTTTAGCACATTCGTCTAAAGTGCCACTGACTGTCAAAATTCTCTCATGAGAACCAGGTTGTAATCTGGAAATGCCTGCTTTGGTGTTGGTTTCTGCTCTGATGGAGTCGATGACCCGACCGTTTTGGCCAATAAGACAACCAGACTCTTTGGCAGACACCAAGACTCTATAGTTTATTAAGGCGGACGCGTTGGTTTTGTCATGTAAGGAAGGTAAACTTGTCGATTGTTCAGAAAGTTCAGATTGAGCAGGAGAGACAGCGTCTGACTCGATGACCCCAGCCTGAATTGATGATGATTCATGAGGACTAGCGTTCTCGCCGATATTGCTTGAGGAAGTAGAAGGAACGTTTAATGATGATTCGATGTCGTTGGAATTGCCACCAACATTAGCTTCAGAAGTGAACTTCGTATCGAATAAGGACTCGGTCATTATGGGTTACTCGTGATAAATGTTTGTGTGCTCAAGAATGGATGATTTTATTGTTGACAATCTATCAGAATTGTAGATTATGGGAAGAACTGAGGGTACAGGTAGTGGGGATTGGCAGGCAACGATTAGGAAGGGAAGCCGAACTCAGGATGTGCAGAAGGAATTGGGACTTGCTGTTGTATTTTGTATGGATTTGAATTGTGTGTGGACGTGAACCAGACGTTAATTGGGTAGGTGCTAAGATCAGGTTTACAGGAAAGCTTGTCAGTGCAGCTGTCATACAATTGAGCGTGTGTCGTTTTGGTCGTCATATTTGAAAATTTTTTCTGACAATTACGTAATTACTTACCTAGCGCACTGGCCATGGTTGCAAGGGGTAGAGATATCAATAGGGCGTGACGCGGTTATTGATCACGTGGAGACAACCACAGCCGTCTTTGCCAACGGATGCCCTGTCCACCGGATGTAAGTTTTGGGATTATTTCATTAGTTATACGTTACCTATGTAGTCCTTAAGACTGATAGTGTGACAGCTTCCCTTTCTTCTAGGAGGCAAAGCTGTCGTACTTTGTGCAAAGTCGCTTGAAGTTATCGGCTGGGGGTCTTCAATGCCCTCTTCGTGACTTATCATGTCAGCGAAGGAGTAATACTCGATGGTATTGGATTGCTCTGCATCCACATCTTCCTCTTGCAAATTGAGTCTGCTGATGGAGGGCGAACGTCTTGTCAGCTCATTCTTCTCATTTAGATCAATTCCCGACTTGTTGTCGTTAGAATCATGGAAATCATGGTCTAAAGATGACATGAGGGAAGCACTAATGATTGAACGGGAACGTGGACGAAAATCGAGGGAGCTTTCACTACGTTGTAGCTTACCTGATGCCCCTCTGCTATTAATTCCAGTGAAGATGTTTGCCTCTGGAGAGGACCCACCGCTGTCGATCTCATCACCGTAACAGTTCAACTTGATGTTTTGGATGTCTACCTTTGGGTCGTTTAGTATCTCCGTGGTTGTATCCAAAATAGGGTTGGTGTAGTTCTCGGTGGTATAATGCGAGGGCGTTTCAGGATTCGTTAGTATCGAGGTAGCATTAGCTTCCAACGAACGCTCGAATATATCGGAGGGAGTCTTACCTGCAATACTACCCACAGAAGATGTACTACTTCCGCCAGGAGAAACGGCTTTGGGGGTCTGTAGTCTGTGCAAGGTTTTCTTGATGAACTTGTGCAATTTGTGATGCTGGTCGTCGGGTTTCCTGGTAGGTGAGTGTAGGGCTGTCTGAGCGTTGACAGGCTTGGCCTCTGTATTCATGGTCGGTGAAGGATTTGATTCTATAGTGGTTTTCATCCCCTGTAGCATGGACTTGCTATCAGGAATTTTTGTAATATATATTAGATTAATGGACCACTAATTTTTTTGGGGCCACTGGCGGATGACATAGTGGGGGCTTAAGCCACTTCCATCATAGCGCTTCTGACACAAAAACGAAAGGACCCGCCTATGTACCAATGGGGAAGGTGGTGGAAACGGATATGTGCTTCTATACATATTGGGTGATACATGAGTGATTTTCGATGTCACTGTGATAGGGTGATTTATGCATGGGGGACACTAGTTGGTGGTGGTATGGTTACCATGAGGTGATCTATTGCAAAAGATGTGACACTCATCTACGGATTAATGCACCATCTACTATCTAGATATGACTGCCATCTGAACAGCCGCCTGCCCACCAAAACTAGGAGCATACCAGCATATGACCTTCGGCATTCGACAGTATTGTGACCGGTCATGAACGTCCCACAGCGCAATGTGAGCCGCATGCGGAGCCTATTCCTGGAAATTCACTACATGTCGTCCATGCGCGGTGTCGTGTCTTGCGCCGAAGGTACTCTTCTTTGCCCTTGCCAAGTCACTGCCTCGTACTTTCTCGTACAGGTTAGGATCTTGAAGGTTCAGTAAAGCCGGGATATGCAAACTTTATTAAACAGCCGCTGAGCTCCGCCATAGTTTCTCAAGGGATAGCAGTTAAGATAGGTTGCATCAGTGCACCAGGTCTTGGAATCACGTGACCGGTCACCCTTACGTCAATGTTTATATCGCGACGTTCAACATCACTAGACTACTGAAGTGTCGATCACCATGTCAGAGGCACAATCAGCAGTGGACGCGATTGCCATCGCTTCAAATCCTACAAATTCTTCGTCCATCTTATCTTTTTCCTGGGCTGATCAATTGGCGGTGGCAGTTCCGCATATTCTTTATGCAAACACCACATCTGTATCCCCTTATCTAGTCCAAACAAGTTTATTTTTGGCCATTGCCACTGTGTGTATCTTGATTGGGTCCCATTCAACAGTGAGTAAACCTAGAAATGCGGCATTGCCTCTGAGTGATGTGGAGAATCCGTCATATGACCCAACCGATAACGATGAATCCAAATATCTCATTACATCCCCAGAATCCTTGAAATTGGCAATATTACAATTAGATTCCATAAAGATACAACATGTTGTGGCCTTTCCATTTGTGACTGCAGCTACTTTGTTCGGGTTACACCGTGCTATCCATTACTTGAGTGCTGAGCAGATCAATTATTGGTTGAACGTCCACTTCATGTTAGTGTCCTTCGTTGCTGTTTATCGTAACTCGAATGTCATGTTGAACAGATTCACTCGTCGATTTTCCAAACTTTTCGGCAAAGATTCCACCATTTTCTTCGAAAGGTACAAACTCACCTTATCTACCAATCGTGAACTACCATTGGGTCCCATTCAACACATTGACTCAGATAAATTGGTGGAGGAAACCAAAAAAGACGATACTTGGCTCTACAAATTGCGGAAGTATTTGAAGGACCAAGGATTTTCTGTGATCGGTGCACCCGCTATCGCTTCTGATGAGTACCACGGGTTGGTTTTCGATTTGAAACCATTGATTCTCCTTCCTTTGAGTTTGGGAAGCATGTATCTCTTTTACTTGCACAACCCAATCCTTAACTCGAGCTATGGACAGCCAGATATTAACTGGTTGATTCTTGATTTCATGCTGGCCAATATGGCTGCTTTTGCGATCGGTTGCTTGAAATTTCCTAACTTCAAATTTATGGCAATTTTATTGGGAGGGTTATTCTTGTATGACATTTATTTTGTCTTCCAGAGCAATATTATGATGGAAGTTGCAACTAAGGTCAATGCACCAATTAAAATTCTTATTCCACAACAACCCCAAGGTTTCAAAGTTCCAATGAGCCTCTTGGGATTAGGTGATATTGTCATACCTGGAGTTTTGGCCTCATTAAGTTTGCGTTTTGATTTGTTCAACTATCACGAAGATCACCCTCTGGCGTACCATCATTTGACACGTTATCCTCGCCCATATTTTAAGACCACGGTTGCCTCGTACCTCATTGGATTATCATTGACCTTTGTAGTACTTCACAAGACAGGAAATGGCCAGCCAGCATTGCTTTATATCGTTCCATCGATGTTCGTTGGTATTTCTTTGTTGGCTACTATCCGTGGTGAAATGTCCAAACTCTTGAGTTTTGACGAGACCATCAAAGAGTTTGACGAGAAAAACTATGATAATATTGGCCAGGACGACGAATCGGACTCCGACTACAATTTTTCTGGAGATGACTCGTTAGATGAGTGGATAGACAGAGTTGAAGAAGACAGAAATGAAGATGCCACAGACATCGATGAATTTCTCAAACAGGCACCCAAAACGCTTCCCAGAGTGGTATACACCTTTAACAGTGACTCGGAATCAGACGAAGAAGATGACACATACATTATAGGAGAAGAGGAGGAGTCGGACATAGAAGATTTAGAAGATTTAGAAGCCGTGGATGAACTGCTCGTGGTAGAGGAATCGGAATTAATCCTTATCAAGAAAGATCTCAAAAAGGAAGTACGCGAGGTGTACAGTGACGAAGAATAGATTTGCAGGGGCCGAATATTCCAGAAACACCTCCAGGAGTTTTGCCGAAACGATCGCTGTCGTCTCAGGTCCGCCACGGTAATGACAGCTGCCACAAAATGATGTGGCCACACGTGTAGATGTTTGTTCGCGATAAGCCTACTACCGAATACAGGAATAGTTGTAACATCTCAATCGAGCGTAGAGTTAGCGCAATAAGAGGCGCAATAATAGCTCAAACCAGGCGCGTGTCAGGATTTGTGCTGACCCCAAAGCCAGAGTAACTACCACCGGTGAAAGGATTACATTCATGAGACGGCTCTTATCGTAATCGGTGCGCACTTCTGCTCCCCGCGTGACTGGGAACAAATTTTTCACAACCCAACAATAGCCCCACACCGGCAATTAAGGTGCGAGCCCAGATTGTTGCAAGATTGCAGTAATCGATGGCAATCATTGGATCTGGCCCCAGAGCGCAACAACTCTCTCAAGGGCCTGGATTTCACTGATAACGAAATCGCAACCGCTAGACTGATTGGGGCGCTCCACTCCCAAATCGGCTCAAGTTACCGTTAACCACACTTCTCGGAACAATCGCAGTTTCAGCTGAATTGCTAGTGTGGACATTCCAGAACCGGCTTCCGGAGTATCCACGAATTGTCTGGATGGTGTGGTTTCATGCTGGGCATTTCGGGGATTCCAGTAGTGTTACCTGCATTAATGTGGGGATTGAACATGCGGGTCATTTCGTGGCCATGAGGGGATTGGCATGCTCGTGGTGGGGAAATAATTGGTAATTATGCTAGTCGAATATTTTAGAGAAAATTAATCTTGGTTCCACCAGATAAGTCCGGCCGGTCGTAGGACATTGGTGGCCAGGTTTAGCCCTTGCCTGACCGTGTACAAGGCGGAGACGTCTACTTCGCCATCGCAATCGCTGGAGCAAATGTCGCGCGTTCCGATTGTATTACGATTGTGGATTATTGTCCATTTTTGTTTATCTCCTTTTGTCATATTCACTGTTTATCTTGCGCTTCATATCTATTTTTTTTTTTTGCCGTCCATTACACGTCGTTCATATATTGGATGGTTGCCATAATTTTATGCCAGTCGGATTTTTCACTTAACCCACAAGCTTCGTTAAGATTCAATATACAAGGGCTACCACTCTTTTGAGCATAGTGGACTACTGGATAGGTTACCACATTACTTATTTCATCTACCCAAAACTCATAGGATTTTATTATGAAGCGTGGCTCCGAAGATTTATCGTCTCTCTACACAAGCTCGTCGAGTACTGGTACTTCGCCAACCACGGCATGTTCACAGAAGTCCCTCAAGAGACTAAAGTTGGAGAATGAAATATTCTCTAAAAGCATTAAGGACATTGAAAAGATGTTTGCACCACCACAATCTACCAGGGCACCGCAGGCGGTGGTTACAAGAAGACCGTCATGCGACCAGTACCTTCCTGAGAGCACTACGCCTGGTAAATACAACTACGACTGCATCAACGTGGCCTTTTTACCTAATCAACGCTCGCCAACCGCCCCTAATTACTCCACTCAAAACAACAATGCCAATAGTATAGTGCCGGTTTTGCCAAGCCAAAGACAAACCCTCAAGCCCAAGTCTATTATGAACAAATCGCCACTTTTATACTTGGATTTTGATCTTTACGAACCGGAGGTGACGCCACGATACACAAAGGAAAACTTGGAACAAGAGTTAAATCTCATAGATCAATTGGTGTTACTTCATTAAACCCACCTTCTGCATATTTTCACTTCTACTTAAATTTTATGAGTTTCTGCATTTTCAATATATGCTTTTTGATGTACCTGTCACGTTGTAGCTTGAACCACAATTTTTGGCTGTTAAATTTCATGACCAGATGATATCAACTGCTAAATCGCCATAATCACGTGACTTAATTTCAAAGATAACGTCCGCAACCGCGAAGGTCGATTTCACCAGAGATGCGTTTTGAGCCGTGCATGTAGACTGTCAGTATAGCAGCGGTACATTAGGTTATTGCTAGTTCAAAACGATCTGAAATTTGGAGAGTTTAGCGGCTCTCTACAATCAGCAAATTCCGGGTCGGGTTTATCCCAACCACGAAATGTAATAGGGGCAATTAGTGATACCAAGAAATGACGACAGAAATTACCGGCAATAGGTCGCCCTGTAAATTAGCCAGTCGTTCACGTGAGAACTATGGCCGAACTTCGAAGATCTCCTCCCCACATTTCACCGTCTCAAACCCCTCGTACCCATCAAACCAACCTTACTGGTGCGTGTGCAAACCAATAGTAGTGTCTCGAAAATTTTCCGACGCCTGATCGGGTGTCCTTATCAAAACTCAGTTGCTGAACTAAGGGTGTACATAATCACATTCAAATGGTGTTGGCAGATTTGGGATCACGCTTGAGGGGTGCTCTCTCCTCCGTCGACTCGGCGTCTGAGGATGAAATCAACTCAATGGTTAAGAATATTTGCACGGCTCTTCTCGAATCGGATGTGAATATCAAGCTTGTGGTAAAGCTCAGAGACAATATCAAGGCCAAGGTCAAGTCGGAATTAAAGGAGAATGAAACGTCTGCCAACAAGCGTAAAAAGCTTCAAAAGATCATCTACGACGAATTGTGTGGATTGGTGGATTCTCATGAAGAACCTCCCAAGCCAAAGAAGATAAGTCAAACCAAAAGTCAGGCCTCGACTAAGGTTATCAATGGTAAGAAGACAAAGGTTGTTAAATCTACCGGGGCCAACTCTCATATTATCATGCTTGTCGGTCTTCAAGGTGCCGGTAAGACCACTTCCTGTACCAAGTTGGCAGTGTGGTACAAGAAAAGAGGTTATAAAGTAGGTCTTGTTTGTGCTGATACATTCAGAGCTGGTGCCTTTGACCAGTTAAAGCAAAATGCCATCAAATCCAATATCCCATTTTATGGTAACTATCATCTCACCGATCCAGTGCAAATCGCACATATGGGTGTATCCACCTTCAAAGCAGAAAAGTTCGACATTATTATCGTTGATACTTCTGGTAGACACAGACAAGAACAATCACTTTTTGATGAGATGGTGCAGATCTCTGAAATGATCAAGCCAACTCAGACCATCATGGTTATGGATGGTTCTATCGGACAAGCTGCCGAACCACAAGCTAAAGCATTTAAAGAGAGTTCTGATTTTGGTTCTATCATCTTGACCAAGATGGATGGCCATGCCAAAGGTGGTGGTGCAATTTCAGCAGTTGCAGCTACCCATACTCCAATTGTATTCATTGGTACAGGTGAACATGTGAACGACTTTGAAACTTTCAAGCCAACTACATTCATATCGAAGCTTTTAGGGATTGGTGATATCCAATCCTTGATTGAACATGTCCAATCATTGGACTTGCAAAACGACGAAAACCATAAACAAACTATGGATAATATCAAAGAAGGTAAATTCACCCTTAGGGATCTTCAAAACCAAATGAACAACTTTTTAAAGATGGGACCATTAACAAATATTGCATCAATGATACCTGGTCTCTCTAACATAATGTCTCAAGTTGGTGAGGAAGAAACATCTAAAAAAATCAAGAACATGATCTACATCATGGATTCTATGACTCAAAAGGAATTAGACAGTGATGGTAGAATTTTCACAAAGGAGCCATCTAGAATAATTAGAATTGCCCAAGGCTCAGGATGCTCTGCGGCTGAAATTGAAATGGTTTTGCAACAACATAGAATGATGGGCTCAATGGCCAAGAGTGCCATGGCAGCCTCGGGTGGTGCTCCTGGCGGATTACCAGGCAATAACCCACAAATGGCTAGAATGATGCAGCAAGCACAATCCAACCCTAACTTCATGCAGCAAGCTATGAATATGTTCGGAGGTGGTGCTGGTGGTGCTGGTGGTATGCCAGATATGGGATCTTTGATGAACAATCCAAACATGATCCAGCAAGCACAACAAATGATGAGACAAAACCCTCAAATGATGCAACAAGCACAACAAATGATGCAAAACCCAGGTATGATGCAAAAGCTCATGAGTCAATTCGGTGGAATGGGTGGCATGGGTGGCATGGGGGGAATGTAAATACGAAGGTTTCCCATTTATCAAGAATTTAGGTTGGTTGTAAGAACTGCATCGGCTATATAACTTGGTAGTTAATATATCTACGATTTCACTTCTATACTAAGTAGTCTCATGGTTTAAGCGTTGAAACTCAATTAATATCTATACATTGGGTGGGTACTAAATCCCTCTCGACTAATTTACATTCAAACTACCTGTAGAAATCTGGTCTCGCGCTGTTCATTCCGTATTCGCTCAAAGCACTGCTCAAATCTTGCATGGTTAATACAATTTTTCCTTGCAGATTACCTGCATTGCTTCCGGAATGCGTTGGTTGTTGCTGTTCGGATTGACCATCGATTGCAGAGCCAGCTCCAGAACCTGCCCCGGTTATCAGCTGTTGGTTGGCATACTGCTGACCTTGTAATAAAAGCTTTGCTCTCGCTTGAGGATTGGATGAGTTATACACAGCTGATGAATTTCTGATTCTTGAGTACTCGTAAGCATCCTGTGTTATATCTGTTATGAATTTCTGGGTTGCCAAGGCAAGAAGTCTCTTGATTTTGACGTTTGAGGATTCAAATCCATTCTTCGCCAAATAATAGTCAGTTACAGCATCGGGTATGATTGGAGCAAAGTCCCCTTCCATTAAGTTGAGCACCTCCTGAAGTGTCTTGTCCTTTCTTGTGAGTTCGGGAAGATCTGGAATTATAGGAGCACTGGCTGTGCTGGTTGGTGGGTTGGGCTTCGCATTACTGGTCTTGTTCGTTTGGTCCTGTGATTGACCCACAGACTGTGTTTCGTTTTGACTTTGAGTTCCGTTTGCCACGACCGAATCTTCTACGTCATTGAATTCTTCATCTATCTCCTCTTCATTGATATGGTTGTCTTCACTCATGATGTACGTTAGATAATTACTGTTGAAGCGCTCTTTGCTTCTTGTTCTGTTTGTTTGAAAATGTCGCGCCAAAACCAATTTTCTATAGTGAGATACTGTAGAGCACACTTGAGATTAGCCCGCTACTCCGAATAGCCCATGGTATGGAGATTAATAGAGAACAATTGAACATCTTGCTTCAGCTCTACTTCATTAACCTCTAATCTAACGCTTCCCAAGTTTTGTGTTGTCGTCATAATCAAATCAAACTAATCCAGCATCAGTACTCAATCCACGAGCTAGTTCCCACTATATGAGAAGCACTACCTACAATGAAAATACCAAACCCAAATGACTCCACGACGTTTGGTAATGCCCTACTGTTGCGTGTTGATGGAGCAATTGGTGCAATGTCATTGTCTCCAAACGGTAGGGATGCCGTTCTAGCTGGACGTAGAGGGCTATTCATTATCGACCTTGACGACCCGTTTACCACTCCAAGATGGCTACACCACATTACTTCATGGGAGGTAGCAGATGTTCAATGGTCTCCGAACCATGTCAAACCTTCATGGTGTATTTCCACATCCAATCAGAAGGCGTTGCTTTGGGACTTGGCTAGGCCGTCCAGTAATGCTATTGTCAACGTTTTGCATAGGCATACTCGTGCTATAACAGATATCAACTTTCATCCTTCGAATCCGGAAGTTTTGGCAACGTGCTCTATTGATACTTTTATCTTGAGTTGGGATATGCGTGCCCCCCGAAAGCCAGTGGCACAATGGGCTGAGTGGAGAGCGGGAACCACGCAGGTGAAATGGAATCATGAAAATCCTTACGAAATTGCATCCAGTCATGACAATGCCTTTTACATCTGGGACTCGCGGAAGGGCTCTTTGCCATTGATTAAAGTCTCCAAGGCACACAATGGAAAAATTAATGGTTTGGACTTTAGCAACGGAGCCTCTAATATTATCACTTGTTCCAATGACAAGACCGTCAAATTCTGGAATTTAAAAACTCCTGAAGCCAAGCAATATGCAGACTCCTTCAATTTCTTCGATGGGTCCCTGAGCGAAAGCTCATTAAAACCGGCAGTTGTTTTGACTACTGATTATCCAGTTGCTCGTGCTCGTTCTCTACCTTTTGGATCTGATAAAGCATGTGGAATAATGCCCTTAAGAGGTGGTGAAGATGCAATCCATATCGTTAATTACGATGCTGCATATCAGAAAGCTTTAGCAACTAACCAAACGCAAGAGCTTTTAGCAGATCCCATTCACAAATTTAAGGGTCATGAGGGTCCCATGAAGGATTTTCTTTGGAGGACTAGACATGAAAATTATGAGGGCTTTGAATCAAAAAATAAATGGAAAGACTACCAGTTGGTAACATGGTCTTCACAAGATTACGACTTAAAGTTATGGCCCAAGGAAGAAGGTTTGTCCAAAATGGTAAACTATAATCCATCCTATAACAAATTGCTTTCACTTTTCAAGAATGATGACCTGGATGATGATGTTAAGACCTCATCGCCCACGACTGTTGATACGGAGGCTAAAACTCCGGTTGCTTACAGTTATCAAACTTACTGCACAGAACCACCACTCACTATAGAAGATATAAAAAGAAGGAATAACGGGGATGATTTATCATCTATGGCATTATATCGAATCGCAGACAAACACCTGCAAAATGGACATCACATAAATCAGTTGAATCATCTAGACTGGATTTCGGGTGTTCGTATGGGGCGTCGAACTGGTCAAGATCATAGAAAGGATAGTACAAATAGTTTTGAAGATGATGACAACCCATCCAACTTGGGTGAAGAAGTCAGTATTGTTGGGCATAAGTTCCCTAAAGTCAGATTTGAGAAAATATCGGTCTCTACTGGAGAGTTGGTTATTAGTTTAAGGGGTCCGGCACCACTAATTGAACTGAAACTGACTGAACATTCGTCTGAATCTAACGACGAGGAAATTATCACAGCTGTTGAAAAGGAGCATGGAGATAAGCATAAAAGATCCAGCTTAGCAAATGCAAGCATGACCAGTGCTGATGTAAATGATGTCGAGGAAACACAATCTGAAATCAACAATACCACTGCTATAAGTAGCAACATTGCACAAACATTAAATGAAGATAACCAAGAGCAAAAACTAGTGTTTATTCGATTAGTGGTTAAGTTTCCAAAGGACTACCCGTACTTGGAAGAAGTCAAGTCTGATGTTCTTCCCACAAAAAAATTAGTTAAATTCCAAAAGCTGAACTTGGTCAAGTTTGATATCGAAGAAACTTATGAGTTGACCTCTATTTTAAGGGATGAAATGCTCAAGAATTTGAGTGAAATATCTCAATTCTTCACAAATAAGTATAAACGGTTCTGCTTGGAACCATGCCTCAGATACTTAATGGGAGATAAAATAGAATTGAACGAAGAGTTGATGAAAGAATCGCAAAGGGATAATAATGATGACTCGATAGATGGTGATGGGTACATAGAAGTGGGCACAGAGGGATGGGCTGACGATTTGATTAGCCAACAACCGGATTTCAATGAGACTATGAAAGATGACTCCTCGGGAGAAGAAGATGCAGAATACAATGATTTGATTCCTGCTGTAAACGACAATTCTAATATGCTCAATAGTACCGACTCCTTGAAGTACACTGAGTCGAGTATCAATCTCAAGGGCATAGATAACCTGGGTGCTAAGAAAACATTTTTTGATTCAACTCCAGTCCCTAAGGGATGTGGCGCAACTTGGTCCCCCACAGGTCAATTGGTTTGTTTCTTCATTCCAAAAGATAATGACGAGGATGAAGTTAAATCACGTCAAAAGTTTAACATTTTCAAATTTACCGATGGAGGTTTCAGTGTAGGGGGCAATAGTCATCATCATCATCACCATCACCATGCTAGAACTACTTCTGACTCAAATGAGTCTGATGTTGGAAATGACAGCTACACAAGCAATTCTGATTCGGATAATGATGACTCCGATAGCGCATCCGCTACTTCTTCTGATGACAGCTTTGCCAACGACTGGGATGAGATTCTCCAGGATGATGCAGGTACAAGAGCACGAATACCTGGATTATTTAAAACCTCGGTAGGCTTGGGCAACAGATACATCAGTAAGGGACAGGGTGAGTCCATTAAGAGACTCACAAGTCAAGGAGGTACAACATCCAATTACAAATCATCAATACCCGGTGAGGCAAGTATCCAGAGAAAGAGAAGAGAGAAGAAGAATAAGAATATTGTTGGTATCTTCGACTTTAGACACCTATTACCTGACAAGTATGAATTGGCCTGTGAGTATAGAGTTCTTGGTGATGCTCCGGAGTATTTGGCTCGATACAACAGTGAAATTGCACTTAAGTACGGGTTGAAGGATATTAGTGATGTATGGAAGATTTTGGAGTTGATTTTGGTGAAGGAGGTCCAAAGAGACGACTTCAATCCCGAATATTATCCAACGCATATGGAGTCAGATCTACGTGTCGCAAGAAATAACGAAATGATGACCCAATTAGTCCAAAATTCCGAAGTTACAAGAAAGTTCATGCAGAAGAAGAACTATCGATTCTACTGGGGAACTCATCCTTTGGGGCACGCATGGCTTATTCAAGAAATATTCGAATATTTTGAGGCTAGAGGAAATATTCAGATGCTTGCCATGTTGTCATGCATCTTGTTTGAGAATTCGGTTAACGTTAATAAGAACTCTGACTTGCTAAATGTCCCTATCCATACACCGTACCATGTGCTTCCTCCTCCTCCTTCTATGATCGCTATGAGGAAGTTCAATGAATATCAAGAGGAGAGAGTATTCTCCAATTCTCATGAGCAGTTTAACTTGTTGTTTCATGACTCATTCAGCACTGATAACAGGGTTCAAGACTACATACAATCGAATCACAGGAACTCGTCCATTCTGGTGTTCAGAAAAGATCAGCTGCTGGTAGTGGGTGCGCCCTATGCAAAATCTATATCCTCTTCGTTTGACATCGGGAGTCTCAAAGATAGTTCGCCCGAGCGACTTCTCAACAAAAAGAACATACAACCAAACCACAATTTCCTTCTGTTCAGTGAAAAACCTTCGCCAATGGAAATGTCATATTCAAAACTTTCTACTCCAATGCTGAAATCTTCAAGGAATAAACATACAGAAAAGAAAAGAGTAAACCCAAGAAATACAAAGGTTATAACTAAGAACAGAGCTAGACCACCTCCTGCTGTTGGTATTGAAATGTGCAACACCGACGAACTTGATCTTTTCGATGACATATACTCATTACCGTTACTTCATTCGCAAGACGAAGAGAAACTTAAAGGGTACAGAGAGCTGTATGCCAATATGCTTTTCTTGTGGGGCCTTCCGATTAATAGAATTAAGATCTTGAAGTTCAATTACCCAGAAATTGATGAAAAGAAGACCGAAGCTTATATTTCTCCTTTTGATGTTCATCGTTGTGAATTTGGAATTAGGAGTAAACGTAGGCAGAATCATATCCAACCTTTCATTAATTCAGTTACTCTGATCACGACTTCGAAATCAAATGCTTGGAACACCAACAAGCGGAATATTTTGAAGTTCTGTGTTTTCTGCAATTTGATGGCCACCAAAAATCTTGTTCTCTGCACAAATTGTGAACATGTACTTCATACCGATTGTGCATCTGAATGGTGGTCTGGAAAGGAAAATAACCATGCTGAATGTCCAAGTGGATGTGGCTGCAATTGTTTAGAACATACGATTTGATAACGAATTATGTCATTAATTATTCTTTAATACACGATACATACAGTCATTTATTCTTTAATTCTTTCTCCAACTTTGCATCCCATTCGTTGCAAAGCAGGTCAAGGTAAGAAACTACTTCACTTGAACCAACAGAGTACACTTCGACATCTGTCCTCATTTCCAGTCCAAATCTGGCACAGGATGATCCGATTTTCGAATCGGGTCTACCTCCATTCAATGCACAATGTACTGGCGCATTTGCAGCAGAATATCCCGAGACTATGTGATATGGTGAACCAAATACCCTTGCAAAGTAGAATACTAGAAGAATATAATAATAGCCCAAAATTCCCATTTTGGAAAGTAGAGAGTATTTAGCAAAAACCCCGGGATGCGTCAAGTATTGAACTATGCCTATTTTACTCAAGGGTTCGTATGTTCCGAAATGCATTAAATCAATTAACCTCTTAGATCCCTCAAAAGGCATTGATGAGTGTAGAAGTTGTAGATCATCAAAAGAAACATACTCAAGCTCAGACATAGCGTAGGAAATCCATACAAGTCGTCCACCGTCCTGCAATAACGACTTAATTGTATTCACGAAGTAGTAGGGTCCAAAGACATTTCCTTGGAAAACTAGTCCCAATCCATCCTGGGACTTGTCACCTACAGTCTGAGTTTTGTATGCTGGGTATTTCACTGACTCCGTGGGATTGGAGAGTGTTTGTGAGGCAAGGGATGACAAGCTGATTTCGGTATCTACTGTCTGGCATGAGTTGACAAACATATAGTCGACCCTTCTGTAGTTCTTGTGTAAGTCACGGCTGGCCGAGGCCACCGATTTCATCTGGGTGAAGTCCATCACCAAGTAGTCAAACTCGAGCTTTCCCGATCGCTTGAGATGCTTTAAAGCGTACCGTTCGATGGCACCGATGGCTTGCTGAGTCCCCTTCAATGTGCGGGAGGTGACGATGAGGGTCAAGTCTGTGTGTTCGGGTATTTCACGTAGAAACCTGTAGCAGATATTCAAACCCAACCTAGAGTTGGCACCTACCACTAGGGCCACTCTCGATTCGTGTAGGGTGCTGAAGCAAGACATATCTGTGCTCAGCAGCATGGTATGGCTGTGTTTGTAGAATGTAGATCAATCAAGACGGTTTGAGCTTTGCAGCTTGATGTGGATCGAGTGGTGTAAGCGAGTGTAGCGGCACGAGTGCACGTTGGTAGGGGTAGGGGTATCCTGGGGTATGTTGGTGGGTCGCTGTGTATGTATGAATGTCTGGCTGGTAGTCTTCCCCATCAAAACCGGGAAATGGAGTGTACTTATCTGACACGCGCTCACGGCCATACTGTCCTGAAACAATAAAACTAGACGATGCGCATGGTAGCCTGACGCGGTCATCGCGCTCGCAACGATTATGTGTCTAAGCGTGCCAAAGTCGCACTAATACAGCCGTTATGAGTTTACATCGTCTCCAGATCCGGAGCTTACTAAACACGGCAATGAATGCTACAGGGTTCGCCGCATGGGGAACTCCAATGGTTGTATAAGCGCCTTATTTGGGCAAACTGTGAGGCTGCCCATCTGAGTTACACTACTTCTGGATGCAATAACAATTGCCATGGCTCGTTTGGTACTTAATTTACATAGTCTGATCGTTCCACTAACAACTCCCCGCAGGAAGTGGTGACAGCGGTGTACGATCAAACATCTATCTATGGACAGGATTGCTCACAGCAAGTAGACCCTGGGAGAGCAGCACCTCACATCTGCCTGCTATTGACGATTTGATCCTTGAAATTCTCATCCCACTCATCCACCAACTTATCCAAATAGGCCGCTACGTCCTCGGCTCCGGTGGCATCAACTTCGTCCCTCACGATGTACTCGCGTCCAAACCTAGAGCTTGCCAGGCCAATTTTTTTGTCTTGAGGCTCGTCGTTCAACGCACTGGTAACCAAGGCGTTGGCAGCATTGTAACCAGACACATTGTGACATTCAGAATAAATAAGTCTGGCAAGATAGAATGACATCAACATCCCGAAGTAGGTGAAGAAGTTCAAGTACTCATAGAATCCGAACGAAGTGAAAATTCCCGGTTGGACCAAGTTGTGATACACTCCTTGCTTGGAAAATTTCTTGTAGGAACCCATGAACATCAAATCCAATAATCTCTTGGAACCCTCGTAAGGAATATCTGACTTGACCAACTGAAGATCGTCAAACGATAAAGACTTGGGCTCTGCTAATACTGATGACACCCATATCACCTTGCCGCCCTTCAATAATTTCGTCAACTTCGAAACAAGATAATATGGACCAAATACATTAGCTTGGAAAACCAATCCCAAGCCATCAGCAGACTTTACCCCAGTTCTCTGGATTCTATATGGTGCTGCCTTGACGGCGATGTCGAAGTCTGTTACTAAGTAATATGCCACCAGTGGCCAGTGGATACCACTGTAAACTCCTTGGGCAGCATTGGCGATGAAGTAATCGATATGTGTGTATCTCTTGGATAATTCATGGTAGGCAGATAAAACTGATACCATGTTTGTGAAGTCGAGAAGAAGGTAATCGAACTCCAAGACTCCTTTTCTCAAGTTCTTCTTCTCGGCGTAGGTCTTCAAAAGTCGGATGGCATCGTTCACTTTTGGCAAGGTTCTTGATGTGACAACAATAGTCAAGTTTTCTTCAGCAGGAACATCTTCAAGGAGACGATAAGCCACATTCAACCCAAGGTTGGAGGTTGTACCGGTAATAACAGCCACTTTGGCTTCTCTAATGAGTGACATTGGTAAAGGTGGTCGTATAAATATTGGATTCGGCGCATATGTATAAATATCTGTTGCGTGCATATGCAGAACCTATACGATGGGGCAAGTTGTGTACTACGCCGATCCTCTTTATGGGTGCCAACCTCTGGAGATCTGCTCGTTGTATGAATTATCACTAGCACAAGCTTGTAGTCATTGGCGTATCACAGTAGTTGAAACAATTTTAGATCATTTTTGCAGAATATTTACAATTTGTTAAGTTGTGAACAGTAACGAATTTATTCAAACTAGTCTTTCCTGTTCTTCATAAGACCGGAATAGAATACTAGACAATTTTACTTCGAGAACCAAATCTCAAAGACTTCGAAGTTCATAAGATGTTACACTGAATACTTTAGTCTGCCCCACTCATCTCGAAGTAAATATCATAGTCGAGTGCACACTTTGGGTTGAAGTTGGCCCTGCACAGGATACATGTGGCGCTTCCCCCAGAGTATTGGTGGAAGGTTAATTCGGAGTAGCAGTTTCCACACAATATGACCTTGAAATCTTTGAGCTCTTTCTTGGACCAACGCAGAGGTTCATGATCATCTTTGGTGCACTCGTGGTGACACTTATAGCACGGGTAGTAGGTTCCGCAGCATCTGAACTTGATAGCTACAATATCGAGGACTGAATGGTAGTGAGCACAACGAGTATTTCTGTCCACGAGACTGCCACACACTGGCACATTGTCGGAACCTAACTTAAAGCAATTCATCATTAGAGCTAATAGTTGTTGGGTTGACTCATGACTCAAGTGCGACTATGCGAGAAACTGAGTAACATGTGTTACAACGATGAACTCCACAGGATGGTTACAATGGTGATCTGAAAGGATTGGGGTAGATGAGTAAGTATGATTGCATGTGCTATGATGTGTAGCTATCACACTCGACTGGTTGTGCCAGAGTACAATTGTTGACCACACGGATTAGTAAAGCATTAGAAAAGAGCTAAATCCAGAAGCAAGCGAAGTAGCGAGGATAGCTGCATTGTAAACCTTTTCTTGTAAGTTTTGATTACTCTACTGAAAGCCACTCAAACTGAAAATCAGTTATCTACTAAACTACGGTTGTTTCTCTATCAATTTTTTTTACAACTTCGCCTATCTATCAATCGATAAGTCAAAGATGTACACAAGCTTCAAGTTAAGTTTCGATAATCATCCAGCTGCAATATGGGCCAAGTGAACTTGAAAAGAAGATGTTTTGCGAACAGTAAACAAAATCTAAGCCGTAGGTTCTTTTAAGGGCCGCTTAAAATCACTTGAGTAATAGCATATTCTCATATATATCAAATGGTTAATTAAATATTCCAATAGAAGGTTGTAATACTTCGCCATTAATGACAGTTAGATCCAGATTTTTTTTTGCTTATGGGAAGTATATTATAATCCCTACTTCTTGGAAAAACCTGGAAACCAAAATACCGAGAATATCTCCTTCTGAACCTCAAACAGGTTCTGGAAATATTTTGTACTGAAATGAGAAAACTCAGAGCATCTTTACTCAACTGCTTTGTAAAATATTTCCAAGATAATAATTAGCGAGTACTTATGAGTGTTATACGACGAACACAAGCGTAAACGTATAAAATTCTTTAACATTATTAGTAATAAATTACTAACACAAGTTTTGCATAGACAAGTACGAACTAACAAAATTTATATTTCAGCAATGGTTGCGTGGTCTAGTTGGTTATGGCATCTGCTTAACACGCAGAACGTCCCCAGTTCGATCCTGGGCGGAATCATTATTTTTATTTTTTATTCGGAACACGTCTCAGTAATTTCGATGTCGCGTCAAAGTGCCTAACCGAGCGAACAGTCGTAGATCCATAGTTGCCGTTTTCGATTGACGCTCGTCTGGGTCTTGTGGGATCTGAATTATATCTATTTTAAACTTTTGGAATATTAATTGTACTGGCAATGTGTGTCAATCCGAAACGGTCACCAGGTTATCAAGATTACCAGGTTATCAAGACGCCAGGACGGCCCTAACTAGTAAATCCGTACTATAACGCACCTGAAATGCTCGCCATCCCCACACTGCCTGAAAACGCATCACGTGACAAGGATCAACTTTTCTACTTTACAACGATAACAAAATGGCCCCATTTCGGTTAAACTGTTGTCAAGAAGTGACTGGAGTCTAGCGTTATTATATTGAGATCCCACTGTAGCTGTCTAAAACGCAATCATGACCTCTGGCATTGAAAGACCGTGTATCACGTGTAACATTAATGTCGCACTGTTTACATTTTCTTCCTCCAGATAAACATAAATGTCACCGTCTAAATTTTTCCCTGGACAAACTACTGAATAGTTGATTCAAGCCTTGTTTTACTCTCAAGTCGTGAAGACGTTATAAAGGTGGTAAGTATTAAAACCTTATTGCTTTGAAGGTCCTTTCAAATGCAAGTATTCTACTTGTCCGAGTGCTGTTGATCTGTGTCTACCAGTTTTGATTGATTCGCTGGCATAATTTGGGGTTTCGATTGATCTGAGGTTACATAATAGAGCCTAAGTATTGATTTCATCTCCTAAGCTTGCTTCTGCTTTAAAGGTTGTGCCATAGTCATCAAAACCTCAAATACTCGGGTGTGCTATTTGTCGTGGCAGAATATTCTTTCATTTAGCTCCACAAGACACAACTTCTCTTGCAAGCGGTGAAAACGATAACTTATACTAACATTACAAGTACGATATACTATTGATCAAATTTAAAGATGGAGGAAAATAGTCCTGTCAAGCATAAACATACATCGAGAGTAATCGACTCATTGCATTCTCAAATAGATACTTTGAAGACTGAGTTGGATAGTGTCAGAATCTCAAGTGACGATTACAAGAAGAAGTACTCTCTTATCCTGAAGAAAAATGAATCATTCGTTGATCAATTAGCTAATGCTAAGCACGAGAATGATATGATCAATGCATTGTTGAAGAGAAAGGAGCGTAGAATTACGGATTTGGAAGATCAATACAATGAGTTATCTTCTGCTAATGAGTCTTTGGAGTTGAGCAATAAGAATATGAGAATCAGATGCGAGAACTTACAGGAATCATCTGCCTCCTCTACTGCTGAATTTGAAAGATTAAAGATAGCATACGATGCTTTGATTGCTTCTCAGGTTGAATACAAAAAACATTACCAGAAGGAAGTAACTGCTTTGACTGCCCAATTTGAGGCTTACAAATTGGAAAACAACCAAAGATTCGAAACTTTATCTCAAAAGTTATCTAACAACGACAAAGATGTGGATATTCTATTAGACAGTTTATCTAACAAGAGAAAAACCATGGACAACCTTTATGTTAACAAGAATAAGACTATCTTAGAGCTCTTGACAAAGTTGGCAAAAGCATCTAGGATCCATGGCCAAGAGTCTAAGGCCACACTTCAAGATAGTGTTGATACTATTCAAGCATTAATTGCTAAACACCCCGATTTACAAGCTAAATTATCACAACATGAGAAGGTGGATATTGACTTGGAGGAATTGTTGAACGAATCTAGTGAAACTTTGTACAATTGCTCCTTTGATGAAGAGGCTACGTTGATAAACTCACCAGATCTTGGGGATTCCTCATCAAATACTGAGAGCACCTCCAATACTCCAGGCCGTGCCCTTGGTCACAGTAAGAATTCATCTATTTCAAGAAGCAATACCGTCCAATCCAAGAGAAGAAAGAATAAAAGAAACTCGTTGAGATTCGACTCTAAAAGTGGTCCCGACTTCTCGTCTTTCAATACCCCAACCACACCAACTCAGTTGACCTTGCCAAAACGACCAAATATGACTCCAAATATGAACCAACAAGGTCCAGTTCAAGGTCAGCCATCTCAAACACACCACCAATACCAAAAGAATAACAACTATCACGAAAGTAAGCCTAGGACACCTACTCCCCCAACCAACTTTAACCTCAACGAAGCCTATGATATTAATCCAAATTATCAGCTGAACAGATATGCAAATTACAACAACCAGCCAAACCATCCCCAACAGTATAACAACAATAACAACACATCAAGGGCTTATAGAAATAGCAGTAACAATGGTAACTTCAACAATCAAAATCAAAACCAGTATAATATTGGTATGCAAGGCCACGTGAACTCTTATCAAGGTCAGCAAAATAACGAATACCAACACAACAGTAATAACAACTACAACAGCAACAATAATAATGGTAACAACAAGAAATTCAATAGGAGATCTTACAACAACAACGGTAACAACAACTACAATAAGAGAAACTCCCAAGTTTTTGAGCCAAATAACTTAAACTTGGCATTAAATACCTAGAGAGCTTATCATCTAAGATTTTCAGTCCAGTATCGATGAGAATGCTGAAGTGCAGGTAGAATCGATTTAGTTCCCAGCAGGTTCGGAATTATATCAATTCAACACACTTGTGATTGGAGTCATCTTTATCTTACAGATGAAAAGGAAATAAACTAACGAATGATTTATTGCATGGTTTAAGTGGGGTTAGTTCCAATGAACTTTTGGCGTATGTCGTTTGACTCTGTCCAATACTTTCTTCTCAAGGCAGCGCACACTACTTCGTTTCATTTGGGCTAATTATTTGTTGCATATTATAATTCTGATTTTTGATCTATTCTCTTGTTTACTCTCTCTCTTTGTTTCCATTCTTATTGACACATTGAATTAAGAACTATCCTTCCATTTAAAAAGCCGAAAAACAAAAAAAAAACATAAAACTCAAAAAAAAACACTCATGGGGACAACTAGACCCCTTCACAGTTCTCACCACCTCTTCCTCCTCATGATAAATTGCATGCAACAAATTGCCAAATGAAATTGAGAAGAACCATGCATATCTTGATTGAACTCATTCTGAAATTGTATTTTCTCTCATTTGTTTATACCTTATAATACATATATACCCCCTGTATACATCAAGCACAAGTAATCGAATTCCATGGACATATTTCATTCCTGTGTCAAGCTTGCTACTTAAATAAATATTATATTGTTAGGCTGTAGTTGTTAGGTAATCAGTAAATTTATTTAGACAACTTACAATTTTCATACTGGTGATTCTATCCCCAAAGACATAGCAGTAGTACAGAGCAGTAGTAATATCTACAGAGAAATTTGACATATACTGGACTCAAGCATCAGCTAAATGCAACTATTGTCCCATCTTCGTAACCAGCTAATATTAATGGCCGCCCAAGACCAGACCTTCTAGCCCTAACCATATCTTTATAAGAAAGATTTGTGCTCTTCGTGCTAGGTATGCTAATTGATTGAATGCAAGAAAGGCGAATTGCATTTCTTTTTTCCTGTGAAGTTTCGTTGACTGAGGTTGAATTTGATTCCGTCAAATTAATTTGGGGAAGGCTTCTTTTGAATTCGAAAATGTGATCATCGGAATCCAATCTTACTCCCTCTATGACTCCATTCCAAAATCCAACAATAATACCATCCCCATGTGGGCAAATGGATTCAATTCCTGCATTCGACAACTTTTTCACCTGTTGTCGACTCGATATGTAGTCATGTATCACAAGTTTCTTATTCGTAGATCCTGATATGATGCGATTGTTCAGGTGGACAAGTGTGATTATTGGATTAGGTGAGTGTGAAGAATCAGAATATATTAATTTTAGTTTTGGATCTTTGTTGATTACAGTCCTCTCATTTGACTTGACATTTTCTACTGACTCTTGAAAGTCGATATGTACGCCAATGACGTGACCCGACTCAAAACCAAGGAAGAGGTTACTCTCTTCTTCAATGAATACCATTCTCATTATGATACCAAAACCTGACCTGGCAAGTTCAGGATCTGAAGGTATATCTATTACTGGACTTTGGCGAGAATACAACTCATGCACATTGTAGTTAGCAATTACTCTTGAAATTTCATATCCATCTTTGGAAACTTGAAGCTTGTACATGTCAAAATTGTTTGAGTCAATAGTTGCTGGTGTGAATAGTATAGGCTCATGGAATTCAACGTTGCAGAAGTTTAATGAGTTAATGGGTACCTCTATTATAGGGTCCATTGTAGGGTCCGAAGAATGACCGAGCTGCCAAATCTTAACACTAGAGTCCCTTGATTGTGTAATTACCCTTTCATGCCCTAATAGTTTGACACTGATGATCTTACTCTGATGAGCTTTCCACTTCAAAATAGGCCTTTTTATGCTAATGTTCCACCAAATTACCCACCCATCGGAGTCAGCTGAAATGAAGGTGGCCCCTGACGAGGTATTGGAGTCCATGGCACTGACAGCTGCACCATGGCTTCGAAGGGAGAATGATTGGACCGGTTCCATAGAGGATAAGAATTGAAGTAGAATAGGGAATCACGTGCGGTTGACCTTCGGACTGGAGTGAGTGCGACATGCCAAATAGATTGCGTGCCTTGGTATAATATTCCCGAAAGGGCTATCCTATTATGTAGGATAGGGTCAAGGGATCGAAGTTCAGGGATCGTAGTCCAGGGTGCTCCACGGTTATTTCATCGAGTTCCATGAAGAGCCTGAGAATGTTCCAGGACCCTCACATCTGCTTGCACTCTCACATGCAGAAGTAATATTCGCCTTGACTGATTTCTCTCGTATATTGGTCTTGGTCCTGCGTTTTGAGGCTCCTCGGTTTTGTCTTGCGGATCATACGGGATTCTAATGATACGTCAAAAGTCTTGGCTCCGTTGAATTGATGCAGGTGGTATATAATCATCCGAAGGGCAAGTGCTACTTTCCTATTGTACAATAGAAGTGTATTTGCACATATCCAATGGGTCGACTCTAACCTTAAGCCGTTTTGCCGTCTCGGGTGATTTCCACCCTTGTCATTGGCCAAACGTTTTTCATGCAAGACCGCGTATGAGCACTGCTAATCTTTAATAAATCCCTCTATATAGATGAATCTGATAAGTGTGGTACGAAATGATAATCCATCCATTATTAACGGGATTGGAAAAAGAAAAGAAAGAGCCACCTCCTATTGTACGATCAAGACATCTATTGGTTTCTTAATGAAAAATAAGACTTCACATGGTTCGTTTCTAGTCGAAATATCAAAAAGATAATGTCAATCCGTATGCACGTCTACATGCACGCACGGCATGTGTATGGCTAATTTTTTTTTTTAGACCCCCAAAGTAAATTCAAGGGAAATTTCTTTCTTCAAGGGGACCACGGCTTTAGCTATAAAGGGAGGCTGTTGTCCACTAATTTGTAGACCATACTACAGAGCCCCCTCCAACATGGTGAATGTTTTTAACGTTCAAATCTTCTTTATTGTCTTCAGAGAAGCATTAGAAGCTATCGTTGTGGTCTCCGTCCTTCTTGCCTTCTTGAAACAAGGTCTCGGAGGTGCCACTCAAGATCCACTTGTCTATAAGAAATTACGAAAACAAGTGTGGTGGGGAGCGGTTTCAGGGGTTATCCTATGTTTGATTCTTGGTGCTGCTTTCATCGGTACTTTCTACTCGCTTCGTAATGATATTTGGTCTAAATCTGAAGATATCTGGGAAGGTACATTTTGTATCATTGCTACCATTTTGATTTCTCTTATGGGTATTGCCATGTTGCGTATCAACAAGATGAAGGAAAAGTGGAGAATTAAGTTGGCAAGAGCTTTGACTAAACCTCCTGCAAATAAGGCTGATCGTTTCAAGATTGGTTACTTGACAAAGAAGTACTGTATGTTCATCTTGCCTTTTATCACTTGTTTGAGAGAAGGTTTAGAAGCTGTCGTCTTCGTTGGTGGTGTTGGTTTGAGTTCTCCAGCCACTGCTTTCCCAATTCCAGTTATCTGTGGTTTGATTGCTGGTGTTGCCGTTGGTTGTCTCTTGTACTATTCTGGTACCACTACTTCCTTACAAATTTTCTTGATTATTTCCACATGTATCTTATACTTGATTTCTGCTGGTTTGTTCTCAAGAGGTATTTGGTATTTCGAGATGCACGTCTACAACAACCAAACTGGTGGTGATGCTGCTGAAAATGGTTCTGGCCCAGGTACTTACGATATCTCGAAGTCTGTCTGGCATGTGAACTGTTGCAACCCAGAAATTGACAATGGTTGGGATGTCTTCAATGCATTATTGGGATGGCAAAACTCTGCAACCTATGGATCTGTTATTTCTTACAACATCTACTGGTTAGCAATTATTGTTGTTCTCTTCTTGATGCACTTCGAAGAAAAGAATGGTCACTTGCCATTCCTTAAGAACCTTACTTTGGTCCAATTGAACCCAATGTACCACATTAAGGGCAAGAAGAAGAACAACTTGACTAAGGCCGAACAAGATGAATTGTTTGCTAACTTGAAGAACACCAAGATTGGTGGTGATGAGATTGACAATTCCGAGTCTATCGAGAGTAGCAAGGAGGTCAAGGAAGTTATTCCTGTTGAATCGGAGAAGAAGAAGGGATCATTGTAAATAGATAGTTTCAACCTATGGTTTCACTCGTCTTTACACACACACAAACACACACACTCAGTTGATGAGTGAGACATAGTGAAGTTGTTTGTTTCAACTAATCCTTTCTGCTGCCCATCCTATTCTTTCTATCCGTTGGAGGGGGGAAAGAGTGGAGTATCTAAGCCAGAGTGATTAGGGCCACTCTGGCTGCCGTTAGGTGTTTTAATAAAGGGTATAAAAAAAGTGATCTGTAGATTAATGTAGCGAAGAAGTTTCGACATGAGTTTTTGTTAAATAACCAATCAAGTTTACTGATATTGCCTTGATTGATTAACGAATAAACAATAGCATTACACAAGTCTATAGAGAGCCCGTTGCCTTATATTTGCTACTTCAGAATCCTATTAAAAGCACCCGAACTGACTCTGCGAATCCTGTAAGTTCCTTTCCAAGATCCCTTTAAACTTCAGTTTTGAGTAACCTCCATCTCCGTTAAACTTCTCCTCTATGGTATTCAACAAGATTTCTAATAACTTGAATGTTTGATCATTGAATTTCAATGTATTCGAGATTTCAAAAACTTCCATGAAAAAATTAACATCAAGCTTCAAATTAACCAAATCGACGGCAGTTAGATTGTTCGCATTTCTCAAATTGTCTAGCACATTCTTGATCAAATGCATTTGAAGTTCGTTAACAATACTGATGAAGATCTCAGCTCCTGTTATAGGCTTCACTTTATGAACCAATTTAACAAAGTGAATTAAAATCTCGTAAATAAACCCATCTACTTTTAGTATTTTGGGTTTACTTTCACGACTGGCATTAAAGTAATTGTTAACCTTAATGGTCAACCAAATTTTTTCTTTATTCAAGATGTCATCGAAAATTGTTAAGGAAGCCTTATCTATGTCAGCGAATAATTTCAAATTCTGACTCAGAAGACCTTTTTCAAATAATCTATCAAATCTTTTGATCAACCGTGGATAAATTGCTCTTGATAACTTATCAAAATTGTTCATGGTTAATACCTTGAATGTACCCTCGGTATTATCCTCTTGATTTCTTTCTATACTGTACCTTTTCATAATAGAATCAATTATAATATTAAGACTTCTCATGAATTGAATTTCAATGCTAACCAATATCCTTTTGCTTGGATAAGCTGCCACGATTCTGCAATCAGATTCATAATTTTCTTTATTCGTAATTAGCAGTTTGAGCTTCAATAAAATATACGTTTGGTAACACTCAATAATATTCATAAGTTTCGTGAAAGATCCATCGGCAAATGCATCCGGATCTGCTCCTATATTGGCACTAGAAGAAACGTTGCTTCTGATTTCCCAGCTCTCTAAATCATAAAATTGAGAGCAATCGTTTACCCAAACTGCACAAATTGCTTCTAGAATTTTTTGGTTAATTTTTAAAGAGCAATTTCTCAAGTTCTTGATGACCTTATTTGTATCAGAACTAGCACTGACATTTCCTATTGTGCTGGCGTAATCTCCCAAATGCGTCAAAAACTCATTCAACCTTTTATTAATTCCACCCAAATAGTGCATAGCAGATAAAGAATTGGTGAAGTTTGGCAAAAATTGTTTGTAATTACTAGGCGATGATTCTAATTGATTATTGTTACCCTCTTCATCCTCGAACAATGTCACCAAAATTACATTTACTTTCTCCACTAGTCCATCAAATTTTTCTTTTATCTTCCCATCGACATCAATTTCGGATGATTTGTAATGCTTATAGTTATTTGTGAACTTTTTTAAGTTCTTGATGAATAAACCATTTAGATAGTTAATAAAGTTATTCAAAATCAACCATGTTTCGTTGATGATAGAAAGGTCCAAATTTTCACTACTCTGGAAAATCAGAACAAGGTCGGTCCCTGAAGTATCTGGAGACTTCAAAACGTCTAAAGAATTCAACAAGTAACTTTCGATAGAAACATCATTTGAAGACGTAGCCAAGTAGCTCTCGATATCGTTGTACTTGTCTGCAATATATTTAATGTGTGATCCATTTCTTCTACTATCAGGCAAAGACTTAATGTAGTCATTCAACTTCTTTTGCATCATTCCGAACTTGTTATCAAATTTTGAGATTTGGTATTCCAACTCTTCATCAATGTTGTTTAATTGATTCATTAAGAAATCGTAAATGGGGTTTTCTTGGGTGTTGTGAATATCCAATTGATATAACTTGTCTATCAATGAAAGGAACTTGCTGTTGGTATTGTTGTTATCTTTGTATTGTGGCTTTTCGCTTACCTCATAGTCCAAACTTAACAATTCTTTGAATATCTTCTTTTTATATTGATCGACAATATTATCAACTTCATTGAAAACCTTTAGTAACGATGTATTGATCAACAATTGATCTTGCTTCAATGCCTCTATTGCCTTATCATCCTTTTGCTGTTCAAACTTCGCCATTTCACGGTTGTATTTATTTTTCTGATATTTTAAGAACAGTTCTTTCTCATTCAAGAAGGAATTATAGTCTTCAATAAACAAATCGTGAGAATGATTTGAGATGTAAATACACAATTTACTAGGCAAGTCAAAAAAGCTCTGGTGTGACTTGATAAACTCGATCAATTTATGGACCTTGTTTTCCTTTAATTTGTTTTCCATTATCGGTCTTATCATCAAAGAGGACGTGGTGTTAAGATTGTTAATCGAGTCCTCCAATATTGACGATAAAGAATTCATCTTAGATTTAGTCAATTGTTGGTGTCTCTTAGGATTAAAAACCTTCGAACTTTCTCTTTCCTTTTGCAACTTAGAACGCTGATTCTTGAATTCGATCAAGACTTCATCAATTGACTTTTTACAATTGATGAATTTTAAGAAGTTTGCGTCAATCACACCCTTCAACTCACTTGTTTGGCTTTGTATGTTGTGCTCGAGGAAATCAACGGCAGACACAAGTTCTTCTATAGGTGTTTGTGAGTGAAATGTCGTTAAGAACTGTTTGGAGTTGAAATTGGAGGAAGATATTAAGTATTGGTTTAACTCAGGATCAGTGGACGACTTGACGATCTTGTCCTGAATCAACTTCTTGTAAACATTGGAGCCTCTTCCAACAAGAGGATCTTCTACATCACTTTTGGACAATCCTTGTTCGTTCAATGGACTATGTGATTCTGTACTGATGAGATCACTCAAGAGGTTGAACTGTTCGTCTTGAGACAATTGTTGGATTTCCTCGGGATCCAAGTGATCTTGTCCCAGTAATTTTAGATCATTTGAGCTTCTTGGTGTGAGGGTGTTGACATTATAGTACGATAGTAGAGTATCTTCGCTAGGATTAGAGTCAATCATTGTTGATGTTAAGGTACCAGTTGATTAGAAGTTATTTATATGGTCGTGTCAAAACGGTGCGCTCACCAGATTTAGAGACATACGAGCCTCGCGCAGAATGGACCATTCTGATTAAACAAAACGACATTCTCGCAAATAGTGGGTTGCAAACAAACTACGGCAATATGGCAATAGAATAGAACTTGGAATTTGGAACATTCTACTTAGGGCATGCAGATAAACCACATCTGTGATTGTATTTTAGAGAACTAATGTACTGTCATAGTTGGATTCTCCATTAAGGATTGCCTCATAATGTTACGAACTAAGCACTATCTCCACAAACTGTACTCCTGTTGTTGCGGCTCATCCACATCCACGCCAGACGAAATAGCTGCCACTGCAGCATTCGCTATGGATGCAGGGTCGTTATTGTCCACATTGTGGCCATGTGCTTGAGGTTTGCCTTGATTGTACTGCTTCTGAGCTAAATCTTTATTGAGGTCTTGTGCTTTCATCTCTGGAGCATTTTGTAACAACCGCTCATCAACGGGGGTAGCAGCTATAACCTTCGGTTCTTTTTTGTAGTAATCGTTGGTCAACTTTTGGAGAAGAACATGCAATGAAAGTTTCCTGTGGTCCTTGACTTCGGTTTTCATTTTCTCAAAAGCAGTCTTGAAATCCGTAGCATCCCAGTCATAATTGGGCTCTGGGAAGAGTTCTTTCTGTTCAGAGTGATAAATCTGACTAATATAATTCCAATCAATTTTTTCAATAGATTCGAAACCTGATATTTCCAAACGCTTCAAAAGCCACGACTTTACCTCTGGTGACATATACGTGGACCTAAGCATGGATTCTCTGCGTACAAGTTTAGACCACTTGTAACGGCATTGAATTCTAGATCTACGACCATTCATACGATCGCTCACTAGAGTCCAGTTGATAGCAGACTGCTTATCCTTACCATCTGCATTGCTTACCATTTCTGTAACAATTACCTTTAGAGCATGCTCTTCTTCTGGTGTCCACTTTTGTGATGTTCTCTGATCACCACATTTCACATAATTTCTCCAACGATCACGACAATCTTCCGGCATTCTACCCATGGCTTCACCAATCTTCTTCCATTTACCTTCATGGTCAACGGCCAATCTTCTTAAGTACTCGTCGTCTTCCTTTGTCCATTTACCTCTAATTTCAAAAATATGGTACAGTCTTCTGACATGCTTATAAATAGATGCCCGGGATCTGTAAGGCAAGACTCGAGTTAACGACTCCCAAAAGTTATCCTTTTTACGTTCACTCGACCATATTCTGTTGCAAATATCTTCTCTAGTCCATTTGAACAAATGACAGTAGCCCGAAATAAAATGATCCACAGCACTTATCTCGATAGGGGCAAATAATCTTGGACCCTTTCCTGTATTGTCTCCCAAGGAGTTATACCAGTTGCATGCACGGCTGGACGCTTCTTCAATAAGACTCTCCACATCATTAAGATGACTGAAGTTTGTTTTCGAAACGCCCTTGTCTTGTAACTGTACGTCAGACACCCCCGTAGCATAGTTTATAAGACTTTCTTCTATTCTTTTCAACTCCTTTTTACTTCTGGGAGTTACTTTTGCTTTTTTAGCAGAGCTAGATAAGGATGAGGCAGCTTGAGCAAGTTGTGTAATAGCAGAAATTGAATCTGATCCATGCCCTTGATTTTGAACGGCTGCATTGGCCGCTGCCAATACTTGTTGCGCTTGATGTGGAGGTACGCCATTCAATGTATTCTGAAGATTATCATGATCATTCAAATCCCCGCTATTGATGTGCCTCGTCAATTCTCTAGCGTCTATTATAGCAGCTTCAACTAACTGATCGTGTTCAGAAGTACCGAGTCCTGCTAATTCGGGGTCAATATCCTGACTCACCCTTCTTCTCTTGCCTATTCTATGTTTTCCTGTAATGTCGTTGGCATAACTGTAGTCTTCGTTCGTCACATCTTCATCCAAAAATCCAGTCCACTGATTGAAATCATTAATGTTGTTCATGATCTCTTCATGATTAATTCTTCTCTTATTCTTCCTGGGACCATTTGTATCCAAAGTGCCCCCAACATAACGCATCACGGCAGCTTCCACAGCGTCATTTATCTGTTGGTTTGTAGTCTTTGATTCATCGTCTTCAGACTGGAGTCTATCACTTTCACCAGTTTGATCTCGAACAACAGACTCATCGCCATCGTCCATGATATCATTATTCCGAGAATCATCGATCTCGCTTATATTTAGCTCAGGATCCTCCTCGCCATCCTTGAGTTTAGAGCCCAACTGAAGAAGTGCTTGTGCCCCACCGATTTCTTGTTGTACTTCCATTTTGCAGTCAATATGGTGTTACCCTACTTTGACGAAGCGGGTAACCCTTTTGCTTTGATTTGTCTGGTGGCGTGCTAGTAATTGCGCGACCATGACGAAAATTACACCGAAGTCCTTGCAAGGACTACAGTTAATCAGATGCATATCAAATTTCTGACTACTACACTCCTAGCAAGAAGGGTGTCATATTAATTATTACTATCAACTAGTTTCAAATTAAATCTATTGATTATTGTTTCAGGGTACTATTACTATACTATTGCTATCTTATTATCCCAAAGAAATTGTATTTTTAGAAGAAAATTACTTTGTATTCCGTGGGAAATTCGGATGCACAGTACCATGGGACGTAAGCTGTCTGTAATTCTTGTCACTGTAAAGTACCTAGATATTGGGCTAGTTGGTTTGGGATTTAGTGACAATGCAATCAGTGTGTGCGCACCATCAACAAAATGTTTATAGATTAACGGCTCAGTTGCAACTCCCGATTACCAATCAGATCGATGGACAGCCCCACCCCCGTTAGAGAGGTGGATGTTCCGTTGACTCCTACTCGTTATAGTCGAAATGTTTTGAGGGATTTGTCTAAAGATGAACTCGTGGAAAAGGTACTTGAGCTTGAATCGGTATTGAACGAGTTCCAAGAATCTAGTAAGGAACTCGAGCAAGCATTAGAAGAAGAGTTGCAAGGCTTAGAAGCAGCCAATGTACATATTCAAAAAGCATTAGATGCTAAACTGCTCGAGCTAGAAGAGACGAAGGCCAAGATAGTGGCGATGAACCAAGAACTAAATGCGTTACACGATAGTCATAATGATAGGATACGAGAGAGCGAGGAAAAGGTAACTTTATTGAAGCAGCAGTTGGTTTCTGTCGAGATAGCAAATGATAGTATGGAATCAAATGACCGCATGTTATCGCATAAGCTTGAATTAGCGAATCAATTCAACAACGAGCTCCTCGAGAAAATGGCCATCTTGGAAAACGATTACGAGAGAGAGCGGAAGGCTGGTATGGAGAAGCAACTCTACATCACAAACTATCAGAATGAGGTCAAGGAATTAAATAGCAAGATCGAGAGTTTGGAGCATAGGTCAGACAGTCCCGACGCTGATGCTCTGTTCATAAGTATGCGTGAAGTATTAAGTGCTGGCCCACCCTCTACTTCCGATAATTATGGCCAACCCCAGATGAGAAAGTCCAGCTCACTCAAAAAGCTTCAGGATATGACCAATGAGGTGCAATCGTTCATAAGAAATTCTACAACAACTGGATTGAAATCACCCTCTACCACAACCACGACCAACCAGCATGCCGTTGCTATAACAGACATCATATCACCAAGTAAGTCCATAAAATCTAGCAAGGGCAAAATAACCCCGTCTCCTTCTAGTACGAATCTTCACAACGAGATTAGCCGTCTGTCAAGCTACAAGAGTACATCCAGTGTCTTTTCTAGGGACTCGAAGAAGAGTGACATCTCAACGCTGGATGTGAAATCGCAGACCAGCAAAAACAGACCAAGGATTATATCCAAAGAGCTTTCACCGATAAAGGGGTCGCCCAACCCTGAAAGAATGATAGAGCTCGACGAAAAGCCCAAATCTAAACTCAAATTGTTTGGAAGGTGAGCACATGGGTACCAAGCAATGTCTTCCTAATGCGTAATATCACTAACATAGCACGATAAGTGTCAACTACACGTTGTAGAAAAGTAGTCATATCGCGAGCATAGACCAGCTGCGTTCGAAGGTCGCATTATTGATTTTGGGATTTGGTGCACCATTCCATTCCTTAACTTATCCTACTCTTGTAGACCTCCAACAAGACTGGAACTAACTCTCAAGACTGTAGTGATAGATGGCTGGACATTCGTAAATCGCCTTGGCCCCGTGCCCATTCTCTTAAGAGGGTACCTCCCTCTCTTAGTTCATATACTGCGCGTGCAGGATTACAGTTCGCGTCGATTGATCTACAAACACTATACTGAATCAGCTCAACGTTAAAATCCTTCCCTTCTATCAATTTGTGACCGATTCAAGATGGCCGAGATTGTACAATTTCCAGGAGTTGCCAACGGGATCAATAAGAATGATCTTTTCAAGTATTTGGTCAATCTTCATGTCCACTTGAAGTCAACACCTGAGGCTGACTTGGCGTTGTACCTTGGACAATTGACCGAAGTCATTGAGTATTTCAAGGTTGAGACTCCCACCAGACCCAAAGCAAAAGTGGTGGAGCCGGATGCTGAGAGACGAGAGGAAAAGCTTTCCTCCAATATTTATAAACTAGTGTCTAGGAATCTCATGATCATCTTCACGAGCTTGACCAACAAGGTCCACGACTTCACTAACAACTTGTTGAACCACTTGCAGGTGAGCGAGTCTGGAGAACTTCCTCCAATCTCCAAAATCTCCATCAAAATACTCATCGACTTATTTGACACGTTTCCTAACTCGTTGGGTTCAATTGTGAACTTTTCCGCCAACCAGATATATAAGATCTTAAAAAAGTCTCCTACCATAGACAGCTCGTTGGTATACTTGTTGAACTCAATTACAAAGAATGCAACCAAATTGGATATCGATGAGAAATTCCAAGCCAAACTCATGAAGATCATTACGAAGAATATTGTACAACCTCAAATCTCTTTTGAGTTGTATCTGGATTCCAAATCCTCCGAAGAAACTGCTACCACTATATTGCTAAAGAAAAGCTACATTTTGGTTTATAAAAATTTGCTCCTCTTAGCAGTTTCAACAAACTACGAGAATTTGTTAGCATTATCAACGTCTTCGAGCTCTGCTGGGTCTAAGATGAAACCAGAAACTATAATGGTGCAGCAGAATCAATTTCAAGTCTCTCTTTTGGCCTCCAATGAAAAGACATTTCATTTTTGCTTGTCTAATCCCAATAAAGAAATCAGAGTTGCGGCTATAGAGTTATTATCGCACTTGTTAATCAATTTGGTTCCTACAGGCAAATTCAGTCCTATAGAATATTTGATTAACCAGTATAATCTTCCAAGCGCCAATTGTTGGGATTCCTCATTAACCACGATCATTGACTTTGATAATGATTCATTGTCGATTGATATCAGAAAAGAGAAGAATACTCTTCTGGGGCATGATAGTATAAGTCAAATTAACCAGGCTACCGAATTGTTGTTATCACAAACTAGCATTGTTGAAACCTTCATTTTATATCTTCAACTTGAACAATTCCAAAACTCAGAATATCTCTCTACCAATTTAACATTTATTCTTGATTCTGTTTTATCCAAATTTGGTGAGTTAAATCAAGCAAAGAATCATATTCAAAATCAACATTGGGATAAAGTATTGATCCACTGGAGCTCTGCCATCGATTTCATCATTAAGGAAATTGGCTCCACATGCTATGAGGTGCTTACGAGCTATGTGTACACCAAGTTCAACTTGGATTACAGCAGTGAAAAATCGTCAATGGATACTGAATTCACCGCGAGCAGACCAACGACAAGTCTGAGAAAGAGAGAATCAATGTTGTTTGGATTTAGAGGCAAGAGTAGCTCGAAGAGTAAGGCTAAGGATGCTAAATTAAAAGAAATTAGGCCTTACCATAATTCATCTCAATCATTTCTTTTGTTATATATTTTTGAAGTTTTGATTCCTTTTGGTATTAATTTTAACTCAGTCATACAATCCAAATCAAAGGATTCTCAGGAGAAAACTATCCAAGATAGGGCAATTGAAGAGGAAGAAAGCGAGGATTCAAAGACGCAAGAAAACTCATTTATCAGGGATATTCTATTCAAGTTGATCGTGAATGAAAATGATTATACACGGAACTACGCCTTGAAGGCATTGTTACTTTATGCAAAGGTAAATGAGGTTGAGATAAACTTGATAGTTCTACATGCGTTCAAGATGGTTAACTTGGAGTATAAAGCCAGTGATTCGAAAGATGGAAAGTCAAACACATCCACATCCGAGGAGAACATCTGCAATTCCACCCCAACAAAGTTAATTAGCTACTCATTAGTATTGCTGTCACTCATTAAGCAAACTGATTCAATTCTTCTTCAAAACTCAACTATTGTCAAAATCTTAAGTTTTTGTACCCAAAACTTGAAACATAACAATAATAGTAACTACACAAATTCTCTCAAGAATTCTGCTTGTTGGGTCATTTTGTCATCGTTGGTCACATACTACAATGACTCTGAGTTCGTTAAATTGAATTCATCTCAATTTCTTGTGTTTTGGAAGAGTCTTTTGACCTCGCAATTCATTAGTACATCTTTGACAGCAGATTCTCAGGAAAGTCAAAGTAACGAAATTATTGATAATTTGAAATTGCGGAATTTCAGCTTAGTGTGTTTATTGAATTACGTGGAATCAGTGGATTTGTCACCAGAGTCTCTCAAGCAGATTCAATTCTTATTGACAAAGTCTTATAATTACCTCACGTACTTGGAGAGTAATATTCCAAATGTCGGTTCTTACACAAATTTGAATAATCAACTGTTCAACGAAGTGGACTATAATCCAAATTTGCTCAATAACATCCATTTTATGAATTCTACTTCATTCAAGTTATCCCTGGATAGAATAATGATCAGTTTGATCCTTTACAGTAAAAAGATTATCTTGCAAAGTTTTACTAAGTTGGCAGCATTATTGAAGAATGATATTAACTCAAATATGATGATATTCCTAATCAAGACATTCAGCGATTCCAAAATATTTAGTCGGATTTTGGGCAATGAGTCTTCTGAAAAGTCAAAGTCTAAAGCTTCAACTTCTGCTGCATCCCACTTAGTCGATTATGATCATGATACGATTTTAGTTGGTGAAGACTACAACTACTCATTTGGTATTACTAGTAAGTATCAAGGAGTTTCTGCGAACATTGATGAATTATTGATTAAGAATGGTCCAAAAGATCACGACTCTTCAATTGTCTTCAGTTCGCCCAACTATCAAGATCTGGTAACTCAGGAACTCAAGTTCAAGGATACTTTTGCATCAAAAGAGGGGAATTCATCCAACATTAGACCAATTGAATCTCATTTGGAAGACGATTTTCATACTTGGATTGATCTTTTTGAGAAGCTTGTTTTCAAATCTGTGGGACATAGTATTAACTACGATCCCAACATTTATTTAACACAAAGATACTCTGTACATGAGGAATTTTCCCCCCCGATATTCACATCGTTAGTGGATTTGTCTATTGAGCTTTTCCAACTCGTCTTTCCAAATTTAAGTTTACAAATCCAGTCCTCTTTGTTGGAGCAAATGAGAAATTCTTTAACCACTAAGGCAGTTGATCCCTTAAGATTAAAGGCAGTAAAGGTCAATGTGTCAATAGCTCTACATGGACTTGTTAATAACGCTATCAAGAGAAAGTTGACTCTTGATGCTCAGGTTGTGAAGATCATAGGAGATATTTTATCCAAAATTGAGACCAACAACCAACATTTGATTACTATCAATTCAGATACAATCGGCCTCGCTGGCTTATTGGTGTCCAAATCTACTGTGAACGAATTAATCAGCAAGTACGTTAATGAGATCGTTAATGATTCTAACCCTTATAAGAGAGGATTTTCTATAATCACGTTGGCACGACTTTACGAAAAGACCAAGTTCGGATACCACGATACCTATAACGTTATTTTACAATTATTGAATGATCCGAATCCTATTGTCTACTATTACTCATTGGAGGCTATTATTATTCTTTTTGAAACCAATGTTGATAGTGTGAATTACATACCAGAGATTTTGACAAAGGTTTATGAAAACTACTTGAGTGAGAATTTTGGTTATGATATCAGCAACAAAACTTTAATCAATTTGAAAACGAAATATAATTCTATTGGATTGATTACCCGTCTTTTAAAGGTTCTTGTCACATCACTTGGACCAAGATTGACTGAATTGGCCGAAGATCAAAAACTGAAGATCAAAAACTTGATTATTGCATTGAGTCATGGAATTGGGTTGGCTACTATTAATGACTACACAGATGTCTACAAGTACTTGCTTGCGCTTTTCCAAGAATTGATAATTTTCGATCCAAAGTTGATCGAAGATGAAGTTTCCTTTTTTACTGAGTTGTTGAACTTGATCATATCAAAGAATCTTAAAGTAGGCTTGGTGTCTCCCTCGCCTACATCGATAGCAAAGGATTCAATTTTTCCATTCACGACTAGTACTGATTTGTATGAGGCATCTTACGCATGTTACGTGGAACTAATTAAGATTTACGGGGTAAAGATTGTGGATAAGGAGACTATTAGCTTGTTATGGATATCTATGAACCTTAAGCCATGCAAGGAATTGAAGCAATTCATCACCCTTTGGTTAGAGTCTAGTTTAGAAATGAACTGGTTCTCCATCTTGAGTTCCTTGTTTAAACTCAGTTCAAAGAAGTTGCTAGGTCCATTTATTGAGGGTAATTATCAACAGAAGCTCTTGCCGTTGCAACAAAGGCAGAAGAAGAAGCAGCTGAATAAACTCGAATTTAAGGACGAAGAAATTGAGAATATTGTGGGTGGCGACGATGAATCAATGGATAAGAATGAACCAATAACTTGGGAATTCAAACTATACATATATGATTTATTGAATCATCTATTAGATTTGGCGTCTTCTAATGGGAGATTGCTTGAAAGCTTGAAGGACAAAATCCAGGAAATTGTCAAGATTTCGTTCTTGGGATCCACCTCTCCCATTTCTTCAATTAAGTTGGGGGGCATTCACTTGCTTGATAAAGTATTAAGGTTGTTTGGGCATATGGCCGATCCCTTATACCCAGGAGTTTCCATTCTTGAACAACAGCAGGCACAAATCATTAGTGCATTGATACCTTGTTTCAATAGTGACAACGATTCCAAAGTTATTGTGAACACCATCAACGTATCTTCCAAGTTTATCAATCTACCTAGAATCAAATTTTACTCAAAACAAAGAATTCTCAAGACTTTGATTTATTTATTGGAAGAAATCTCGGCCAATAAGTTCTTGAAATTCGGGTTCTTAGAGAATATGTCCGAGTATGGAAGGAAATCAATTCAACTTTCTATTTTGAATTGTTGGGCTTTGCTTAAAATAGATGCGGAGGAGGATCAAGAGACTACAGAGCCAGAACTTATAGAAACGTTGGAGAAGTATTCAACCTTGTTGACGTCACTTTGGATCTTAGTTTTGAGAGACTATTCTACCTTGAAATTTAATGATACTTCCAACAGAGAGTTGATTACTTATGGTAATTATTGGATCAATTTTATCAGCGTTCTCAGTATCCAATTGGAGCGTAACCCTCAATTTATTGACGAGTACTTAGGGGGTGATGGAGAAAACTTTTTCTTCGTATTATTCAGTCAATGTGTTGAATCCCTCATCAAGAATAAAAGTGTTCCTGAGATTTTGAACTCATTGAAGAGATTGGTCAAGATTTCGGCGTTAGTCTCATTGTTATTTCACGATGATATATTCGGGGAGATCATTGATTTGTTTGATCGTTTAATATTGATCGATGACAACACTGAAGTTCAATGCGAATTGGTTGAGATTGTCAGCACCATCTCAAATACATATGTCACAAATGCTACTGGAGAAGTATCTTTGGAAAAGGTGGAGAATGGCTTCGACAAATTGTTTGAATTAATTAGGGTGGAAATGTTGCCCTTGTTCAATATTCTTCCGTTCTTGAGAACGGACTTTGATCCTTCGAGTGAGACACAGAAGCTCACTCTCAGATCTTGTGATAGTGCTCCTAGCTTGTTAATTTTGAAGAAAACATTAGAAAAGTTGGTCGAGATGATGGCTATGTTCCCTGTTGTTGTCAAGGTGGACTTATATTCATGTTTATTATTTATGTTTTCCAAGATTTATGAGTTCAAGAATGAACTATTGATTTCAGTTATATTGCCTCACTTGAAGCAAGTCCTCAGCGAGTCAAGTCAATTTGAGAATAATCTTGTCCAAAACTTCAATGACATAATCCGTTCACATTACTCCATAAGCAAAGAACTCAAATACTCTGTGATCACATCAATGGTTTTGATCACCAGTGGAAATATTCAGTTAAGTCAAAAAGACTCGGAAGATCTTGGTAAAGCGTTGATTGGATTGCTTGGGGACAAGGAGTCTGCCAACATGGCAATTCAATGTATTAAGTCTTTGAACCAGTACTCATCAAAAATACAAAAGCCTTTATTGGTAATGAAGTACTTGGTCTCGGACTTAATGACTATGCTTTCAAGCGAGGAGTCTCTAGAAATCGATCCAAAAATCTCATTTGAAATATTGATATCATTCAGCCGAGTGTTGACCGATGACGCCAAATTGGTGGCGTTGTACTCTGTCTTGATCCCATTGTTAATTAGGTACAATGATGCTAGCAAGCTAAGCAAGAACTACTTGCACGAGAAGTTGTTATACTTGGTGCAATACAGTCCTCTGAGCTTCAAGATTGTTGTCAATGGAAAGTTAAGTGATGGACAACGAGTATTAACTGAGGAGTTGGTGAAGATGCAAGAGACTAAGGAGGAAGTTAACAAGGAGGAAATCGAGTTGAAGAGATTCAACGAAAGTTAGAGAACTCCTGTTGCTCATATATAGTGCTTATTGTATTAAACTAATGTACAATTAGCTTTCAATAGATATTCGTAATGTATGTTTCCTGTACTCCATCACCTTGTACCACATAAGTCGCTAATAGACTCATTCTCAATATCCCCAAGAATCTATGAGAAATGTGTTACCTGTACTATATAGAGCTAGAGTAAATCTCCAAAATGCTTATTCATCTTGAAGTTATCGGTGCCAAACTGGCATTATTATCAGTTGTTGCGGCTACCCTCTGTTTTCTATTTCGCGCTGCTCGCATTTTCTTCGATTAAGAATCGCGTCGCGTCTCCTTTGCACATCTGAGATTATACTGAACCCTCATAAACAGCATTAACATGAACAGTCTATCGTTGAGTCAATCCTTCTTGTTTGATCACCAAAAACCCTCCGATTCTGAAGGGTTCGGCTCGTCCTTCTTATTTGCATCAAATTCCCAAAAGTCTAAAGATAATGATGATGGTCTTGATCTAGCTGAAAATATAGACATAAGTCCAGCCAGTTTAAGTACTAAAGAAGTGAAGTTGTTCAGTGGAAATGTGATATCATTGAAGCCAAAAGTAAGGAACATCCAACCCGTGGATCAGGAATTTGAAACCGAGTCGGGCGGTTTTATGGACGTAGACACACTATTCAGTAAGGCGATGTTACGAAACAAGATAAAGTCCAACCAAAAGGAGCTACAATTGACCAAGAAAGACAATAAGAAGGGAACTGGAAAGGGGAACGAGATATGGGCAGAGAAGTATCGGCCATCCAAGTTTATTGATTTATGTTCTGCAGGTAATGATAAGCAGTACCGTCTTGTTCTTCACTGGTTGAGGAAGTGGAACTCAGTATGCTTTGGAGATGCTTTCGAGAATGACGGTTCTGTTGACAAGTACGGAAGACCTCTTAGAAAGGTTTTACTTGTTCATGGGCCCTCGGGTATCGGTAAAACAGCTGCTATTCACCTTATGGCAAAACAAATGGGGTATGAGGTAAACGAGCTTAACGCTGCAAATAGTGTAATCTCTTCATCTGAGAACTCCGACACTGAAAACCTATCGGGCATGTTGAAAAATAGAATCAAAAATGCCATGACCTCAAATAATGTGACGGACAACAAACCTTGGTGCTTGGTTATTGATGAAGTGGATTCGTGTTCTAATAATGGTGAGATTATCAAAGTCCTCAATGATCTTGTTTATGCTGATCTGAGATCTCAAGATAAAAATGTATCGGACGACAAGAAGAAGAAATCTAAGAGTTTTAGGTTGAGCAGGCCGATCATTTGTATCGCAAACGATATCTATGCCAATAACCCTGGACGCCCAGGAAGGAACTCTCCTATGGACAAATTGAGAGCTATTAGTGAAATTATTCAATTTAAGAAGCCTACTTCTTCGAAGACCCCCGGCTCTAGGGGTGGAGCTGCAATGAAATCAGTGAAGGATCATCTCATGTTGGTGAATAAAAAAGAAAAAGTGGGATTGGATAACCAGCAGATAGGTGAGATTGTGGAAACCTGTGAAGGTGATATTAGGGCGTCTTTGAATCATCTACAATTTCATGGTAGAAAACTAAAGTCCGCGGGATTCCTGAATGAACAGCATAGTAATGGTATCAATAAGGATACTCAAATTTCGTGGTTTGCCATGATAGATCTCTTATTTAAGAGAGATGGAAATCTAACCAAGGAGCAATGTTTTCAAAATCTTCTCAACTTATTTTTGAGCGGAAGTGGGAGATCAACAGTGAGCAGTAGCAACTCGCATGACAAGGTGATTCGTGAATCTTTCAACAAGTATTTGGACGTTGTGAACTTCCAAGATGATTCATTGGTCAAACCCTCCGAGTTTAGTGACTGGTTGAGCTTCTATGACAACATCCTGAGTAAACCCAATGATGATATCAGTCAGTATTCTGCATTAGTGAATTTGAAAATATGGTCTTTATTCAGTGAAATAAACCCCCGCAAAATTTTCGATGGTGAATCTCTAGTTCCAAACAGTCGAAGTCTTGATTTTGATACATTCGAATCGATAAAACAAAATAAGAACTTAATCAAAACTACCGTTGATCAATTGCCTTTAATAATGAAGTTAACAATTGGTACAAATCCTGAAGATTATGCATCATATGTATTGCCTTATTTTAATAAGCTTCTCCATCCAGACGTATCTTCGAAAGTGAAGTCCAATTTGAATACTACCGAACAAAAGTCGATTGAAAAAATTACTGCATTGGTCCGTGATTTGGATATCAAGTTGGAAAATGAGCGAGATTTAGAAACTGGTAAAACACTTTTGCAAATGACGCCTAGTTGGGATAGTGTCATTTACTTTGATAATCAGTTTACTTCTCTACCATTCGCCAATTTGATTACACAACAACAAAACAAGAGACAAAATTTGTTTCCACTAATTTCATCGGAGTTGGAGAGACTTCAAATGATGAGAAAAGCACATAAACGGCCAGTACTAGACTCGAAGGCTAGCGAAGAGAAGGGACAGAAAAAGAGGATTAAAATTGGTAGTAGTATCGAATTCTTCAAGAATAGGTATGAGGGGTTGTCTTCGCAAGCTGAAAATTCCAAAGTATCTACTCCAAGTGAAACCACAAGAATATGGGTGAAATACAATGAGGGGTTCTCTAATGCAGTAAGAAAGAATATTGGGTGGAATGATATTTGGACAAGGTGATACTTAATAGATATTTATAGCTTTGCAATTATACACGATAAAACAGTAGCATAAAAAGCAATACTAAAAGTAATTATACAACTCCTACATAGTAGCTAAAAAAACTTCAAGATCAAGAAGCTGAATAAATTGGAAACAAACAAGCAAAATTAATAACTGTATAAGGAATTCAAAAAAAATGATTCCGCCCAGGATCGAACTGGGGACGTTCTGCGTGTTAAGCAGATGCCATAACCAACTAGACCACGCAACCATTTATGAATACCAAATTGATTGTTAAAATAAAAACCTTTTTAAAACTTAAATATTTTTATAAAAAGAATGATGAGCATTAAAAAACGATTGTATCAAGCTTTCATACATTAAATGTAAATATTTAGACATTTTTTGTAGCCAGTTATTGACTGCTTATCATTTTCGTGCGAAAAAAATATTTGTATGGTAATCGGAATCTGCTGTGGCAATTAAAATTTATTGCAATGGAAATTACATTTGAATATGGCTTCCATATTTATTTCTGTACAGATGTCATTAATGATTCCCCGGTGTAGTTTCTTTAATTTTTGAAAATTTATGCAAAAGGTTTTCAATTTTGCATTGCTGAAAATAAATGAGAACTTGTCAAAAAAAGGGCTTCAGATTGAGAATCGAGAGGTAAGGCTCGGATTACCTCGAGAATGTTGTGCAATAGATAATGAAAAAGGTCCACATCTTGTTGTAGTATGAAAGGATGTTTTAACTGCGTCTTATTGATCTTGCGAATGCGAAAATTCTGGTGCAATTGGTTGAGAAATCACCTGCAGATAGAAAATGCAGGCAGCAAGATAAGCCACAACAAGGAGATTGAATAACCTTTGGTGGCGTAAGTAAGGTCCATCTATGTATTGGTTTTGTAGAATTCAAAGACAAAGCTTATGTCAAACCTGGTTTGAACTGAAGCATCTACACTTCCAATTGTTGAAAAGAATACAATCTTTAGAATTCCAGTTCTATTACCGTTGAGGACACCATAAAAAGGTCTGAATATCCTGATTCTAGGGGCATTAATTTTAAATGTTTAAAGAAAAGTAGGAGATGGACAAGAAGTTAAGAACAAGAGAAGAAGCAACCATTATACAACAAGACTGGGGCCAGGAACTGGTTCAGTACAAGAACATTAAAGATGAACCATACTTTAGGGTTAAGAGTTGCAGTGGGGTTTTCAGTTTGTATAAGAAATGGTGTGAAAGACAAGGTCTTGATAGCAGTGTGTGGCTGAACAAAAGTGCCACTCAATTTTGGGACTACTATACAAGGAAGAGATCTCAGTTAATAACGCGGTAGGAAGAATGAAGATGCTTTATACCTGTTAGGGTGATTTGCTTGTGTGAGAAACCCTATTGTTTAGATCTTTGTATTGAGTTTTAGGGCTAACTACTAATATAACTACCCTTGATAGTAGCTGTACTCTAGGCTTCTCCAAGCCAGTAGTTAGATCTCTAGTGATACGAAAAAAATACCTCACTGGCTAGTTCCCTGACAAACACTAAGCATCGGAGTCAATCAGCTCAGTAGCGAGTCATCACAGATCCGTCTGGTCTTCTAGACCTCACAATACACACAGTTGCAATCACAGTCGAATTCAGATCAAATATCCTTTTGCGATGCTATTTCTTTGACAGAAGGACACCGGATAAACTGTCGTTGAGTACTGATAAATTTGTGAGGTTACAAGATCATTGGCAGGGGCTGAAGATAAAGTCATTGGCGAGAAGAAGTGGAGTTGTCTTTTTGGTTTTCGGTTTTGTATGAGACAAATTAATGAATCAGAGTGAAAGAATCGAGGAAGCATACGAAGAGATGGTTACAGTATTTGATAATGTGCCAGTATAGTGATTAGAAAATACAAGGTCCTATTTTGAGGCCCCTTTGATTGAAGAACAGATGTCGAGTTGGTAAATTGGGTAGGCTGACGTTTCAGGGTTGGACGGAATTCAGTATTTTCATTGAATTCAGGCGGAACCTCTGGTAATTATTTCCTAAGAGGATCGCTGATTTTTAATTTTGCTAATGGGGAGTATAGTATTATCTACTCCTCAGATAACATTTCACCTATTGCAATGGAAAACGAACTACCGCCTTTTTTTTTTTTTTTTGCTAATGGGAAGTATATTATAATCTACTGACTATATACCTATTGCAATGGATAACACACCATTATGGTCAAACCGTTAACCGCCTTTAATCTCGAGAAAACAAATTTTGGTATTTTTGATTACATAATTAATGTTATAACCAGTATATTGTTTCTTTTCTTCCAATCACCATAAAGTAGGGCTCTTTGGCCGAGCGGTTAAGGCGGTAGACTCAAGTTCTACTATCGTAAAGATGCACGCGTTCGAATCGCGTAGGAGTCACTATTTTTTTGATTTTTTTGCAGTATTGGACCACTTCCCACAAGTTCACGCTTTCATCGGTTACTTGCTATCGACTTGTTCCCTTGCTAGCACTACTTTATGATGTGCTTGGAACACCTTCAAAACGTGCGATGACATAGTGCAATTATTTCTGTGATGATCATTCATACCCCAGCACTCCATAAATTAATGCACGTGACAAATACGTCATGGATTTTCATTTCTTTTGTCCATCCGAGGGTTCTAATTCCTTGGGAAGTGCATGCAGTATATATATTGTTAGATTCCGGGTGACTTGTTATTCAATACCACAGGCCGATCGGAACCTTAATCAACATCATTACTATTACTATATTATCGTGATCACCTGCCTAGCATATTCTATTACTCCCCACTGTTAATGCCCCTTGATACTTAATGGCTGAAAGACGTTTATTTAAGGAATACAAACTGTACACCAAGAACCCTCCACACAATCAAAATCATCAAATTGTTTCTTTAGAGCCTACAGGTGACGAGGATAACTTGGACATATTTGAATGGTTGGCAGTAATCTCCAAACCTGCCCGTAGTGACTCCCAGTTCTACTACAACGGAAAGTGGAAACTTCAAATCCGCCTAACCTCGAAGTATCCCTTACTGCCACCAACCATTCGTTTCATCACCCCCATCAACCACCCTAACATCAAGTTTGAGACTGGAGAAATCTGCTTGGATATTCTAAAGCAAGATAATTGGTCCCCAGCCTGGGATTTAGAACATTTGGTGGTAGCAATTTTGATGTTGCTTGATGATCCAGAACCCGATTCCCCACTCAATATCGACCTGGCCAATCTTTATCGACACGATAAGGTTGCATTTGAAAGCATAGTGCAATACACCATTTGGAAAACTCAATCCTTTCTCTTAACCACTGAAGATCCGATGCGAACTGGAATCAAAGATCCAGAAAAAGAGACGGAACTTACAACCGATGCCCCAACTCCCGTCAAAGAGCTCGATTCAACCATCTCTCAACTAGAATTATTGAAAGAACAAATCAAACCTCCGGAAGGTATAGATCATCCAAAACCTTTGAGAACCAAATCATCCAATTTGAAAGTTATCCATGACGTTGGCGAGGAGGTTACAAAACAATTCATAGCCAAAGTGAACGAAATAGGCCATCATTCGGCTTCATCATCGCTGGATTTCACTGATAATGATAACGATTTGGATCCTGTGCGTGAGCAAGTGGCAAAGAATGTAACGAAACAGGTCGAGAGATTATGTTCACAGTCAGCATCCCCAGATCCAGATGAACACTCCGATCCTGAAAAGAGCGAGGAGGCAAGGTTAAAGGATGAAACAGTTGAAAAAGTAAGACAGCAATTTATAAAGCAAGTTGATGATAAGGTAAATGAAGTCCGCAAGAAGCAAGAAGAGTATCAATTATCTCGGAAGAGGAAGCATTAGAGACTATAGACACACATCTGAGATGTATGATAATTAATGAATTTAAATGAAGAACTGTAGTTCTGTAGTACTTGCACCACGTTATACAGGCACTTCTTCAGTTCTCCGACGTCGACTTGACAAAGAACACAAGTCTAGGTAGTGAAGGGGGCTACAGTGATCGGTTTCTTCTTTGAACTGTATTGGTCTATAAACCTATACCATGCTATCTATGGACTTGTCAGATGACAGATCCAGCTTGTATTTTACAATCGAAATTCCGAAATGCTCCCCTAACGCAATCTTCTAGCTTCTCTTTCAGATTCCATCAAAGAAAGGATGTCGTTTTCTCTGACTGGGCCCTTGACGTTTCTGACGATAGTTCTAGAAGCGTCTTCCAAGAACTCGACTCTGACTTGGGTGACACCACCTCTAGAACCGGTTCTTCCTAACACCTTGATGACCTTGGCTAAAGTGACTGGGGTTTTAGTATCCATTTTGCTGTTGTACGAAGGAATAAGATGGGAACGTCGGTGAAAAACTTCTCATGAGCAGTGGGTGATGTCCGGGTAATTTACAGCGCCCAGGCCTGCCCATGAGAAAGAACGTGCATTTTGGCACGTGACAACGAGACTTCCCGTTGCCCGGAATGTTCCTGTACCCGCGCTGGTAGCGAGCTACTACAGCGTATTGTGTCTGTCCCCATCACGTGCATTTGTTTCACATTGACAGCATAGGGGCCACGACAGCCGAGCTTTACCCTTTGCTTCAGCCGCTTCAAAAACCCCGAATACACCCCACGTACTTCATCTTCGTACACCTGAATCGACAAGCCCCACCGTTCGATCACTATCGCCCAATTGCTAAATCCAGTTTCCTCGCTTAGCTCTGTCTATATACAGTACTACGTATATAAACAAACCTACAGCCATCTTAGTTGGCACAACGCATCACTGGCGCTTCTGAACGTGTCTACAAAGGGGAAGGCAAATATGGTTGTCGGAGAGTCCAGATCAGACCTTTTGGCGTGGTTAAACAGCACACTCGAGTTGAAGTACAACCGAATAGAAGAATGTGGGAAAGGAGCAGCCTTTTGTCAATTAATGGACTGTATATATGGAGGGGTACCAATGGCGAAGGTCAAATTCGACGCTACCACGGAGTATGATTATCGTCAGAATTGGAAGATATTGCAGGCAGCATTCACCAAACATTCGGTCACCAAGGTCATTGATGTGGAGCGGTTAATCAAATGCCGCCTACAGGACAACTTGGAGTTACTACAGTGGTTTAAGCGCCAATGGACAGAGAACAAAGGGGTGAATGATAATTACGATGCTAGAGCAAGAAGAAAGGGAGGTGCCAGTGCAGGGAACGGCGTACCGAACGCAAGACCCGCGGCTGTCACTAGAGCATCAGTGAGTGGATCTAGATCCTCATCTACATCCTCCTCCACTCCCACTTCGAGGAGAACTACAATAAGTAGTACTCCTATCAGTCCCAAAATTGTAAATAGTCAAGCAGCACCGAGAAGAGTGTCATCTGGAAACAGAACATCAAGTGCTCCACAAACTCCACAGCAAAACTCAACTAAAGTGGCACAGTTGAATAAAGAGCTATCCGAGGCAATGTCTGAAGTCGGGCAATTAAATGAAGAGCTTCAAGAGTACAAGTTGTCAGCGGAAACGTTGGAAACAGAGAGAAACTTCTACTTCAACAAGCTCCGTGAAATCGAAATTTTGGTACAGAACATTAACGATTTGATTGATGCTAACAATTTTGCTCAATTGAAGGAATTAACTGTGGTGGATTTGAACAAAAAGATTCAAACAATTCTATACTCAACAGAAGAAGGATTTCAAACAACACCAATCGAGGACGATATCGACAACAGCCTTCTCCATGAGCATCAAAGCACAGATATTGATGCAGACATGCTGCTCCCCGAGCCAGCAGATGACCTTGATAACGACTCCTTCTAGCTATGTACCAATAATTCAATGAAACTACTCCTGGTGTAGAAGTGCTATGGAAAAGTCATAAACGATCACGTGACGCATGACACCAACGCGTTCAATGCAAATACCATGCCAGTGTAACAGACTTCCCCACTAGTTCCAGCTCAGATAATTACATAACCAAGGCTTCTAGTACCCTCAGTAAACATCCTACTCTTCTAGACACCTATTAAAATTAAACTTTAATTATAAATGACTGCATAGTGTCTCATCCATCTAGAAAAAAATTGTTTCAAAAATCCACTGGACCCTTTCATCAAGATAGATTTTTAAGCATTACAACCACGAAAAAGTGTCTATACACTACAAGCAACACACTCGCAGACATAACGTACCCGAACAATACGTAAAACCAGACCAATTAACGCAGGAATATTGTGGAAGCAAGACAGGTCAGTTAAGAGAGATTGAGAAGTGGTAGTCACAGAGCCCGAGTCCACCCATAAACTTGACAAGAGCCCGAAGCTATTCTTCCAAACAAAGTAGTAATGACTGCTAGCACATACAATAGGAGAAACTCTAGCGCTACGCCATACGTGATACCGGTCAAGCATCAGAACCACATAAATCAACATCAACACCAGCAACATCACCAGCCTCATATTCACCATCCCAGTCATCATCACTCGAACAACCAGCATGGAATAAACAACACTCAACACACATCCCAGCTATCCACTTCTGTGCCCACACTTTCAAGAGAGTTTGTTGTCAGAAGAATTAGTGAAGGAGAAAGCGGCAGGTTGAAGGAAGAGCTCCGGTGTGAAGCTTGTGGTAAAGGGTACAAACATATCTCATCATTGGCCAAGCATTTATGGGAGCACACACCTGAATGGAATGTCACCAAGAAATTGTTGATCTCCAAGCACCAGCAGGTGCAGCTTCTTGAAGCTGCTAGTATATTGGTGGGGATGAATGACAACCAAAGTACCAGTGCCGGGGGTACTAGAAGAAACTCATATATAGACGGTTCAATTCCTCCAACCTTTAAATCTGCGTTCAACGGCGGAATATCGGAAACATACGACCCCAAGCACAAAAACAAGGTGTACAAGAGATCCCACTCTGTTTCACAGTACCCTCCCTCATCAGCCCACAGTTATCACGGCTCTGGATCGCCAGCAGGGATTGGAGGGTACTTGGACCACCCAAGGAGGGAACACGGAATCAAGGGAAGATCGAACTCGATTGCTGGGAACGGTCAAGACGGGGTAGATTATGATGAGGATCACTTGAAGTCACCTGCGTCGTCCTACCACAATACTGCAGTTCACTTCCAGGACTCACCCCAAGTGTTATCACCACGCCAGGGACAGGAAGTAGATAGAATCGAGTACGCCCAGGAACACGAGGATGATGAAGTGGGGATCATAGGAAAAATGGAGACATAGGATAATATAGGATTCACCACTAGCTGTTGGTAAGGTAGGAAGTGTAGTTTAGAAATAGCACGTTGAATTAGGGCTGTTATCTCTAGAGACTATGTGCAGTACCGCACAGGAGTATTTAAGAGGAAAATTTTCTGAGTTAGGTCACCACGGACAAGAATCAGACACTTTGTTTTGGCAGGGTCAGAGCCTAGGCGCCTTTGGGTGTCCTTGGTTCGCACAGACGTCCCGACACCTTCTCTGGGAGAAATCCTGGACGAGCCGTTTTGGCAAGTCAATTGAAGCGAGACACGTCTGGTTCGTTCGAATAGCAAAAGTGCATCATAGTACATCAAAGGAATGGCCTACTCTTTGGTGTCTCCAAGAACACGAACATGTGTAGATTAAGCGATATTACCATGGCATACGATGTGCCGAAAGGTACTATATACAAGAGGTTTGGCGTGAGCCACATGTCCCACTGGAAGTATGTACGGGGTTTGAAAACTCTGGCCTGTTAGGCCATGACAACTGACAGCAGAGCTACTGGGAGGTATCCTCCCCTCTGATGATCTCCAGGTTCAAAGGCTGGATCTTCTCGAGCTTTTGTCTCAATTCAATTTGTTCTCTGTGTTCCAACTCGTTAGCCTTCATTTTCTTGGTCATCTGCCTGGCCTCGATTCTGGCAGCGTCCTTGATGGGGCCCTGTCTGAAAGCCTCTCTTTCGAGCTGCTGCGAGTAGTTGATGAAGATGAAGGCGCCGACGGCGGAGACGCATGTTAACCCGAAGGTCACTTTGGAGGCTGTGGACATGATGGTGGAGAATAAAAATGTCTGATCTTCCTATATCATTGGCAAGGTGCGCCTTATGTAAGCGTGTGGGTGCCCCAATGAGGCTCTTCCAGAAACGCCCCGGACCTAAGCTCACGACAGCCTGGCGTTCGACACCTCTCCATGGCCTCGCTTGGAGTCGAGTGTGGCAGCATCCCCCCACGTCACCACCGTTAGGGTGTCTGTAGTTCTCAGTAAGTGCCATCCCCCAATTACTGGTCAGTGGCCCGTGACCCTCACTGCAAGGCACACGTGAGTCGGAAAATGATTGAATCCGTGATCGTTGCCCCCAACGTTGTCAGTGTGTTCGTTAGCAAGCAGTGACCTAGCGACAATTCGTCTTCCACTCCCATTTGCCACCTTTGAGAGTTGCCCCTACCAGCATTCCCGCTATCAGTAATCATTTGTCCAACGAGTGGCCGAGCATTCAGGGAGAAAAAAAACATCCGCTACAGGCAAGATTAGACAGTTAATTGCGATTGTATATCAATTGTGTTGTCGAATTCGTACGTATAAAACATCCCGATTTGCTCGATACCGCCATCATGGGTGCGGTACGACACTACTGTGCCGTTTTCATGTGCCAGCCAGCGCTTCTGGGCCAATTACCATCCACACCAAGCACCACTAACCAACAGGCTAGATCAAGTTTATGTCACTTAAAAACCACACCATCTAACTTCTGCGCAAAGTCTCCATGAGCTCGCAATACAATGATTCCTCCACAACGCTAGAGCAGGCGTACAACCGCTCCCACTCGCCGAGTGCCAAAACAGATCTCCTCGATGGTGCTGAAGCCAAGCCAGCGTCCAAGGTCGACAGTTCGGGGCCGGTGCCATTCCACAACCCACCCAACCAAATGTCGAACTTGACGAAGACGCTCCTCTCCTCGTCACAGACGTCGTCCATGTCATCCAATCTGGTCCACCAAGTGCACCCCAGTCTGTTGGACCAGGGCGCCCCTGCAAATCCACCCAGTTACGGCTCGATGTCTTCCAGCTTTAACAACAGCAGAAGCAACCAGCCACCGCAAATGTCCATCCCGTACCAACAGAATTCATATCAAAGCGGTAGCTTCCACCAGTACAACACACCCATCAATGACTCAATAAACTATATCCCTTCAAGTCACAACACCCCCACAATGGTGAGCAGCTCATACTCTTCCAATCACTCGGTGACACCGTCCGTGCACACTTCAAGTTTCGTACCTCCGGCAAACAATTTTCAGCACTTGCACCCCAATTCTTCTAGTTACAAAGCTCCTGGAATTGTGCCGCATGCCATTCCTACTACTAATATTTCAATGGATTCGGCTAGTTCTCGCGATCACTCGTTATCCTTCCAACCAAGCAGCAGTTTTGGGGATCATGCTTCTCCTGGAGTCTACATTCCTCAGCTGCAACCTCCTTCCCACCTCAATCTGCATAGATATCCAAACTCTTTACCAGTTAATGGTGGTAACGGTTCTAGTATTCAAAATCAGAACTCGTTTTTCAATAATAGAGGAGTCCATGGCCTGTTCTCAAAAAGCACTAATTCTAATCTTACTCCGGTGGGGAGTCATCAGAATCAAACTTCCACATCCACGTTTCAACCTGGTTCTCAAACTCAATTGCCCCAAAATCTGTCATCTATGGAACCAGACCACTACATGTCTTACAAAGAATTCTTGCATAACTTGTCCACAAAGGATGGTGCTGGTTCACCTTCTAATATATCTTCAACCGGGAACAACATCAATGATGCGCAAGGATCTATGCATGAGGAGCATTTGAATATCGTTGATTATCCTGTGAATGATTTGATCGTGATGCTATCATGCTTGCTAACCAAAATTATTGAGGCTAATGATAAGTTGCATCCAAATCATTTCGATAATACCATTGCTATAAGACAGCGTATGAAGGAAGAAAAGAGGGTAAAGAAATTGGAAAGAACCAAACTTCGGGAAGAAAAAAGAGCAATGAGAGTGAAGTCGCAAAAAGATGAAGATGGCGACGATAAAATAGATGTTGACATCGACGAGTCTCAGACATATCACAATAATACCATTGAAATAGATGAAGTGCCAGATGAGTCTGAAGATGATGAGGAGCTTGATAAGGAAGACGAAGATGATGAGATGAAGAATAAATATTTGGCTAACGTGTTAGCATTCCATGGAACCAACGTTCCAGGAATCTCGTTGCATGCCTATTTGGCCAGAGTTTTAAAATATTGTCCTGTTACGAACGAGGTTTTTCTTTCGCTACTTGTGTACTTTGATAGAATTGCCAAAAAGGCGAACAACTTGAAGCTGAAAAAGAAGGAGTCCGAAAAAAATGGAGAGGAAAGTTCGAATGAAAGTGAACAATTGTTCGTGATGGACTCTTACAATATTCATCGTTTGATTATTTCTGGGATTACTGTTTCTTCCAAGTTCTTTTCCGACATCTTTTACAAGAACTTGAGGTATGCCAAAGTAGGAGGGCTACCATTAGAGGAATTAAATTACCTTGAGCTTCAATTCTTGTTATTGTTGGACTTCAAGCTCATGATCAGCGTGGAGGATTTACAAAACTATGGTGATTTATTGTTAAGATTCTGGAAGAGAGAACAGCTCACCAATGAATTAGTCCACCCAGATGCACCCAAGACAAGTTAGTTGGTTGGGCTACCTCTCGTTTGGTTCACTTTGTAGCAGTTACTCCCAAGCTCTATGTTTAGACAGTCAGGACTCCAGAACCATAAATAAATATTTCACGTCAATGATAGTAATCTAAGCTACAGGAATCAGGAAGTAGCTCCAAATTGTAGTATTATATTGAAAAATGGCCTTGCCGGTGATACTGTGGCTACAGTTAGTTTGTTCCTTTGAGCTGAGATTTCTCTATGAGTAAAGCTAGAGAGACCCTATGCGCCTGGCCTATTGTATTTAATCTGGTCGCCAAAATTGCATTGTTCAGGTGAACAATGTATTCTAAGACTAGCGTGCTTGAAACATGGTTAGAACCACCAAAACTATTACTCAATTACTAAGGGCTTACTTGCATTTTGATACTATGTAAGTGTGTAGTTATTTTGAATGATGTCTCACAAGTGTGGAAAAGAAAGATAGAAGTGCTCAATAATTGCCTGGTAAACTCGGAGAATGGGACAGGTCACAGATTAGTGTTTGAGCTTCGAATATTATTCTAGTGGATAAGCCAATTGAAGCTTTTAGCTAGTGCCCTTCAGACCCCAATGGATACGATAATCTGCAGCTAGGGTCGAGTATAGTAAACAACTACACCAGATAAAAACAACACAAATCAATATCAATACCGAGGATTATCACAATCAGTAAAAGTTACAAATCACCAGTACTATTGTTCATTGGGCACTGGGTGGTTACTCCCGAGCCCCCAAACAATAATTGTTTACTCCGTTCGCTTCTGCAGTCTCGAGTATGAATGGTTGCTATCAATAATGCATGGAAATCCCTTCAAGGGGTCCTATTCCTTCAAGGGGTCCTAATCCTTGAACTATGGCGAATTGAGATTCCAAACTCTGATTATGAGCTGACGGTTCGACTAGAATGTACGCCTGGATAAGTGAACCATTCTTTTGAGCATTTTGCCTTTTAAGCCTTATTGTACTCTGAAATTGCTTACAACATCTTGAATCCATTCATTTCATATATTACAAATGTAGAAACCTCTACATAGGGGATCCAATTATATAATCTAGAGTTTACCCTTACATAACCATTTTCTAGTTGCAAGCACATCCACCGAGCCATGTCAGAATCACAATTGAATGAACTATTTTCAACATGGGCACCCTCTTCTATCCCCACAACGACTATCCCACTCACCACTATCAACCCATCCCATTACTCGAGCATCGTTAGCCATGTGGCCCTGATCACTTCAGCTGCTGCCACCGAAACTAACTCGGTCTCTCTATACTTCCTAGCGCAAGACATGAGAAGCGCCATGGCTGCCCTCACCATTATAAGTGGCCAAAAATACTTGGCCACAGCCACAGAAACCCAGCAGTTACCCATGGTGACTTCTCAACTAGTCAATGCAACTTTGAACTTGCTTGACATAGATAACGAAAATAATTTGTATGGTATGAATCCAAATAGGATCGCCAACATTTTATTCACCGTGTTGTTTGGCATTATCTTCTTAGCACATACGGGTATTGGTATTTTTACTAAGCAGACTTACTTCACCGCTTGTTTCTTTTGTGGAACCTCTCTAGAGTTTGCAGGCTACTTGAGTCGGATTTTGGCCCACAACCACGAAACTGATGAGAATCTCTTCTTGTGCCAAATAGTTACGTTGACAATGGCTCCAGCATTCATCATGGCCGGAATATACTTTCTATTGGCACAGGTGATAGTCATTTATGGGCGGAACTGTTCTATCCTACCCCCTCTTTGGTTTTCTTACGTATTTGTCTTCTGCGATGCTATGAGCTTGTTAGTGCAAGCAATAGGCGGAGGAATGGCATCCGTGGCATTACATCGCAGGGCAGCACTCGGCCCAGGAACACACGTAATGTTAGGAGGTATATGCTTTCAGGTCTTATCTATGTCTTTGTTCTTGATACTTCTCTTTGATTTTTATATTCGATCTTATTTCAAGGTCAACAGAACTGTCAGATTTGGGTGCAAAAATTTTTTCAGCCTTTTATTACACAACAAAGATGGTCAAATATTGAGAAGTCAACTAGAACCTCATTACAACCCAAAATATAGCACAATCCGAACTAGACATTTGTTCAATCATATACCCTTGGTCCTCCTCGTGGCGACCATTTTTGTCTACATTAGATGTGCTTACAGGGTCGCAGAATTGAGTGAGGGCTGGAATGGTTACTTGATTCGAAGAGAAGCATTTCCCATGACCTTGGATGCACTGCTAATTTGCCTCACATCTGCTTTATTTCTTGTCTTCCACCCGGGTTTCATGTTTGGAAAAGATATTGAAATCTCGGTGACGACTGAGAAGAAGAGTGTTTTCGAGAAATTCGATGACCACGAGGGTCCGATAGAAATTACAACCAGTTACCCAGAGGAAGTCAAAACAGATCACTTCTCTCAGCTGACGTGGCCCAAGTGGTAATATAGTTGAAGAATCATTATAGCGTTATTATTAAATTAAAGATGTAGTGCAAAGAATCCATGTGAAGTTGAAATTAAGAGTAGGAAGTTGCAGCCGTAAAGGTAATCGAGTCCTCTGGTTTCCGCCACCAGCAGTATCTATCAAGTGCCAGTTCTACTTGGCTCTAGGTATCCAAGCGGGAGCGTTCTTAACACAGTAGTTATCGGCACATCCACATTCTTTCACCTTGCTGACATCTGTTTGTGAATCTTGAACAATTAAGCATGGGTGATATGAAGGAACTTGTGGACTTGAGGACTGTTTCAGTGGTGGGATATAGGTGTTCTCCATGTAATGCGATAAGCGAGTAGAGTCCATGATGTGGGTAGCGATAGTAGCAATTCTAAGTTTTGGTTGGTGTCTAATAGACTCAAGTTAAGATGGTTCCATGCTAAATATTTATACGTTCCCCATCGGGAAGCATGGGCCGGCTTATCATGTATACTCACTGATAAGCCAAGTCAAGGCGCAATTCCACAACTTCAAGGAGATGACTCAGAGATAAGGGAAAAGTGGGAGCAACACCGCAGTAGACCACTCCTTCATATCCTTCTGTCCAGACCAGCCAAGCACCCCAGGTTGCAATGTCAGTGCTTTGATAACATACTGGGCTATGATCCATCCCGCGCCTTTCGGGATGAGAGTTCCGTCAAGCCTTTGTGGAAATATATGTGCGGATACAATTCCTGCAAAGACTCGGTAAAAGATGGAAAAAAGCGGATAGGCTATAGAAGGACAACCTTATGCATGAAGTGTCACGGAAACGTTTACCGAGATGTCCAAAGCATGAAGTTGGTGGAGACTGGATTGGCCTGGATCTTGGTTGGAACTGGAACGCCAATATGCAGGTTTATAATCTCGTGTGATTGACCTTACTTTGAGATGTGCAGATGGGCGAAACAGAAAGGATGGGAGAGAATAGCACTGGTAAGGATACCTAGCCACCTGATGCTTCAGTCTGCTAGTATCCCAGTCCGGCCATTGTACCGGTTACAAGTAGGTTTCCGAGTAATGTTCACAAACCATAAATCTCATAAACGGTAAAGTGGGTTCTACAGTAAAATTGGTGATCAAACGTGTATGTATTAGTGATAAAAGAATTTACATAGAAGTTACCATCGAAACCAACGACTAAATTACAATCATGATGTGACTCGTTTATTTCTTACCGGTCTTCTTGGCGGCCTTCTTTTCCTTTTCTTGTTGTTCCTTCAAGACTCTCTTGACAATCTTTTGTTCTTCAATCAAGAAAGCTCTGACGATTCTTTCCTTGACACAGTTAGCACATCTGGAACCACCGTAGGCTCTTTGGACGGTCTTGTGGGTCTTGGAGACGTTAGCGTATTCTCTTGGTCTCAAGGTGGAGATACCAGCCAAAGCGATACCACAGTCACCACACTTGACTCTGGAAGCAGTCTTCTTGACGTGTTGAGCAACTAATTTACCACCTGGGGTCTTAACGACCTTAATCTTGTTAGATTTGGTGTTGTCTATAATGTTAGTATATGTGATCAGATCATATCAGGGATAGTCTTCGAGGGGGTTTGATGCTGAATGAGTGTGGGTACTTTTCCATTTCATGCTGTGATTTGTACTTCTTGTCAACTTCCACTTGGAACTTATTTGGTGTCCACCATCAAATTTTCACTTTGTTCATTTTGGGTAGGGAATGTCATTCAATCCACTCTCTTGACGTATCCATTGCCTGTTGGCTATCCCTACATACATGGATTTCTTCTTCTGAAAGTAACACGTTGAGCCATCTTGAAGTCGATATATGCTTTAAAGTAAACCTTTCAAAAAGAGCTTCAAAACTATTTTGTATATTTGAAAAAGCCCGACCCAGGTACAAAATTTTCGACTCTGCGTGAGCGTGCTAGTGGGGGCGAAAATTTTTGGGGATGTGTGCAGGGAGAGAGTGCGATGGCAGCAATGAGTCACGTGAGAAATTCAAGAAGAAAGGGCTAGAGCCCTAGACTCGAGAAGAACGGATAAAGTACGGCTGAGGGACACCTATAATTATCGCAGCCACTTGAGCTAGTGGATGAATCATGCAACGAGGCCGTGTTAGAACGGGAGGGGAATAATAGATTCAGGGGCCTAGCAATAGCCCAATTTTGCGCTAAAAGATGGTACCATCTGCGTGACTTTAATTAGCCATTTATTCTGGTCTATATAGCCTCTGGAGGAGCGGATTAGCCTGCGCTTCTAGCGCATTAGCTTGCTGCTCTACAACTTGGGGTCTTCCTTTTCCACGGCAACGACCTCCATTTCCAAGTCGACGCCCAATGGCAACTCCTTGACAGCCACACACGATCTGGCAGGCTTCATCTCATCGAAGTACTTACCATAGACAGAGTTGAATGGGGCGAACTGCTTCTTCATGTCAGTCAAGAAGATGTTGGCCTTGACAACATGCTTCAACGAAGAGTTGGCAGCCTCCAAGATGTTGGACACGTTTTGAATCACTTGCTCTGCCTGTTCCTCAATAGAAGCACCGGCTGGCAATGGCTTGTTTTGGGCAGTGTATGGGATCTGGCCAGACACATAGACGAATCCTGGAGTTAGTAGGCACAAGCAGTTTTGGCTCAATTATATTGATACGTACCGTTGATCTTGACTGCCTGTGAATAAGGGGCAGCTGGGCCTGGGGCGGTAGCGGTCTTAACCTGGTGCTAGTGTTAGTATACCGTGCCATTGATGGACGACCAATGGCCACACACGTACTGGGGTGAAGGAAGACATTCTCTTTGCGGTGAACTGTAATGATCTTGGAATAGCACTTCTTAATTGATTGCTGAACATTATGCTGTGGGGATGGAGTGGGCGTTTGGACCCCGGAATTTGCCATGTAGGGTCGTGCGAACGGGGCTGGTGGAAGCCCGAGTCGCTGCAGAGTCACCACCAGGGTCTACAGAGTCACCAGGACGTTATATGCAATTCGTTACTAGATATTTGGCTACTTCCTCTTCTTTCGATTCTTTTTCTTGTTGCTTTTCTTGGGCTTGGTAGACTTGGGCTTGGTGTTGTCGACGCCCGCTGGCGTTGCGAGGAATTCGGCGCTGAATTCGGCATCTGCAAACTCATTTGCGGCTGCTTCATGGCTAAGCGAGGTGGGCTTCACCTCGTTTTGTCCCGTAGAGATCACAGTCTCGAACTTTTCGAATAGGTACTCTGCAACAAACTCGATTCTGCACAAGGTATTAAAGTACTCGAAAAACATGGCAAAATGCTGTTGGATGTTCTTCAACTCATTGTTGTTGATGCCCGACTCCTTGGGTGTTAATACCATTCCAAGATACAACTCGAACTTCCTTGCAAGATTTGCTATGAGCTTCATGTCGCTCTCATTATTTTCCAAATATTCAGATACCTCTTGGGTACGAAGTGTCTGGAACTTCTCAAGAAGCTCGATTTGAGCTGCCATCGTAGATTCACCCAGTTCACTGCCTATCACTTCAGTGACTTCATCATCCCGCTTGTCCTCATTGTAGTTTTTGACCATGAAAAATAGCCGTCTTGCTTCAGGTAGTTTCCCCACCCAATTGATGAGTAAAACCTGCAATTCGTTTCTGTAGTCATGAATATCATCATCGACCCCTTCGGCGTTTTTGGGGCGGTTCAAATCTATAATACCTATTCTCATGAGCTGGTTGATCATGAGACACATTAGCGACATATACTTCATTGCGATGGACTCGGCCAAAACAACTTTGTATCCATCATCAATTTCAATTCCTTCTGTGGATGAAAGGTACATGCTACTGTTGGTGAGAAACTCGTGAAGTAACATCAGCCGTTCGATTTCACTCAACTCTAGCTTGTCTCCCTTTCTCGTGAAATTGTACGGTGCTTGACCCTGATTGGAACCCCTAATACCGACTAGGAGCTCAAAGACATAGTCAATCAATAACGTAGAAAGGTTCAAATTATGGGTAAGGAACCAAATTAGCACTCTTCTGTAACCATTACACATCAACATTTCATCCATTAAACATCTAGCAAGCTTGCTATTGTTATGGAGAAAAATCTCAAATCTAGTGATACTGAGAATCGGCACTATTAATTTGTTATTCTCTTGTGTGATCTGAACTGATTTCTCTGTAGCTGATGTTAGCCAGTATTGGTATATTTTATCTGGAGTTATGGCAGACTGGGAGACTTCTGATTTCTTCAGGTCATCGGATGCATGTAAGTTTTCAACTTCTTGCTTAATAGCCTTAGATATGGAATTAATAACAACTTGACCAAGCTTGGTTTCGGATTCAACGTCCCCTTCAATACTAGTTGTACTCAAATACTCAAACGTCTCATACAACTCGTTCCACGAATTAAAGAAATCATCCGAATCTTGCTTGTTTTGCAGTTGCTCATATTTCTCCAACTTTGTCAAAAACCATTCTTGAAACTCACTATTTTGACCTCTTGGAACATCTCTCCAATCTCTACCTTTGTCATCAAACTCAATTGAAGTAGAATCAGGCGATCTCATAGCTGCTTGTCCATCTTGATCTTTAATCTCATTGGAACCGTGGACCATTTCATTTGTACCATTATTGATTTTCCTATCATCGGTCTCTTCGTCTTCTACCAAATGCTCAGAATCTTCATCCTCACCTTTTTCCCACTCGTCTTCAAACTCATATTCAAATATGTACCTGATATCTTCATCAAACCTATCCTCATACTCAAGGTCTATTAAAATATCGCCCAACTCGGTTATGGGTTTGATTCTATTGAGTCTGCGCGTGGCTTCATCTTCATTTGCAGAAGGCTCTTCCTCCTTCTGATACAATCCCGGTGTATAGGAAATACCGGTGTTAATAATCAACAATCCGATGATAACTAATCTCATATCGATCAGTAGACTTCCACCATTAATCTTCTTTCTGAGTATTGGTTGTATAAAATTTAGCAAAGACTCCTTCTTCATGTCATTAGTCTCGAGTTCCTCTATATCCGTTATGTCTTCGTCGTAGAACAGTGAAGGGTTTTGGTTGATAATCCAGGACAAGATATACCTTATGGATGAAGAGCCTTTTAGAGTTTGTTTGACGATTTCAGGGGTATCCATCATTTCTCCCTTTTCATGATTATCAAATTCGATTCTTCGATCAATTTCGAGACCTAAGAGAATGATGTTGGTATGACATTTCCACAATTTGAGTAGGTAGTGAAGGTATGGATTTACCATTAGATTGTACGGCACCGAATCGTCGGTAGGTTTGAATAATTTGTAGATCCCCAAGATCAAAATACATGCGATTGAGTAGATTAGTTTTAAGTTGAATTCCTCTAAATCCAACGGAGGTTTGGGCGTCCACTGTGGAAGGTTCTGTGCCCAATGCTCTTCATCATTATTGACATACCTTGTTCTGAGCTCGTTTTCAGCGTTTAATACACGATGGATGAACCTCAACAATTTGAAAAATGCAAGGGAAAGCTCAAACTTGATGGACTCGATGTCCACCCTGACAAAGTTAACTTCCAGGTGGTTGTCTTGGACATATTTGGTGTAAGACAAGGCAATGAGAAAGTCAGACACGGCGTCAACGCTGAGCACAGACTCCTCGGTTTCCTCAGGCTGAGTGAAAGGGTCACATAGCGATGCCGCCGTTTCGAAGATGAACACTAGCAAGTCATCATCCTTGGGCAACCCGATTATGCTGGATATTTTGGCGTGTCTCTTGACGAGGTTTTGGGTGATTGAGTTGATTGGCAACGGGAAGTCGAACTCCACCACTTTTTGATCTTCATCTATTTCGTTGTCCAGCATATCATTGGGGTGGTGGTGGTGGTGATGGCGATGAATTGGTGCCAGAGAGTGTGCAACAAAAGCGGGAATGAGCTACGCGAGAGGGAAACGGTCAGTTGATGTTCAGATAGAGCTTCGGCTTTGTCTCCATTCGACGATGGAGTGGTGTGAATGGTGCTGATTTGAAGACCCAAGCGCTTTCGCTCGGAGCAGTAGTGTGAGACAATTGGAGTGCACTGGGTAGTGTGGCCATTGGCACCAACAAGTGCGAGACAGAAGGATGGCCACGGTGGGCCAATAGCAGCTCAGGGGCCAATCAAAGGTACTAGGCTTACAGTGCTACAGAATAGGATCTCATAGTACATGTTTCGAATTGGCGTACTTGGGACTATATTTTATGGTATACACAATAAATAGGGTTATATTAAATTGCAAACTAGGCCAGAATACAAGTCTGGCGGTTTGTCTGACGGAGAAGTTGGGGTAATAGCGGGCATGGAACGATCATGGAGATCAAGCGTAAGACGATATTCTGAACACCTGTTGTAAACCTTTTCCGAAAATCCCTCTGACCTTAGAAGCATCGCTTCTGGAGTACGCAACCAAGGTTGCCAAACTGAGCGAGAATACCAAGCTCTCGATTTTTAAGTTGATCTTGGAGGGTTCCGAAGGTACAAAGGTTCCCAAGGCTCTTGGAGCCACAAACAAAGCCAACTCCTTACGACGCTGGATGTTTTCTATGAAGCACGAAAAGCCACAGGCAATGGCACCGGCGGTGGGGGCAATGGTGTCGTCCCACCTTTCTCTTGCGACCTTAGGGAATACCTTAGGAAGAACTCTGGTTCTTGCCAAGCATACCGCATACCAGTAGAAACCAATGAAGGTTCCCAAGAAGCACGAGGATCTCAAGGAAGATTGGATGGCACGCACAATTCTCACTTGCATGGTGACATTCTTTTTGGGAATCAAGAGCATGATGGCATTCAAAGGTCCGTAGAGCTTGATGGCAAACTCAAACCCTCTCCAAAATCTCCACAACGCATGTAGCTCACAGTTTTTGGTTTGGAAAGCATGCACGAGTTCACAATCAATTGGCACCGTCTCTTTCATGTTGATTCTTTTACGGTCCTGACCGTACCTGTCACAGTAAGGATACAACTCTTCCTGTAATCCTGGGGTATACTCCCCATACTTCATGGTTTTCTGCTTGACAGCTCTCAACAAGGTAATGAGCTCCGGGTCCATGTTTGCAGCCGAGGTGATCCACTTGGCGTACGCTGGAGGCAAGTTTTCCGGGTAAAAGAACCAAGCATACATGATGAAAATACACGAGCCAATGAAGAGACCTCCATCACCAAGACCGGCCATTTGGGACGGCAATGAACCCGACAACGACGAAGACAACGCGGTATCCACCGCTCTAGTGACCAACAAGAGGGTGAGATCCAACGAAAAGTATCTTCCGTATCCCAAGATATGGTTCTGGTATCCCGGGAACGCGATCAAAGCCGAAACCAACGACGACACGAAAGTCGACAAGAAAATGGCGTTGACAGGACCCTTGTGCTTTCTCAACACCCGATACGCGACAGGCTCCAAGATGTTGATACACGCCACCAAGTTAGCAGCAAACATGGGGAACTTCTTGGGGTGGAACGCATTGACAAGAATCTTGAAAGTCCTGGGTAAGATCTCGTTGATCCGACGCTTTCTGATCGACACAATGATATGGTTAATCACTTTCGGAAGCACCACGTACAAGTAAGCAAAGATGAACGCCTTAACCGAGGGATTGACCACCTTGAGCTTGAAGCTATTGAGGAGGTAGAGCACCACCTGCCTGTTGAGCTTTGAGGAGCGACCTGGAGCGACTTTCAACATAGCGAGAGAAGAGAGGTGTGCGTTTGAAAGTTGTACTGGATCCCATGTGATTGTTTCGGTATGGTGCAACTAACATTAAACAAGCGCCACGCTGAAATTCGGGGCTGGGGAGAGCAAAATCGGCAACGGAATAGCTACGAGCGAATGAGAGCACCCTACCAGGGTGGTCTCGTGGCATCATAAGGGCCTGGCCTGGGCCTCTTGTAGCGCCGATCCGGTTGGTGGCAGTAACCCCAAAACAGCCACTGGTGGTGGGCAAGTCACGTGACCGTGTTTAAACGGTGAGTTGGCCGAATCATTTCCGCCCAAATCAACAACCTCCATATTTCAACTCGTCAAGTGGACATCCGGATCGGTACAATTGATTAGAGATACCCACAAACCACGCTATTTCAGCTCTTGAGCTACCATGGTTAAAATCAACGAAATAGCCCGTACGTCTACCTTTGCCTGGAGTCTGGACAGCTTGCCATTATTGGCCACTGGTACGGTTGCCGGAGCCGTCGACGTGGATTTCAGCTCCAGCGCCTCCTTAGAGGTCTGGGACACCTTTTCTGCCACCAACAAGAACGATCCTATCTTCTCGGCCCCAGTGGAAAACCGCTTCTATGCATTGGCATGGTCCAAACCTTTTGAAGGAAGACCAAAAGGTTTACTTGCAGGAGCATTTGAAAACGGAGTGATCGAGTTCTGGGACGCAGAGATCTTGATCAAGTCCAAGGACCTCAAGAAAGCCTCCGTGCACAAGTCTCACAAGCATAGTGGCCCAGTTAAGTCCTTACAATTCAGTCCTTCTCAGGATCATGTTATGGTCTCGGGAGGTGCTCAGGGCCAAATTTTCATTTGGGACACCAAGGTCTTCAGCGAGCCTTTCTCCCCGGGTCAGGCCATGACCCCAATGGATGACGTTACCAGTGTGGCTTGGAATAACTCTATTAGCCATATTATTGCCAGCACTGGCTCCAACGGTTACACCTCTATCTGGGACTTGAAGTCGAAGAGAGAGGTCTTGCACTTGTCTTACAGTGGTCCTTCTGGTAGAGCTAACTTTTCACACGTTGCATGGCATCCTACCCAATCCACCAAGTTGATTACTGCCAGTGATAATGATTCCTGCCCATTGATCTTAACTTGGGACTTGCGTAACTCAAATGAACCTGAGAAGATCTTGGAAGGCCACAAGAAGGGAGTTCTTTCCTTAGACTGGTGTAAACAGGATCCAAACTTGTTGATTTCTAGTGGTAAGGACAACACTACTTTCTTATGGAATCCAATCACCGCCGAGAAATTGGGCGAATACCCAACTACTGCCAACTGGGCTTTCCAAACAGGTTTTGCTCCAGCTGTCCCAGATATCTTTGCAACTGCCTCTTTTGATGGTAAGATAATAATCCAGTCACTTCAAGACACATCACCTCCAGTTTCTACTAAGGTTACTTCTAATGACGATAATGTTTTCTGGAACCAAATTTCCACTACAGAAACTCAGCAACCTGTTTTTCAAATCAAGCAGGCTCCAGAATGGTTGAAGAGACCTTCCAGTGTCTCGTTTGGCTTTGGTTCGAAGATTGTTCAAGTCAAAAAAGATGAATCAGGCAAGTCAATTATCAACATTCTGAAATTCGTCTCGAAGAGTCAAGGTGGTTCCTCCAAGTTGTACGAAGCTTTAAGAGGAGATGATTACAAGACTATAATAAACTCCAAATTAGAGGCTACTGTCGACAATGTCAATGATAAGGCTGACTGGGAACTCTTGAAGAAGTTGTCAGAGACTGGTAGAGAGGAGATTTTGAAACATGAAATTACTGAAAAGTCTGAAATCAAAGCCGAAGAGACCAAAGAGGACGAAGAGGAGTCTAATGAGAATCAAGATTCATTTTTCGAAAAACTTGGAAACGGTTCGATTGCGCCAGTAGAAGACGCATTTTCTCCTTCTGGTTCATTCCAATTGATTGATCCAAAGGAGCCTGAGGACAACAAAAAGATCATTAAGGCCATCTTGAACAATAAAGTGGAAGATGCTGTCTCTCTTTGTTTAGAACAAGACAGAATTATTGAAGCATTGATCTTAGCTTTGGACAGTTCAGACTCTATCAAGCAAAAGGTTAAGAACAGTTACTTCAAAAAGAACGAAAAGAAGGAGTTTACCAGAGTTCTCTTCAATGTCTCGAATAAAAATATCTCCGATATTGTTGCTAATGCTGATGTTGCCAACTGGAAGGAAATTGCATCTAGCATAATTGCATTTTCCACTGATGAAAGTGACCGTAATGCTAAGGTTTCCGAATTGGGAGATCGTCTTTTGAAATCAGGAGATTCCAAAGAACAGAGAGATAATGCCATTACTTGTTACTTGGCTGGTAATGCATTAGACAAGATTGCTAACATCTGGCTCAAGGAATTGCCAGCTTTTGAATCCGAATTGCTCAAGTCTGAAAGTTTCTCAAACATTACTTCTCCAGCAGAAGCTCGTCTTGAATCATTGAGTAACTTCGTCCTGAAAATTGTCGCCTACAGATCCATTTCGCATGACTCTGGGGTCCTTTCAGGTCCATCAGTTGAACCAATTTCCAAGGCTATTTTGGAGTATGCCAATTTAGTTGCAGGATACGGTGAGTTTGAGTTGGCTGAAAAATTCTTGACTATCTTGCCATCTGAATTTGCAGGTACCGAAAAAGAAAGGATTTCTAAGGCTTCGGGTAAGGTTGAAACCAAATCCTTGATCAACAAGTCCGCTGCTGCTAAGACCCAGCCAAGAAATGCCTATTCCAGAACTGGGGGAGTTCCAGCTGCTGAACCAGCCTATGGTAGACAACCCAATGCTCCTGGTGTTCCAAGTATCCCAGGACCTGGACCTGTCAATCAAGGGTTCCCAACCGCCCCAGGTTTCTCAACCACCCCTGGTTTCCCAACCACCCCAGGATTCCCTTCTGCGCCAAGCGTGCCAGCTATTCCAAGTGCTCAAAGTATAGCTCCTGCCGTCAAACCATTTGTACCTCAACAACCAACTGGGGTTGCGAAGCCTACTTCCAACCCATATGCTAGAGCAGCCACCTCTAATCCGTATGCTCCACAAGGTTCTTCCAACCCTTATGCACCATCAGCTCCAGCATCATCGGTACCAGCTGCAGTTCCTCCACCCGGTGCTACTGTTACACCTCCTCCTTTAGCACCAACGAACAGTTACAAAAAGGATACTGAAGGTTGGAACGACTTGCCAGATACATTCAAGCCTAAGGCTGCTGCACGTCGTGCTGCTCCAGCTGTTGTATCACAACCAACCACTCCGTTTGCACCAAGTCCACAAGCAACCCCAGGTCCACCAACTAGAGGATCCATCGGAACCGCTGCACCAGGTCCAACTGCAGTTCCACCACCACCTAGAGTTGCCAGTCGTACTGGTTCCAAGGCATCCATCGCTACTCCACCAATGGTGAACTCACCTCGTCAAAGCTCTGTCCAATTGAACAGTCGTTACGCCCCCCCTCCAGGTGCCGCACCTGAGATTGCTCCACCTGTGAACAATGGATTTGCTACGAGTGCTCCTCCAGTCGGCTCTTCTCCAGCTGTCCCAAAGAAGAACCCATACGCTCCTGCTGAGAGCAATTTTGCTTCTCCTTCCAAGGTAGCATATGCTCCACCACCTACCGGAAACCTCGTCCCGCCAAATGGAGTGAGCTCACCAGGAATTCCAAGGGCTCCTGTGACAGCACCCCCAAAGAACCCATACGCTCCTCCACCAGCTGCGAACGCGCCAAAGTTTCCTGTCCAAGGTGGTAATGTGCCGCCACCACCAAAAGCTGGGGGAATTCCACCACCACAACCTTTTGGATCCATCTCTGCCCCTCCAATCCAACCAGCTTTCAACTCTGTGCCTCCTCCTCCAAGGACTCCAAGCATTGGACAACAGCCACCAGCCGCCCCACCAGTGTCTTATCAACAAGCACCAGTAGCTCCTGAACCTGCAAAGCCAAAGCACCCTTCTGGTGACAGAAGCCATATTCCTGAAAACTCCTTGCCAATTTATGAAGACTTTTCCAGAATCTTAGAGGCCATCAAGCCAAATATTCCAGAGAAGTTCGCAAAGCATGGTCAAGATATGGAAACCAGACTTAACATCTTGTTCGATCACTTGAATAATGAAGAGTTATTGAGCAATGCTACTATCGAACAATTGAAGGAGATAGCTTCTGCGTTGGATGCTAGAGATTTCCCAAAGGCTGCTTCTTTGAATGTTGATGTGGCTACCAACCATGCTGACGAGCTTGGGACTTGGCACACTGGTGTTAAACGTCTTATCACCATGGCTGAAGTGATGTATTAGGCTCGCAGCATTAGGCCAAGAATCACAAAGTTATCTAGTAAAAGTATTTTAATTAAAACTGAATTCAAATACCCGTAAATTCCAGTAGTGATCTAATTACATCATGTGCCACATGGTGGTGCTACACGCAAGTACTTACTTAACTTTTTTTGAACTAAACATCTACGAAAGTCAGCCTATCTATTAAAACAGTCTCAGTAAAGAACAGCCTCGTAAACCTTAGCACCACTGGTATCTAGATCTATAGGCTCAGTATCATGGATGCCCTGAAGTTCAAGTAAAACGAATCTAGTGAACACAGGGTTAGGGAGTTCAAATGTGGTGGTGTTGAAAACAACAGGAACGGTAAGAGATAAGAAGTCATCCATGGTGAATGGGACAGTGACATCAACGCTCTCTTCAAGAAAAGATTCGAACACTTCTTCCTGCTTAATTAACTCTCCACTAGGATTGGCGTAGGCGTAGTTAGTGTAAACTTCGTTGCCAAAATCAATCTTGCTTAAGAATGCAGTTGTATTTTGTAAATCATGGAGAGAATTGTAAGCTGACAACTTGACCTGCTTTGGAGGCTTATCACCCCAGTTGAAAAAGCCCTTTGTAACATTCTTATATTCCTTTAAGTCAATCAAAACCTTTCCAACAGAAGTGTTACTTGCCACTTGCCAGTTGGTAGTATTGTCACCATCGTTCATCAGGACAGTAGCATCACCGTAAGCACCAGCAGTAATGTTGACAAAATCTGACAAGGCACATTCAGTAATACTGGCTTTGTAACTTTCTCCAGGAGTGAAAATAGGAATGGTCAAGGTTTCGCCATTTTTCAAGGTATGTTGGCCAGCCTCCTTATTTCTTTCTCCAACACGAATCTCAATAGATTCGGAAGCGAATTCATTTGCGGGTCCATTGTTTTTCACAGTGAAATAGGTTTCATTGATCGACATGGTCAAGGTGTGGTTGTCAAAGTGGATACCATCGTAGAACACGCCACCGCCAAGACATGGAATCGCAATAGGGTCTAACTTCAAAACCCTTTGAATTTTATTGTGTTTAACAGCAAAATCGTACCTTAAACCGGTCAAACCTTGCATAATAGCTTGGAGAAAACCACCATGGGCTGTCATGAAAGGAAATGCAGGATGTGTACCACCATTTGTCAAGAAGTCGTCGTTATTCTGCTCAGAAAATTGCGCAAAAGGTCCTCTCAAGAAAGGTTGAACGGCCTTTCTTAAGTAAGATTGGGAAGCACATCCTGATGGAGAAACGTTGGAAGCAACAATAGAGAAGATAGGAAAAGTCATGGCTGGGCCGTAACTAACTTGCTTCTTAGAATAGAACTCCATATTTTTTAACGCTTGTTCAGGAGTGATCAATTCATTCTCGAGAGGGTAATTAACCATTATCACATCTGCTTGCTTAATACCAACAGTAGCATTCATGCCAGAATATTCCAAGGTTATCTGGTCAGAGTTATTGGAGGTTGGCATCAAGACATTGTCGCTGATGTCCATAAACTGGCTTGGTACCTCTTTACCTAAATGATTGGAGACATCAATTGCCCACTTCATCACCAAAGAAATGCCTGCATTTGTGTATGCACCATTATCCACATGGTTGGCATATTCATCAGGATCAGTCAAGTTGTGGGTAACATATTTGCCGGTAGATTCATCGAGTTTGACCACATACTCAGAGAAGAAAGTTGCAGCATCCTTGATTAATGGGTAGGCGACAGATTCGAGGAAATCCTCACCAACTTCACCACTCAAGTACAAGTTCCATGCAGAAGATGCGACTGCCATGTTGATATGGTACTCGTAGTCAACGCATGGTCCTGTTGATGTACAGTTTCCAAATCTACCACTGGTCCAGGGATATGCAGCACCTTCGTATCCTGCAGGGACATTCTTCTTTGCTTGTTCGTGGGTGTGGATTCTGTAGTTTATCAAGCTCTTGGCATGAGATGGGAGAAATGGAAGCAATCCGTTGAACATCCACAAGTCAGTGTCCCAGAACACCATTCCACCGTAACTATCCGAACTCAAACCCACCACAGGCAAAGCAGCAGTAACACCCTCGGCATCTGTTCTTGTATTGGCAGCCAAATGGTAAATGGAAGCCCTTGCTGCAATGGTCAAGAGGAGATCATTGGGGAATGTCACAGCAGGAGTGGACTCCAATGTTTGAGCCCATGCCGTCTTGTGGGTTTCAAACACTTCCTTTATGTCGGTGAAGGATTGAGAAACTCTTCTAGCCAAGGACAAGACATCCTTCTCGGACTTGAGGTTAGCTGGGTCCAAATCGGAGGATACTATTCCAGCGTACTTGGTGACCTTGAAAGTTGAGCCTGGTTGCAATTGAATGTCAAGCGATTGGGCCACGGTACCGTTGGTAGCTTGCTCGAAGTTTGGTGGGTGGTCTGAAAGCAAGGTGGAGTAAATTGCTCCGTTGACATAGTCGATTTCGTTGGGTTGGAAGGTGATGTAGATTCCATCCTGGTCATGATCGACTGAGGCAAGCTGGGATCTTTGAGCAGTCGCAAAGTCCAACACATCTCTGACCTTGATGTCGAGCGCGGAAGAACCGATATTGGCGAGTTCCAAGTGTACCACGCCTAGGTTGACGTGGTGTCTATGGGCCAAGATTTCAATCTTGACCTGAACACTATCCAACCAGGTGAATTCGGTAGAGACGATACCATCAGAAAGCGATAAGTTCTGGGCGTAGTTGGAGATGGAGCCCTGGAGGTGGGATTCCAAGGCTGGGTTAAGCGTATAGTTGACACCGTCCACGGTGGTGGACAATTCCAAGGCAGTCCACTGGGGCACGGCTGCTATGATACTCTCGTAGCCATTCTTCTCCAACTCCGGAAAGTTTGTTTCGGTAGTATTGGCCTGGATGTCGTAGAAGCCTGCGATGAACGCACCTGCGTATCTCTTGTTGTACAACGGCCATCCATTGAGCAAGTCAGCGTCAGTTGCGTCGGCGTCGGTAGATAACTGGTCGTAGGTGAACCCCTGGCCCAAGTTGGGGATCCTGGCGCCAATGTACCCGTTGGCGACGTAAGGCTGGCGCTGGTACTGGTTGTTGGGGGCGAACTCCGCGGAGCCCACGATGTTGGCGTCGAGATCGTAGTAGGCAGAAGACGAGTACTTCAACTGGGAAAACACCTGCTTGTTGGCGGTGGAGTTGATCAACGCAAACAAGGCGTCTCTGTCGGTGTGGACGGTATCAGCAGAGAGGTTGGAGGCGGCAAACAGCTTGGGCACCGTCAAGGGGTGGGCCCACAGGACGTCCCAGGTCAACTGGAGCACCAACAAGAACGCGAGGTTGGCCACGATCATCATCTTGAACACGAGCGAAAGTCTGGGGAAGTGTGTGAAGCGAAGGAGATACACCCGTCGTTTCATGGTTATTTATAGGGATGCATTACTTTGCTCTGCTAACGGCGAGAAGGTGGTTCTGAGGCGCGTGTGGGGGATGGAGGAGGAGGAGACGGCAGGAGGAGGAAATTGGATGGTACTGGCGTCGGATCAACCAGACGTGGGATTGTTTAGACGGATGTGGAGGTGTTCGTTGTGAGCCCGATTTACCCCAGCGTTGCGGTGTTGCGAGCGCGGGGGCCGGAATAACTGGGGCGTGGGGGAGTACCGGCTGGATGATGTGCGGTACACCTTAATAATGCCATGGTAGTCAGCTAATAATAGAGTACGGGGGAGTCGCCTATTACTGGAAACCATATAAACTCCTTCTTTAGCACCAGTGGGCTGTACTCTGTCATTGCACAATGGTGCTACGCTGCACATGGCTTGGTGCTACGCTTCCCGGACTGTCCAGGGACAGACGCAGGACGTCTCCCCACAGATGGGCCTAAATCCCAATTAGTGAATCCCAATTAGTGGTAACCCCCCCAATTAGAGGTAACCACCCCAATTAGTGCCTATGACATCCCTTTGCATCTCTGGTAATAATACATTATAGTCTGGTCTAGTATACATAATATGACGTCAACGCTAGTGCTTGCCACGATCCACTCGCGTAAGACTCCGCAACAACTGGCGAGTGCCAATAGCCTTGGAAACTCCACCACCAGCCGCTCCCGACCCCAGGGTCCAGAACATCTTGTGGCGACGGCTTTTGTCGCCACCATACCGCTGGTGGCGGGTCCTTGTCATGTAGCTCCGCAAAAGAACGGCAAGCTTGGCCAGAAACCGCGAGGTCTCGAGGTCCTCCACCAACTGCGAGGTGCGGTGCAACTGGTAGGTGGTGTGGTAGAGCTGATCCACTGACGGTTCGAGCCGTGCCGTCACCTCATTCTGGATGTGGGCACACTCACTAGTCATCCTGGTGACTAACGCATCGTCAACAATAGCGGGGTACGGGTTCTGTTTGTGGTCGAGATAATCCTTTAATTCGGATTCCGCATCGTGGGAATCCGCCAACGTGAGCTTGGAGATCGTGCTCACCGACTCGTCATAGGCGTGTTGCCATTGTTGCTTCTCCTGGGCCATGCTGCGGAGCTTGTGCGTGTACACCTCGATGTTTTCGGTGTTGGTCACATTGAGCGGGTTCGGCACCGTCACCTCTTTCCCTTCTGGTTCCTGGTGGGCCACCTGGGTGTACCAACTGGTGGAGATCTGCTTGTCCATGAGGTCGCGCAAAACCTCCTCCTTGATGACCTTGGCGATATTGACCACCGTCTGGTCCTCGGCGCTGGTCTGCTTGACCTCGCGGTCCTCCTGCTCCAATTTCTTCTTCAAGCACCACACTAGCAACTGCCTCATTCGGTCAGGTTCAGGCAACGAGGTATCCAACAACTTGTAATAGTCCGACACCGACACATCGCGGTGGGGCTCGCCGTTGAACCCGTTTCCGATGGACGACACTCGCTTGCCACGGTTGTAGTACGACGACCGTCTGGCTCCAGGCCCGTCGCCCCGAGCCTGGCGAGGCACGATCGCGTCGGTATCGGTCAACGTGAGCTTGTGATGTGAAACCTGTTCCACATACTCCTGGGGCTCGTCGATTTTGATGGGCGACGACAACTGCAAGCTGGACTCGTCCAAGAAGTTGTGGGGCTTGGCCTTGGGCGGCCTACCTCGCTTCTTTCGTACCGGCACGTCCAACAACCGGAGGTCGGCATCATCTTCCGCGTCCCTAGTAATATTGCCTATCTCCTCGTTCAACTGGGCAATGGGGGTGCTTATCTGTTTCTTCTTCTTGGTGGTGCCGTTCTCCTGGCTTCGTTTGTAAACGAACCCCTCGTCCTCCTCGAACGAGTTGCGGGGCCGCCGCTTCACCTCTTCCTGCGATGTCGACAACAAGTCATTCAACCGGTTCTTGCGCTTCAAGATCTGGCTGCTGTGTTGGCTGGGCATCTCATCCTCAGCAATGGGCCCGTTGTCTTTGGGCTTGCGGGTGCCTCCATTCACACGAGCCTTCGGCCGCGATGGCCTCGATCCGTCCTTCTTCTTGGGGGGCATCTTGCATAGGGACGTCTGGAGTGCGTGAAGACTGTGTGGAGACTTTGTGGAGGGTTTGTCTTTGTATATTTTGATGATTGTTTTGATGCGAAGATCCACGACCGTTTTGCACGCCAGAAGTGTCTAACCATTCAATTCCAGCACGCCACCACAATGCTGGGATCTCAAAGCGTGCTATCGCTGTGTGGCCACTATGTGGCCAGTGTCGTCAACGGCGTGCTCGAAATCGCCCCCATCAACGGCAACGGACCGGTCCATACCCACCAGTTGAACGATGCCATCCGACGCCATGTTGTCAACAACGGCGTCGAGGGCAGGCCACGGGTCAGCAAGGCGGTGGTAACTCAGTTGGAGTGGGAGAAGGTGGTTTCAGGCGCGTCCTGTGCCAAGATAGGCGTGGTGATTGAGAACTACGGCTTGTTGATGGTGTACGAACTCCACAACCACGAGCCCATCGTCATCCAGCAAAGCCGAGACGACGGCATCGAGAAGTTTGAATGGGTACCTCCAGTGGACTCACAGCAGCAGGACGAAGATGGGCCCGGTGGCTACTCCAACTCCAAGCAATTGGTGGTGTTTACCAAGAACTACCTCCACATGAAACTCTACTCCCTTGACTGCACCCATATACTCTTGACCATCGTCAAGCCGCTCGTCCACCACCTCGTGGTGTCTCCCCACCGCAGTAATCGCATCTGGTCCATGGTGGCAGACACAATGGAGTACAATCAGCCACCGCTCATATATCATTTCTACAACCAAGGCTCAACCAGCACCCTCTTCCAGGCATCCAGGTTGCCCCAATACCTCCTCACCACCCCACACATAGAGTGGTCGGCCTCCGGCAGATGGCTCAGTCTATTCACGGGAGAAGATATCCTCTACGGGTTCGACTTGAAAATATTCAATCTCCTTGGCACCCAGGGCCCCCTGAACACCGCTAGCACCGTCAAGCCAATCTTCGAATTAAATACAATGGGAGACTCCAAGTCTATCCAGGGGTCCAATTATCCATCAACCAGGTACTCGGGGTCCTGGATGTCTCTCCAGGAAGATGATCATTATGTGGCCATCTCGGTCGCCGACAACGCAGTAGAGTTGATCTTCTTCTCTCTCCGAATATTACGGACCATTTCTAGAGTGGTAAAGTTGGAAACTTCCAAGCAGTACTGGAAACAGACCAACGAAAGAAGCATAGGTTATCGAAAAATAGTAGGTAAATCATTACCGACTGCTTCCAACAAGATTAAGAATATTCAGGTGATGCAGTCATATATTTGTTTACAGCTCGAAGAAATAATCGTGATCCTAAAAATCAATAGTGGTGAATCTCTCGGTATCGAGACACAAATGGTGGTCTCCTTGGGTGCTAACTTCCGTGAGGTGAAACTAGTGCATGAATCATTACAGGTAATGATTGTAAGCACAGATCACATCGTATTGTACGATATCAGCACGGACAACTTCAGAGTAGTTCATAGAGAGAATAAGCTCTCGATCAAAAATGCATTCTTGATGTCCGAGGAGCTCATCATAAAAACGGACCCGGTGAACAATGAAGATAGTCTGATCAGGAACTGGGATCGGATCAAAATATCTCAGTTCACGGAACCCTCTCGCCAGGAAAAACGATCGGAGTTGAATACTCTCTTGAAGAGAAACATCAACAAGGAAGATAGTATTCGGCTAGGCTCCATCAACTCCAGCCACTTGGAGGACATCACCGACACCTTTGACATGCGCAAGAAGGCCAGAATTAACTAGTGTATTATATGTATTATATGTATTATTCTATGTACAAGAGACGTTGCAAAACATCTCGGCATGCAGAGGCCATTCTGACCCCATCCTGGAGTGCCCGTGGCCCTGGTTGCCGCTGGACCCTTCACAGGAGACCAAATTAGTCGCTCTTGCTCTTCTTCTTTGGAGCACCCTTGTTTCTCTTCTTTCTGTCCTGGACCATATGCAATCTGTAAGTTTCTCTGGGGTCTGTGAGTTTGAGTTCTGGGAACCATGCCTTGAAGTCTTGGAAGGTTGGGAGGTGGTCGTTGACCCCGTAGTAGTTGACGACTTCAGGACCCTTCAATGGGGCCTTCAAGATCTTAGCACCATTGCGGGCACATGACGGATTCCAGGCATGGCCAAATATGGAGGCACTGAGCTGTTTGGCCTGGTTTATTCTCTCCTTAGAGGGCAACTTTTTCAATATGGACGACATGGCTGGAGAATCAACGAAGTTGGTGAAATTTTGATATGAGTGGGTGTGCGCACACCACCTCTGGTTGGCCTAGCTGGGGATAACGATGTGTCGCGACTTGACACCAGAGGTTACGACATTGGCTGCGCTACCAAGGCCCCAGTGGTAATTGTCAAATCTGCTGGATTGTCTGCTAGAAGCCAAAGGGAGATGGCCTCTCTAGGGACTTAGTTTCTCTTACGTGGCCCAACGAATTCTTTTACTGACCTCCGCGTGCTGGCCCAGAGCTAACTTGAATTTGCCCACAGTAGAACTGATTTGACCAACAACTCTCTGAAAATCTTCATTCCAGAGTCTCTGTAGCCATTCAAACTGAGTCGAAATAGACTCAATCTCGAGTAGCTATTAGTTCCACATTATATTGGTCCATGTGGTAGTGAGTATTAATAGTATTAATAGTTCTGGCGCGATGCGCCAGTCTCATCGAGACCAATTGGTCATGGCGAAGCCAGTTAATGGTATTCAAGCTCTTGGTGCCCGGCTGCCACATCGTGTGACAGTTTCTCTTCCTAGCCTAAGCTAGCCCATTACTACTCAAACAAAGGCTCAATAGCAGGCCCTGTGTGGTCCTCCTCCAGAACGAGATCGGGTCGCAGCCACGCATCACCCAGGGCTCCAGAGGAATCTGGCTCACTAACCTCCCCCTATAGCACCACGCCCATACTACTGGTACCCAGCACGAAGATGCTGACTACCTAGAACCGATACCTTCCGGGTAGTCACCACCTGGCGGCTGGCCAGGCCTCCTTGCGTCGGTACCACGCAATTCCACCGCTACGCCTCCTCCGCCACGATAGTCATGTCGCACCAGGCCTATCAAAAAATGTCCCTGCAACATTTATAGATTCATAGACAGCAGGCTGTCAGAGACAGACTCGTAGACGCCCTCCACCACAACAGACCCCAGCTTCTACCCGGCCCTACTCCCCTGCCTGGACTCATTCAGTCCCACCACCATGGACTCCGACCATGACAACTCCTTCAACGAAGACTACAACCCGCACAAGACCTACCAATCTAAGGGCCACTCGCCCAAGGGCCGTTCTCCTAGGTCCGACGCCGCCGCCAGGGTGTCGTTACTCAGCACATCCCTGGACCACCACGGCCTCTTTCCCCATCACATCCTCCCCATCCATGACAGCCCTCGGACCCTGCCCAACCCAGACAAGTCCTTCATCCACGAGGCCACCGAGAAAAGCGATTTCGACGCTTTGAAAGAGGGATTGTCCTTCGCGTTGGGCTCTGGTGAGCATGGCGCCATGTGGTTCCCCGTGAACCATGACGAGAAGCCCACCACCCATGAAAAACTGCATCACTCCTCCAAACCCACTCAGGACTTATCTTCGGTGGGCCACGAGTATACCGACAACATTCCACTCGAAGACATGGGCTCGCGCCACAGCCAGTTCGGTGGCTCCAACAGCGATGCTTCTTTGCATTTATCTCCCTTTGCCGATCCTTCCAGCAAGCCAGCTACCCCATCCCAAGAAATACCCGAAATCAATTTCGACCATTTGGAGGCGGGGTCCTCCAAAAAAGAAGAGACTTCCCCCGCAAAATTCTCGGACGCCATTACCAGGTTCTCTGAGCGTATTGCAGGTACTGGAGCCACCAAGCCCGTTGAAGACTCCCCTTCCAAGAAAACACACTTGACCGTGAAATCTCGCAACGCTAGTACCGCTCCTTCACCAATCAGCGGAACCTTTCTGTTTTTCCGGGACCACACTGACGAAGAATCCCATAGAAAGGGCGGCTCCACTTATTCTCAGAGTAACAAGAGCGTCCCCAACGTTACCATCGTTGATGAGAACAACTCCAAGATAGACCTCGAATTCAACGGTCCCTCCGATGGCTTGGGATTATTCGTATCCGATACGCAACCCTCCCAGGCGGAATCTTCCCCAATAATCCACTCACTGCATCACAACACATCGCATCCACATTTCGCCGAAAAGACAACTTCTGCCAACATGTATCTATTCGGAAAATCGCTTAAAATATTCTCCCCAGATAATCCCATCAGGCAATGGTGTCATACCATTATATCAAGACACTCCACGAATATTTCATTACTAGTCTTGTTATTTTTTCAAGTCATTCTATTGAGTTACAGACAATGGAACCCACCAGCATTAGATGGCTATTTTTACAAGGGATACAACTGGGCTGATTATATTTTAATGGGTATTAACTTCATCTATACAGTTGAAGTTGTTGTCAAAATCATAGCCTATGGATTTATCGACGACTATTCTATGTTCGAAGAATTGGGCTTGCCATACCCTGAAAGTGATATAAAAGCATCATACTTCAAGATGGACTATTTGACTATAGTATTAAAAGGATTCGGGCTTCACAAAATCCTTGCCCGCAACCGTCGCTCCAAGACAGGAGCTCCTCCATTAGAGCTCAGGCAAAGCTCCCTGGATGATGACCACGAAGATTCTTATGATGTTAAGGAGATCAACCTCGACGATGACTCCCCTAGACAACATTCGCATCTCAGACAAAAGTATAGAGATTTGAGTCTGCACCATGTTGACAGTGATTTTGACCAAAGTAATCTTGCAGATGAGGCAACTCCAACCCCAAATATTAAGAAGACCAACACATTTTTCATACCTCAGGATAAAGGAGATTTAAGCAACTTACATTTGAAAAGAGCATATATTCGAAACAGTTGGCACAAGATTGATTTTTTCTCCATGATCACTTTTTGGATATCCTTGGTGCTTTCTATTGACCATTATGATGCCAAACACCATATCATGTTGTTCAGAACTTTAAGTTGTCTTCGTATTCTCAGACTCTGTAATTTGACCACTGGTACTAGCACCATTTTGAAATCAGTTAGAATGGCCATTCCTCAATTGATCGATGTATCCATTTTTATCAGTTTCTTCTGGTTGTTCTTTGGAATTATCGGAGTTCAGTCATTCAAGTCTTCACTCACCAGACATTGTGTGTGGCAAAACCCAAATGATGCTAATGATACTTATGTTAGTGAGCAATTTTGTGGCTCATACATTGGCTTGGATGGACATGCCAAACCTTACATACAAAGAGATGGACTGGATTCATTGAGTATAAAGGGTTTCAGATGCCCAATGTACTCTAGGTGTGTTAGTGGTGAAAATCCATTCGGTGGGACCGTCAGTTTCGACAACATTTTGCAATCAATGGAATTGGTTTTCGTTGTCATGAGTGCTAACACATTTACTGATATAATGTACCAAACAATGGATACTGATAACTTAGCAGCTTGTTTATTCTTCATTTGTTCCATCTTCATCCTCACAGTGTGGCTCATTAATGTGTTAATTGCTGTAGTTGTTACCTCGTTTGATGTTACAAGAGAGAACGCTCAAGAAGAACAGAAGAATAAGAAAAGAGCTCTGGGATCTTTGGGATTCTTGCAACCAAAGGGTGTTTCAGATCATGTGGAGAGAATGAATTTGTGGAAGAAACAAAATCTTTTGTTAAGATACTACTATAGGTTTGAGTTTGTCTTCTCCATATTGATTGGAGTTGACTTGTTTGTTCAATGTTTTAGAAAAGATGTCATGTCAGATGCAAGGAGGCACGCTTTGTACCGGATAGAAGCTGCATTCACTCTTGTATTCTTGGCCGAAATTGTGCTTAGGTTCGTTCTCCACTTCCCCAATTGGAGACTATTCTTCTTTTCGAAAAGGAACAATTTCGACTTATTCTTGGCCATAATCACTTCAGTCATTATTTTTGACCCAGTTAAATCTAAATTGGGCCGTGCATATTACTGGTTGACTGTATTCCAAATTATGAGGTTCTATCGAGTGGTTTTAGCAACTTCAATTACTAGCAGTCTTTGGCTTAAGATTATTAAGAATATAAGAGCAATATTCGATTTGGCATTGTTCTATTTTATTTTGGTCTTTCTCATGAGTATCATGATGGCAAGATATTTTGAAGGTGTTATTCCATTAGATGAGTTTGATGACGTTGATTTTCCGATGCATACATTGCCCAACTCATTTATTGCACTCTATGTGATCACATCTACCGAAAATTGGACAGACGTTTTGTATCCTTTGCAGCAATATGCAACCACCACTTCTTCTAGATCGTTTGGAGCTGTATTCTTAATCACATGGTTTGCAGTTTCGAATACGGTGATTTTGAATATTTTTATTGCTGTGATTGCAAAAACACTTGAAGTTTCGGAGGAAGGAAAAAGAAAGAAACAATTGCTCCAATTTATTGACAATATGACCGATAGACTTCAGAATATGGATGGCCGCACTGGTGCACTCTCCAAATTCAAAAGCAAATTATTCAAGTCTAAAGGTGTAAAAGATCAATTAGAAAAGGCTGTGGTCAATCTTTTATTGAGTGGTACAGCTGTTAATGATTTCTTAGATGAGGACATTGGAGATCTAGAAGAAGATGACAAAGTTAAAAACTTGCCAAGCTCAAGCTGGAAAAGATGGTTACATGTTAACTATTGGAGAACATCAAATTTTTTCAAAAACCCATTCTACTCAACCAAAACTCGTGATACCAGTGTATTGAACAATTTTGATCCTGCCCGTTTTGCCAAGAATATCATTAGCGAAAGAAATGTACTTATATCCAAACAGAATCAATTTTTGGAAGAGAATCCATATTTCAATAAGGTTTTCTATCTAATGGAACCAAGACACAAACTCAGACGGTTGTGTCAACGCTTAGTCAAATCGAGTTATGGTGAGCGTATCGATGGTGTAGAACCATATAAACCTGTGAGTGAGTCTATAGTTGTGATCATGTTCATTGCTACCATCGCTTTGGTTGTATCTACTTGTTATATCACACCATTGTTCAGAAGAACTATTGTCAAAGACGGGCCTTTCGATTGGACCTTTTATTTGGAAATTTCGTTTGTTATACTATTCACCCTTGAATTCCTTATCAAAATCACAGCAGATGGTTTTATATTCACCCCTAATGCCTACGTCAGATCTTCGTGGAACTCTATTGACATGATAGTGCTTGTTGCTCTCTGGATTGAACTTATTGCGTATGTGAGAAACGATGGTACTCTATCAAAAGCTGTTCGTGGTTTGAAAGCATTCAGAGCTTTAAGATTATTGACTATCAGTGAAACAGCCAAGGCCAATTTTCATAACTCGATGATCTCCGGATTTTGGAAGATTATTAGCGCAGCGATTATCTCTTTGTGCTTATTGTTTCCCTTTTCTATCTGGGGTCTTAACATTTTCAATGGTACCTTGGGTCATTGTTTGGATGGAGAATCTTCAATGTCCATGTGTTTCAATGAATATGAAAATAACGTATTCAATTGGGATGTTATGAGTCCTAACGCGTATGTTCAACCAGAGTTAGAGTTCAATTCGTTTGCAAAATCGTTCTTGTCTTTGTTTCAGATTATTTCTCTTGAAGGTTGGACTGACTTATTGCTTGATCTTATTGCCAGTACCGGCGGAGAAACTCCACCCGAGCTGAATTCGCATCCTTTCAATGGATTTTTTGTGGTGCTATTCAACTTTGTTAGTACCATCTTCATCTTAACCTTGTTCGTATCGGTCATTATCTCAAATTATTCAAAAACAACAGGTAGAGCATACATGACACACGATCAAATTGCTTGGTACGAAGTGAAGAAAATATTAATTCAAGTTAAACCATCGAAGAGAAAGGATTTTACACAGTTAACCTTTGTCCGTCGATTTTGTTACATGATGACAGTGGAAAAGAATCGTTATTGGTCAATCATTATGAATTTCACTTTGTTCATGCATGTTCTTTCATTATTACTTGAATGTTTTCCCACCTATAATGGTTTGTATGCGTTCAGAATGATTGTATACATGGTGGCCGCAACAGTTTTTCTTATAAATGCCTTAATGTTGTTGACTGGACAAGGTTTAGTAACATTTTTAAGATATAAGTGGAATTGTTTCAGCCTTTTCATCTCCGTTGGGGCATTCATCACTACAATTATTGGTTTCTTCATTAATCAAGACAGTGTATTCATTAACATTAACAGATTATTCTTGGTTAGTATCTTGGCCTTTATTATCCCCAGAAGTAATAGATTGAGTCAGTTATTGAGGTTCGCCTCAGCCAGTTTACCATCATTGCTTTCCTTGTCTTTCACATGGTTGGTAGTATTCCTAGTGTTTGCAATCGCGATGAATCAAATCTTTGGATTGACTAAGATTGGTCCAAATGGTACTGGTAATTTGAATTTAAGGTCAGTTCCAAAAGCATTGATTGTGTTGTTCAGGTGTAGTTTTGGTGAAGGGTGGAATTATATCATGGATGACTATGCCCTTGAGTCGCCTTATTGCACAGTGAACAACAGCATTGATAATTCGGATTGTGGAAACAAAGCATTTGCCTACATATTATTTATTGCTTGGAACATTGTTTCCATGTACATTTTCGTCAATATGTTTATTTCCCTCATTTTGGACAGTTTCAATTACATTAGATCGAGATCAAGCTATAGTTCATTGATCCAAAGAGAAGAAATTAGAAAGTTCAAGAGAACTTGGCAAAAGTTTGACTCCCAAGGTAGTGGGTACATAAAGCCAATTGAGTTACCTAAGCTCTTACACGCATTGGAAGGTGCTTTATCTTTCCACTTCTACAAAGGTGCTTTAGAAATTCCAGTGTTGTGCAAGGAATGGATTAAAAGAAATGACCCTTACAATCCTTATGACATTCAAGTGAACTATGATAGTTTAAAACGAACTTTAGATAAGATGGATATACCCAAGATTCGTGAAAGAAGAAGGGCCTATGAAAGATTTATGGAAGAGGCGTTATTGAATATGGAATTAAACAACGATCCGGGTATATCGTTTACTAGAATTTTGTTGCAACTTCCATTGTATACATCTTTTGAAGCTGGCCAATGTCTCAACTTGATTGATTTCCTCGAAAGAAGATTGTTGGTGCAAAAGGTCGAAAAAAGACTTCACACGAAAAGAGTTTACGAAACCATTGCTGCTTATGCATGCCGTTGGAAATATAAGCAAAATCAGCATAAAGGAATTAGAACTACTGACATTGCTTTTGACAAAGAACTAAAGAGGCATAGCTATCTTGCCAATGAGAATTTAGACGTCAATGCCCCCTCTATATTTGTCACAGATACTAATGAAGAGACTAACTCAATGAGAAAATTGAAGTCCAATGAAGATGACCATGAAGTTCGCCCTAATGATTTCTATGACAATGAAGATGAAAACACCCCATTATCAAAATCTTATAACGTGGATCCTGAAAGCAGTACCAGTGGAGTATATGTGCCCAAATCTCCCTTGAGTATCTACAAAGCCAGAAATAGAGTCGGAAGTGGAAATCATCTCGAAGTTACTAAAGAAAAACAACCCAAATTGTTCATTGAAATTCCCAATAAATTATCAAGATCGTCAGATTCCTCCCCAATACTAACAAGTTCTACTTTCAACGACGAAGACATCAACTTATCACCATTCTTGGAACAGGATGAATTGGCTACTCATGAAGAAGAGAATAAAGTCTCCCTAATAGACATTGCAACTGTGGGAGAGACGCTTGAAAACTCATCCTGGGGAGAAGCCTTTAGGGAAGTTCAGGATGATAGCAATTCTTGGAAGAACAAAGACAAATAAACCATATTTCATATTTTATAGACAAATCCTCGGCTGGTCGTTACAGCCCCCATACTACACATATACATAAGCATCAATACAGTGATATACTAAACTTGAGTAAATCAGTGCCAAAAGTTAAGAATCTACAAGATTTCCATTGCGCTAGGAGTCTAGCACCTCTTATTTGTACAGTGTCTATAAATGTAAGTATACATCACCTATTAATCGGTCTTCATATCGTTCAAACCCAAATCCTCGTTTTGTTCATGACTTCTTTCAATTTCTTCTATGATCATGTTTGGATCGTTATCTGGGGCATAAACATTTTGAATGTAGGAAGAAGCTAATGGATCCTCCATGATGATGGTGAATGGAATCTTACCGTCCACAGCATCTTGCAATCTGGCAAAGAAAGTGGTCCACCTGGTCTTAGTTGCATCGTCCATAGAATCGGAGGTTTGAGTGAACACTCTTGAATGCAATTCTTCCAAGACCTGAGTTAATAAACCTTCAATAGTGGTGAATCTACCACCCAAGGTCCCTGGAGTCAAGTCCAAGTTCAATTCTGGGATGGACAAACCACAAGTTTCACTCTTCAAAATGTCTCTGGCCAAATCTTCTGGGTCAGTGACCTTCAAAGTGATCTTTCTTCCCAAATCAGGGATGGCACCACCGGTCTTCACTTCGTTAGATTTATATCCACAATGGTCGCACAGAGTAGACATGATGATGACTTCTTTGAAATGAGGAATGTCAACGGTCTTCATATGAGTTTCACATTCCTTGTAACAACTGGAACAAGTAGCAGTAAAAGTCTGGACTTCGTTGTTCAAGTTTTCAATCTCGGTCTCGTCAGAAATGAAACCACTGCTCTTAACACCAGATTCTTTCAAGCCGGAGGAGATGTTGGCCTTGGTAGCACTCTTCTTATTCTCCAATTCTATTTGTTGCTGTCTAGCAACATCATCTGCAGACAAAAGACCAAGGAAAACATTCTGTTCAGCGGTTCTGTTGTATTCATACATGGACCATTTATGAGCAGCTTCACCTGGAAGGTATTCAATCCAGGAATTTCCTGCAGGATCATCAACAGAGAAAGTCAATGGGAGGGTGTTTGGTTCAGCATTCATGTAGGATCTGATCTTTGCAATAACCTCCTTGATTTTCTCGTAGACTTCGGGTTGGAGTTCCTTTCTAGCTTCTTGGTCGGATTCTAAGTCGGTGATCATTTCTTCCAATAAACCTTCAACGTTGGTTAATTGCCCTCTCTTTGGAGGAATCTCGATATCCAATTCGGAAAATCTAATGGTAGCTGATTCTGACTTGACCACTTGACGGCTGAAATCTGCTTTTTCCTCGATCTTGAGGATGTATCTGGAACCCTTTTCAGCAATTTGAGCAGCTGGCTGAATCTCACTGTTCTTGAAGTGACAGTGAGGACAGTAAAAGGACATCAAGATGATTTCTCTGAAGAATGGAATCTTGGTCAACAACATTCTAGTGGTACCATTTTCGTGGCAGTTCATACACAAGGACTCGACTTCTTGAACTGGGTGGCCCTCAGCATCCAGGGCGCCGGTTTGAACGACTTCGTTGTTGTTTGCATGGTCGACGTTCTCGGCCTGTTCACCAACGCTGGAAAAGATTTCCTTGTTTTCGGCCATTTCTGTTCTTTGCTTCTTATCGATGTGGTCGTCCATTGGGATATATATTGATGATTTAGTAATGATAAAAATTTGAGATTCTTCTAGAAGGTCACGTGCTCGTGATGAGCATCTGCCAGAATATAGATTTGAATTATGTGACTAGCTAATGAGTTGGAGGCAATTCCCAGCCGAGCCGAATGTAGACAGCTGGTTCTTGCTGTATGTGATGGAAGATTCCAGAATCGAATGATGTTGGTGGTGTCACTATTTGCATTCATTTTTAGGATACTCATTGCCTGACTGTATGGGTGTCCCTATCTGCAATACAATGCTACGGATAGAGTACCACTTGCCAGACAAAAAATGACTGGGGTACCCAAATTATGGAGCCAGGATCTGGGCGACGATCTTTTGCTTCCTAAAAACCTGCGAAATCAGACACAACAGGAGTTCGGCTCAACCAGTCCAAGAATCCGACACCAAATGCTTGGCAATAGAGTGGGGTGAGACACGTAGATCTGGGTCATGATGTGTAGTGCACGTTTCATCATTGATCATACCAATAAACAGAGCTGTGACTTGTGACAGTTCCAGCAAACTGGACGAATTTTTCAAAAAAATCAGAAAATTACATTGTCCAACGTGAACCCTCATCAACTATGCGCTGGTTAATTGCTACAGTACTCATACATGAAAATCTCAACCGTTCAGATACATGCGCCACGAGCCCGGGCCATTGACAGCTGTCACGTGAACTCATGCCACAGCTGTGATGTCTGCTGCGCCAGTGGCACTGGGGGTGTGGAGATGTCGTCACGAGATCTGGCCAACGTCTAGTAGACGATCTAGAAACCATGGCGGCAGGGCCCCGCCCCCATTATGGATGGCTCGGATGACTCCCTCCCAATCCAGATTTTTTCACAGGTGTTGCAGCCACACCACCTCCAGGGGCTGCGGGTGGCCGGGCGTGCATGGAGACGCATGGTCCAGTGACAGACACTGGTAAGCAGGGACAGCGGGAACAATCGGGGGTAGCTCGCACGGTGGTACGATACGGGAGTGGACCTAGCACTCCACCACCACCTGCTGGCACAGCCAGTCCCAGCTAGGCGCCTCCGAAAATGTGACCCTCCACACCCCACATCCACACCTTTCTTCGTCTAGTTTGATCTGCGTAATCTGTGCAGACAGACACCTCCATCCCGCAGAGGCGCGCACGACCCATAAAACTGTGGTGCTTCAACAAAATCGTAACCATTATAAGAAAGGTCATCTACCCAGTGAATAATTACCAAGCAGGCAGTTATTCAGACCATAGTATTCTATCGAGTCGTCGCACAAACAGCCCCTACCAGCCACCGTGGAATCCTTACTGTCGAAGCAACCTCGCATCAACCTCGGTTTCCCTGTGAGTCCTGATCCCATGAATTTGCATGAGAATTGCACTCCCAAGGATGATGCCATCGTCTCCAGGAGCTACGAGTCCATCTTATCGGCCACAGCATCCAGCGGGACTTCCGGCTCATCCTTGAATGCGGCAGATGCATCGGAGTACAGCTACATCTCCGCCACTCCCAACCCTTATGAGGACACCGACAACAACGGTCCTGAAACTGACCACAAACACTCGGTCACCACATCCAGCACCAAATCTAGGTTCATCAACAACACCGACTCCACTGCCCTTTCCAAGCTCCAGACTCCTCCACCACAGCCTCAAAATGACGAGGTCTCTGTGGTAACTCCGTTCTTGGTCAAGCACATCAACGACCAGTCCAAGATCCCCAAGGACAACTTCCACAAATACTGCTACAGACATAACCCAGAGATCACCTGCAACAAGAGCACGGATGAAGCACGCATGAAAAGAATTCAGACCAGCTTGGACAGACTTCCAAGCAGAGACCAAGAGGCGATCACTCACGTGTGGTCCATCTTCAGTGCTTCTCCGCTGCAGCATCGGGAGTTAATCCTCAAGGGTCTTCTTTCTCAGTGCTGTTTCCCCCAGTTGTCCTTTATTTCCCAAGAAGTCTCGTCATTGATTAGAATTGACTTTCTCAGTACTTTGCCCATGGAAATCTCTCTCAAGATCTTGTGTTACTTGGATTGTCGCTCTTTATGTAATGCAGCCCAAGTTTCAAGAAAGTGGAAAGCTTTGGCCGATGATGATAGAGTTTGGCACCATATGTGTGAACAGCACATAGATAGAAAGTGTCCAAACTGTGGTTGGGGTTTGCCATTAATGCACATGAAGAGGGCCAGAGAAATGACAGACGAAGATATCAAGCCTATCATAAAGAGGAAGATCGAAGAACTCGAAGCACCCAACCATGAAGGTAGTTCCGCCAGTTCTCAAGAGTCTGTGGAGAATCCAAGTAAGAAATTGAAAACTTCACCCGAAGAGGTGAAACAGAAGATGAAGAGAAGACCCTGGAAATCGGTTTACTCTGAAAGGTTCAAGTTGGAGAAGAATTGGAGAAAGGGAATTTATACCACAACCACATTCAAAGGTCATACTGACGGTGTCACCTGTTTACAATTCAATAGAAAGTATCTTATGACCGGTTCATATGATGCGACAATTAAAATTTGGAAAGTTGACACTGGGGAGTGTTTAAAGACTTTAAGTGGCCACACAAAGGGTGTGAGATCCTTGGTCTTTGATTCTCAAAAATTGATTACCGGAGGGTTGGATTCTACTATTAAAGTATGGAATTATCATACGGGTCAATGTATTGCTACTTACAGGGGTCACGACGATGCTGTGGTCTCGGTAGATTTTGCTAACAAGTCCATTGTTTCTGGCTCAGCAGATCATACTATCAAGGTATGGCATGTTGATTCTAGAACATGTTACACTTTGAGAGGCCACACTGACTGGGTCAATTGTGTCAAAATTCATCCAGCATCCAACACTGTGTTTAGTGCTTCTGATGATACCACAATCAGAATGTGGGATTTACAGAGCAATCAATGCTTGAGAGTATTTGGAGGAATGGATAATAATGGGCATCTGGGTCAAGTTCAAAGTGTGATTCCTTTCACCTACAAGGAAAATTTAATTGAAGATGGCCATGATAGTGATGCGGAAGGCCAGTCACATCGCGAAAATGCGGACACAACCGAGGAGAATGAGACAGATGGCAATTTACGTCCATGCGATGGAGCGGACGATGAATTGGCCAGCAATCCCAACTACCCTACTCATTTGATAACATGTTCTTTGGACAACACTATTAAATTGTGGTGCGTAAAGACTGGCAAATGTATCAGAACTCAATTCGGACACATTGAAGGAGTTTGGTCCATCAACGCAGATACTTTCAGAATCATTAGTGGAGCCCACGACAGGTTAATTAAAGTGTGGGATTTGCAAAACGGAAAGTGCCTTCATACATTTGCCAATGATTCATATGTCAGCTGTGTAGGATTGAGTGACTCGAAGTTTGCAGCCGGATTAGAGAATGGGTTAGTCAAGATGTACAGTTTCGAATAAGAGTGAAGAGACCGCAATGACGAAAAGAGCATATTTATTTCAATGTGATTGTATTATTTTAGGGAAGTATAGCTTCTAATCTAATGGGTTTATTAATTTATTTGTAGAAATTAGAGTGTATCCCACTCCTGAGTAGACTGCAAGGTGAGGTATGTATCTACGCCTTCCTGTAAATTTATGCATTCAAACTGTTATACAATCAACCAAAAGTTATAGAATACTATCCCAAAATCTGCGGATAAATAAATAAAGACGAGTTATACAATTTATGAAGGCCAGCCCCGCTAATTTAGCGAACGAAATGAATATTAGATACAATGATGCAAATCAATCCCGAAGGAATGAGGAAACCTCAAAAGGATTTCTGTTAGTTGTGATATCCTCTGAGGATTGTGAAATGGTATCGGGTCGGTTTTCGCCAGTGCTATCTGACGAAAAGAAACAATATTTGTCCAATAGTTGTTTATAATCTTGAGGGTCCATGTAATTCCTCGAGGATGGCTTCTGACTGGCGGCAATATTGGAGTTTGAAGAGTTCAATAGGTTGATATTAGCTTGGTTGAATTTGCTCTTATACTTTGGTGTTGGTGAGTCAGGAGTAACGCGCTTCCTGGAAGCAGTAAGTGAAGGGAGATTGGCATCCTTGAGATCGGCAATTCTATCGTCCTTCGAATTCGTAGGATTATGCAATGATGACAATAATGGAGAAGAGAGATAAAAGTTATTCTTGACAAAATCATTAATATCTGACGAGGAGTTGTCGTGATGATAAAGTTTGAGATCTGTATCCTTGGAGCCAATTTCAATCTGGGAGTCCGAGCCTCTTCTTTTGAGATACGACGAGGAGTACTTGGGTCTTGCTGCGTGCTGGTTTATTTGTGTCAGGGAGCCATTGGAGTTTCTGGAGTTGACAGTCTTGATGAGCTTGATGGAGTAGTTTTTGAAGTTATTGTTGTCCCAGAACTCCTGGTTCTTGATGTTGTACTTGATGCAAAGCTCGTAAGTCCTCTCCTGGGACCTGCCGTCATCGGAGGTATTCTCGTTCGAGTTACCAGTTAGCCTGAAGCTATTGAATAGGCTATCCAACGGGATCTGGAAGGTAAATCTATCGTAGTTGTTCTTCTTCAATATGTCAGGTCTATCGGCCATGTATAAGGTGGGGATTTCTATGATGGTCAACCAATTATCGAGTGAGTACCTGACAGTCAAGTGCTTTTCGAACGCCATATTTTGCACGGCAATGTGTCCCAAGAGGAACTTCTTGTCCACTGTGAGGAACAACCGCTCCAAAAATACGGGGGTTCCCTCCTCCACCCGCTTGGAGTACGACAAGGGTGCAAAGTTGAGAAGGTTCAACTGCCAGTTGATGAGCTCGTCGTGGTGGGAATCGGGGTACTTGGTGGACGAGGCCAGGTTGTTGAGGTTGAAGCCGTGGTAGTCTTCCTCGTCAGTGTCGTCGGTGTAGTCATCACTGTTGCCGTAGCCGTCATCGTCAGTGTCGATGTCGATGGTCCCGTACTTGCCATGGGCAGCCTCCAAGGTGGGCGAGTTGGACGCAGAGATGGTGCTGGGCTTGTCCTTCTTCTTGAAGTACCGTACATCGGTGTCACAACCGAAATGGACCTGTTTGTAAGTGGGGGTTGTGGGCAACGACTGCGATCTCTTGCCCAGAAAGTAGGAGGACGAGTCCTTGAGTGACGGCTTCAACACCTCACCTGACTTCTTACGGACAAGTCTGTATTCCGGCGAAGACAGTGGCATGGGTGACCCCGAATGGACCGATTCCTGGGGCAGGGCCATGGCTGGCAGGTAGGGACGTGATCCAGAATCAGCAGGGGCAGGCAGCGACTCGGACAGAGGCGAGTCGATGCTGCGGTTTGTTATGCTGTTTCTTCTTGTGGGGTCCGAGGCCATGTCGAGCTGCTGCTGGGACCTGCTGGGCTTGTGGATGAATCTCATGGAGAGAGGCACATTGGAGTGGTCGCCATAGGTGAAGGGCAGTCTTGGGATGGGCAGGTTGTCAGGAGCAGGGGGATCTGTGTCGCCCACGGAGTCTGCCATGATACGTGGAGGACTTAACTTTTCCCGGGGCAAACCCATTGCTAAGCTACTCATAACTACTCGGGGGTCGCCAAATTAAGGGCTGAAGGGCTTATATAAATATCTTGCTGTTCTTACTAATAGCGAAAAATTTAACCACATTAGGCGAATTTGGAGCACAGTGAGAGGCAAAACTGACAGCAGCGGTGAATGGGGTGATTGCAGCAAGCGCAAGGTACCGAAAAACCTGGTCTACTTGTGAGATGATGTATTGGGGTGCGTTGCGACGCGTATGTACGAGTCGCATGCGGGGTGGCTCCAATTTACGAAGGGAGTGGTGGATTGGGTGAGCCCTAGCCTGGGCTGGTTGGAGGGGGGAAGGTCCTGGTGGGTGGCGATGGTGGTGGTGCAGGTGGGGACCCGGTAGCGCAAGGGATGTGACCCTGCACTCCAGGGGTCGGTGGGTACCATGGCGTGGTGGTGGGCCAACCCAACATGACCCATCGCCAGATAGGCTCTGTGCAGGGCGCAGCCCAGCGCTCTTATGCGGGAGGATTCGGATGCATTTAAGTTGCGGGCGACCCGGGTGCCATCAGCCCAATCGGAGCCATAATGCCGAGATCTGCTGCTCACCACACTCCTTAAATTATGCATTAGTATCTGCACGGGCTCTCACCCGTTAGCTGATGTTGAGTCTATAGACGCTATTGTAACAACTGCCAAACGAGTAGCACACTGCGCCACCCGCTAGCACCAAGAATTCCCTTGCAGATGCTGGCGCACCCACCGCATTCTCACCCGGATGCGCAACCTCAACTACCCCGAACCCGATGAATACTGGTGGGTGCGCAACGTAAATGGATTCAGGGATCTCAACCGTCTTAATAATAGGGTTATTTTCCTGCCATTCCAAGACATGTGGGAGGGCGAGGGTAATCACCTGGTGGCTGCGACGAACAATGTCGTGGGTCGAAACCCCCCCAATTATCAAGAGCTTATTCTGGGTTAACAAACACTTGGCACCAATTCTGGCAAATTGTGGATGCTCCATCACCTTTTGCACCCGTACCGTGTCGCCGTCGATGGTGAATTTGTAGAGCTTGCTGCTGACCCACGGATGGTCTGGATTCTCCATTCCTCCCACAATCACTCCAAACTCCCCGTTGTATGCCATGGCACAACTGTCCAAATTAACAATAGGGTCTCCCACCACATTCAAGCGACGACTATTTTCTCCGTACATAACAAAGAGATCCCCCGCCTGTTGGAGACCTCCGAATACGAGCACCTCGTTGCCTATTCTGACAGCGGAATGGCGGGCTCTGGGGTCGGCCAAAGAGGGCATCTGCTCCCAAGTTTGGCCGTGGCGCAACCTGTATACGTCTGCGAGAAGCTGTCCTGGTCTAGACCGGCCCCCAATCAACAATGCATCCTGGCCGTTGATTGCCGTGAGGGTGTGACACATCCGGGGGCTGGGAACGTCGCCACCCACCTCCATCTCGGCCACCTGCCCGTTGGAATACGACACACTGCGGTCGGTTCTGGTCTGGTCCAACCCTCCGTGGACCACCAATGTAGAACCCACCGTTTCGACCGCAGGAAACTTGACAGCAACCTGCAACTCGGATTCAAGCGAGAATTTCACGGTGTCATCCACCACGAGCGGCTCGGGGTCCGCTGGTGCGGGTCCGTCATATATCATTTGTGCCATGTTGGATGCATGCACTATCACATAGTGCTGGCAGAAAATAATAAACTCTTCCCACTCATCGAAGGTCTCGATTGGGCCACCTTGGACCGGGTGTTCTCATCCACCAAAAATAACCAGTTTCCGAGTAAATTTTTTATTTCAACATGAGGATAGTATTGGTGGAATCGCCGGATTTGGTCTTGTGGAAGCGGATATGACTCCACACACTGCAAGGGCGACCTCAAGTGATTGAAGTGATACATCATTTTCTGAGCAAACGCACAATATTTAGTATCGGGCAAGATTTGCTCCAAAATAATGAAATGGGAGTTGGCCACCAGGCTGGAGTGGTCAATGATAGCATTGGCAAATTCGGGCTTCATGTATGCCAAGGACACCTCGGCAATAAATATGTTCACTGACTGGGGGCTCAAGAGGTAGTCGATCTGTTTTCTGTACAATTTTTCATCTTTCAAGTCACACCCAACAAGTTTGTAATTTTCAGTGGAGAGCACAATCCCCACTTCTTTCTCCTCAGCCTTGACGCTTTCGTGATAATTGATGAGGGTGCAAATTTCGGGAGACTCCTTTATCATCCGCAGCTTATTCTCAATTAATTCGGGATAGTCAAAGTCCAAGAAATTCACCTTGACCTTACTGCCCGTTTCTTTGAATGAATTTAAGAGCTGAAAAGGTAAGGGATCAAACCCGCATCCCAAGTTTACCACATTGATCTCCTTGTCGAGATTCTTTTCTATGATACGCAAAACCATTTGCCTTATTGACTCCATTCTGATCCAATATCCACGGTTGATCGCAGGTGATCTTCTCTTGGGCTTGGGAACAAAGAATTTAAACCACTCTCCCATCTCGGGACTGATTTCTTTGGTATACAACATCTCTACCGATCTCTTGGATACGATCGATGAGTTGTTGGTGCCCTGGACTTGAAGATCATCGTATTGTTTTCTTCTTCTGTCCTTCTCTATCTTCTTACGCTGTCTTGCTAACTGGTTAGCATCTAGCTTGGGCGTAGACATGGTGGTGATGATAATTTTTCAGGCATCGCAGTTTTGATAATAGATACCAATGGAATAATGGGGTAGCGCGCACCCAAAACGAATCGATACTAGCCTTTTCTACAGAAGTTCAGGGAATCCTGGTACATTCTTGGTTCGCTATCAAACCTATATAGTACATAGAAGGCCATGCATGTGAGGTTTACTCAGTTGGCCCTGAAGGCCTCGGTTAATTCGTTATCCAACTCTTCAGGACGAATAAATTGGCATCTTGTTAAGAATCTGGCAGCTGCCAATGTGGCCTTTAAGTCCTTCAAGTATGAGTTGGAGGTGTCGACTTTTCTTGGAGTGTCTTCGTCATCATCTTCCTTTTCATCTTTGGTCTCGTCCTTGTCAATCTTCAATCCATCACCACACTTGATCCAGATCTTTCCATTTATTCCAATAGCAATTTCAAATTGACATCTTGAAGCTAAAGTTTCCAAAAAGATGTTGCTAGGGTTGAATAAAAGTTCTCTGGCAAAGTTCAAGTTCACATCGAATATGTAACCTGATTCATCAAGTAAACCGAAACCTCCATCTTTTCCGGTGACTGGATCAATACATTCTATCTCAATATCAATCTCTGGGATTGCTTGTGACACTCTAGCATATACTGCCTGACCATTTTTCAAATTAGGTCTGTTCTTTTTAGTGGCATTAGGAAATGCCATCATGGACAATAATACGTTGGTTGAATACTCCTGAAGCTGTATCTTGTATTGCTCACCAATAACTCCTACCACTATTCCGATCACGAAATCATTTGCTTGCGGTATGTATCTTTTTGAATTGGAATCAGTATAAACAACTTGGTTGGTATTCTTCTTATTAACTTTGACATTCAAAATTCCAGCGGACGAAGGAATCACCTTTTGGGACTTTGGATTTTTGTAAATTCCTGGACCGATACTTGTCTTAATACCTTCGGTCTCTATGCTAAGTGAATCACCAGGTATTATTATGCGTTGTGACATTCTATGCTATGTAATAGTATTTGATAGTGCAATCGAAGTAGGCATCTCATTTTTTGATGTTGCAAGCTCTATTCAGAAAATGTCGTGCGACATATTTGAGAAGCTTAACCTAGAACTTGGAACTGCAAAAACCTTAGCAATAACCTACTTGAGAACATGATTATTAACCTCAACCAACTATACTTTGTAGTTCAAGGGGTAATAAGGAAATTGTTTCCTCTAAGATAATTTTTAGAAGCAATTTATGGAGATTCTGTCCAGCATAGCTTATCGTATTCTGTGAGCTGAGGCTGAGATAAGAATTTAAGCGAGCTTTCAAAGCTCATATCCTCAATGCTTTCAGAGTGGTCTGAAACAGCTGGGTCTTGATCTTTTCGCTGAATTATTGGGAACATAATGAGCCTGGATGATAAGCTTGGGTCGTACGCATCCAAGGACCCTGAGTACTTGTCTAGTTTCTTTTTGGACACTACCATACTTGCTCCTATGGCCCTTCTTTTGACAACTTGACTGGTACATGTACATGCCAAAGATTTCGCCCCACATTTGATACAGTTGTTGGTAGTGGGAATGGTGTCACATTTTGTTTGTTTGAGCTGGCATTGCTCACAGGAACACCATTGTTTGGTGACATTGGTATTCATGGGCTGGGGAGACTTTAAGCTAGCAGAAAATTCACCAGGACCATCTGGGAAATCGATTAGGAGGGGTTTACTCATCTTTTTGGGGTGGGTAAGGGTGTCTCCGTCAGTGGCTCCACGATTGTGTTCAGTAATGGGCTCACTCGGTGTGTCCGTTTTCTCGAAACTTTGAGACTGAGTATTGCAAATACTCCTTGGTATGCTCTTCAAACGAGGCAGCCAATGAAATCTACAAGAGTCTTCAAACCTCTTCAAACAGCTCTTGATTCTAGAAAATTCTGAAAAGTAGACCAGCTGAATTGCAGTATTAAACTCTAACCTCCGATTCATTTTTTGAGCTTTTGGGACGAAAATTAGCCAGTAAAGTTGTGAAGGAAGTAACTCCTTATTGTATATTGGGTCAAACAATCCACGAATTTTAGGCATGAACATACCGTACCCAGGTTGACTGTCAGAGCTCGGAGCTATCTCAGTTTGAAATACACCATCTTGGAAAAGCTTATTGAATACTTGTCGAACATTCTCATCGTGCCTATCATCACCAATATTTAATTGAAACATTTCATAAACTTGATCCATTGTTGGGATTTCTCCATTGTGCAATATGTGTGCCCATAGGAGACGTATCCGCATTAAGAGTTGTAAATCAGACAGTATGGGAGAATTGAATTGACAGGTGTAGCATGAAAACGTTTCAGGTATTCTATTATTCAAATAGCCGTAACAAGGTATGTTAACCACACGGTTACACAAATAACATTGAGCGTGACTAGAAGTTCCCAATTGCATCAATTTACAACCAGAATCACAACTTAAAGTACTATGGACTAGAGGAAGCAGCCTGACTGAATTGAGCAAGTTTTCGGTTTCCGGATCGTCTCTTTCGATCACATCTAATGGGTCTAACCGAATACCTTCAAACATTGGACATCTAAAATCAATCCCTAAGGACTTTGGGGAAAACTGATTGTGGCTGTTAATGTCAATACTAATTTTTGGCGCATCATCAACAATGTTATCTTCAAAATGAGCAGGTTGGTATTTCTTAGGACACGCTTGGTTGTATAGAATCCGAATTGACAAGAAGATACGGTTTGTTTGCAACTTCAACTTCTGAAGCGACTGTATCAATTCTTTGAGGGGTCTCTCGTTTGTTTGAGGCTCACTGGTTTTAGATATGGAGAATACATATGCTTCCAGAATGGTTCTCTCATCAGGATGGATACAAAGCAGGAAACCCTTCAAGTATCCCAACCTGAGAGTGCTTAGAACACCCTGTTCAATCCAATGAAGCAAAGTGTCGGCCAGCAGATCATTTCCTTTGGCAAGTTTCATACATTTCAATCTGGTGTCACCAATAGACACAGCAGTGAAGGCAGACTCTTGAAACATGTTTCTTAGATAGCATATGCTGCCAACTGCAGCATGGATAAACTCTTCTCGACCGATATGGTGGCTACTTGGTATGCTTATATTGTACATTCCAGTTTCGGGAGCGAAAGACACTGGCTGCAAAATGACAATAATTCGCACGACACAGGGACGTTTCGTGTACCGGGGAACTCACTACCATCTTACAACCAATACTTGTTCGTGTACCATTACGGGAGCCTTGTCTTCACTTCTATTAGTTTAAAGTGTGCCGTATGTGTAATTGTCTACGTCTAGAATAAGCTAATTAGTTTGCTGGGCGATTTTTAGCAGTTTCCTTCGCTGGTTTGCTAGTTCCACCAACTTCAAGGTACGAGCATTCTTCAATTCCTTGTTTCTTGTCGATCTTTCCTGTTTCTTGTGCTCGTCCCAGAAGTAGCCCACGAAACCGTCTTCTACGCCCTGGATCTTCAACAACGAAAGAATATGATTGCAATACTCAACATCCTCGGGGAATTTCAAGTTGTGAAATGCTTTACCCGAGCCCTTGGCCTGCAATTCTGCGCTGTATTCCTGGTCCATTTCTTTTTGGCTGGGAAGGGAGTAGCGTCCACTAAATACTCGAGCAATGAGAGCAGCCTGTGACTCTGCAAATGGCATTGGTGCAATAAATTTGTTCAAGGCCACAAATGCCAAACTTGGGTCGTTGATGTAAAATATCTGCTTGTAGAGGTTGTGCACCTGCAATCCATCGGTGATCACATCAGGATAGGACTTCAAAAACGGAATGTCATAGAGGTAACCAGTACAAAAGATTATGTGGTCGATGTTGTCGATAGTTAGATCTTCTGTTGTTATCAGCCGAGTGCTTGCCCTATAGTTGGTCACTAGTCCGATGTGTTCTACTTGTTGATGAGGAATTCTTGTCGTGTTTTCGGGATCTCTGGTTGACACATAGACTTTTTCGGCATATACTGACAACTGGGTGGAGATATCGGAGCCACTGGCGTAATTACCTACCACAAGTACCTTTTCCCCCACAAACTTGCTACCATCATCAAAGTATTTTGCATGGCTGATTGAGTTGGGCCTCAGTTCGTCCCATTCTTTGAGCCCAGGGACGTCAGGAATGTAAGGAATATCGAAATGACCATTAGCAACTACTACGGCATCATAGTGCAAGGTGGAAGCCACCGTTCCATGGGTGCCCTGAACAACAAGCTCCCAATCTGCGTTGTTTGTTAATGAGATCACATTGGCCAGGAAATGAAAGTTCACCCCAGAAGGGATGGTTTTGGAGTATTGAACAACATAATCCAACACCTCATTCCTCGACGGAAAATCAGGAGCCGTCGAAGGAAACTTGACATCCTTGAACTCCATCACGTCTTTGAGGAGATTGGTTTCGAGCTGGCTGTACATGGGAGAAAGAAACTGGTTTCCCAGGCCACCGGGCCCCACTGATTCTCGGGCACCATTGTGAGTGGATGGCACGCTGGGTCGGAACCTGGCTTTGTCGACATCATAGTTCCAGATGCCTCCCAATTGGTTTCGTCTTTCGAACAAATCTATGGTGAACTGGTGGGGTTCCAGCGCCAATGCCTTGGCAGCGGCTAGCCCCGAACACCCGCCACCGATGATGGCAATCCTACTATACTGGCGGGTCATTTGGCTGTCTTCATGAAACCAAAGCCTCCAGATATCAAGGATCAACCCGCGACATCAGCGCCATAATTCGTAATAGCGAGTGCGTGTCAAAAATACGCCGGTCCTAGCGAAAGCATGGAACATTCTGCTTGCGCCATAGCCGTTCTACGATAAGGTTGCGATGCAGTGGGTCCAGTGCTCGCTAGCACGGGGACGATGGCGATAAGCTGTCGCTAGTGCCCCGCGGGGGTTGGCAGGTGCCAGGCCGCCTGTCGTGCCCTCCCCACAAGAATGACCAAAATTGGGGGTTGTGTGGAGACTCGTTTTGCTCGCAACCTCAGCAATCAGCTGCGAAACAATCACGATAATCAATGTCAACACCACCCACACAACGGGATTAATATTGACAGGCTCTTGTGAATACTCAGAAGAATAACACACTGGTAATCTAACGCTACGTTCCTTCTCACAACACGCAGACCAGCATGTCACATCCAGCTGCTAGCGTTAAATCCATCTTCAGCGGCAAGGTCAACCTCGACTCCCTGGAAGACTTCGACCAGCTAGAGTACCCGTCCAATCGCTCCTACAACCTTGAGTACGACAAGTCCAACTTTGACTACGAAGACGATGCCTCGTCTAGGTTCAGCCATGATTCTAACTACAGTTTTGGCTCCAAAAACGGCTCGGCCAGATTGTCGGAGGCAGGACCAGGGTCAAACCATATTTCGAGGCTCTCTTCTGGCTCGTTCAACAGCGATATCCACCAACGCTTGGACAGTGAAAGCTCCAGCATGATGGGCAACCCCGGACAGGAGTATACTCCTTCGTTGTCGGAGCCCATTTCCAGACCCCTTTCGAGAAATTCCACCACCTCGTGCCTCTCGGTCACCGCCACCAAAGATGGAATTGAAGGCAAGAAGTTTCATAGAAGCGGACCCAGTCCCTATTCTGCCAAAATCATCGCCAACATGATGTGGAACCAACAACAGCAACAGCTCCATGGCCAAGGCTCTCTTAGCCCAACTCTTTCCAATACAGGTCCCATTCCACCCTCGAAGTTGGCACAGCTCAACAGTGCAAAACCCCCTGAATTCCCATCTGCTCGCACCCCAACCATCTCATCTAATATCTCTGAGCAGAACTACAGCCAGAACTCATTTAAAACTACGGATGCTGAGTTTGATGGTGATGCGGGATTTTCTAAAGAAAAGAGAGCCACTCTTTTTGAGAAAGACTTTGCCCATGATGGCAGCATTCCTCCTCCAATCACTCTAAACGAAAAAATTGACATGTTGAACACCGACACATTGGAAAAGAGATGATGTATATTGTATCTAATGTATTTATTAATGAATAATGACAACCAGGATAGGTGCCACCAATATGACGTCAAGCACGTGCACAAATCACGTGCACAAATAATGTATTAAAGATTTTTCAGATCTATGATTCACTTCAGCAATGTTGTCCAGAATCTCCAGAAGTTCAAGACTTTTAGTCCGCGACTTGAAGCTCGCCAGATCTACCCCTGCCTTACCATTCAAGAGATTTCAATCTACACTCAAATCTGAGCCAACTGAGGTTTTTACCAAGATTTCAGATGATAAAGATCCACAGAGAAGTGCCTTCTTTCAATACTCTTGGGGTTCGTGGTTGAGCGGTGACAAGGCTAAGAAAGCCCAAAGAGAAACCAGATTCTCAATCGAAGGTGCTGCCAGCCTTTTCAAGGAGTTGCATGGAACTAGAAGTGACTCCAAGAATGTCGATAAGAGTGGTGAGCCATTCGTCAGAGCCCCATTGACATTGAAAGATGGAACCTCTGTCTTGAGCAGTAACTTGACTAGTAAGATCTTAGGAGATGGCGAATTGAGCATCAAGTCCATTGCCAGTATCCACGAGGGAAAGCACCACAGAGTCTACAAAATCTCTTTGAACACAGGAAAGGAATTAGTTTTAAGAATCCCTTACAAGTTAGAATCTGACTTTGCCATTCTGCAAAAGATCAAGTCTGAAGTTGCAACCTTGGATTTTCTTAACTTAAAGCTTAATGCTAGCGTACCAAAAGTGCTTGCATACGGTACCTCCAAATCCAACCAGCTCAACAGCCCATTTATCTTGATGGAATTTATCGAAGGTGATTTATTGATGAAGAACTGGGATCCATTGGCTGAGGACAGCGAGGAGACTCAATCCAAGTTGAAATCAGTCATTGATCCTATTGCCGATTTTCAAGAAAAGGCCTTGAGTGTCACATTCAACAAATTCGGTTCATTGTACTTCCATGATGATGTTCCAGCTGCCCTTCAGGCTGATGCTCCATATGATGGCGAGGAGAACCCATTATTGAAGAACAGATGGAGAATTGGTCCAAGTATTGAAAAGTCGTATGCCAAGAACAAGAACAAGTTGAGTGAGGCCCAAGTCAACCAATTCAACGGTCCTTGGAGTGCTTCCAAGCCATTGGAATTGATCTCATCTTTGGCTGGAATTGAAATTGAAAACTTAAGAAACGAAGCTGTGCACTCCAACCTTGAGGAAAGTGATACCCATAAACAGCAAATCGATACCTTTGAAAACCTCAAGCTCCTTGGATCCAAATTATTCAACCCAGCCTCTCCTTCTATCATGAACGTCGAGGAAATGTTCAAGCCCAGATTGTATTTGCCTGATTTGGACCCATTGAATACCATCGTCGGAAAGGATGAGAAGCTTACCTTTTTTGATTTCGAGTACGCATCCATTAAGCCATTCATTTTGACCAATTACCCATCTTTTGTTGCCTACCAAGGTGTCAAGATTTACAACTTGGAAGAGGATATTCCTGGTTACAGTGAAATGGACGAGGTTGAGCAACAGCAATATCAATTTATCTATTACAAGACCAGAAACGAAAGATTATGGGAATTGGCATTGAACGAAAGACGTCACGATTTGATTGCCATTGCCTCCCCTCACATTAAGGTATTGAAGAGTCCCTACTTACAAGCTTTGGAATTCAAGACCCCTAAGGACTACTTGTATATTGAGAGCTGTATCATTCAGCTTAGATCTATGTGGGAAGCCTACGTGAGCAATTCGTTATGTAACAGTGATGATGCCAAGTTCCCAATTGAGTATGACGAGGATTACTTGACTCAACACGAACAACAATTGATGGCTTACCAAAACGAAGTTCTTTCAAGCCCATTTGTCGCTACTGGTGGATGGATTCCTCAAGACATGTTCAACACCTTGAAGGAACAAGGAATGATTGTTGAGGACAAGGAAGGAAACTATAAGATCGACAGCGAGAAGGTTTTGGACGAGTAAGCACTGTGGAAATCGGTGTCGACTTGAGGCTGTGGCCCAAACTATGTACATATATCAATGCCCTTCGTTTGCCTGCTTTGTAGTAAAGAGTGTTGAAAACAATGAAAAGTAAAGGACTGGGTCGAATACTATGAATTTAACCCGCCAATTAGGAGGGTGGCCAAGTTCTATGTTTTACTTGACTCAGTATGCGGTAACTATTTCCTTCAATCATGCTCCGACTTGCCTCCTGTTTCATCGAGATAAGATATTTGTCCGGTATTAGAGATCGAAATTACCAAGTGGTAGGGTAAAATTTTTGAATAAAGTGTCGTGAAAATTCCCCAGTGTCCTGCCTGGTATGAAGGCGCTTCACAAGTACTTCTTCGCAATTAATTTAAGTCTCAAGTCAAAATCAGGAGAGACAATTGCATCATTGACAGAATAGAACGGATTCAATAAACACTTCACGTAAAGATCGTTGGCCTCAATGAAGAACTGCTTTATGGAACTATCGTCATACTTCTGGGTGGTTCCATTCGATACATCGTAGCACAACACGAATTTGATATTACCTTGGGTGATGAATGCGTTGACTAAAAGCCCGTAAAAAGAGTCAATTTTACCCAAATAAAACAGGTTGGTGGTCCATTGTGCATCCTCTATGATATCCAAAGAGGAATTGGAGATGAAAGGGAGCATTTCTTTGATGCTTGCCGAAAATTGGGACTTTCCTGGCACCGAAGTCGATGTGGACATGGCCAGGGAGTTTTTAAATGAGGAAAACTCAAACTCGTAGACAGGATTGTCGCGTGTTCCAATTATGCTGAAGTAGTAAGAAGTCATGGCTGATGTAGTTGGAAAACCGGAGATACTAAGTCTATGAGAGTATACCCAAAAGTGATCTACGGAAAAGTGTAAGGCGCACTTTAAGAATATTTACAGGTTAGCCTCGATCATGTTTTGATTTTTTGTTGTGGTCAGACACTATCAATAACGAGACACTTGCTGGAGATAACCACGATAACGATTGCACAATAGAGACCTACACCACGTCGGAGTAATAGAACCGACACACTCTTTCTAATACCAAAACACCGACGCTTCTACCATTGAATTTGAGCCATTCTGCGCCATTGGTAAACGGAGATGTTCAAAGATACTATCAAACACCAATACAACCACCAGGATCCCAACAAACCAAACTTTGTCTTCTCGTCTGACATCCCTGAGAAGATACTGGGGCTAGTGGAACGGTTTTTGAGTCATAAGGATGAACAGGACTCAGGACTGCGGCGATTAGATATCGGCACGGACTTCGAATTCAATGTGAATGTCGAATTGAACTCACTTTTGGTCAGAAACAAAGACTTGAAGCCCACAGATTTAATAAAAGAGAATTTGATATGTTTGGCCCGCTCAAACACCAAGAGAATGTCCAAGAATATTGAGAAAATGATCTTTTCACAACCAAAATATTCAATCCAATCTTACGCATTAATATCGGATGAGATTTTCATTGTGAACTTAACATTAAAGCTCTTGGAATTTATAATGGATGAGAATGTTAACCAAATAGCCATAGACTTTTTGAAAGATGAAAATTATGGATTATTACTATTATGTGATGAACAAATGATAGATCAAATTGAGCGGTACATTAGAGTTCGTTTCGTTAATGAGTTGAACAAACATATAAGTGAACCAATAGTGATAGGGGAGATCGAACTGAAGATGCCACATCAGAAGACTCTTCAAAAAGAGCACGTAGAGTCTCCCGATGAACAACAGACTAATCAACATACTAATGTCAGTGAAATGGAAACTACTGTGATTGAGCATTTGTTGCCTGTACCAGACCAGATCTCCGTCAGTGATTCTACTTTAGATGGTCTAGAAGACCTCACAGTACGGGATAAATCATTTGTTTATGAAGACGAGGCATCTAATTCATCCTTTGAAGAATTGTTGATCCTTAGGTCAAATGACACTACCCGGTCAAATTCTAACGATGAAGATGAGTATGGGGAGGCCCAGGCAAACAAATCCAAGAATTCCCAGGAAAATAGCAGAATTGAAGGGTTCATTAAGAACATGGACAACCTTAGACACAACGAAGAAAAATACATCAAATTAGATGATCTACTAGAAACCGAGTGTGGGCTTGATCTCAAAGATGATGAACATGTGGGAACTTTAGAACCACCTATAGAATTGAAGCTGGTCATTAGCTCGCTGTCGCCACAGAAAACAGTTACTGCAAACCTGTCAACTTCGTCATTTGTATCACCCACTAAAAAGAAGTCGATCTCAAGAATGAGTAGTGCATCCTTCTCAATGATAAATCATCATGAAGATACTTACGGGTTGGAATATGCCTTCAAAAACAAGTCACCTTTGGTACCAACATACATAAAGGAGGATAAGAAGTTCAAATTTATCAAGGTAGGTAAGGTGCAGAAATTCGTCAACCTTTTTGAAGAAAAGTTGGGGGACAAGCCAGAAAATGGTTCCAGACCCCCCACTCCGATTTTAGAGTCTGAGACCAGTCATTTAGAGGGCTAGTGGTCTTGTACAGAATAATCCAGGTCGCAAGTGACTCATGCGATTATGTAATATTGTGATATATAGATATAACCATCACTACATAAGGACGAAATTAAATGAACTTCCCATTTTAGACAGTAGAGACGTCTAGCAGACTCTAAGTGGATTTCAGGGCTGATTTTCATTCACGATGCTATTCTCAATCACAGAACTGATGGGACTCACCAAACTTGGAGTGAAAGACGGGAAACATGTGGTTTCATTAGCCTGATTCCTAACGTTCGTGTGAAGCCTCGATAAAGTCAGCTAGCTGGTGCGTCATTAAGCTGGCTTCCAGGGGGTCATAACTGAACTAACGGAAACCCATGTATGCGTATTGGATGGGGCTCGTGCAACGAGAGTCAGGTTGTGACTTAATGATAGGGATTTGGTACAGTGAGCTACTGTACATGCAGCAGGTATCATAAACCGTTCAACAAGCTGCTTTCTTGCGACACAAGGCCACGAGCTGTACCAGACAACCAGACAACAGACTGTGTGAATATGTCCCCAACTTGGGAACAGAGGGTGTAGCTAGATTTGAGCAAACGGCTTCTTTTCGAACTGGGCGATTCTGTTGGTCAACTCGTTGAACTGGCGGAACACCTGCTCGGTTCCCTCGTCGTGGTCCTTCTTCTTGGACGGATCCACCTTCAAGGTGCCGAGACACCAAGTCTCTTTGAGGGAACGTGAAACAGACAAAAGGTCCTCGCAGAGCCTGATAATCACCAATGCATCCGACTCGATGGTGAGCGACTCCACTGCAAGCAACTCCTTCGGTTTGTCCTGGTTGATGGACACCTCGAAGATGTCCTGGAACTTCTGGAGGATCTGCTCGATGTTGGTGTCAATCCGTTCTGATGTTAGTAGGGCTGGTGGGGGGCATTGGGTGGATGCTGAGCTTAGCGATGGTACTTACGGAGCAACGCGATGGATTTGGGCTGCATGGCACTAGTGTTGTGGTCGGTTAGTTTGTTTCACCGCTTCGATGAGTCAAACGCGCGGGGCCAGTCCACCACTGGGGCAGGCCCTAGCGAGAGCTTCGAGCCCACCGTCTCGCTAGCATCCCAGACGTGTTACCAGGGGGATGGTAGAATGCATGCTACCAGTGCCAATGAATCTCTTCCCGTCAGGCGTTTCTCGCTAGCATTACTGGCTGTGGTGGTGGGTCTCTTCTCTTATCGTGCTGCAAACTGGCCTGAGTCATTTTTTGTGCACTATATAAAACTGAGCTGGTGCTAGGCGATTTCAATTTCACCTTCAGCATCTACCATGGAAATTCACAAGCCCATCCTCAAGTCTAATGTCTCGTCCAACGAGTTCACCTTCGACGCCACCAGCCGTGACTACAGCACCGACTCGTTAGCCAGTGTGTCAACACAGCCGCCCAAGTGGGCCTATGGAAGCTCGCTTCCTGGTTTGTCAAGGCCAACCTCCGGTCTCAGTTTGTCAGAAAGAGGTTACACCTCCACCGTGCAGCCGGAAGTGCTCCAGGACCAGCTACTCCCCATTTCCGAACAGCTTCGCTCCCAAGTATTGGAATCTAGACTGAGAATCTCCAACATCCTCAGTGGGAACGACGACTTCTTGATCATCGCAGGCCCCACCTACGTCACCGACCCTCTTGAGTTAAAGGCATGCGCAAACTGGTTGGGCCTGGCTTCCAAGGAGGTAGCTGTGTCTCTCAGGGCCAATATGACCAAGTACAATACCGAGAACCCTGATTTCGCAAATCCTTCGGTTATGACGTATGAGATCAAAAACGGTCTTCCTTACTGCCGCTCGTTACTCCGCGAGGTGGCTGAAGTGTGTCCTTTAGTTGGAGAGATTTCTGACACCCTCACACCCCAATACTTATCCGACTTATACTCGCTCAGTTTGGTCAGTTCCACCTTCGTGGAGTCTCAACTCCACAGAGAGCTCGTTTCGGGTGTCTCTTACTCCGTGGGCTTCAATTCCCAAGATTCCCATTTACCTTTTGACAAAGACATGTATCTTCACCGTGTGGGATCCGCGTTGGATGCAATGTACGCCGCATCCCAACGTCACCAGTTTTTATCCGTCACCAAAACCGGCCAGGTGGCTGTTGTTGGTACTACCGGTAACGACGAAACATTCATTGTCCTTGAATTAAATTTGCAATTGTCTTTAGTTGAAATTGAAACTTTATTCCAGAAAGTTTACAATTACTCTCTAGCAAAGTTCCAAACTCCTAAAGTATTGTTGGATTTGGGAAGAATTTCTCAGCAAGACTACGACGAAAAGTTTAACTTATTGAAACTGATTCTCAGCCACTCCGACTTGAGATCTAAGATTATTGGTGTATTGATTGACAGTGGTGATAACTATATTTCTGACAGAAATGCAGAAGATCCTATTGGTGTCAACGGAATAAATAGATACATCCAAAATAGGATTAGCAGAAGTGAAGAGAATGAAGTTCTCGAGGAACTGAAGGAGCACGAGTTTGAGTACCTTATCCATGCTGATAAGATGATCAAGGAATTGAAAAAGTTGAAAACCGACCAATAATGAAGACGTTCAAAAAAGAAGAAACCGGAACATTCGTATCACCAATTTTACCAAGTAAGCAAAGAACTTGTAAATATTCACAATCACCCAAATAAATTTTAATAAGATCACGATTAAATTCTCCAATGCAGAGTATAATATTTTGTAGTTGTTCCCATTCTTTAACTTCAAGCTCAATTCGGCGTCTTTGAAGGTTTCTGTGACAACATTGTTGCTGAACAATGAAGAGTTCAATTTATCAATCCTTTCATTAATCTTTCTCAATTCTAAGGAAAGAGAAGTATTGATTTCTCCAATCGATCTGTCACTAGTACTTAATAAATTATCAATCTTTATAGAATAATCATCGTTAATAAGATGGTTGATAGCCTTGACTTCATTGAGGAACCCACTATACAACTGCTCATAGATAGGTAAATGCTCGTCACTGATTTTCATGGTGAGTTCGAAAAGCTCGCGCAACTGTTCGTTAAGGATCCCTTCAAGGGCAGTGTCAATTGATTTGGTTAAATGAGGATAGATGTTGACAACGTAATTCATTCGAAGACTTATCACCTGTTCGAAGTAATTAAAATTCTTAATTGCCTCTTGAAGTTCTTTCACTCTGAGGTCTGGCTCAGGGCATTTGACAATTTCAGCGAGAACATCGCTATCCGGTTCGTCTTCACCAAATAGTGGTACGACTTCGTATGAATCATCGACAGAGCCAATTCGCCTATCAACTGAGCGTATACGCACATCGTTGACATCAAGCTCTTGTGTTGGTGAGATAACTCTTAGTTTTGGTGCTGGAGGGGTTGTTGGATCAAGCGGCCTAGACTCATCAGATCTCTCTGGCGAAGTAGAAACTCGCTTGAAAATTTGATCCTTCATAGGATCTTTGATCTTGGGTATATTATAGCCTAACTTACCATCATCATCATCGCCTGCATTGGAAGAAGAAGAAGAATGGGCGTATATCTTGCGGGTATGTTTTCTCATTCTATCTTTAAGTCTCATGGGCGACCTCGAGGAGGTAATTTTGAAGAAATGTCCATCGCTGTCATTGCTGGTGGTAGTTGATGACAGGTGCCTTCTTCTAGTTTTCTTGTCGGAACTTTCTTCCTTGAGTTCGTCGTTGAAAAGTTTATCGTGTAGTCTGTGCTTCAATTCTGCCGAGGAGGAAGAGGAGGAGTGTGACAGGTTTCTTTCAGCAGGAAACCACAACTGGCCCTTGGCGTTCTTGAGCTCGTGCCAGTGGCTTCTGGACCAAAGGAGGTTGCCCATTATCTCAGGTAACTCGATAGCCCAGAGCATTTTCCAGGGCTTTTTGGGGTTGGTGTTATTCTTGCTGAACACATTGGAGGCCAAAGGGAGAGTTTTGATGCTAAGGGGTTTTGGGTATTCGCCGTACTTGGCCCTGATCTTACGGTTTCGTATGATCTGAAGCGGGTTATAGACATCCTCCACTCCTGGGTGCTGGGTTTCTTGCTCTGAGATCTCGTAGAGCCTCTGGATGTAGAGGTACTTGACACTGATCATTGACTTGACCCTTTCTGCACGGATTATGGTCTTTCTCGAGATTTCAGTGCCTGCTACGCTGGGGGTGGCATTATCGTTGATGGGATCCAAGATGTTGCAGTCAATCTGCAACGCCTTTCTGGTTTCGAGAAACATGGATGCCATTTCGCCTACCTTCTTGGCGTCGTTCTGGGACGGCGACTCTACTGGCGATAGTGCTGGGGAATGGGCGATAGCGTCATCGAAGTCGAGGTCGAACCCAAAGCCGTCATTGACGGCTTCTTGGATGTCGTCCATACCTCGTTCTTCAGCAGGGGGCTTGTGACCAGCCCTGCGTCCGCCTATTCGCAAGGCACTGAGTGGCGATCCGTTCTGGCGGTCTGGGGTTTTGGAGGGCATTGGTGTATTGACTGTGACGCTGGAGAACAGACTGAACCGGGTGGTGTGAATGGTCGAATGGCGTGCTAGAGGAGATCGCGCAGTCCACGGCTGCTGGGGCGGGTAGTGGACGGTTGGAGGTGCTGTGGAAGAAGGGAGAAGTCTGGGGCAGGTACTAACGGTCAGTTTGTCTTAACAATGGATTCGCACGGGCCCTGATTTAGGGAGGGGCATATGGGGGGGCACGCGACGGCACTGGGGGGAGGCTAAGGAAAACCAGGGGCATGGGACAGGGCAGCGGTACGGCAATGGACAACTGGATGTGGGGAAGGAGATGGTGGTAGCACTGGTGGTGGTGTTGAATGCCGCCCAGGCGGTGAGTGGTCGCTGGTGGGGACTTAGCGGCTGCCAGGCCAGGTTGTCACCCCGACATCTCCGGTCCCGTTGCTCAGTAATTCCCCAGCCGTACCCCCAGTGGCCTCGCCCTACGCTCGCGCTAGCGGCCCGCGCACCGATAGCCCCACCACTACACAGTCACAAGATCGCGGTGCAGGTGGCAACACTCTACCACCAAACACCCGCCATGATCCAATTCGCCAAATCCATCAAAGACTTGGACGATTACGTCGCCCATAACAAGTACTTGGTGATCAACTACACCGCCGCCTGGTGTGGTCCGTGCCAGCATATCAAACCCATGGTGGACGCGTTGTACAGCGACTCCAACGAGCGCTACGCCAAGGTCGAGATCGTCAGAGTCGACTTGGACACCAATCAGGACGCTGCCACCCGCCACAACATCACCAGTGTCCCCACTTTCTTGTTCTTCGAAAACGGAGCCGAAAAGGCCCGGGTTAGTGGTGCCAACTTGAACGATCTCATCAAGGAATTGGACGCCATCAATAGCAGGGCCAAGGACGACCCCCTGGCCGGCAGAGCCGGCAACGGCGCTTCCTTCGAACGGGTTGCTGCCGACCCAGCTTACAACGCCATCGCAGGCAAGGTGCCCAAGGGTTACGAGGTGTTGAACGGCCTGATCCATTTTGGCGACTTCGAGGCCTTGAACGTCGATTCTCTCTACGGTGGTGATGTCAAGGACTTGTTTCGCTTGGGCGCCAAAGACAATACGACGGTGTACTCTGATGCCGACTCCCAGATGTTGCTCTACGTGCCGCTTCTCACCATCTCTAAGGTCTACTCCATATGGATCAAAACCGCCAAAGTGGCCAAAGCTGACAACATCAAGCTCGAGGACGACGAGATTGAAGAGACACAAAGTCCCAACCTTGTCAAGGTGTGGCCAAACCACTCAAGCATTATCTCCTTTGACGACGCCGCTTCCGATTCTGCTCCACACGTGGAGAAGATAGATGGCCAGGATGGGTGGTATGAATGCAAGTTGAAGTTTGTTCGGTTCCAGAACGTGCAGAGCTTGAACTTATTTTTTGATGGTGACGACGAAGATTACCATACTGTGATCGAGAAGATCTTGCTTGTGGGTGTTAACGGGGAGAGTAAGGAACAAGGCAAGATCCAGGACGATTAGATATGAGTAAGCATAGATAGTATCGGCCGAATAAATTCGCTTGGGGTGGGGCCGGTAATCTGTAAGGTGGGCCAGGGAGGTAAGGATGTATGCCTCAGTCAAGGGACTCTAGAAACAAGTGTTGATTCATTAACTTGAGAGAATTGCGTTGAACTAAAACTGGCTCTGTCAGTTAAGCACGCTAAAAGGTGAACGTTGCTTGTAATCTGAATAGTTTGAACTAGTTAAATATTCTTACAACGATTGGTGCATTTAATGGTGAGTATTCAGTAGTTTATGGGGAATGAGGATTATGATCGCAGTTTTAAAGTGTACCGAGTACGGCCAACTGCTGTGCTTTTCATACTTCGTAGCTACTCTTCAACAATAAATTCGGCAGGAGCAGTCGAGTTTTTAAAGGATCTAAAATAAAGTTCAAAAGCACAAGATCTTGTAAGAGAATAAGTGCTTGTTCAAACCGATCGTTTCAAAATTTGCTAAGTAAACTAAAGATTATCCACTCGGTGAATAATCTCTAATATACTTAAGATTTTACGAATGTTTATGTACCAAGTGAATAGAGTGGTTCAATCGAGATTGGTGCGGGAAGGTATTCGAAATCTGACATTGGATTTTGATAACAATTTCTAACCATTCTGTAGCTATCCTTATTAATAAATTATAGTTGAAACATACAATCATACCAACATACTTCGCGTAGTATTTTTAGAAGATGGCATTTGCTTTAATACACCCAAAAAAGACACCCAAAACAGAAGTATTAGTCTAGAGATGATTTATTGCCTCTGGCGATTAATACCCCATAGATCAGATTTGCAATGCTGGACAATGCCGAGGACCCATCAGTAGCAAAATCAAGATAAACACAGCAATTTCAAGGGCGACAACTTACCTTTGGCTAGTTTATTGAGCAGGGGAACTACGCATAGCTACTTTAATTATTGTAACATAAATCATATGATCTCTTTCAATTTTTGCGGGTCTGCTCCAAAATCCGAGGAAACCGCCAGCAGCTCCAGGAGATGCTTTACTGCTTCTACTTTGGTAGTTAATAGAGCTTTACTAATCTATGCTATAATCCCCGAATTTTGCTAATAATTGTAATAGTAATTTTGAAATCTCGTTACATTGATGGACAGGTTCGGATCCTCAACCACTAGAACTTCAATGTTCACTACAGGAGCTGAGTCGAAGTCATTTCAGCTCATAATGATTACCCAAGTGTCACGGAGTATTGGTTCTAAGAATCACGGTGAATGTAATGTGCCGAATCTGACAGCGACGCCACTGGACGCCTACCCCTGTAAGCCCAACCTACCGAGGCACATCGTAAGGCCACCAGCACACCCACGCCATCGGGGTTTCCGGGTGTGTCGTCCTGCACATGGCCGGCGACTTTTCACTCACTCTACTAAAAATCCCTCCACACTCACTTACAAGCCAACCACTAGTTACGACCAAAGGCACATTCCTTTAACAGTAACGGCTATCCCACGCAGTTTCCCCATCGCTCCAACCTATCTGGTCCATTCGCACCGTCTGCTGTTGACTTGTCGTTTTCCAGCACCGCATTCCGGTATTTGACCCAGTGGCAATTATAGACCTTAGACAGTGATAGAACACATCCACATCCAGAATCACAATGTTGAATCCAGTCTTGAGAAGAGTGGGACGCACATTGGTGAGTAGGGCACTCAAGCCTCGCTCCAGGTATCCGTTGAGACCCATGTTGCATAGACATACCAGTCCCATGTTCGTTAGGCTCCAGTCCACCAATGAAAAGAAGGAGGTGGAAAAAACAGAAAAGAAGTTGAACGACTTGGACAAGAACGTAGCTTCAGCCGCCAAGAATAAGGACCTTGTCAAGGCCGATAAGAAGGCATCCTTGTGGGACAAAATTAAGCACGAAGCCCAGCACTACTGGGATGGTACCAAGTTGTTGGGATTCGAAATGAAGGTCTCTACCAAGTTGTTATTCAAGTTGGTATCTGGTTACGGCTTGTCCAGAAGAGAATCCAATCAGCTCCAAAGAACAATTGTGGATGTGATCAGATTGGTTCCGTTCTCCATGTTCGTGTTGATTCCTTTCGCCGAACTTTTACTCCCAATAGCATTAAAACTTTTCCCAAACTTGTTGCCTTCTACCTATGAATCCAAGCAAGACAGGGTCAAGAAGAGGGCCAAGTTGTCCAAGACTAGAGTCTCGGCTTCTGAGTACATCAAGAAGACCATGGAAGAATCCGGACTCAAGTTGTCTAAAAAGATCACTGAAGCCGAAAAGGAAGCGTTCGTTTCATTTTTTCACACCATTTCCATGGGAAAGAACCCTACTAGAGAGCACTTGATCCAGGTGGCAAGAATGTTCAAGAACGATCAAGTTTTGGATAACTTGTCCCGTCCTCAATTGGTGGCCATGACCAAGTACATGTCGTTGAGACCATTTGGAACTGACTCTATCTTGCGTTACCAGATCAGACACCGTTTGTTGAACATCATTAAGGACGACAAGGCTATTGACTACGAAGGCGTTGACTCATTGTCCGTCCCCGAATTGCACATTGCTTGTTCGCAAAGAGGTATCAAGACCACCGACGTTTCCCCTGGCAGATTGAGAGAAGACTTGTCCACCTGGTTGGACTTGAGATTAAGACAGAAGATCCCATCCACCCTTTTAATTTTGTCTTCCACTTATACCTATGGTGATAACTCCCATAGCATCGAAACATACTACGATGCATTGTTGGCAGTTTTGTCGTCTATTCCTGATGAGGTTTACAACGTTGCCAAGTTAGAGTTGTCCGATGACTCCAAGTTGAAGTTGAACATGTTGAAGGAACAAGACGAAATGATCAACGAAGAAAACTTGAGAGAAAAGGACACCGTCAACCAAGTCAAGGACAACATCAACTTGGATGAATACGAAGACGCTGCTGGTGAAGGTATGAAGGTAGAACACGAAGACGCCCATGCCGAGGAGAAGTCCACTAAAAAACACCAGGATGCCAAGGAAGAATCCAAGGCTTGATTATGAGTTACGATGTGTAATTTTTATTTATTAGCTTATGGCATATCAGTGTAAGAAAATTAGAATGTATATATTTGCAGCACAAGCCGGTCACTTCCGCAGTAGGACGAACCAATGAAGCGCTAACCTTACTACCTATTTAACAATTGTGAAGCATGCCAGAATATAGCACAAATGATGTAGTGACAATTATCAATGCATGGTTTGGGTGTTTATCTACCAGTAGATCCAAAGGCACCCTCGCCTCTGGCAGTTTCAACCAACTCTTCCTTGGAGATTTGTCTGATGTCGGCGTTGATGATCTTTTCCAACACCATCTGGGCAATTCTGTCTCCCTTCTCGATCTTGAAATCTTTGTCGGAGTGGTTGAAGAGAATGACCTTGATTTCCCCACGGTAGTCAGCGTCCACGACACCAGCACCAGTGGAGATACCGTGCTTCATGGCCAAACCGGATCTTGGAGCCACTCTTCCGTACGTGCCGTAAGGAACAATCACGCTGATGTCAGTGGCGACGGCGCCTTGGCCGTGGCCAGGGATCACAGCAGCTTCGGCGGAGTAGATGTCGTATCCAGCGGCCATGGCGGAGCCCTTGGTGGGCAAGGTGGCTCTGTCGGATCTTAAGAACACCTGTAAGGTGTTAGATTGGTCGAGCTTTTCCTTCTTGAGAGCTGGTTCGGTAGTCATAGTTGTGTGGAAAGAGATGGTGGATTATGGAAGAAGAATTGGTCGCCCTTTATACGCGTCGCGCGTGGTTGATGCCGCACACGCGCGGCAACGAAAAATACCAACAGTCTTCACTGTCAAGTAGTTTGTGCCACATCGAAGGAGGAGTCAAATCGAATAATTTTGCCAGTAATTGGCAGGGGTTCCAAGTTTGGCTGCATGCTGCTTCCAGAATATTGCGGTGGGGATGTTTGGGAGAAATTCCAAACACCGTCAGTATGGTGGGATATGCATTGAAAGGTGAGGCATACACAATTATTGTTACCTGACTAGCCACCTGGTGGTCTAGTTGATATGGTTAACAAAATGGGTAGAGAAGTATGGGGCTGTCTGGTGTAGCATCCGTAACGTTCTGATGGTTGCAACACTCGTTTTTGCTGGTAGATACTTTCTCTTTCAGAGGAAATGCCAGATCTACTTGACGTAAATAAGAATTGTTGGTTTCCTATACGATTCGTGAACCATTTACCTTTTGGGGTGAAAAATCCAACAGTTGTGCTTACAGCTGCCGAAGAACCCAGTCTTCTTTTTGCCAAATACAAATTGTGCTTTACAATTCCCTTTGCTTGAGGAAAAGCCCAAAACTACTATCAAATTGGTTTCTAAAGTAATCTACCGCGATAACGACCAGTGAAATCAATGATTTCACGTTAAAATGTGTGCTCCTGAATAGTCTCAACTACTGCACCTAGAAGCCAAGTTCACCACGGTAGTACCCCCTGTTCATGTAGATATAACCGTGAGTCTTACTTGCCCTATCGGTCACCCAGCAGTAGTCGCTGTCAATCCCCTCGACTCCTCCAGTGTAGTAGAGGTAGTCCATTACAATGGCAGTTTTGATATCAAGAAGCTGCTCTTTGTAACGTCTGGAATTAGTGGTTTTGCGGTCCATTTCCCCTGCTCTTTTGGCATTGTTGTCCAAGAGGGCCCAGCCTCTTGCAGCATCAAGAAGCGGTCTGGTAGAATTCGCGTGCTGGTCCAAGTATCGATGAAACAGAAGGCTATGGTAAGGGCTCCGTGTAAGCGTGCTTTGTTCGAGCCTTCGAGCCTCCTTCTCGTGATAGTAGCTGCGGGACTCCGGAACTAGCTGCTTGAAGAGCTTGTCTACTTTGCCCCACGTATAGTGCTGTTGAGGGTTGTTGTGGACCAAATCGGTGTAGAATATGTGTTTGGCTTTTCTGGCCGAGTTACGACCAAACGCCTCCCTTATCAACGTGTCATAGTAGTCAAACTCGAACTGAAACGCTGCCTTCTTGCGGAGCTTGTCTTTGATGATCTCCCACGGATAAAGTCCCAGCAACGGATACGGATTCCAGCGAAGGTTGTCGTCCAGCAGCCTCTTTAAATACTCCACCACCTCGTAGCCCTTCCACACACGTAGTTGTTGCTGGTACTGCCATTTTGTGGGAGTTTCGAGACGGTTCCGCTCTTCTGGCGAAAGGCGTTTCCAAAGGCCCACCACTCCATTCTTGGTCCGATTGCCAGTGAGTGACTTGAGAAGGCCCAAGCCAGCACTTGGAGTGGGTGGGGGAGTTATGTAGCTGGGACCCTGCTCAATGGCCATTCTGTGGTACCTGGAATACTCGTCATAGGAGATGTGGGGCCATTCGTTTGGCAGGTGCTCCTCGATAAAGTAGTCGTAGGCAGTGGCGATCTTATCAGGAAAAAGATGCTGGTGGGTAGTGGCTCGCAATGGAGAGTCCTTGTTACAAGGATACCCTATCGAGAACGGTTCTTTAGTCCATTTAGTGCTGAGATAATGAGACTTGTGTCGTATGAATGTACGCATCGGTTGTTCAAAATGCGATAAGCTGCGATGGCTTAAGTCTGGAGCGGGCCTGAGGGAAATTGATTAACATTTTGGGCTTAAACTCGTTTTCGGCTCTGAATTCCATGTGCTATCTATTTATATGTCTGTTGAATGTTTATCCTATTTGCCAGTTTATAAAACTTATGGCCATAATAATAGAATTATTTGATTATTACTATGAAGTTAATATACTTGAATTCCGAAAAATAACGTCAATTCCTCTTGGACTCCACTTGAATGATTTATGAGCGCCAGGGGAAGAGAGCTTTGCTTTCATTTATGTATCAGTCCACAGTGTCGAGATAAAATTTCGACCACCACTCTGATATCATATTTTGTCATCTAATAATACTATCATATACTTCAAAATATTGTGGTTATTAGATTATTTACCCCATTAGGAGAGTCAAATTTCTTGTTGCAGCTCATACATTGTCTGAATGATGTTCGTAGTCGAGCACTGGTATCTGGCTCAGCTTGTCCGGATAACTAGAATCATGAATGAACTTCGTAGTGTTCACTGGAATTCGTTGGTCTTATAGATTGAACTGAATTATATATATTGAGTCAATGAACAAAAACAGACCAGAACAACTATTGCTGGAACCTCCTAGCTTGAGCTGAAATATGTCCATCTATATGTTGCTAGCCTCGGTTCGCTTCCCCAGTTGCTTCTATTACAAGCTCTTCCTGCTTGAAAGACTCGTACAATTTCACTTTTAAGATACACGGCACCTCGGTATCAAACATGTCACCGGTTCTGTGTCGACCCTGGTCCGAAACTGGACGAATTATGTATGCCTCCTCTTCACCCAAGCTCCGGTCTCCCAGCAACATTGCCGTAGATTGGAGAAAGATACATTGGAAACACACCAATTGAATAAATAAAATGATTATATCGGACATCACGAGTTGGATTAAACCCAACTGGGCCATCTTGAGCCATATGGAATCGTTTTTATCGATGTGTGGGACTTGTTCTCCGATAAATGACACGAACCAGGAATCATGCTCTAATTCATGTAAGGCGCCACTATCTACTAGCGGAACTAGCCATTGACATACAAACAACGTATGCCACAGTATTGTGAGCACGGCTTTCCAGCAAATAACGAGCCAGAGAGTACTTCTGAGCACCGCCATCGTCTGAGCCCGTTCCTGCGTGCTCAATTCTCGGTTCCAGAAGAAAACGTTAAGCTGGTCCATACCATTTGTGAGGTTGACTAGATCGTGGTTGAGGGCATGTTGGAGCGCCACGTGCGCTACGACCGGGAAAAGACATGCTGAATGACAGTACTTTATGAATTGGTACCCCACAAGAATATAAGCCGTGGTTTCGAATTGTGAAAGCAAATGGTGCTGGTGCTTCGTCTTTTGGTTTATTTGGTGGTTCTTGCTGAACAGGTCTAATTGCTGCTTGTTTAAGATGCTAGTGGTGGATTCGTTGATGGTGGTTGACCTCGCACTCTCGGGACTCGCAAGTGTAGGGAATGCACCAGGCATTCGGACACTCATGATGGCAGTGGTGGTGATGAGGTAGTGAAATGGGTTTGAGTGGCGGATCAATACCTCGGCACGTGATAACGCGCGTGACTACATTAAGTACTAGTTTAACAAACCATTTTAGCTAATGAACAAACTTATAGAATACATACTGCTTAATTGAACAAAGCACCAATGTCAGCAGGCATTTCCTTGATTTGGGTGGAGTAGAACTTCTCAATTTCTCTCATCATACCAACATCTCTGTCAGTGACAAAGTTGATGGCAACACCCTTTCTACCGAAACGACCACCTCTACCAATTCTGTGGATGTAGTTTTCTTTGTTGGCTGGGAGATCGTAGTTGATAACCAAGGAAACTTGTTGGACATCAATACCTCTGGCCAACAAATCGGTGGAGATCAAGATTCTAGAAGAACCGGATCTGAATTCCTTCATGATGGTGTCTCTGTCAGCTTGTGGCAAGTCGGCGTGGATGGCAGAAACGGTAAAGTTTTCAGCCTTCAACTTGGTGGTCAAGAATTCGACCTTGGATCTGGTGTTACAGAAGATAACGGCTTGGGTAACAGAGATGGAGTCGTATAAATCACACAAACAGTCGAACTTGTATTCTTCCAATTCGACGTTGATGAAGAATTGCTTGATACCTTCCAAGGTCAATTCGTCCTTCTTGACCAAGATTCTGACTGGGTTGTTCATGAACTTGGTGGTGACTTCCAAAACGTCTTGAGGCATGGTGGCAGATAACAAGACAACTTGGGTAGTTTCTGGCAATAAACGGAAAATGTTGTAGATTTGTTCCTTGAAACCAGAAGACAACATTTCATCGGCTTCATCCAAGATGAACATCTTGACGTTTTCGGTCTTGAAGTATCTTCTTTCGATCATGTCGAAAACTCTACCTGGAGTACCGACAACGACTTGGACACCGGATCTGAAGGCTTCGATATCGTCTTGCATGGAAGTACCACCAATAGAAGCGTGGACGGTCACCTTCAAGTATAAACCGATACTGGTGATAACGTTCTTGATTTGCAAAGCCAATTCTCTGGTTGGAGCAAGGATCAAGGCTTGGGTGGTGTTGGAGGTTTCATCAATTCTTTGTAAAGCAGAGATGGTGAAGGTAGCGGTCTTACCGGTACCGGATTGGGCTTGGGCCAAGACATCACGGCCTTCGGTGATTGGCAAGATAGCTCTTTGTTGAATAGCGGATGGACTTTCGTAACCGTAACCAAAGATACCTCTGACGATACTTGGCTTCAAGTTCAAGTCGTCGAAGCTGTAGACGACATTGTCGTAATTGGTTTCAATTAAACCAGAGTCGATTTCGGTAATACCTTCGGAGGCCATGTTGTTGATTTCCAGTGGATAAAGAAATTGATCAAGTTTTCATTTAAGTAAAAAAATGGGTGGTAAAAATTTGCTTGTGTCCGGGTAATGCGATGGGCACGTGATGGGACCCGATCTGTCTCGTGGTTTTTGCCACTAATCACGGATGTGGCCGATATCAAGATGGAGGAGGGGTTCTGGAAGGTTTGAGATGGTCAGGGGTCATGCTTCACCAGTCAAATCCGGTAGTGGGTGTCATCTGTGACGTGCCGTTCGAGACCACTTCTGCAGCGAAAAGAGGGGATGGATCACTGCCGCAATCGACCAGGCGCAATGGGCCTGCATTTGGGCCGTTGAAGTCCGCACCATCACCATGGTCCAGCTAGGTAGTGAGTGGTGGGCGTTGATGACTGGGCCGAACTGGTGGCATGAGCACGCCTGGAACTTAATCCAGACTAATTAGTGCGTTCTGTGCAGTAACTCCGCCTGAAGGGGGACCGAAATTCGGTGAAAATTGGTCCATGGTGTGGGTAAGAAAGTGACACTACCAGCGACTGGCTGTATGGGTAGGAAAAGCGTCAGTTCTTGGAACTGGTGGTATGGGTGACTTCAACGACAATTCTACGGGACTTCCATGAAAAGCTACTTTTATTATCTATGCTGGGTTCCATCTACTAATGTGGGCCTCTGGCTACTGGCTGCGAAATCGGAGTGCCTCAATCAAAAACTCGTTCGGTTCTTCCTCCGGCACGGAACTCCCAGGGGAAGAGTTTGGCAGGCCTGGAGGTGTCAGCCGTGTCATCCTCATCCTCATCCTGGACCTCTGGCTGGGGCTTGTCGTCCACGAACAAGCCCTCCAACTTGTCGCTGACGTCGTTCAACACTGAAAGCGTAGGAGTCTCGGGGGCCTTTCCCACAGCCTTCAGGATATCGGAGCCTCCATGCTGGTCTTCCAGTCCCTCCTTGACGAGCTCGTGCAACTTGTGCTTGGGGAAGTAGTCGGAGCCTTCGAAAACACGCTCAGGGCGAACATACTCGTACAAGCTGTGGCCGTGGGTGTCTTGAGGGGGTGGGTCGACGGAGTAGTGCTCTTGAGGAACCGAGTCCACCGCCTCGGTGACTGCACTCTCCTGATCTTGCGTGGTCTCCTCATCCCATGAGTTGGAAAATGACTTGACTCCATCAATTAATTCCTGGTTCACTTGGTGAGATGTGCCAGAGGGAGGCTCTTCCTTGGCTGGATTCCACGACGACTCTTCGGAAACCCCAACAGACTCGAACTCGCGGTAGTTCTGGGGGTCTAACAAAGCCGAGGGGCCAAAGGATGCCGAATGGTGGTGTTGTGGCTGTTCTTCCTGGGATAATTTTTGGGGTGTTTCATCGGTGGAAATGGCATCCTGAGCCCATATCACTTCATCCACCGACTTGTGGCCAAACCGAGACGACCAAACCTTCCACCACTCGTCATCGGGAGTGGATGCCCGCTTCCATGGCTTGACAGGGCCAATAAAATGGACCAATTTGATTTGTGACTGGCCAATGAACGACACTGCAGCAGCACCATAGTGTGAAACAGCCTCGTTTGCCGAGGCGACCAGAGTATCTAACGGAGCTTTCAATCCCGAGGAGTCTCCGGGACCTGATTCTAACCCTCCAAAATGCTTGAATGCCGGTAAGTATTGGTACTGGGCAGATGGGGTGACGTTGTACAAGAACGGTAACTTGACCCAGTTGGAGAATCTGGCTGCCGTATCCACGTTGCCGCCAGTAATTCCTACGTGGCGAACCCAGTCGGGGTTGGCATTGAAGTACTGGTTGAGGAGGCCTTGATCCGCTCCGTCAAACGAAACGTGGGGATTGGTGGCAGACTCACGGACAATTTCCGTCAACGCTTGGAAATCGTATTGGTTGGGCCGCAACAACATCATCCCTGAGTTGAAAATGTCGGGGAATCCGCTGTCGGGAGCAGCTAGGATCTTGTTGTGGGGAAACTCGAGCTGGAACAAGTCTAGAATGGTGCCCTGGTTGGGGCTGGAAGGCACCACAGGCAAAGTGTCGGCATCCAAGTACAACACCTTGTTGAAGTTCAAGCTCCAGAGCATGATTTTGGTGAAGGTCTTGTGCAATTCGGGACGGTGCAAGTCGTGGGTCAACTTGTGGACCAATTGCGACTCCAACGGCTTGACCTCGATCAATTCGTCGTAGTACTCGAGGAGCAAGAGCAACTGTGCAGCTGTGAACAACGAGGTGTCGATCAACACCCCGAGCGACACCGTGGTGATGGTTTCTGGCCGTTGTTGGAAGATGTTCCGGAGACTGATACCCAAGGCAAGGGCCCCAGGCAAGTAGGAGGGCTCGTACAAAAGGGTGACTATAGCGTTCATCGAGGGGTCCGTGGCCGTGTAGTAAGGATGTCTGGTGATGTTTGGGGGAACTTTCGGAGCAATGTTTGTGGATGGGTACGGGGTATGTCTGGGTTGGTGTGCAGGAGTGGGGAAGGGCTACCACTTGAAAGTGGTCCGGTCAGTGCCGGCATCGGCCAGGGGCAGAGGGGGCTACAGACACCAAAATGGGGCCAGATACGAGTCCGGCACCCGTGGAGGGTGCCGTGGCGTGTTGCCAATAATAGAGGCAAGAGAAGCCCGGTGGTGGTGGAAATTAACTCACGGTGGTGGTGGTGGGGTGATGGATGTCGCGTTGGGTATCTCGAGAACTGGAGTATGCGCGACATTCGACCAGCCCCTAAGCACAGTGGAGACATCCAGAGATGGTAGTCTAAATTTCGCCATCACTATTGCAATACATCCAAGGTGTGGATGCGGCCGCCTACACGCTTGTTAATGCATTACGTTTCTTCTGTACCTATTATGTTATTAAATTACATACATGAACTTAACGGGAGTAAGACCAGACGTTCTTCAACAAACCGTCTTGTTGAGCCAATCTGTTCAAGGAGTCGTCAGCTTCACCTCTACCTCTGATGTAACCGGATAAAGCGTAGGTGGTGTTGGAACCAGCAATGGCTCTTCCTTCTTCATCGACGTTGGCGATGTTGATTTGGACGGAGGCGTGGTCCTTGGCCTTGATGATTCTGTTGGTGGCAGAACACTTTCTTGGGACGTATAATTCGACCTATAACGTTAGTAATGTTCGCTGACTCCTGGCACACTCGGTGCACCAGTGTTGTCGGGTGTTTGGGGCTGGTTCATGTCTCATCTTATAATCTCTCACTTTCCGTCATAATCTGCCCAATCCTGCTGGGATCAGCTGCTTCTGCTACACTTGTTGTTCCTTGGAGTTCTTGCCCATTCTTCACATTGCAATGTTGTATCTCATCCATTGATTGGGCTTTGGTATTTGGAATGGTACGTCTTCTGATGAAATCTTGACATTTGACATTTGAACTTGACGGCTGGCATAACCAGCACCTTCGAACACTTCCGTACTGTGAAAATCTGTACTTACTAATTGACCTTTATCGTTTTCCATTTTGGCTGGCTATAATTTGTGACTAAAGAATGTAAGAACTTATCAACAAATTTTTCATCAATAGGGTGTGAGGGAAGCGTGTGATGGTGCCTGGTTAGGTATTGCGGTGCGGGACTTCCGGCATATGGGGTGCGAGCACGAAAAAAGTAACCGGTTTGAGGGCTGAAGCCCTCAGTCACGTGATATAGTATTGACAGCTCAGTTCCCCCAGGGTTGCAAGAACCCAGAAGTACCCAGCATGATACGTGGAAGAAGATGCCCCAGCTACGTCCAGGAAGCAAGACTGAACTTAGTGTTATGGATTGGCATATAATTCACTAGTAATAGGTCTGTTCCAAGGCAGGAACCCGTAAGTATGGCACCACTCTATACTTCAAAGTTGCAAAACTAGCATTGCAAATCCTTGCAGAGACTCGAATGACATTCTCTTAATATTAATGTTTTATTTTCTACATGATTAATGAAATTAACTACTTATACAACCACTGCTTGTGAGCTTACTTTCAAGCAAGTAAAACCCATCACTTTCTTCTCAAAACTGCAACACTTTCGACGTGGTGAGTCTGGGGAAAGAAGTCGAAACCCTTAATGCTTTCTACCACATACTCACCTCCATTCTTGGTCTCGTTGATGAACCAGTCGATATCTCTGGCTTGTGAATGGACATTACAACTGATGTAAACAATTTTTGCAGGATGATACTCTGAAAGTTGGTTCAAGAACACATCGTCACATCCCTTTCTTGGAGGGTCCAAAATTACAGATGTTCTATCAGCAGGGGTATCAATATTGCCGAAAATCTTCTCGGCCTTACCCACAATAAAAGTGGCATTTTCGATATTGTTGGACTTAGCATTTCTTTCAGCGAATTTGACAGAGTCGGCCGAGACTTCCACCCCGACGACTTTTGAAACATCACCCGAGCAGGTGATGGAAAATAATCCCGATCCACAGTAAGCATCAACCAAAAAGTTGGGTTCTCCAGGCTGGGAGTTTGGAATGGACAAGTTAGATCTCACGTAGTCGGTGACAATTGGCAAAATCGAATTGTTGTTCTGGAAGAACTCTCCTCCAGAAAACTCGAACCTGAATCCATTGACATACTCGGTAACAATTTGTCTTGGATCAGTCACACATGACTTGGTCAACTTGGTATCATTGATAGTAACCTCAATGGTACTCTTTTCTCCCTTCTCGTTGGTCGAGCCGGGCTTGGTCAAGTCACCAGTAGACAATTCAGTGTCCTCTCTTAACAAGATGGTAGCACCCTTGCGGTAGTTTTTGAAATCCCGTTCGAACCTTTGTTTTTCGTTTTTCATACCTATGTTGATGATTTCAGTACCAATCGAGCACTCCTCAATGTCTATAATGCTACCACTGCCGATATGCATGTCCTTTCTCCAGGTAGGTCTTCCCTTAGCACCAAACCCTAAGTTGGGTTTATATTCCAATTGGTGCCCTCCCTTTCTGTATGGCAAGTTGAAGTGAGGAGTCAACTTGGTTCTGTAAGTATATTGCAATGGGGATTCTTGGGTGTTTCCGATAGCTGGCAAGATATTGGCTGCCGACAATTTAGGGGCAAAAAACTTGAATGCATTCTCGATAGTCTGTCTCTTGAACACCAATTGTTGTTCATAGTCGACATTCTGGTACTGACATCCCGAGCACTTTCCAAAGTATTTACAGTTGATTAATTCATCCTTTCTGTAGCTAGATTTTTCAGTGATATCCAACAAGTCCGATTCAACGTATAATGGATGTGTCTTGAACACCTTGATCACACCAACATCGCCAGGCAATCCAAACGGAACTATGCAAATTTGTCTTTTAGATTCATCTTCAGGGTGTGGAATCACTGCCACACCATCTCCGTTGGACAACAATTTTAAGATCTTGACTCCGCTGACTTGCCTGTGGAACCTGTCTTCCACTTCTTGGTCGTTAAGGAGACGAGTCATGTCATTGCTGATGAGTTGCTTGGTGAGGCCGTGGCTCTCTAATATCTCTTCAATTTCATGCTGTAATACTCCTAACGGCGAGGTTGGCTCGGGAGCTTTAATTCTGTACCTTCTGCGGTTTACCTTTGGAGCTTTCTGTGCCTTGGCTGGTTTCTTGGCCTGAGAGTCGAGGCTCTGCTCGGTAGACTCCTCGCCTGGGACAACAGGAGTATCCTGGTGCTTCTTGGCTTCACTTTGCTCATCAAGAACGGGAGAAGCTGGTCTCTTCCTTTCTTCTACTGGAGCCATGATATGCGATGAGGTGATATTTAATGTCAACTCGTGAGTGAATTACAGACCTGTTTGTGAATCAGATTTCAATAATAATGTGCGGAAATATTGTTGCTGCTTCACGGTACTGCGATCCTAATTGAGAGCTTCGTTTGCCTTATCCCGAGTGATATAGTGGTCCTAGATATGCAACTGATATCATGAAAAAATGGTGATAGTCATTACACGTGACCATGGACCATGTGATCATCGGTCATAATACTAGGCCTGTGTGCTATTGGCTATCGTTAGTTGCACCCAAATCTCGTGTAATAGCTATATATGAGAGCAAACACTAATTATGAGTTATACTTTTCAGGGACGTTCGAGCATAACCACGAGAGAGGTTTTTTCTTTATAGTGCCATTGTTATCATAGCTCCTATATTCCTCTAGCTCGTTGATAATCTGTTCTTCAGTGAAACCTTTACTCTTACCAGTTTCAATAGCCTCATAGATCTTTTTCCTTCTCAAAAACGTCCGAGATTCAGTTTCATTTCTCCATTTTGTGCCGTATTTAATTTCCATCAAGCGAAGTGGAGGTTTGTCGTTTAATCCATATTCATATTCTTTCCAAATATCTGAGATCGTTTTCAAACTCCTTTCCAATTTACACTTTGGCAAATCATTAATGTTTGATGGATCATCAGTGATTCCTTCAGCACCTGTTCCTGTGGTTGAGCTAGAATCGGATATAGCAGTCTTTTTCCTCTTCTTGGGGCTTTTGGACTTCTTCTCTGTATCATCATTATCGTTGCTCGTAGATGGATGATTTGTTTCTGCGTTGTTGCTGGTGGGGTTTTGTCTGGATGCCTCATTCAAAGGATCGATTTCACCAGGAAAATAGTTGGTTCTATTTTGTCCCAGTTGATGTCTCAAGTCTGGACTCAAAACATCCTCAGGTGCCCGACTGACTGCAATAAATTGAGCAGCAGAGTTATTTGAGGGTAGTGAAGGTGCCGAGACGTACTTGTTATTATTAGTAGCTTTTGTATGTGAAGAAGGTTCATCCTCATTGGTTATAACCGCGTTTGGCAATGGTAATATGTACGAAGCTGATGTGCTTAACTGATGTTTGTCAAGTTGTTTTGACTTCGAGCTTCGACGCCGTTTGCGAGCTTTTCCATTTCCTATGGATTTGTCTAGATTTTCTGGGGTTTCATCAGTAGAATTATTTCTCAAGTTATTAGGAAGATTTATGGTGTCATTGATGGTGTGAAATCCTTGGGTTTGGGATGGTGGTTGGAGGAAGTTATTCTGAGGGTTACGTGCAGTTGGGAAGTTTCCGATATCAAAGTTGAACCTATTCAGTATGAAGGGAGAAGTAGGATTTGATACGGATGCAGGAATTGCTTTGGAAAATGGCGGTCGGTTCAACACATCCACATCCTCTTCGGCGTATCCATTAGGATGAGAAGTGGATTGTCTTGTCTGGGGTAAGGATGATTGTGGTAAAGTGGAGGGTTGCAAGTGGGGATTCAAGTGGTGTTGTGATTGGAGTTGTGGGTGCTGAGAGTGGGCAGGCGGAGCCACCGAGGAGTTCATGGCCAATTCCTCTATGTCCTTCCCAAGACCGGACAAGTGCTTGTTGAATACTTCAAGGAGCTTATTCTGGCTATTGTAGAAGGAAGAGTAGGAGCCGTTGATCAAGGACGGGTGCTGCATGATGAGTAATACCTGCTGGTTGACGTTACTTAGGTTCTGCTTGAAGCTCTCTATGGAGTCGTTGATGTAATTCAACTTCAAGTTGAGGTCGTTGATCTTCTCGTTGTTGGAGTTCTGGTAGTTGATGAAGTGGTTGTTCAACTGGCTCAATTGGGTGAACATGTCATTGAGAAGTGTGGAGTTAGAGCTGGCAGTTGCGGTGGAGGGCTGGGTGTTGGCTGAAGCGTTCGCAGTGTTGGAGGTGGTGCTCTGGTTGGTGGTGGGCGAGTTCGAGGTGTTGGTGGCATTGGTGTTGGAAGAGGCAGCATTACTGGACGCATTGAAGTAGATGGACTGGCCGGTCTGCGATCCGCTGTAGGTGTCGTTCATGACTAAGACTGGTGGAAATACAATGAAGAAGCTAAGAAAGGGTTGGATAAACGAACAGGAGGAAGTAAAGGGTAATGGCACCGGACAATTCAGGTTTTCATATCAACACAAGCAACGGGAGAGGGGATCCACAGGCAACGCGGGACAGTCCAGACGAAGCGTGGTTTGGTCGGATACGCTGAGGGTGTGATGGAATAGGAGCTGCTGTAGTCAGGTCAGCACGGTGGGCGTAGCGTGGTGAGGGCAGCCAGAGGATTGAACTGGGGAAGTGCTGCTAAGTGATTTTGGTTTGGTCAGGTGCGAAAATGATGGGCAGCGAAGGGAGCAGGAGCGAGACTTTGGCGGCGTGACAGGACGGTGGGCAGCGAGCTAGCGGGGAGGAAGTGGCGGCGGTGGCGGGGCGGTACGGTGGGAGGAGGGTGGTGGTGGGAGAATGTGAGTACACTTTATAATGAGTGGTGGTGTGTATATTATTTGTTTATTTTGGAGTTATTTTGGGCTCGGGGCTGGCATGAGGACAGCCAGACAGCGGAGATTAGATCGTACTGATTGGCGAGAATGAAGCGAGAGGCAGTAGGCGTGGGAGGGATACAGTGCAGACTACGGGGTGCACCGCTACGGCGGTGACAGCTGTAGTGACAGCGAGGGGGTGGGCATGGTGCAAGTGGTGATGACAGTATGCGGTAGTGACAGTATGCGTTCCCACTTACCGACAAGACTGTGCAGCATCTTGCTTGTAAATGCCGTCCAATGCCGCGCACGAACAACGCCGTGGTAAATCGACGTCATAGCCAGAACGAGACACATTTCCGCTTGCGCGGTCCACGGGATGAATGGCACCGTGAGCAAAGAGGTGGGCTATTGGTGGAGTCGGAAGTTTCTGCCAGGGGAAGTAAGGAGGTAAGGAAGTGGTACTACCACCACTACCACGCTCTCGCTAGCGCTCGCTCGCTAATGCCCCAGCAGCAATCTCGGGCTAATTAAATGTCGCAACCGCCCACAGGGTCTGACTGGCACCACCAAGGCCTACTCCGAGCCTGATTAGGTTTGCCGCGTTGAAATTTCGGGTATTTCCTAGTTTGACACCGTTCTGGAATTTCCATGCATTATGGACTATTTTGACTAATGGATTACCGAGGTGACTAATGGTGTAACTTCTGGACTTTTTGGGCTAATTATGCACGAAAATCCACATCGTATCCACGAATGTGTCCACCAGAAATTGGTATTGATAATAAAAATATTTGAAGTAGTCAGGACAGTATTATCAAGGAAGTTCGACTTTAGTTGCAATAGGGAGGATAAGTATGCTTGATAGCCAGTGGGTTAATCAAGGCAGTAAGGGTTTTCCCCGAATTGTTTAAAAAAATGAGCCAACTATTCCAATAAACAGAATTACACAATCAGTGGTGGCTAGTTGATTGGGGGAGTATGCAATTTGCAACGAAATATGAAACCATCATCAAACCACTGCTGCCTGGTTGAAAAAGGTGATTAAGGGGTCATTAACAGGGGCTTCGATAGAACTGCTGGCCATCACACCAATATGGTCAGCATACTTTTGGCTTCAATAAACCACCTCGTCAATTCTGGCAAAAATCAGCATTACACAACCCTACAGGGCTACTTCCACTTGAATCGCTATTTAATACTGCTGCGAGAGCTCTATTTGTGAATATATAAGTAGTGCGATGGTTTCACGGCCCATACGGCACCAGTCTCAACTCAATTGCAAGACCTCGGACACCAATTGGAAGCCCCAAACTGCGGTGGTGGCCACACCTGCGTAGACCACTAACCTTCCAATAATCTCCACGTCGTACCTGGGCTTAAAAACCCCGGCCAAAGGTGGCACCTTTTCAGTTGACTCTCGTCTCTCGAGACTAGGAAACTCCTCTACTGCTTTTTCCGGCGCTTCATTGGCGTACGCCAACATCTCATAGTAGTCGATTTCGGTCTCGGGACCCATGGCCAATTTCTGGTCATGCTCAGTAACCCCCTTGATGAACTTGTTGAAGTCACCAATGGCATTTGCACCCAAGTCGTTCTTACTCAAATTGGTGATTGAGGTGCTTCTGATATGGCGGTTGGATTTCTTGGTGTGGGCAGTAGCAATGAAATTACGACGCGGCAAATAGACACCAATAACTTTATAAATGGGTGGAAGAATTGTGAAAACGATCGGCTTGGAGATCGCCTTCCAGATCACTACCAACACCACTCCCAATGCAACTCTTGCGATCTGCTTGACAATTCCGAACGTCATGTAGTCATAGTTGACGAGAAGAGGATCTTGAAAGATGTTTTTAGATGCCAAGTATTGTGTTTTATACGCCACCAAGTGAGACAAGTCTAAACCAATGAGAACTCCAATGAAAGCAACAGAGTCGTCAAAACAGGGACAATCATCCACCGGCTCGGCATGAATATGAATCAACCCCACGTAGCCCATGATTATTCCTACCACTGTGGTCCAGGTAAAATCATTCGAGAATAAGAAGTTGTCCCACGCTTTCCCAAAGAAATGTCTAAACATAAAACATGCAGTTCCCACTGAGCATCCCACCAAAAGATCCAAAAATCCATGCATGCCACAGTAGAGACGTCCAAAAATTAATGATACATAATACACCGCCAAAATTGCCAATAATGTATAGTAGATGGTGGTGGAAAGGGTGGCCTGGTATTCTAAGACCTTGGCAGCTAGTACCAAGGTCACAGCAGTGGCATTGGCACTATGACTGGATGGGAACCCGTATTCTTGGGCCGTGTATCCCAGCATGGTGATTCTTTTAACAGGGGGAGACCTGGGTCTGGGCAAGCAGAAGTAGTCCTTAAGGAACCCAGTGAAGTAGATCCCGAGCCCTAAAACATGGACCAAGTCTCGAGCCAACGTGCTTGCTCCAAACCAAATGGGTATCGGGAGCATGAGCACATAGAAGGTATGGGAGGCCAAGTTTGCAGTCCAGGCAAAGTAGAAGTCGAGAAAAGGGGTGCGGATGGCACCCTGGAGCGATTTCAACACCTCAGTCTCCTTCCGTACGTATGGCAACAACACCGACCGGATCTTGTACCGGAAGGGAGATAATCGCACCTTGTAATGGTCGTTGGACTTGTTGCCTGCATCGCCTAGGTGGTTGGGCGAGAGGAGGATCTCGATGTCGGTGTCGTTGAGGCCCAGTGAAGGTTTCTTGAGGAGATCCTGCTCCAACTGTGACACTATGGTGGCTCCAGACACCCCTGGCTTCTCGGGGGAAGACATGGCACGAATGGTTGTGTTTCTGGGAACCACGGCGATGTGATGCTGATTTGGTGAAGCTTGCTGGGGTTTTTGGCAGCAGGGGTTCGTGCACTCTTGGTAGTTGGAATACGGCGTGCTTATTGAATCGGCAGTGTCCCCATCAATTCCTTAACGGTTGCAATGGCGTGGGAGGTTGGGTTTGGTGTTTTGGATATCCTTTTTTCCACTCGATGTGTAGAGCTGGCCGCGGCCCTAGCGAGAGCTTGGCTAAATGTACCGCGACCGTGGCGGGCTGGGCGCGCACGGGGCACTCGCCCAGCGGGAAAATAGCGAGAAAATGCGACAGCAAAGCCAGCAATAGGGACAATGGCGGGGAAATCACTGGCGCTCGCTCGCCAATACTAGACCCACAACTGGGTTTTACCAGGCCAGATTGTATACATTAAAGATCAGTCGCCAGGAACAGAGGTAGGGTTCCTCGCTAGGAATCCCCAGGACACATCAGAGGGATCCAGGTATCGTCAAACCCACCAGCACTGCCACTCCAGTACAGTCCCAGCCTACCCCTTTTCGTCACCCGTGTGCAGTACGGCGTAGACAACGACTAGAGGGAAATGAAACGCCATTACCGGCTTCTGGAAGTCAGAGTTCATGTGGTGAATGTCGATTACGTAAGCGGTACCGTGGATAGATAGCACATACACCGTGTGGAGGGCGTTTTCATGCCTCTGATTGCTACAGACAGCCTCTCTTTTTCTTCATCTGATTATGACTGCTAACTACAAAATGACGCACCGTCTCTTCTTCTTCTTGCGGTCGTTCCTGGTGAATGCAAACTCCTCCTCGTTATACTTGGACTCGCCCTGAAAGTTCCCGTAGGGATTTTGGGTGAAGTTGTCCTCCATCAATGGTGAGTCCAATAACGCTGCCGAGTCGGACTTGAGGTGTCCCCGTTTGGAGGTGGAGGAAACGTTTCTAGAATGGAGGTTGTTGGAGCCGTATGAACCTCCCAATGACGACCCGTGCAACACCCGGGAGAGCCTTTTCCTGGAGCCGGCCGATTTCTCCACCTGCTCTTGCATTTCAACCTGTTTCTGGAACTGGTTGAGCGCGAAGTTAAACACCATTTTGATGTTGAACATAGTCTTGGCCGAGCATTGGATGTATCCCACTGCATTGATCTCGGTGGCTAGCTGGATAGGAAGATCGGGATCGATTTGTGAGGGAAGATCTGCCTTGGTTCCCACCAACACTATGGGTACACCGGGACAAAAGTGACTCACTTCGGGAAACCACGTATCTTTGATGTTCTGTAGCGATACAAGGTTGTCAAGGGCAAAACATACGAGCAAAACGTCGACGTCGGGATACAGAAGAGGCCTCAACCGGTCGTATTCCTCTTGTCCGGCAGTATCCCAGAGGGCCAATTCAATGAGCTTATTGTTGGGAGCCTGCACAATGGTGACATAATTCTCGAAAATGGTTGGGACGTAGATTTCAGGGAACTTGTTCTGGGCATAACTGACAAGAAGGCAGGTCTTTCCGCAACCACCGTCACCTACCACAACTATTTTGAGGTGATAGTGGGCGTTCTTCTTGTTCAGTTCCACTATGGGGTACGATGGTACCACTGGGTCGTCTTTGATGATGATCTTGGGTGAGTTGTACCTCTGGAACATTTCACGACGCTGCTGCTCGAGCACCGATTGGCGTTTTGCCTTTTCGTAGGGATTGAACGAGTCTTCTGCGGGCATACGGGGGCTACCGTACGACTGGTACGAGCTGTGTTTCGACATGGGCGACTTTATGGGTAATTTGGGTAATTTGTTGAGCCGGAGAGCCAACGGTTAGCGAGTGTAGGATGAGCAACAGTGAGAATGCCGGAACGGACTTGGGGGATTGCGTGGGGTAGAGAAGGACCTCGAACGATAGACACAGAATCCCAGAGCCGGCGGAGGTGCTAAGGGGATGGCGGCGGAGGTAGATCTCGAGGTGCTTTTTTTATCAACAAATAAATATGGGGACTGCACACAGGAGATGGATCGGTCATGACGGGGCAGTGGCACCCAACACGGATGGGGTGGGAAGCAAGGATGTTTGGGGCGCCGGTGTGGGAGAGCTGAAGGGTGGGATATGCCTCCATAACACGGCGGCACCCACAAGACCCACAGTGGAAGCAGGGATGCACGGATGCTGGGTCAGTGGGTTCCGGTCACGTGACTGCTGGCGTTTAGGGAGTAGTAATTGTCTCCGAGCTCACAATGCCCGGGGAAGCTGGCAGGCAGTGCTGGTGGAAGTCCGCATGCAAGGAACCGCCATGAGCCCGCGAGGCCAGGCCACTGAGAATCCACAGCGAGCAGCAGGGAGAGTCAGCCTCCGCCACGGCAAATGTTCCGCTATTCGAAGCCAGCGGCAAGCTCTGCCAATCGAAGCCATCCAGCGGAAAGCTCTGCCAATCGCCCTCACCGCCACTACCACAGCCTGGCTCACCAAGAACCATCGTCTGGTCTCTACTGCTCCCTGGTCTCTCCCTGTGGCCTCCATCTGGCATCTCCCTGGCCTCTTCCTCTGTCACGTTCCTGGCTTAGGCTCATGTGGTTGCTCTCGGTGAGATGCTGCAAAATCCCACCATTGCTGTGGAATTTCCTTGCTTGCGAGTCGCACCCCACCACCACCAATTTTGAACCTTGGCTGGGAGAGCGCACTGCTGGGCAGCCATGTGGCCCCGCGAGTGTCACGGGAAAAACCTCTACTGCTGGAACTCTACGCCTAGTGGATCTACCCCTAGTGGCAACTACACCTAGAGAAACTTCCAGTGGCACCTCTAGTGGCACTTCCCTTAGGTAGCATTTCCTTTTGCTCCTGTCTTCCTGTCCCTGCCCTCAGTGCTTTCCCTCGGCTGCCACCTGCGCGTGCTCTCCACGCTCCTCGCGCCCGAAAAATTTGCCCCAGCACAAAACCGCAAGGCGGGCCATTTCTCCATTGGTCCTGACAGCATATATAAAGATGCCTCACCCTAAAAATTTGGCCCTGAGACCCTTCCTGATCCCCACCAGACGTCCTACCTGTCCTACCATTGATGGCGACCGCTATGTCCCTAAGCAAGAACGTGTACCAACTATCTGCCATTGCAGGCTCGGTGTCCCAGGTGCTAACTGGCGCCTCCACCGCTGTCCAGAGAGATGCTGCCCACGTTTACGCCTACTCGTGGATGGGCTACCCACTCAGAGCCTGTGACCTGGCTGCCGACGTGTGGTCTGACGCCAAGTCCACCGCGTTACAGGCCAGAAACATGGCTGAGGCAGTCAAGAAGACCAAGAACAAAAAGCCCAAGAACACCCAGAAGAGGGCCTACACCACCTCTGCTCGTTCTTCCTCCATCACATCCACCCGCTCGTACTCTACCACCTCCACCCCTCACTTCGACCACCTGAAAATCATCGGCGATGCCCCCGTGGCTGACTCCAAGGACCCCAACAAGTTCGAGATGCTGAGCTCGGAGGTCCCCTCCACCAGATTGGCCCGGATTTTCCACTACGGCTCGTTAGCCGCAGGAATGGGCCTCGGAGCCGCCAAGCAGGGCTTGAAGCACTACGCCACCGGCAACACGTCCTCACTCACCATGAAGTCGCTTATCTTGTCGCCTGCCAACATCGAGCGTATGGCCAAGAAGTTTTCCAAAATGAGAGGTGCTGCCCTCAAGATTGGCCAGATGATGTCCTTCCAAGATTCCTCCATCCTCCCTCCAGAAATCCAGCAGATTTTGATGAGAGTGCAGAACTCTGCTCATTACATGCCACCAGGCCAATTGGAAAGAGTGCTCGTGCGTGATTTGGGTCAAAACTGGAGAGAACGGTTGTTTGCCTCATTCGACGATGTCCCAATTGCGGCTGCTTCCATCGGCCAGGTGCACAACGCCGTCGCCCACGACGACGTCTCGAACACCGTCACCCCTGTTGTGGTGAAGGTCCAGTATCCTGGTGTCGTGGAATCCATCGACTCCGACTTGAATAACTTGTTGATGCTTCTTACTGCCTCCTCCATCTTGCCGGCCGGCTTGTTCCTCGATAAGACCATCGCTAATGCTAGAACCGAGCTCAAATGGGAATGTGACTATATCAGAGAAGCGCAAAACTTGATGAGATACCGCGAATTGGTTGGTGATGACGATGCATTTGCTGTGCCCAGAGTTTTCCACAACTTGTGTGGAGAGCATGTATTGACTATGGAACGCATGAAGGGTGTTGAAATCGTTAAAGGAAACTGGGACCAGGCCACCAGAAATTGGATTGCTTCTAACATCATGAGATTGTGCCTCATGGAAATCAAACACTTCAAGTTCATGCAAACTGATCCAAACTGGGCCAACTTCCTCTACAACGAACAAACCAGAAAAATCGAATTGCTTGACTTTGGTGCTGCTCGTGATTTCAACGACGAGTTCATCACCGACTACGTGCATGTTCTTCGTGCTGCCGTTCGCAAGGACCGTGCTTCTGTGGAGCTCTACTCCAAGAAGTTGGGTTACCTCACCGGCTTGGAGTCTCCACAGATGACCGAAGCTCATATCGACTCTGTGATGGTTCTCGGTGAAGCATTCTCCCCTGTCGACAACCAAGGCAAAGCCTTTGACTTCCAGCACCAAACTATTACTGACAGAGTCAGAGAAAACGTTGGTGTCATGTTAAGTGAACGTTTGACTCCACCTCCCGAGGAAACTTACTCCTTGCACAGAAAATTGAGTGGTGTATTCTTGCTCTGTTCAAAGATGGGTGCCACCGTTCCATGTGAAGATTTGTTCAGAGAAATCATCGGTTACGAAGACTAAACTCATGTTATTTTATGTTTAAAAGTTAATGAGCCGCCGCTCGAAATGTCCCCCTAATACTTAATGAATCATGCCCGCTTGTTTTAATAGATCTTTTTGTACCAATTGTTGTATAGTATGATTAATAAAGTAACGATAACTTAGTCAATTTTATAATCGTAATTTAGTAATAATAATGATATTCAAGATTACAAAATGACAAATGAGACATGAGCGGTATTTAATAATAGCATTCAAGAAAACGAAATGAATATGATCTAGACATTTGTTTATATCAGTCACTTTAATTTTATTTAAGAAATCGAAACTAAATCCTAGAGCTATGTCTCAGCTTTAAGAATAGTAATGTTAATTTCACAGAGTTGACACTTGAGTTGAAATACAAAAATTAACCTTTAAGTAGTTAGTACCCCGGATTTATCGGCGCATCGCGTGCCTGGAATCCCAACTATGAAGCTTTACCTCGAGATGATATGTTACATTTGATGACACAGTCATGGTTTACTTGATCCTGGAAACGTCACATGGGCTTGCTCCTCGAGCTACCCAAAATTGTAACAGGAACACCTCGTAGTACACTAGTTTGTCACTGGTTACGTAACTTCCCCATCCAATTGACGACCTTATCTCTCACGTGACCTTATGTTGATGATGGTTAGGTTTCCCCATCTCCTTCTCCAGGACCCCTACGACCCCCACCATGTCCAGCCTGCGACTCGATGCCTCTACCAGTCTCGCAGCCACCGATCCCACACTCCTCTCTGTGGCCTCCGCTCCAAAGAGGACCCGAATGGTGGAAAGACAAGCGTCAGTCATCTTGGCCAGCACTGGCGAAAGAGTCCGACGTCCAGTGTCGCTTTCCACCTCCAGTTTTGGAAGCGATGCCACAGAAAACGATGCCTTGCTTGGGCGACTGACCACGTCGACCAGTCTCGTGGCCATCTCCAGCAGAGTCAAGCGATTGGTCGCCTCTGGCGTGCGATTGTCTTCGGACCATGTCTTCCAAAGTGTGCTCAAATGCACCATAGCATACTTCATAGCATCGTTGGGGGTCTACTGGACCCGTTTTGATGACTTTCTCGGGTCGACAGACTCCAAGCATGTGGTGGCCACCGTGGCCGTCTACTTCCATCCTGCTCGCTCCAAGGGTTCCATGCACCAGACGCTTGTGTTCGTGGTGATTTCCCTTGCGTTCACGTTTACTGTGTCGGTACTCTGCCGGACGGTCTCGACTACGTTCTTCAACCAGGGTGAGGACGAGATCTCCCATGCCATAGACGTAATTATCAGCTCGATAGCGTTGGGATTCATCGCCTTCATGAAACAGCAGAACAACAAGGCAAATACCGCCTGTTCGCTCGCGTCTATCTCCATCATTACATGCATCATCAAGGAGGGAAGCTTGAACGCAGCCTCCATTCCGTTGGAGCGGTTGAAGGCCACATTTGCCGTGGTGGTGGTCGGATGTATCATCAGCATCTGTGTGTGCTACTTGGTCTATCCAGTAAGTGCCGTGCACCAGTTGAGAAGGTCACTCAATGACTCCTACAACATCATGTCTTCAGTGCTCTCGTTGGTTTCGCATCGGTTCTTGGCTGGGGAAAAGATCACAGCCAACGACGCCAAGGCCTTCGACCAGTTGAAGAGCAACATCAGCGAGTTGTTGGTCAATAACGATGAGGCCAAGTTTGAGCTTCGTGCAAAGGGAAGAGAGAAGGAATGGCTTGTTTTCAATGAGCTTGTCTCCTCCACCATCTCGTTGGCCAGACATTTGCAAGCATTGCGAAGCTCCACAGATATGCAGTGGAAATTGCTCCACTCAAATGACGAAGATGAAGTTTCCAGCTTGGACAGCTTTAGAAGCGATTGGTTGTCACCAACGTCACAACCACCTGACCCGGATCAACTCGAGCACTCTTCAAAGACAAAACCATCGGTACAGAAAAGCTACAGCGCGATTGGGGAGACCGAGAACGACTCCAATGGACCATTTCCTTCGAAATACACCCGTCATACCGCATCGGAGGACAATTCGCAGATACCAGACCTCACCAACGGATCCCATGAACATCTTTTCGACATATTTGTATATTATCTTGCACCACCTATGAAATCATTTATCTTCACCATCAAAGGCATATTGTCAGAAATCCCCTTTGAAAAGTACAGCGAAGATCGTCCTAATAAATTTGCCAGGACTACCAACCTACAAAACTCATTGAGAGAATCCATCAAGTTATTTGAAACCAAACAAGCTACGTCTTTAAAAAAGCTTTATGACCAGGAAGTCTTCACAGGTACTGCTGACATGCTCTTGAAAACAGACCAAGAAGAAGTGGCCGCATGTTGTGGTAATTTTACTTCGTTATTAGGTCTCTATGCCACCGAATTAATGGAGTTTTTGAAGCTTGCAGAAACTTATGAAGATGCACGAGCACAGCCAAGATCCTGGACTTGGATGAAGTTCTGGAAGGCACAAGAAACCAATAAATTTACAGAAGAACAACGTCAGAACAGCACATTGAATGCCGCATTGCTTGACCTTCAGAGCCAGTATAGAAAACCAGACCACAAGGCAAAAATCAAACCAATTGAGACCTGGTCCTTCAAACTTTGGAAAGGCTTGAAATTGTTTAGAAACTCAGAAGTCCAATTCGGTATAAGAGTTGGTCTAGGTGCATTGGTTTTATCTTCTTTGGCATTTTTGCCACAAACTAGGGAAGGTTTCAATCTGTGGAGAATTGAGTGGGCTCTCACAGTATACTGCATCATGATGAACAAGTCTTTGGGAGGGACAACTATGACCGTCAAGTGGAGGTTTATAGGTACTTTTTTTGGAGCTTTTGCTGCATATATCGTGTGGATCACCACCGACGGAAATGTCTATGCTCTTTGCCTCACAGGAGTAATCATATCAACCTTTTCATTCTACATTATCTTGTTCTGGAAGAAGAATAATCCTTTTGGAAGATTTATCCTATTGACTTACAATTTGAGTGCATTGTATTCTTACAGTATGACCCAACAAGACTCGGAAGATGGAGGTGAAGGAGGAGATTTTCCCATCATTGGTGAAATTGCTTTTCACAGAGTCTTTGCGGTCTCCATCGGAATCATCTGGGCATTGATTATGGCATCATGTTTCTTACCAAACAGTGCTCGTGCTAGGCTCAAGAATGGCTTGACCATTCTTTGGCTTAGATTGGGGGTAATTTGGACATCCGGACCTTTAGATTATAATGACGAAGATTTAAATTTGATGGGATTGAAAGGAGAGGAGGGTGTCAACCAATTATTGGCCGAATGCGAAGTTTTACTTAAACAGGCACCTCTAGAATTTCGTCTTAAGGGAAGTTTCCCGGAGGAAACATACAAGAGTCTCTTGAAGTGTACTTCAAACATCATCGATTCATTTCAGAACATTACATTAATGATCAAGGTTGACCCAAAAATCAGCTCGAACGAAGACTTTGTTTTGAAATATATCGAATCAGAAAGAGACGAGTTGGAGCATCGGATTTTTTTGGTATTCTACATGATTGCCAGTGCTATGAGATTGGGATTCCCCTTACCAACTAAGCCCGCGTCAACAGAACACGCCAAAGACAGATTACTTTATAAATTGAGTGAAATCAGAAGCAACTCAAACGATCAAATGAAGCTAACCAATGAGGACTTTATCTTGCTCTACTCCTACATTTTGGTCACTTCGACCATTAGTGAGGAGTTGGACTCAATCATTGGCTTGATCAAGGAATTATTAGGCGACTTAACGGAAGACACTTTCCAGCTAGTGTAGATAGGAAAACTAAAGGGTATATCAAACTATAATAAACATAATCAGTAGGGTAAAGGACTTTTTCGAAGGAAAAGTAATTAAGAAAAATGGCCTTCATCACATTTAAATTCAAACATATTAGTTCTGAAAGGTGAATTAGGCTCAATTCCAAAGTTACAAGTATACATGACACAGGCTGATATACGCTTATATCGCTAGAAGCTGTATACCACTGGACGGATCCTCAAACATCTGTGCTCTTTCCACCTGACTTTGCACCCATATAAGTCACGTGCCCGATGGCACACTGGCTTGCCATCATTTTTCTCATCAAAAATCAGCGAAGTGTCATCCGTGATTCATTACCATATCCACCCCAGCATGTCCGTCCAGTTCACACCAGAAGATCCGATCGGATTAGAGTTAAAAGCCAACTTAATCCAGGAATTAAAAAATCGTTACAACTGCTTTGACGATGCCCAGGATATCGCCGAGTTCATAGTCATCTTGATTGTCAGTAACAAATCACCAGGGGAGATTTTACAAGAAGTGAAGGAGATTGCAGACATACCTATTGACATTCCGTTTATTGAGACCGTTTTCAGAGAGATTGAAAGAATACAAAGCGTTCATCAAGGTGGTCAACAAGGAATACCACAACCAGTTCCTCAGCAAGAACAGCCAGTGCCAGTACAAGCGCCAGCACAAGTTCCAGCACCAGCACCTATGCCAGTTTTCGATTTCACTCAGCCTCCACCTCAGTTCCAATTTACCCAGCAGTCTTTAGAACAAGCACCTAACCATGGCCTTCCACAGATCCCCACTGGCCCCAAAGGAATACAGAATAGAAGCCGAGACTATGACTCTCGTGCCAAGCAAGGAAGGGGGGGTATTGGCAAGGCTGCCACCAACGGCAGAGATAGAAATGGGGCCAGAAAGGGTCTTAACCCTCAGATAGTCTCCAAGGTATTGGCTGACAACAACGGAAGCACAAACGTTACCAAATTTGCTCTGAAAGCTTCCAAGGGCAGGTGTCAAGATTTCCCTTACTGTAACAATAAAGATTGCGAGTTCGCCCACCCCACAAAGAACTGCTTTGCCTATCCAAACTGCACCAATCCACCCGGCACATGTAACTATTTGCATCCAGAGGAGGATCAAGAGCTCATCGCCAAGTTGGAGAAATCAAAACAAGAATACAAAGAAAAGAAGAAGAACGAGGCACTTTTGGCTCAAGCCACATGCAAATTCGGCTTGAAATGTACTAAAGACACATGCCCTTTCGCCCACCCCACTCCTGCTAATGGTCAAGCTAAAATAGTCACTTTGGATTGGTGTCCTTCTGGAAAGGGATGTATCGATTCCAACTGTGGCAGGGCCCATCCACCTCCTCCTTCAGCCAAGCCTGTGGTTCACGCTGGACCAAATCCAGAAATCGCATTAGAACAATGTAAGTTTGGTACCCAATGTACCAACTACAAGTGTCCAAGGAGGCACGCCACCTCGCTCGTTCCATGTCGTGCTGGTGCTCAGTGTAAGAGGCTTGACTGTACCTTTGCACACCCTTTCAATGAAGTGTGTCGCTTTGGTGCCAAATGTCTGAACAAGAACTGTATGTACCAACATCCTGATGGAAGGGATCTTCAGTCCAACACCTGGTCTAAGGATACCACTACCTCCAACCGTGCGTTTGCCGTGCCTCAGGATCAGGTGATGGAGCAGGCAGTCCAAGACTAGGTGAACCAATAATTATGTATAGTGCAATGTATATTAACTTATTTTATCAATATGATGTAGCCACCAGACAAACACCCGGTTTAGAATCTTACAATTCTTCGAACTTAATTTACTTTGTTAAAAATCAGTTGGGTGCAAAAAGACTGAAAGAACTATACAACCAGTCTCAAGTTATATGTCTGCAATTGTTAATAATCTTCCGATAAATATTAACTGTGCCTAAAAAGCTTTGGCTTGTTTCACTTTCTTAGGTTCTTGTCATTCTGCGGTATCCGCAGACGAAGAACTTTCGATTTTCACGCTAGCAGCCTCTGTGCTATGAGTCATGGCATTGCAAGTATTGCTGACAGAAGCACTAGTTTTTCCAGATTGACGCTCATCTCTGACAATAATGGGAGTGTTGTTTCCACTCTCCTGCTTCTTAGCGCGTCTGACAATTGCTGAGCACCCATTCTTCTTACTACTTGTTGCAAACTGCCTAGAGCAGTTTTATCGTCATCAAATGCAAAAGTTCATCTGCAAACCCAATCTCAATTCATCCTAATACTGTAGGGCCACACATCATCCTATTCTAGTTAGCGGTGTTGAATTGCTGCTGATAGGACTGAGTTGCAACTGTCTATTGTAAGATGCACCCACTCTATCCTCACCGGATAGGCCAATTCGTTAGAAACACGTTACAAGTTTGAGCTGTCTTTTTAATTGCCCATCATGTTCGTACAAACCTATGCCACCAATTTTGATTTCAATAATATTGTACCGGATGATTCGATAAGACAACTGGTATCATGTTTAAAAAAATTAAAATGCTGGTTGGCCATATGAGCGAGTTACTCAGCATCACCATTCTTTAGAGTAATAGAGAGAGAGCGAGATAAGAAAGAGGTGTTTGGGGTCTTCTTGGGTACTGTTGCATGCTGGACGGTTTTTGTGGGCGTGGCCTATGTCCCATATCTCCTCTGTAATCGCAACATGTCGCAAGATTGGCATAACCAGCGACATGAGCGTCAGATAAGGCTACTCGTCACAAGCAGCACCCGGGGAAAAGACGTCTTGATCAATAACTCTCTTCAAGTATTGAAATTAAATCGCCCCAAATTTTAAACATGAACTGTGTGCACTATATTCTACATTAAGTACGTGGTAATATTAAATTCTAGTTATACAACTATACATTTAGTATCTCTTCTTACCAGCGTGAGCTTCTTCAGCGTAAAGGTCCAATGGAGATTGAACAACTGGAGATTCGGCCCACAAGTTTGGAGTCAAGAAACCGTAAGTGTTACCAATAGCAACGAAAGCAGCCTTTAAGGTGTTTTCGGTGGTTCTGGTGGAACCGGAAGAAGTGGTGTAAACATCTTCAACACCAGCCAATTGCATCAACTTCTTGACAGCTGGGGAGGCGACGATACCCTTACCTCTTGGGGCTGGGATCAATCTGACGGCAACGGAACCACACTTACCAGTGACCTTGGTTGGCAAGGAGTGAGGAGCACCCAAGTTGGTACCCCAGTAACCTCTTCTGATTGGGATGATGGACAACTTGGCGATGACAATGGCAGCCTTGATAGCGGAAGCAACTTCCTTGGCAGTCTTGATACCCAAACCAACGTGACCGTTGGAGTCACCAATGACGACAACAGCCTTCATTCTGGTTCTTTGACCGGCTCTGGTTTGCTTTTGAACGGATCTGATCTTCATGACTTCGTCCTTCAATTCTGGCAACAACAAGTCAATGATTTGGTATTCCTTGACTGGCAAAGAGTGCAAGTAGATTTCTTCCATAGAAGTGATCTTACCGGCCTTCACCAATCTACCTAACTTGGTGACTGGGGTCCATCCCTTTTCTTCATCTCTTCTTCCTCCTCTTCTTGGACCTCCTCTCTTGTTGTTTCTACCGAAAGCTCTCTTGTCGGCAGGGGCTGGGGCAGCGGCTGGGGCAGACATATTGATATCGATTGTCGGAATATTACGTGGAAAGCCGGGGGTGGTGGTTTTCGATCGACAGATACTGAAGAAAAGAATCCTGGGATGGTGAAAATTTTTGAGATATAGGATGGTGCGAGAGGCGGGCGGGCGCAAGCCCTAACATCACGTGTGTGTATTTTTCGAGCTCCCGCTTTGTGACTGCGACCACCCCAAGCTAACGACACGCACGACACACGACACGCGCCCCCGACATCCAGCACCGCCGTGTCAAGGCGACATGCTGCTGCCGACACGCGACAACCTCGTCACGCGCCACCACAACCGCATGTGAAACCTCTGATAAGGGGATAGACCCCAAGGCTTTGGACCCTTCACCTTCAGCTCTAAGCGCCCACAAGCGTCCAATGAGGCTTCCTCTACACACTATGTAGCTTCCACTGCCCATTGGCTTTGTCCGCGATCCCTCAACCCGGCCCCATTTTTGGTGGCCGAATATTGCTACGTCCTCAGTAGCAATCTAACGACCCCGGAATTCAACTGGTACGTCATTTACGGTATCACCATCCCTATAAAACCACGCCTCCCCCCTGAAATTGACACACCACCTTCTTGGTTATATTCCTGTTCACTATGTCCTACGCCGAAGCCGCTGCCTCCTCTGGGCCTACCGGAGCCAACAAATTGCCATCGCCACCTAAAGTCAAGCAAACTTCCGACCCTTCTGGAAACGTTGAAACCGTGAATGCAAAGGAATTCGAAAAGTTGAAAAAACAAGGCAAGCAAGAAGCCCACGATATCATTGAAAAGAACAACGAAAAGGCCAAGCGTGTCGAAGAGGAGCTCGAGAAATTGGAAAGAGAGGGCAAGTCTATCTTAAACAAGGTGATTGCCTCCTTGCAAGACGGAGCCGCGCAATTATCACAATACTTCAACGGAGCAGGCGCCAAGCTCCAGTCTGAATCCTGCACTGTGGTTTCCAGAACTGCCACTGAATTACAAAACCCTGTAGTGGTGGCCCAGGCTTTGGTGGGTGTGACTGGTGCCATTGCTGGTTATTTTGCCTACTTGGAGAGAAAGAGAATCAACACCGAAAGTGGCCTTGTCTTGGGTATCCACGCTTCCGTCATCACCGGGTTGGTGCTCGCAGACGGTTACTTGTTCAACAAGTTCTACCCAAAATATGACAAGAAGAGACTCTAGTGTGTATTCTTAATAAAGCATAACGATTTAGCAAAATGTAGTGTCTGCAGCAGGTTGCTGCTTCGGTGCAGTGGAACCATTTTACTTGGTCGCACGTGATGTATAAGATCCGGTGCCTCGCAGTTAATTTTGGTTGTAGTTGTTGCTGCAATCGTTTCCATAAACTTTGATACCCTGGCAGATTCTAGATCCCGAGTATTTCTTCATCGGTGAACTATGAGCCCAGCCCACTTCGGTCGTAAAATTATGCTATACTCACGCGCAATCTGGCCAACTTGAGCTGCACCTCGCGGCACTATAGTCTATGAAGCCTGCCCATCAGTCCAATCAGTGGAATAGCTACTGCGTTCATAAGAATGCATTTGTTTGTTTCTTCTGGATTCGTGCCATCCTTGGAGACAGCTTCACTGGGATTGGATACCCTGAAATTGAACCTAAAAATTGCTGTAATCTGTTTTGCCGTTTCCCCGATGGATTTGGGTTTATTTCAAAGATAGTACTTGCATTTGCTGGAGCTCATGATGAAATGGTAATAATGTATGGAAAGTAGAGTAAATTTTTGAATTGTATTCAATTTTTTTATGAAATTTGTTGTACCATTATGCATTTTTGGAAAAAATTGCCTGATTTTTAACAAAACGTAGTTTTCGATTTTACATGAAAATACAACTTAGCTTGAATAATTACTTCGCTATGGATCAGACAACATGTGAATCAGTCACCTTGGTCACCATTCACAACAACAACACCTCATACATCACGTGACGCATAACCGATCGTGGCTACCCGATCTGACGATTAGCGAGCTGGAATGTAAAACTAACATTTTGCAGCATCGTCTAATCCAGGGGAGAATTTGCGGTTAGACCTATTTCACACTTTTTTTTGTAGACCTCCAGAATATTCCTACTTAGTAGCGTCGATCATAGCCATCCGATGGCCGGCAATCAAATATCATGGGTGATGCTGGGAACTACTAGCAAAGCTGTTAGAGGCAGAAGGTGACATGCTGTATTGCCTCATCGCGAGAGCCGAAAGCAAAATCCTCCCCCCACAGCCCAGCTGATCATGTGTAAGATGGTCGCGTAATAACGCTCCAAATTGCCGTATCTCACAACGTTGAAGGGAGGGCATCGTTTCTAAATTTGGCAACATCGTGCCAAAACGCGGTGCTTCAGCACATGACGCATAGGTACCCATGGGTGTTATAGTTAATGCAAAGGTCGGACGCATAGATGCATTTCGAAAGGTAGAACTATAATAGTATTGTTCATGTATGTGGTGACCAGTACCGGCGGGCAATATTCGACGTTGAATCCGCATTAACAATGTGACCACGGATGGGGGCGATGTTTAGTGCTTGGGTGACCCCTAATGGGCCTAGTTAGGAAGTTTGGTATTCGTAAAGAGCGGAGATAGCTTAAGCATCATTACCGAATCCCTGAATATAGTTGCGTAAATGTTTTCGGCGCATAATTCGTTTATGTCTAGTTCATAATTCATCAGGATATTCAGTACTAATGCTTGAAGCGGGCTTCGGTTGGAACTTTGTCATTTGACAAGGAGGAGCGATAAGTTGCAAGCTCACAACTTTGAGAGAGTTCAATTAACCTGTGGTGCCACTACAAAAAAAGCGTCAGGTTTTCACACCGATGTTAGAATCGTAATTAGATTAGTGTAGATAAGTGTTGGCACATGAACTACATCACCAACTTGTACTGACGACATTACACCTAGTAGTAGCTTGCTAAATTTAGTAACATACTCCAATCATTCTAAAAAATCGAAGCTTTCCAATAGATTCCAAACCTTAAATGACCCCCTGGTCATACAAAAGAAGCACTGCCTTTGTCCTAAAATGTTAACGCATGAAGATTGATGGAGCAAATGAGCAAAAATAAACAAAAAAAGTGGCCATTTTGGAAACTGTTGCCCGTAAGTGTAGAAATGGTTTTGATTAAACTTTTTAGACGCACAATACTTGGCTCCTAACGGCATGAACAATCCTACACTTGCCTTATTGTAAAAACTAAAATTATTTTGCATGCGGAAGTTGCCGACACTCGCAGCATGCATATTGCAGGTACAGGGCTTCATACTCATGCACATCTTGTTCTCCTACGCTTACATACGGGAGTGCATTGTGTCACTTCTGAGGCCCAAGGCATGTGAAATGTCTCAATTGTCAAGTAATGCGATGCAGTCACGCGTCGATTGAGCATCGCCAACCGTGCTGAGTCCGGATCGGCACAAAGTTTGGCTTGTCTTCCGGTTCACGGTAATATTTTACTGCGCTTCCAATATTACCTAGGTAATTCTTCGTACCCTCGCTATTATTTAGCAAGTCTTCCTCGGATTTGTCTCACGCTCTTCAGTATCCAATTTGCTTCTCTAATTTGACATTCTCATTGGCCGATCAAGGCACAAGCGGAACTTAGTTTTTACGGCCTCTACGGACCGTTGTTTCTTCACTTACATATTAATGACGTCAGAATATTTCGTAACCGTACAAACTGTGATTGAATTAGCACAATAATAAAATGGTTGTGGACCATGCTGGTGTTCCGATGCCCAAAGTATTTGTTTTGATTCGGAATCGGCATTTGGGCTGGTGCTTTGCATCCGTGAAGTTACAAGTTATACTTTTTTAGTGCAGAATCCTCCTGCTGGTAGTTGATCGATACAAGCCTCCACGGCGTCTAAGTGCTGAAAATCATGATCTAGTTGTTGGCATCCAGTGAGCCTACTATCTCGTTTGGGTTCTCGTAATGAACCTGGCAATCGGCGAGGCTCAAGAAAATAAGGCTTAGAACTCGTTGGACTATTGTTTGAAAGTTAGATAAGGAGCTATTTTGACTGATGGCAATCATTCCTCTAGCGCAAAATCCCCCAACGGTTCCTAGCTTTGTAATCGCTGATTGCGTTTTTTGCGCTTCTCTTCTGATGTAATTTGCCGATTTGTTTGCCCCCAAATCGCCAAAGTCCCCGGGATGGACCAGGGATCCAACCAGGAAGGCTTAAGCGCAAACTGGCTTGACAGTGGAGCGCAATTTTGTCATACATCAATACCCCGGGGTGGTACAAGCGATTACTTACTTAGCCTCCTGTTCATTAATACTGCTAGATACGAGTGCCCAGGTGGCTCATTCGATACATTTCTCTTCGTTCAATTTTAGGGTTCACCAGAAAACAAGTAATCAAGTGGCCGCAAAATATTCCATTAATCCGAAGCCCGTAGCGGGAGAAAACGGTGTAGCAATCAATCTCCGGAGCTAGGGGGCATGCGCCAGGGATCGCGTGGGGGATTCGGGTGCTGACTTTGGCAAAGAGATGAGCTTCTCGAAGCCGCATTGCTATGTGGCATGCCCGAGAAACATTGCCAATCGAAGAGATGACCGGTCCCTGCAGTGTATGACAGTTGTTCGATCAGGCACCTATTTTGAGTGTCACGATTTTGAAGGTTTTTTGGCTTGAAGGCTTAGACCAATTGTATCGTCCAGTGAATGGTTAGTAAATACTGGCAGTTTGTTCTCTTGCTGCATCAAGTGAGCCGCGGCTTCTCTCCGAGAAGGTGCATGCATAATACAGTAGACAAAAAATAAAAATAACTGAATAGTATATATGCATAGAACACAAAAACGAAAGTTTAATTAGACTTTAATTTGACTTTTTCGACCCTTGTCAAACGTCCACGCCTCTGCAAGGCTGGTGATTATTTGTATACTATCCTCAAAAAAATATCTTTGAATCTCGAATTGTGTACTCTGATTATAACACCCGTAATTACTACATTATTGCAGTAGTGCGTATTTTTTAGTCTTAATGAAGGAGGCTTAATATGGCGCCAACCCTGTGAACCACAATTGAAGCCTGGCTTACGGTTGTAGCTTGCTGATTTATCCTCGGTCGGATAAATCTAACTTAATATCTTTGTACCTCAGTTGTCCAGTACCTTAGCAAATTAGTCGTGTCCGGTCCGGTAGTCGTATTCAAACCAGCGACATGAGAACCGAGACACCGCCCAAAGATATGCATGATGCGGGTAGAATACCGTATCCGACGAAGATGCATCACGGGACTCTAACACAATTCTGGCTGCGGTCAATCTTGGTGGATGATCAAGTTGAAGTAATTTTACGAATAGGCATGTTTCGGAGAATATGACAACGACGTCATAGACGTACGGCGCCCTTGTCAGCCCTTACGTTTGCCGTGGCTCAATCATGTTTGCTTTCCTACACTTAAAATACAAGCAGAAAGAGTAGCACCCCCACACAACCCGATCACCACGTGACCGAGATGAGGTGCAGTTTCTTTTCGCACCGGTGGCTGGGAATGCCGATGTGGTTGGTGGGGACGACAGCGTGGATCGTAGATGTAAAAATCGGAGGCACATGACGGAGGCACAAGACGGAAGCACCTAGCGGACGCAGCGGAAAGCTTCAGTTGCCTTACCTGTTCCGATCCGTACCTTCGGAAAGACTATCGCATTATTGAAGCAATACCTACGCAATATCATTTGGCCCATCGAAGCCTGTAAACAACAGTAAGCAGTACTTGCCGATGAGAGCTTGACCATAGATGATGTAGCCGCATCAGCCACCTCGGAAACTTCTATGCTAAGCGGCTGTCCATCTGTTGGTCCTCACAGCCGCTATTGATCACGCTCCTACCGTCTGGTAAGGCATTCCCTGGGGCCGTGTATCGAAATCGGGGCACCAACGCTGGCCGCGGCAGGCTAAAGAAACCGGTAATTCGCACCTTCCATCAAGCTGGCAATTTACATGTGACGCAGCCCCAGTCAATGCATCGAAGAAGAAGGAATGGTTATGCGAATTTCTTTTTTTACTTACTTAGCGGGAAGGTGTCGGGAGGACCCGCGCCATGTAGCCCAGGTGCGATCAAGCAATAGCTTAAAGGATTATATGGGAGGGACGACAATGTGGACAAAGAGGGGGTGACCTATATTGATGACTGAGAGTGGTGCGACTATTATGTTTAATTCTGGGTATTTACATTGAATATAGCAAACAAAAAACGCTAGTCAGCAGGTCCTTTAAGCTGTCAAGGTTAGGGAAGATGGTGAATCTTTGGCAACACATCAAGGAAGGCTGTTCTGGTGGGTTATGATATTTTGTTTTGTGGGTCATTTTCTTCTTTTTAGAAGTCACATTAAACTTATGCAATTTTATTTTTTCTCTCACCTGGTATTTTTTCATTTGATAACAGAGCTTATGTGCATGCAATGTACGTAAAATATTTTTTAGAAAGCTTAATTTTTAAGTTACTCCCCAAAGCTTAAAATATTGTGATTCCTTAGTGCTCCAGTATCTAGGTGTCTTGATTGTGTGTCTATCATGATGTAATTCACTCAACCTGCTTGAACTATCATCATTTATATATAAACTCTTTTCCTTGCTTCAATTTTAACTAATAACAAATTCAATCACCTCGAGTTTAACTTTAACCTAACTACCCTCCAACCATTGACCATCACTACTGGTGGCTAAATTGATGGTGCCTTGTGCTTCTTAATAATCCACTTTGAAATTCCATCGAAAGCTCTATCTTCGTCTTCCATATGTTCTCATCAACTCCATCAAACTTTCCTCCCTATAGTCGCTTTGATATGTTTGATCCTACTTCTGACACCAACCAGATCAACGATTTTTCTGATTCCAACATTCACAATCCCGCTGCTCAAGATCAGTCGCAAGTGGCACCGGCCACCGGTGGCTACTTCCTCGAGGAGCCCAACTTCGATGAGGCCTTCTTGAACCAGAATTCTAGCTACATGGCCAACACACCTACCATGAATCCTGCCAACTACAGCACCGCCAACTATGTGAATGCCGGCCAATCATATTACGGAGGTCAACAGCTCAACCAGAACTTGGCAGAGCCTCAATTCGATGCTTATAGCACCAATTCGAGCACTAGTGCCAACACCAACACAATCAACAGTGTGTCCACTAACACCACTGGCCAATACTCCAACCAGTATCAAGATGCCTCTATGTTGTTTTTCGACAACCAAGCATTTGGATACAATAATAATAACGTTCAAACCAACAACAATAATTCCGGTAATTATTATTCATCTCCACAAGTGTCTCAATATAGTTCTGCCGTACCTCCAGTTAACTTCGACTTGAGCCAGCCCCAGCAGATCAACTACAACTACACCTCCAACTCTTATGAACACAATGGCTCCTTGGAAAACCCTACTGCCAAGTCTACCCCATCTATTCAGTCTCCCCACAAATACATCAAAGAAGAATATGAACCACACAGGTATATCAAAGAAGAATATGAACCACTGCCATTCTCAGCATTAGAAATTGCTGCTGCATCCCATGCCGAGAAACCCAAAAGAAGATACAGAGTCATTCGTGGGATTTCGGCTGGTGGATGCACCACCAAGCCTCCTAAGGAATCAGTGGACAGCGACTCTAAGTTTTACCCTGTTGAATTGCAAATCAATGGAGCATCGGTGGAGGACGTCTGCTACTCGCAATGGAACATACCAGAGAAGCAGGACCGCAGAAGGATTGTTCGTATAGAGAGGATCCAACAGGGTAACAAGTTGATTGCCAACTTCAGCATTGTTGGCAGTGCCGACGAAAACCCTGTCACAATGCCTCCTCCAAGAAATGTCGATGTTGTGGAGGTGAGTTGTTTGGAGTGTGACATTCGCATTAACGACGAGTATGACTCCAGCAGTGATGACGAAAACAAGGGTAGCAAGTCTCCTAAAAATTACGTCAAGCACGAGGTAGATGGTGGATGTTACCAATACTATATCACCTCTGTGGAGGTGGTAGAAATTGTGGAGTTGCTTATTGGAACTGAATTGGTTGACCCAGCCGAAAGAAGAAGAGAAAGAGGCAGAGTTAGATCCAATTTGGTTCCTTTCTGGTCCAAGAAGCCAATTTCTTCAAGAATGAGTGACAGCACTTCCACTTCTTCCTCCAACTCCAACACTCCTAACCAATTCAATGCCCACCCAACCAATCAGGACTTCAGGGTCGAGTTGGCCAGAAGAATCATGGGGTACGAAATCAGAAAGCCTCGTGGCTTTGACAAGGAAGTAAGAATTTTGAGGTGGGATAAATTGGTTCCTGCCTTGAAGAGGGCATTACAGAGTTACTACACTGAAATCCCTAATTAATAGGCATAGAATCAGATTTATCTGCTAATCACATAATTCACTCCTTGCATCAAGTCCTCCCAGGCATACTATAGATATAGAGCGGCGATAAATTGACACACATAATTAAAAGATTGTAGATCAAGATCGAAATCGTACAGGAGCTATCATTTAAGATGGTTATGCGCTTCGAAGAAGGAACACTGCAACAACGCGAAAACGATGTTAAAAAATAGATTAGTTAGGTCGGAGGAGTGGAGATGGAGAAGGGATACGAAGAGCCACAAGAGAATAGTTAGTCCAGAAAGTCTAATGCGTTCTGGCGATGACTATTTCTTTTCCAATAATATTTAACGGAAGAGATTGTTGGAGTATCTCCACCTCAAAATGCCTAAGACAAATCCGAATCGTGCATAAAATAGTCGGTAGGGTTTGGCCCAGAAAATTTGAGTGAGGGACATGCAAATACGGGGAGACGATTGCTTCGCTGCGCGCAGACCGTCGTTTGTTATGCCTGGGATTCGCGGGGGTCGGGATGTGAGCACGGAGTGTGGCGGGCTGGGCGGTCGTAAAAGCTTATTGCTGAGCATCGCAAGCTAATCCTGGCGACAACACCAGCAATAGCAGGTTGCAGACAAGTGGGAATCATAACACTCAATAGCTTGATAATATGAATATTTCCTGCTGTTCCGGGCTCAAACACAAGGTGCGCCAGTCACGTGCAGTGGAACAATACCCTGACAGGTTTAGTCCGGGATACTAACCCAAAAGTGTATTTTTTCCGTGGTCAGTACACGTGGATTGAGGGTCTATTGTATGGTGCTGGGGGCATTCAGGAGGTCAGGCCGCGTCCTATCATCACAACAGACTCAGAGGAGCCGAAGTATACCGAAGATTCTCTCCAACCTTAAATTTGGTTATTTTCTCAGGATAGATGCACATGTCTAATTAACCTTTTCGCGTTTACTCTTACCTCTACGGGGCGAGTTTAAATGCCACCAGGTCCACCCATTGTAGCCTGTCGAGTATCGCCAACTCCCTAACAGGGGTATCCGCGCCTGTTATCATACAATGCTGAGGCTGATGCACACGAGACCCTGTTGTTTTAGGAGGCGATTTGAGCGGTGCCAGCCCAAGTCAAACCCCCATCACTCTAAAAGTATCGTACTTTAAACACTAATGCCGAGACCCAGCCGTGGCGACTTGTCGGTTTGTGGGAGGGTCAAACGTGCCGAGGGTGTCGGGAGTTTGTTGCAAGCACAGCTGGAGGCTTGGGACATTCCCGGCAGATCTCATCGATTGTCCATGTGCTTTTGCTCGTTTTGGAAACAGTCAACTAACCCACCTGTTACCTCTCAACCGTGCATGTACCATCGGCTGTGGGCTCAGGGCCCGCAAACCCAGGATCTGACCCTAAAATTGGGGGCATGGACCCGCCACTAAAGGGGGGCTCTGGGTTTTGTGGTACCGCCACCACTCGTTTGTCAGTCGTAGCCTTGCCAACATTGCCTGCTTGAAGGTGCCCTGGTTTGGCGATTCGGGGAAGTGTCGGCAAATACCGTAGTTACTCCGAAAGCCTCATGGCCCAGAGAGGTGACATTGGTCCCAATGCAGGGAGGCGCCATGTGCCCAGCTGATACGACCCCGTAGATGGTCGGTCAACAGCCGCTGAATACAAGTCGGGCGTGTTGGAGCATGGCAGGGGTTGATGGATGTGCGAGCCGTTTTGGACTCGACCGCGCCACCAGTCGTGGCCAGTGCTTCTGGCGTCCACCTGCAGATCTGTCGAGGGTTGTGGAACTTGTTAGTGGAGGTTGCTACCGTTGATAGGAGCAATTTGGGAGTTTTGGGGGCTAGTTTGCGAGAGTTGGCTACCAATTCGAGGTCAGTACAAATTTTCAGCGTTTGCTGGTCCACCACTATTAGATTGGCCTGGATTGGCCTCTGTGCGGTCTGTCGCTGCATCTACCTACTATTCTACAGCCAGTGCCTCAACAAGCACTTTACTGCTTCGTTTTCCATTTCTCTGTCTCGCTGCATCCTTTCTCAGTGCTGGTTTTATGTGTCATCGGTGCCGATTAAGTCAACTAGTTTGGGAGTTCCAGGTGTGGCCGTCACCGTCTCTGGCCATTTCAGGATACTCAACAAGACTGGCTGGAGACTTGATGCGAGGAAATGCTGGCAATTAACCTGTGGAGATCATCTTCACTCTTCGAAGTAGTCAAGAGCATATTCGACTTTGAAAGTGATCATATTCGAGATCGAAAGCATTCTTAGTTCCAGAAGTCTGTTCCTAGTTTGGTTTCTTTCCGCAGTTAGTTTCTATCTACGTCACCGACTGCACTAGCTAGTTGCGGCGAGCCAATCCTCCGACTTCTGCTACTTGCTCATCGACTAGCTACCAATTGCTTGAAGAGCCAATTCTCTCCCACTTATCTACACTCATTCGTACGTTCGTATATTCACGGTCTCTTAGTTAACCAAGAATCTCTTTTCGGCTTCCTTCCAGTTAATAACGTTCCAGATGGCCTTGAAGTAGTCAGCCTTGACGTTTTGGTACTGCAAGTAGTAGGCGTGCTCCCAGGCGTCGATAGCGACCAAAGGAACCAATGGGCCAGTGACGGTGTCTTGGTTGAAGGTGGTAACGACGTCCAATTCACCACCGTTCTCCTTGTTCTTGACAATGAACGCCCAGCCGGAACCTTGGATACCAGCCAACTTGGCGTTGGTGATGGCCTTCAAGTTGTCGAGCGAGCCGTACTGCTCAGCAATCTTCTTGGCCAAGTCAGAGTCAGAGGCTGGTGCCTCACCACCGCCTTGGCTGGTGGGAGCCAAGTTCTTCCAGAACAAACAGTGGTTGGTGTAGCCACCACCGTGGAAGTTGATGTTCTTTTGCAATTCAATGGTCTTCTTGACCTCACCCTTGGCCTTGGCCTCGGCTTGTTGCTCAATGGCGGTGTTGTATCCGGTGACGTAAGTCTGGTGGTGCTTGGTGTAGTGCAATTCGTTAATTTGGCCCGAGATGTGAGGTTCCAAAGCGCCGAAGTCCCAGTCCAAGTCTGGAAGGGACACCTTGGTTCTGACGGCACCAATGGTTGGCAAGGACTTGAAGTTGACACGGGCAGCGGTTCTAAAGGTTTGAGAAAGCATGTTGTGGTGGTGAATAATTGTAGGGATAAGCAGATTTATAATGCTCCAATTGGTTGCTGGCCATTATGCAGGACGTCCCCCCAACGATGGCTCGGGGCCGAAGATCGCTGGAGATGGACCAACGGGTCACTGTGGCTGCCCAGTTTATGGGAGACAATACGGGTTGACGTAGCACTATTGGTCACCGAGGCTACCGATGCTCATCGGTACCATTTGGCGGCTGACCCACAATTGACGAACAGCGACCATTGGAATAAGTCCTTCACTAAGATACCATCTGTTGCCCTTGCCCATTTGTGGGAGACTGCTGGGCGATGGAAAGAGCAACAGAAACTTGCCAGCGTTATTTGGTGACTGGATTGTTTCCCTGGCCTGAAAACCATGACCTTGACCTGCCAAGGCTATTGACCAATTGTTGCAAATGAGCTGGCACAATAAAGGTGACTGCAAATTGTAGACTGGCGCCGAGGAGGGGGAAACTTGTCCTTCTTCGGGTTTTCGACTCGTTTGGACTGGGCCAGCTTGGATTACAGTTCGGATCCATTAGTAGAAACCCCAAGCCGTCGCAAAGATGGACCCAAGAACCACCAAATAGAAAATCTAGCATGTCTGTTCAAGCCTTAGAATCGTTAATTCTATGTCTTTCTTTGGATCTTGTCAGCTTTTTCTTAGTAGCCGGAGAAAAGTTTAGAATTAAGAAGAGAGGAAAGACTCGATTATTTGGATTAATATCGTATATTGCCAATTTTCAGTTTGCATTATGAAATGATGATCTTATATTGAAGTGCTTGTACTAGTTTTCATGCTTGTTGCAATCGCTTTCTACCGACATTGAAAATGATCAGTTTATGACCGATATTATTATTTAAGCATGATTACACAGAATCCTCGGCGGTTGCCAGGACCCATCTGTACACTACGCCTTGGGCACCATCCAGCTCTTCATTGGTACTTCTAGTTAGTTACTTTTCTGTTTGTTTCTTCTATTTACGTGTCTGGCTTACATTCTATCCACAGCAGTCAAGCCCAACAAGGTCATACCGTTGTACAACACTTGTCTAGCAGAGGCGTACAATGCTAAACGGGCAACAGCCAAATCCTTCTCTTGACCAGCAACCCACAAGATATCGTAACATTGGGATACAATATGTGTCAAGTTGAATAAGTAGGTGACAATGGTTGATGGTTCGTGTGTCTTCAAGGCTCTTTGAATGACGTCTGGGTATTGAGCCAAGGTTCTGATCAAGTTGGCGGCACATGGTTCAACCAAGAGGTCAAAGTTGGCATCCAACAACTCAGATTCTTCGATCTTGGAGTTTCTTTGCACAGATCTCAATCTGGAGTGGGCGTATTGCAAGTAAGGACCGGTGTCACCTTCAAAGGACAACATTCTTTCCCACTTGAACTCGTAGTTATTGATTCTCTTGGATTGCATATCTTGGATCATGACGGCAGAAATACCCACCAAGTCAGCAATGTGTTCTGGGTTTTCGATCAAGGCATACTTGGCTGGGTTTTGCTTCATGACTTCGTGCATCTTTTCCTTAGTTTCTTCCAAGATGTGGTCAAGGAAGACAACAGTACCCTTTCTGGTGGACATACCTTCGACCATACCGAAGTTGACATGCTCCAAGTTCTTGGCCCATTCGAAATCCATTTGCTTCAAGATTTCGAAGAACTGCTTGACGTGCAAGTCTTGTTGGTTGGCAATGACATAGATCATCTTGTCGAACTTGTAAGTGTTGTAACGCTTGATGGCCTCACCAACATCACGAGTAACGTAAATGGAGGTACCATCGGACTTTTGCACCAAACACTTACCTAAGTGCTTGTTGAATTTGCTTAAGTCAATAAGCTTAGCACCTCTGTCTTCGTGGATCAAGCCTCTGTCAGCGAACAATTGCATGGCGTCAGCCATGGTTTCCTTGCTCACTTGGGACTCACCAGAGTATTGGTCGAATGCGATGTTAAGACGGGCGTAGGTGTCGATATACTTCTCGATGGACAAGTCTCTGAATCTCTTCCAGATAGCAAGAGCGGTCTCATCACCGGCTTCCATCTTTCTGAAGTGGTCTCTGGCCTTGTCATCCGTGGCACTGGAACCAGTTTCCTCGATTTCCTTCTTCATGTCAGCGTTGATCTTGACGTAGACTTCGAACAAGTGGTTGATGGGGTCAGAGCTCAAGGCGTCCTCAGAGCCGTACTTCTCGAAACCAACAGCCAACACACCGAATTGTTTACCCCAGTCACCAAGGTAGTTGATTCTTTCAACATCCCAACCAGCCTTTTCGTACAAGTTGGACAAGAACCCACCAATGATGGTGGATCTTAAGTGCCCAGCATGGAAGGGCTTGGCAATGTTTGGCGATGAGAACTCGACGATAATCTTCTTGTTGATACCCAATGGCAAGTAACCGTAGTTGTCGCCTCTCTTCAAGACGTCCTTGATGACCAAGTTGTACAAGATGCTCTTGTCGAAGAAGAACTGGAGGAAAGGACCTTCAGCCTTGACTTCCGACAAGAACTTCGACTTGTCGAACTTGGCAGCCCATTCAGCAGCCTTTTCCTTGGGGTTGACGCCCTTCAATCTCAATCTGGGCACTGGGATGATCAAGTCACCCTTGTCCAAGGTGTTTGGAGAGTCCAATGCTTGGAAAATGATGTCCTTGCTGACCTCGGAGATGTTGTGCAACTCGTTAGTGATGTAGTTTCTCATGACGTCCACGACGTTGTAGTCTGGGTGCGAGAGTGGTTGGGCAGACGAATCTGGTTGGGACAACCCCAACTTTCCTAAGCCTTCAGTGATGGATTTCAAGTCTCTGGTAGACATGGTGAACTGCCTGAGTGTGGATAGTTTTGGAGGAAAGGGAATTCTCATGATGATGGTGTTGAAAATTTTGGGGTTTCACGATACGCACGACCAGCCTGCGAGATGCGATAGCGAGCGATGGCCAGGGGAAACAACCACCCTGCAGCGCTTGTACCGAGCTACGGGTGCTGAGACTTGATGGGGTCAATAGTGTGTTCAGAGAGGATCTAGTTTGATCTAAAAAATAGAGGTCATGGCACTTGTGATGTTCTGATATGAGTAGGAAGTAGGATTCAAGCACAGAGATGGGTCAATACACAGAACACTATTGTGAATATTATACATGGTACGGTACGATTCTTCTAAGGAATTAACTACTATCCATGGAGTGATTTTGATACGTTAGACTAAGAATTGGTTGGGGATTGGTGGAAATTGACGTGGTGCAAAGGGTGCAAAGTGGCAGTCAGGTCATTGAAAGATTGGCGACTCCATAGTTCTAGAGCTCTAGAGTGAGTTATGAAGGGCTTCTGGACAATACAGTGGGAAGTACCAGAGAACAGCCAATGGGCGGTTCGTAGTTTCGTGAAAGTACCACGGTGGGTGCAAATCTCCGGTAGCACCAGAAAATGATCCTCTAGGGAGAAACTTAGGGAGAGCGCACCATCTCGTGACTCAATTTTAGGGAGCGCCAAACGGATGACAACCATCCTAGCGACAACCCGCGCGAAAAGTCTCCCTAGAGCCTACACCTCACCCCACCACATTGTTGTGCCCAAAACACCACGAAAACGACTAGCTACAACCAAAATTGCCTCTCATCGTCACCATTCACCACAACAGCCTCTGTGATTCCGCATAAACCACTAGACCGTATCCAGTTGGGTTCTTTCTGCTTTCATTTCCCATAAGTCACCAGCTTATCTGGAAGAGCCGCACCCCAAGCGTGGCCGCGCTAAAATAACTCGTATCCTTCACCACCAATTCAATTACAAGGTCTGCCATAGATACCCATTGCCACTCGCCGACCATTGCTACCATGGACGACAAAATCGACAAATTGATGGAGATGGGCTTCTCACGGGACCAGTCAATTCAAGCGCTCAAGTCCTCAAACAACAACTTGGAGGAGGCCTTGTCGTACTTGTTTGGTGATCCCATTGAAGAGGTCCAGGAAATCTCGCCTCCTCCCCAAGAAGTCATTCCGTATCACGACACCGTCAAGATTCTGAACCCCAGCGAAGTTCCAGACTTCTCTGCTCTTCCCGATACACTTCCAGGCTACGAAGACCTCAACACCGACTCCAATGGCACCCTGGAGCGTTACCACTATCAACAAGACACCTACGAGGAAACTGTGTACGAGCAGGTCCAGAGCTTCGAAAGAACAGAGCTCTCTCCCCCCGCGTTCCTCGGCCGCAACGCGACCTACATCGAGAACTATATCGTTCCATTCTTGATTATATCGTGCCAGTTCAGTGAGTTCAAGAAACTCCTTTTGGAACACGAGGTGTCAAAGGATTTCGACTATGGCTATGATAAAGACTGGTACAATAATGAGTCCAAGTTGAGTGTCCAAATTCCTGAGCAATTTGAAGACAAGAGCTCCTCGTACAAATTTATTATCGAACTCCAAAGGACGGCCGGTTTCCTCGAAAACGTCAGCAAAAGAGCATTTGCCAGCTCCGTCAATTTGCTTAAGAATTTGCCCAATGATTTCAAGAGCGATTTGGCCAACAGAATAGAGGATCTTGAAGATTTTGTGAGAAAATTATACTCAAGTTTAGATCACAACTTGGCTCAAATTTTCGATACTCCAAATGGTATTGACAAGTTGTTCAAATCTCACGTGGAGAGCGTCAATGATGAGGCCACTGACTCCATCTATATCCTTCCTATTGACTCTGAATCCAGAGGGTCGAACATATATGATTCGTTCAACACCAAGTTTTGGAACGACGAATCGAGCATTGGTAATATCAGATTCACCGAAGTTGCACCAGTGTTAACAGTGCAGATCTGCAGTGACGAATGGAGCCATGAATCGGGATTGTTCCTTCTTGATGAGGTATTCTATCCTGAGATTTACAGTGCAAAGTACTCTGAGGTGATTGTGGATATGTTCCAAAAGGAAGCGAACGTTCAGAAGGAAAGATCGAACTTGTCGAAGAATATCATGGAGTTGAACTCGTTTGAGGGTAAGAAAATCAAGCAAGTGATACAAGCGACTGTTGGCCACTTTGAAACTTTGGGAGATGAACTGGTCCCGGAAGAACTCAAAAAAATCAACCAACAAATTGTCAGTTTGACCGACTCCATTACTACAAAGTTGAATGAAAGTAGTAAGGCATATGCCAAGTTAGATATTACTAACTACAAGAACATTCTTCAAGCTATCGACAACTATCCCGAACTTGGTCCTCCAGAACCATACCATTTGGTTGGAGTGGTACTCAGTGATAGCGAGTACTTTTACACAAGCAAAACATACACTAAAGATGACGAGAAATGGGTCTATTTCAAGGCAATCTGCGGCAGCGACAAGAAGGTTGTGGACTATACCATGGAAACCATGAATTTTGACGGGCTCAAAACATACATATCTGAAGGCACAAGTGATGCCAACCAAAGCTTGGTCCTTGTTTATGCCAGCCATGGAATGGTTGTTACAGATGCTCAGGTGAACTTGCCTTCGAATTTGACGGCATTTTTCGAGAAGGATAACGCAGAATTGGACGATTTATTGAAGAGGTACGAATCGAGCGACAGTATGGATGAAGACCAGCCAGAAAACGAGGACATCGATGACTACGAGGAAGATACCCCTGAGGAAATAGACTCGGGGGCCGGGGAAGAGAAGCCCGACCACAGGTTGGTTGATCTTTAGTTAATGGACTGTTATTTATCTTTCATCTGCGATCGACCCGCTTCTAAGTATTCTGTTAACCCTTCATGTACATACTGTCTTCAATACTGTGTGAAATATTCGCAAGTCCTTAGATTCATATTTATATAACATTCATAATTCTAGGAGATAAAATGGTTGCAAAGGTCAGGGAATGACACTTGTCTCAATATGAGCTTGTAAGATGCAACTTTCGAGCAGTTAATTACTCCCAACCGACCTCATTTGTACACTTCAAGGATCCGCTAGATCACCAATATGGGTTCAACCTCGCTACCAAATTTCCCTACAACCGGCATCAATCTGTTGAATTGAATAATAGTGCATTTACATCGTTGTATTAAATTATATTAGCAGACGCAGGGTCTAATAAACGGTAAAAGAGATGTGTTCATACTACAGTTGGGAGTGAAAGATACTAATCTGAGAATCATTTGATTATCTGCTTTCAGGAACCAGCTCAAATTGACATCCCCCTAATTTACTTAGGACTTACATACCACTAGGCGAGGCCACTGAGATTAAATACGATAGTAAAAAAAGTGACAAATTAAATCAATTATTAAGAAACATCAACAGGAGTGTCAAAGCAAACGAGCCGGAGAGTTCCTGAACCAAATACGTCGCATCTGAACTGCCAATCCTTCATTTGTGTTCTATGTACCCCGTTGCCTCCATAAGACCAAAACCTCAGAGCGTGTTACGTAAGCAAGAATTCAACCTCACTCACATAATCATTTAATGCCAACAATCTATCATCATCGCCATGTCTTCCAGCGTTCCCTACATTCCCGATGATGACTTCGAAAACAATAATCCGTTTGCAGAGCCAATTCTCCACTCTGACCCCCACAATTCTTTGGCCAATGACAATCTCTCTAGGTCTACTGATGCCTACAACACGTTGAACGACAACTCACCAAAACTTACCACAACCTCTGGAGCTGGTTCTTTTGAGAATAGCACTGGCACCTATAGAGCACCGGATGCTCCTGTGGACCAAGTACAAGCACATGCACCCGAGTCTGATAAGAATGCTACCGAAATCAGTGATACCAACAAAGAGCTCCGCCGACTTCTTCCCGAGAGATTTACCACGAAAAGCTCCCTTCAAATTAAGTTGACGGCCATAGAAAAGAACAGACCGGGCAACCCTATCTTGAGGTTTGATGCAGTGGTCAAAGGGCTTCCAAAATTCAGACAATCCACCTACAAAGACATAAGGAGAACCTACAATGAAGTTGTAAAGTTCAATAAGTACTTGATCATATCCAACTTGGAGGCTTTCGTGCCAGTTATCCCTAATGCATCCACCTCATATCCCTCTGGCGGCGAGGACGAAAACAAGCAATTGATGAATGTGTGGAGAGAATGGTTTGCAAGAATAGTGACAAATCCTATCTTGATCAGGGACGACGAGTTCGTATATTTCATCGAGAATGACTTTGGGTACTCGGTTATCAACAATAACCGCAAATCATCAGTTGCTAGTGGATTGATCAGAAAGACCCTCAAACAGTTCTCGGTTCCATATGACGAATTTGAGGAATTGGCTACATTTCGTCCATTGATCAAATCGGCGTATTTGATTCTTCAAAAGTTATCGAAATTAGAAGAAAAGAACTCCAAAACCCAAAAGCAATTATCCATACAGATTTATGATTTATCCAACCAATTAAACAGTTTATCACAGTTCGAAACCATCCACCCAGGTATGAAGAATATGTGGGAAAAGTTGGCCAAAATTAGTCAGATTCAATCGGACTTGTTGTTGATAGAATCCGTCAACGAGTTGGGTATATTGGGCGACGGGATCCAAAATTTAATCGAAGACTTCTACCAAGTAAAAGAAGCACTCACAAACCGTCATTTGATCATGAGAGAATTGTTACAGGCCGAGGCCCAAACCAAGTCCAAACACTTGCATGCTACCAAAATAAAGAGCAAATCAGCATTGGATCCGTTGAAGGTCGATGAAGCCATCAGATCGTTGGAGTATTCCAAAAAGGTGGAAGAATCATTAAAGCTCCAAGTGAACCGGATTTCAGGAGAGATGTTGATTGAGAAGCAAGAAGTGTTAGATTTTACCGAACACAAGTTCCAAAAATTGTTGAAGAGCTTGACGCTTCACAGAGTTGATCATCACAGAAAGATCTTAAAGCACTTGGAGAACATCCGGTTGGATATCAGGATAGTCGACGCCAAAGGAGGGTTGTCGAGATTGAACCGTGACAACTTAACCAATTTGAAGCATAACTTGATGCAGTCACAATCGTCTAACGGAGATGCCTGGTCGTCCAGAACATTCAGGTCGTTGAAGACCGAGCAGGAGGAGAGAGAAAGATCCAGAGAGGAGGAGGAGGAGGATGCCAAAAAGCATGATGAGGGTGAGGACGGCCGGAACGTCGTTGATGCCAAAAATGCCGCCAGCTTGTTGGGGGTTGCCACATTTTAGTGGGAACTGCTCCTGCTCCAAACATAGCAGCGAGTAATGTTTCCCAAATGCGGTCAGATGATACTAATCTCGACCAATCGACACTGATAATAATTTCATATACGACAAGCCATAACATGCTCGACAGCCGGACTAAATACGGTACTTTTAATGAAAATGAAAATGAAAATAGCTAGTGTAATAGCGAGTTCGCTAGGCGCGCGATCCGGGGAGAAATCTCCCTAGGCATCCCGATCCACCGCTGTAGTTAAGCACGACTACGCGTACCACGAGCCACTATCAGATATAGGAAATGCTGGTGCTCATCCATAGCACAACTGCCACCAGCTCCTCCCACGCTACGACTGCGCAGCCAGCGGCTCACCAACACCTTCACAGTCGCCACCTTGGTCTCTAAGCTCGGTACCGTCCCTCCCAACTGGCAACTGCTACCGCACGCTCAACATCCTCCCTCACCACCCAGCTCGCGGTACTGATTTTGGGCGTGGCTAGGTCGCACAACCCATCTGTAATATCTCCATCACCAAACCCATCACCAACTCCGGCCCCATGCAATATGAACCAGCCACTTCCGGCCCTCACCAAGGTGGAGTACACTGATACCCTCCATCGCATCTTCCGCCTCAAGGTGGCGGAACTCAAGGACCTTTGCCGGTCGTTAGCCCTCAAACTTTCAGGCAAAAAACAAGACTTGGTGGAACGTCTCGAGGAGTACATCAACAATTCCAAGGATGACCTGTGCCGGATGCTCACGATCCGCACGTTGGTGCTCAAGCGGTGCAACGGCGAGGAGTTACCCAGCAGCGTGGACCTCTACAACGCCATACGATCGGGCAAGTTCACCGTCAATGCCCCCAATCAATATTCGAGAGACTCGACCTCCAAACAGCACCTGACCGACTCCCAGTCCTACAAGGGCCACTCATTGTACTTCAAGGAGAGCCCGTTCTATACCTTGCGCCGCCAGATCCACGGCAGTCCCCAGGCATGTCTACCACTGACTGGCAAGGGCGTATGTCCTTTCACGTTCTTGTTCACCAAGGAGGAGGCCAATTTGGTGTATCTGGGTGACCCCACGGTTCGGGTCTACTTGATGTGCGGTCTCCAAGACCCCAAGACAGTCTCCAGCACAGAAGTACCCTTGCAGTTTCCGTTACCAGTAGAAGTCCATGTCAATGGAACCCAGGTGACAAAGAACTTTAGGGGCATCAAGGGCAAGCCAGGTACCGCCAAGCCTGCCGATATCACTGAGTTGTTGAAACCTTCTCAGAATAAAGTCCAGGTGATTTACACCCAGACCACCGAAACCTACTTGGTCTACATATATATTGTCAATGTGGTGTCGTGTGAAGAAATCATCAAGAACATACAACAAAAACCTTTGCTTCATAAGAGTGCTACTGTGTCAAAAATTGTGCTGCAGAACCAAGGCGACGATGAAGACGACATAGTGATATCGTCCTCGTCCATCACATTGAGAGATCCTTTGTCGTACACCAAAATGCAGTACCCTGTCCAATCCATATTCTGCAACCATGCCCAGTGCTTCGACGGGTTGGTCTTCTTGCAATCACAATTGCAGCTCCCTAGCTGGAACTGCCCCATATGTGGTACCGCTCTTCGGATTGAAGATTTATCCATATCCGAATATTTCACAGAAGTATTAAAGTCGGTACCAGAAGATGTGGATAGTGTGCAAATCAACGAGGACGGTTCTTGGGAACTTGAGCCAGCATATTTAGAGTCAAAAGCCAGCAAGCCTGATAAAGAACAATCTCATTCGTCAATGTCCATCGAAGACAACCAACCAGAAGCCATTGATATTGTTTCTTTGGATAGTGAGAGTGAAGATGAAGTAATAATGCCTCCAGCACAACAAGCTTCAAGTCTTCCTGAGACTACTGGACTGACGATGCCGACCGGAATTCCAACAGAAGAGAGCCTGACCAATAATTCATCTCATGGTCCTTCATCCAACCAGGCCAGTCCATATTCAAATCATTCCAGTCAGCATCCCAGCCCACCGCAAATAAGACCAATTAATGTTTCTCAATCGACCAACACATTGAAACCAATATCTGCACCAGAACCACCCTTATTTCCTAACACATTGGCTCCTATTCAGAATCCAAATAGGATCAATGAGAACTTGCCTTTGGCACAGATCTCGTCGTTGCTGACCAGACTCGACCCTACAAATTTCTCGAGAGTTCCACCGTTACTGCATTCTTTGCAAGCCCAAAATACAGATGGTGCTACATCAACAACAACAACAACAAGGCCACTGGGCCCATTGTCAGGAAACTTCAGCAGACCAGACTATCCATTCATGTCCTTACAGAACAACGGGACTATGATACCGGGATCTTTCACCAGATTAGAAAATCCCGAGGCCACAAAACGAAGTCCATCAGACCAACTGACTTTCTATCGGAATAATCCAATTGCGATGCAGAGTAACACATATACTCAACACAGTGCATTGCGACAAAGTGCAAGCCCAACCTCTGGTCACAGTGAGCTTTCCAAGCTAGCCAGGGTGGCTGATCGGTCATATTCAATGTTCTCTAGTCCCCAAAATTCTGCCAGTCCTTTACAATCCTCATTTCCTCAAGTGTCTAGACCTGTTCATTCTTCATCGGTACCACTTATAATCGATCTCGATTCTGAGTCAGATGCAGAACAAGAAGCAGTGAAGGATGCAGAGAAGGAAGCAGGACAGGAGGCAGAAAAAGAGGCAGAAAAAGAGGCAGAAAAAGAGGCAGAAAAAGAGGCAGAAAAAGATGCTTCTCTATTACCATCACTTGCTCCTCCAGCTCCGCAAGCATTACAAAGGACCCCCCCTGTTCCCGAAAGTTTACAATCTGACTTGCCTCCAGACAACCTAGTCAGGACTTCAGTCACAAGTCTGCTACCCCCACACGTGAACAGCCCAGTGTCGGCCGATAGTAATAAAATGTCAATAGGTGGGATGGTGGATAAAACGAAATCAGTTGGTTCAAATGAATCAGAAGCCATGGAAGTTGATAGTATGGCAGGAACACGAGAAGCTGATACAGCACTGATATCAAACGTCAATGGAGGTGCCCATCTGTTACCTAAACCAAAATCCCGTCCAGATGTTTCCAAGATTTTCATCCGACCAAGAAGACCTGAGCATAGAATGAATCCTCAGAAATACAGAGCAAACAGGAGTGAAGAAGGAGCATCTCATAACATTGAAGCGAGGAGAGGAGCTACTTTGCCATCAAACCTAGCACAGAGGACAGAACCAACCCTCGCCAGGAACATAAGCACTAATACCAACACGAACACTTCAGCACAGCCAGCCAATTCCCCTATCAACTCAATCATAAACACTTCAATTCTGCTGCGATCCAATTCCCCTACGAACACATCAATTACTTCGCCTACCAGCACAACGAGAAGTCCTCTAACGCCACAACCATCCAATTCTTCTACACTGCAGAGCATACGTACACCTCAAACTACCAGTACTTCAGCTACTTCCGAGATTCACACTTCGCCATATTATACTCAGCTGACTTCCTCACCACTACCACCACTACCACCCCCTCCACCTCCGCCCCCACCTGCGCTGTCGATTGTTTCCAATCACAGTTTGGAAAAGCCAACACCGCCTGCTCCTGTACCTTCTACTAGATCTCATCACGGGCCTCCACAACCAAATGTTCCTCATCAACTTATGACATCAGAGAGTAGACTGAAACCTCCTGCTCCTCCAATATCACATCCACCACCAGTCTTATCCCAGCCAAATGTCAAATCTAAATTACCTCCATTACCACCACCACCATTTCCGCCAACAACTTCAGGCCTGCGCCCTGCAAACTACATCACAAGCTCAGATCATAGGAGCGTGCACCTGATTCGAAACCAAGCAGGTGCTTCAAGCATGAGCCATGGAGTTGACCATTCAGATGCTTCAAATCAGCCGGGATATGACCAAAGACACTCGTATCCAAATGGGTTTAGAGACACCTTGGATGCTCAAGAACGGCACCGTGCTCTTCAAAGAGAAAGAAAAGAGAAACACGAAGAGTACAGAAGGTTAATGAGAAACCGACAGGGGTCGGAACCTCTTGAAGCAGAGGATTTCCCAATCACAGGCGAACGAAGTCGCTCTTCGACGGAGTTTACCTCGATTGTCGGAACTTCCACGGACGTTGTTCCTCAAGAAGCCGCAGTAGGGGCCTCACTGGAAGATGGGAGAGGTACTTCAAAACCTCAAAATTCAAGCCCAGAACAATCGCAATCTTCAAGCGTGGCCCCAGGCTTACGCTATTCCAGGTCGGCGTTTGATATCATGGGAGCTGCTAATCGGGAGTCCCCGCCAGCTCACAAGAAACAAAAGGTTACGGGTATACTTGGGATCGAATTGAGCGAAGAGAACATCTCAGATCGGTCGACAGTCTCTCCGTTGAACGGGAAAATTAATAGTATGAGGCTCGAGACGCCGAATACTTCGAGAATAGAGGAGCTGGATGAAGAATAGAGAGAGGACCGCATGGCTGGATAAGAAAGCTCCATTTGGAACGGAGTATAATCCATCAACCACAGGATCGATTAGAATATTATCGGTTACTTGATCAATTAGAAGGTCACCACCGGTCACAGGGCCAATTAGATCACGGTCATGTCTATCACACTAGCAAGTGTTAAAATACCTTGTTTCTGACGATCTACTTTGCATCTCGATGGGCTAGCCTCACTAACCTTTGTATATATGTACATACTTATACATTACATTGGACTTGGTCCAAGGTAATCCTCCTTGATACTACCAATAGCGTAAATCTCGTTCACGTCTGTTCTAGTACCGACTATCTTCAATCTCACTCTGGAACCCTTCTCTATATTTTCGTCGGGACTGACGTAGGCTGGGGGGTTGGCAGATGGGTTGAACTTCATGTCTGAAGGAATCAAGTGGGTACTCACGAACACTGACAATGGACCTACGTCAGCAAAGAACCCCATTTTATTCACGGTAGTCACCACTGCATCCACTACTTCTCCCTTAAACGGCTTCCACACCACGGCTCTGTACTTGACCTCGAATTCGGCCACTCCCATGCCTGGTATGATTCTACCCTTGCCGACATCGATATTCATACAGTCCAAAACACACACTATGTACCCAAACTGACCGGTACAGGTTCCCTCCACATCGCTCAAAAGCTTGTCTCTCAAATACTGGTCCATCTGGGGCCCAAAGTAGGAGGGGTGTAGGGTCAAGTTTAGCGAAAGATCTTTCAAGAAGAACATGATATGATGGGAAGTTTTATGGCTTGTGTTGTGTCAGGTATTCGATGGAGAATTGAAAGTGTCGTAAAGACTGTTGACTATCTATGCGGTGAAAAATGTTCTTGATGGTTCCTTCTGTCTATCTGCGACAACGATATATTTGCTGCGTGAATGTGCCTCGCGTGTTCCTGCTAGCTGTAATGAATGGCCGTGGTGTTGTGGGTCCGCTACTCGCTAACTTCTGTGACTGTCAGTGTCGTTCATGTTGATTTTGTTGAAAATCGCGTGCGACATTGTCTCCGTTTACCTGGTAGTACCCATCTGAGACCACCACCGGGCACACCCAGAGATCTCTTGATGTCCATGGTTCCAGTAGACTTGTATTCACCATCGATATCATGCTCTTGGAGTGCCCACAATTTCGCCCAATCTCTCTCTTCCTCTCAACCGGCTTTGGATACAAGTGCCAGTCAAACACGACTTGCTTCGCACTACGACATTCATTGAAAAATTTAAATCACTAGTACGTTCATCATTACCCTAATTCAACCATGTCCCAAAGAATAGGTAACTCGGCTGCTGCGTTGACCAGAGTATGGCATCACATCGACTTGGCCTCAGATCCAAGAACCTTGGGTCGTGTTGCTGCCAGCATAGCCATAACATTGCAAGGAAAGCACAAACCAACATTTTCCCCTAATAACGACCATGGCGACTACGTAGTGGTGACAAATGCTGCCCATATGAAAGTTACCGGTAACAAGTTGAAAGAAAAGCATTACTGGACCCACAACACCCGTCCGGGTTCCTTGAAGCTCATTCCTATGGAGAGAATGATTGCTAACAAGGGTTACAGCGAAGTTTTGATGAAAGCCGTGAAAGGTATGATTCCAAAGAATAAGTTAAGATTGGACAGATTGGACAGATTGAAAGTGTATGATGGTGATGAGCATCCTTACAAGCAGAACTTGATAGCGTTTGCCGATGAAGTTTCGGAGATGAAGGCTAAGGCTGCTGAGTTGGACAGAAAGGAAAAGCATTTGACCGAGCTTAGAGAAAAGTACCTCAAGCACTGAGTGCTTCAGGCCAAAGAAGTACGCGATACTGCTCGTTTCCGAACAAGCAGGCTTAGGCTGGATATGTCTAGGATCCTGCCAGTCTTTGCTCATTATCAAGCTTCGGGCCCATATATATGTAAATATCGGATTGTAAATATTAGACAGGATTACGTATCGAATGTAGAACGATGGGGGAACAAACACTAGCAAACAATTAAAGGTACATCTTAGCATTTCAATAAAAATATAGGACTATTGAAAATACTGATCAAAGACAAATGGAACTGAATGAAGTTCATCCAGCGTCACATTGGATATCTTACTACCCTTGCTCATTTCGAATTCGATTAATACTTATATTTTTTCTATGTTTTAATTAAATACATTATGTATTCAACACCCATTCCCAAAATGGGTTTACGACCGCTAGCTCGCTAGCATCGCTAGCATTACTAGCTCACATTATTAATACATGTACCCCCAGGGCAACCTCACACTCTTACTGAAACCCCCGATCTCTCTGTATACAATCTTGGTGCAATGTTCATGGCCATCAATTCTTGGAACAACAACTTGGCGGCGTATGGAATATGAATTTGGTAAATGTTTGTCTTATTCTTACATGAACGACATTCGAACTGGTTCTTCTTCAAGTTCGCAATAACACTCATCAATCCACACATACCACAAACGTGCACTCTGAAAGCATCAGAGGCTTCCATCAATCTTTCCTTCAAGAAGCCGGCAGCACCGTGAGCAATCATACAATCTCTTTCCATCTCACCGAAACGCAAACCACCATCTCTGGATCTACCTTCCACTGGTTGTCTGGTCAAGACTTGGACTGGACCTCTGGCTCTAGCGTGGATCTTGTCGTCGACCATGTGTCTCAATCTTTGGTAATAAGTTGGGCCAAAGAAAACTTGAGCCATCAACTTCTTACCAGTATGACCGTTATACATGACTTCAAAACCTCTAGATTGGTATCCATGTTCTCTCAACAACTTGGAGACTGCTTCAGCAGTAACATCGGTAAATGGCGATGCATCACCTTCTAAACCAGACAAAGAAGAAACCTTGGACAACAAACATTCAATCAAATGCGCAACCGTCATACGAGATGGGATAGCATGAGGGTTGATGATCAAATCTGGAACGATACCCTGAGAAGAGAATGGCATGTCTTCATGTCTGTAAGTAACACCGATAGTACCCTTTTGACCGTGTCTGGAAGCAAACTTATCACCGATTTGTGGCACCTTAGTGGTTCTCATTCTAACCTTGACGAACTTGGCACCATCACCATTGGTAGTCAACAAGACTTGATCGACAATACCGGATTCGGTACTTCTCAATGGAGTCGAAGCATCTCTCTTGGTATGGTATTGAGTTCTTTGACCCAATTCTTCAGTGTCTGGTGGAATTGGGGTAGTCTTACCAATAATAATATCTTCACCACTAACTCTGACACCAGGTGCAATTAAACCATCATCATCTAACTTCTCATAGGTACCATGTTTCAATCTTAAAGTATCGGATCTTGAAGGCTTCTCGAAAGTTTCCAAGGCTTTCATACCTTGTCTCTTTTCTAAGTCCATATAAGATCTGAAAAATAAAGATCTGAACAAACCTCTATCAATAGATGATTGATTCATAATCATCGAATCTTCTTGGTTATATCCCGAGTAACAGGCAATAGCGACAACTGCATTTTGACCAGCTGGCAATTCACGGAACTTCAAGTGTTCCATGGATCTGGTGGTTGCCAAAGGCTTTTGAGGATAGTACAAAATATTGGCCATAGTATCCATTCTGACAGCATAATTCGTCAAGAAAACACCCATAGCTTGCTTACCCATAGCAGATTGATAAGTGTTACGAGGAGACTGATTATGATCAGGGAATGGAATAATAGAAGCGGCGACACCCAAGATCATTGAGGGATGAATCTCACAATGAGTGAAAGTATGAGTAGATCCACTGAAAGTTGGCTTGATTCTCTTAGCAGGGTCAATTTCCTGCTCTTCCATTTGCAAGGTCTTTTGTTCAGATTCATCCAAATCACTCTTTGACGCTTCCAAGTCTTCTGGAGTCATGGCAATCATAATTGTTTCTTCTTCTTCTGCATCCACGTATTCAACGACACCGTCACTGACCAAAGCAGACCAACCGTATGAAGGTTGACCATCTTCATCGAAGTCTTCATCGTATTCTGAATTCAACAACTTGTGAATGTGTTCCTTTTGCAATTTCAATTCACCACGAGTTGGAGATTCAGCATCATCATCCACAATGAACAATGGACGGTAAACTCTACCTGCGTCGGTGAAAATCTTAAATTCCTTTTCTCTGATATCTCTAATGATAGAGACTTCTGGTGAAATATCTCCTCTTCTTCTCAAGTTTCTCATGGTGTCGACCAACTGAACTGGTTCTCTGTGGGTTCCTACCCAAACACCATTGACGAATACTCTGGTAGAATCTGGCGAATTGGATGGAACATAGTCTTCCAATGGTTCCATACCCCATTCTTCCAAGAAATACAAGATTGGTTCCGATGGAGTACCAACTGAAATACATGTCATCAAGGACAAATTCTTGACCAAACCACACGCTTGACCTTCTGGAGTTTCAGCAGGACATACCAAACCCCAGTGAGTGTTATGCAATTGTCTTGGCTTGGCAATCTTACCATCTCTACCAATAGGAGTATTAGTTCTTCTTAAATGTGACAAAGTAGAAGAGTAAGTATAACGGTTTAACACTTGGGAGACACCTGCACGCGAACTCATGGCCTTCTTTTGTTCACCCCAGTTACCAGTGGCAAGGGAATAACGCAAACCATCAGTAATAGTTTGAGATTTGACTGCTAAAGTTAAGTTGAATTCCTTATCGTTTTCAACACATCTCTGCATGTAATTGTAAATATCTTTGGTTAATTTTTTGAATAAAAGACGGAACAAGTTAGCCAATAATGGACCGGACAAATCCAATCTCTTTTTACCAAAATGATCTCTGTCATCTGGTTCTTTTCTTTCTAATGCACATAATAATAATCTGTTGACCATGTAACCCAAGAAGTAAGCTTTTCTGGTTTCAAACCCTTCTTCCTGAGTGATATTAGGTAACAATTCTTTTTGTAAGATATCCTTAGCGTACTGAATACGTTTTTCTCTTCTGATACCCAAAACACCTCTTCTACCGATAAAATCAAGGGCAATTTCACGTTCTTGAATAACGAAACCTTCTTCAACACAAGGCTTCAACATTTCCAACATTTGCCAATCGTTGGCATCGTAACAGATATGTTCCAAGATATCACCATCAGGCACAATACCCAAAGCTCTGAAGACGATCACAATAGGAATATCCTCCTTAATGTAAGGCAAAGTTGCCTTGATAGTTCTTCCTGAAGTTCCTTTATCATCTCTACCATACAATTTGATTTGCATCGACGAAATTAATCTGGAACCCTTTTCCAAGGCTGATCTAATTTCTGCCACATGAGAAACTGGGGAAGGTGCTGCCTTCTTGAAAACTTGAACAATATTGGCAGCACTTCTTTCTTGGGCGATCAAAACCTTCTCTGAACCGTTGATGACGAAATAACCACCCATATCGTAAGGACATTCTTTAAGTTCGTAGAATTCATGTTCACTTAAGTCTCTTAACATACAGAACTTGGACCTCAACATGATGGGCACCTTACCTAAGTATACCTTTGTGACAGGTTCCTCCTCATGCACTTTTTCTTCTATCCATTCGAGCTCATTGTCTTTCTTATTGTTATCATCCGACTTGAAAACTTTCTTGGTCATATCCACGTATAAAGGAGACGAATAGGTCAAATTTCTTAATCTTGCTTCTTGAGGGAACATAGGGTGAGTGGTACCATCACCTTCGGTCTGGGTTGGTTTGGAAATGTAAATTTTACCGAAAGTGATTTCAAATCTTCTATTTTCATGATCGTGTTCGGAGGTATGTTGGGCTGGCTGATCCAAGATCAAATGGGAGTCTTCCCAGACCAATTCCTGGATGGTGGACTCAATGAATTCATCGAACGAGTCTAACTGTTGTGACACCAAACCCTTTTCTTGAAAGAATGACGATATGACAGTCCAACAATCTTCAGGGGTGATGCTATTGGAGTCATCCTCGTAGAAGTACGGATCATTCTGTTGGTCCTGAGACATGGCTGCTAGTTTCCACGCGATTCAGTGATATCTAATGATAAATGGGTATTGATCAACGCCCTCTGAAGTTTGCCACTTATCGTGGATGTTTAGTTTGTGGGTGAGTATGGTATGGGCGAAAAATTTAGCGGTGCGCGCACGCCACCAGTGTCGCGTTACACAAAGAGAAATTTTCAGCCTACAGACTACCAGACACACAACTCAACCTGGCACCGGATCTCCATCGTTCAGGCCATCATGTTCCTCTCTAATATATGGAAGAGAGCGCTTCACTACAAGCAGACACCAAAGTCATACCCTAAGATCAATGTCAAGGACGTCGTGTTGGACAAACCCAGAGTTGGGTTCAGAAAGGAAAGGGAACCATTGATCTCCCAATCGGTCACCGACACCTTGTTTCCCAACACCGAGATCAAGAAGAGATATATCGAAGCAGGCAAGCCAGTGCCAATAAAGTACAGATCCAACAGCGATGCCATCGCCAGAAGAAACTACGAGAAGTACCAGGAGGAAGTGATGACTGGGCAACCCCATTTCAGAGTAGGTGAAAACAAGATTTACTTCCCTAGTGGAAGAATCTGCTTGCTCAGACCCAACGCCAAGCACACACCATACCAGGCCAAGTTCTTGGTGCCAAAGAGCATGAACAAGATGGACTTGAGAGACTACTTGTGGAACGTGTACGGATTAAGAGCATTAAACGTCACTGTGCAATTACTTCACGGTAGATTCCAAAGAGATGCATTTGCATACGCTCGTTACAGATTGCCACAATACAAGAAAATGACCGTGGATATGGCTGAGCCATTCATTTGGCCTGAGGTTTCTCCAGAATTAGTGGAACAAGCCGAAAACGATTACAGAAACGAAGTCAAGGTCATCGAACTGAAGAACGGTAGGGGCTCAGACTTATTGAAACCAATTGAAGGTTTCGACGGCATGTACGCCTCTCCAGAATTGCCAGATGCCTTCGTTAGTCGTAAGTGGAGAAAACAAGGAGAAACTGATGTGCAGAAACACACTGCTCAAGTTGAAGAGAAGACTGAAAAGGACTTGGTGGGCAAGTTCTTGGGTCTTTAAGGTCACGACTAATTTAGTCTATAGATTCGGGACCTATACCTAGGTCTGCCATGTATATAAGAATGTATTGCATATAGTAACTACAAACCGTTGTGTATAAAACACTCTAACGAAAACCAATCCCTTGTCATTCAGCGTTATTTCTAGAGGGGGCTACCAGAGCATCCTCAAAGGTGCAGCGGACCAAGATAGAAGTGGGATTGTCTTCTGCTTAACGAATCGGGGTATCAAAAGTAATTGTCAGAAGAACCTACCTCTCCTCTGAAACTACTTACCAAAGCCATCCCTTTTTCTTTTGGGGTCTCTGCTTCAATCCGTCGCCTTCTACCTCTTCTTCTTCTCCTGGCTTCTCACCCGCGTAGCCAATTTTGCTGGTGAAGTCCTTCACCATGACATAGGAGCTATCCAAGATCCCACTTTCCGATACACCCAGGCCAGTTTCGGGACCTTGTTGCGATGACTTGACCGCTTGCTCGATCAGGGTATTACTGAAGCCCAATCCTGCCAATTTCTTAGCATCAGTGAAGAGCTTTTGAGGAAACACATCGAACTTGACAAGTTTCGTCTCTATCCATGGCTTGATAAACGAGAAGTAGACCAAGCCGCAACCATTTTGGCTGAATTTGGTCCAATCCTCGGTATTGTCGAACGCCTTTGTGGTATCAGGAGTGGCACTTCCAAAGGTGACCATTGGAGAGAGCAACCATATCGAAAAGGACAACTTTATCAATGAGTATAAAGGTATTAAATGGCGCAAAAACAAAAAGGTCTCAGCAGACTGGACTGTGGCCAAAACCACCCAGTAGATGAACCACTTCTGGATAGTTATCAAACTGGTCTGGAGAGCACGGTCCTCAGTTCCTGGTTCTGTTGCTGCTTGCTTGAATACGAGATTTAGGGGAACGGTAACGCCCCCGATTTTGAACTGGGAGGAGGCGATCTCATTTGCCACTTTGCTGTATTCGTCGAACGCCTTGTAGGACGCAATGACGGGGTAGACCGTGGATACAAGGTTACTGAGGTTAATATGTGAAACTATTACAGGAGAATCACGTTAGTACTTACGTCAATAAGGAAAGCACAACCATCTTGATAGGTGGTTAAGTGTGGGATAACTCCTGAATCGACGCCCCTAAGACTGCGAGGCAATGGGGCTGGATGGCAGATATGGTTGAGATGGAAACTCAACTAGGTGTGGTATACTGAAGTCAATTGCTCTCTGATCAACACTAAGAACAACTGGTGATAGCTTATGGTCTATTTGCACCGATAAGAGATGATCATGCAAACTAGGGGGCGCGGTCACGTGGAGATACGGTCACGTGGAGAGTTCTCCAAGGTCGGACCCGGGTCCCCTCCCACCAGCACCACTACCTTGAAACGTGGGGTCGAGGTTCCCACAGTATATTGAGGTTGCGGGGCTCCGATATACGACACGATTGTCATGGTGATACGTAACTTTAGTTGAAGATCGCGAGCGACGCTGTAACACGTCACACTCATCCACATCCCACGTCTATCGACTAGTATACTTTGGAGGCACAATCCACTCCGACTCGTTCTCTAGTTAAACCTATACTTAAGAGGCACTTTTCAGTCCCAACTCGTTCTCTAAATATTTGCTACTTGTATTGATTGTCTATGTTTGATAGTTCACCATAAGCCTCTGGCCTTCAACTGCTCCACATTCCAGTCCCAAGTCTGGATTGCATTGTTCTCGTTGGTTGCAACGTGATTGGCTCTTCCCTCGTTACCTCCTGTGGTGAGATACTTACCGTTATCGTTAGCAACGGTGAGGGAAGGATCCAATGCCGCTTTCAAGGTGGAAAGCGCCCCCTGCTCCAAGGTGACCCCAATCACCGAGTTTGCTGCTGTCAAAGCACCCTTGGTGAACACCCCGATGTAGGAGAAGTTCTTCCAGCGATTGTACAACTCGGTATCCACCACAAGCCCCGGGTGGACCGCCACACTGAGGATTTTCGGGTACTTTTTGGCCAGGAGCCGAGCAATCTGAATATTGGCCGACTTGGACACTCCGTACCGCACCCAGGTGGAAACCAAGTCGGGGCCCCTTTGCACAGGCTTTCCAGGGTGGAAGTACTTGAACGCAGCGTAGTGGCCCACAGAGGCCACATGGACCACCCGTGGTACGTGGCCGTCCTCCAACGCAGCCTCAAGCTGGGGTGCCAACTTGTGGGTCAACAAGAAGTGGCCCACAACATTGACCTGGTACTGGATCTCGATGTCGTCCTTGGAGAGCTCGTATGGCAACGCCATGATGCCCGCGTTCAATATGAGCTTATGGAGCTTTGGCTCTCTGGCAGAAAACTCCTTGGCTGCCAGGACCACGGTAGAGAGATCAAGCAAGTCGATGTACTGATAATGCAACTCACCCAATGGATGCTTGTTGTCATGTCTTTTCTGAGCCTCCTGCTTGAGATCCTCAATGGCCTTGAGGACCTTGGACTCAGTCCGACCTCCGATATACACGATGTATCCGTGGAGGTAGAGGTGCAAGGCATCGAACCAGCCGATTCCCGAGTTGGCCCCAGTGATGAACACCACTTGACGGTCGGTGCTCGGGTCAAGGTAGGGAGCCGAGGATGGATCATAAAAGCTTGAGTTTGTGGGCATTTTGTTGTGGTCAAATGGGTGGATCAGGCGATAAATCAGGAGAATGGCCCGTTATATACACCTCTGCATACAAGATTGTTCCAGCCATAAATGTCAAATTCGTGTCTGGCGAAGGTGTCTGTGCGACCCTGCGCCAACTCGTAAATGGCGCATGTGCTTCGCAAATGAGGAGACGGTCAGCGAGGGGCCAAGCAATCAAACTGTGGTGGTTGTTTCCCATGAGTGGTTAGAGGGAGGCTAGAACACCACGGTGGGGTGCTGGAGGGTTGGCTGGGTTGTACCGAAGCATTAGGCCCCCAGGGTTGTGAAGTACCCAATTGACAATTTTCATTGCCATCAAGCTGTCAATCTCGGAGTGAAAAACAGTGCTTCTGGCCATGCACAATTGCATGTTCTCGCTATGTTCTGGCCTCGGAGGAGGAGAGGGGGCTCATTTGACACCCGCAAACAAATAACCCTTAACCTAATAAGGCGGTGGAGAGGAGGGGAGTTCGGGCTCCTGAGGCACTGTTTCCGTTTCTTCCGGAATGCAGTCTTCGGAGTAGATTTGTCGGAGTTTTGTACCAAATCTAGAATTTTAGAAGGTGCGATAACACCCACGGGTCTAGACCGAGCAGCGCCTCTTTTTCAGCCAAGCCGAAGCAGGGTATGGACATCTGCTCCATAGGTTACTGGTCCAGCCACCCAATATAGCATCATCTGGCGTGTTTGATGTAGTGCAGGGCAGAGCCATCAGATCACGTGGTTCTATTGTATATAACATGTCCATCACGTGTGCAATTCAAACATCAATCATTCCGATATAGTGTAACGGCTAGCACGGTTCGCTTTCACCGAGCAGACCCGGGTTCGACTCCCGGTATCGGAATATCTTTTTGCCCTAGCCCCACAAGGCTGACATTCTTTTTACCAATCAACCTCCATGATATTCCACCCCCAGTAACCATGCGGGGCCTCCACTTGTGTGCCCCCATCACCATGCAGACGTAGTCCAGTGAGCCATGGCCCTTCCCCACCGCCCCAGGTAGTGCCAGCCCCACGCCATCCACCAGTGACCCCGATAACACCAGAGTGAGCCAATCAAAAGTGGGGATCAGCCAGGTGATCAGAGCCATTGTTGTGCAAATCTCCACCTTTTCCAACCCCTTCAATCTACTCCGAACTCCTGAGCAGATAGGAGGAGGGGTGCAAAAGAGGGGGAGGCAACTCCGAACCGGGGCCGCGCACGCCCCGGTCTTACAAATGAAAATGAGATCATTATATAAAGAGCTGGGATGGGTACGTAATTCAGGGGCAAGTTTTATTCTACCTATCATTTATTTCCTCATAGCTGTTCACACTCCTCCTCCTATCTATTCACACACAACAACATGTCATTGAGAAACTTGGGATTGAACTCCACCTTCCGCGGCCTCTTCACCAAGGGCCACGAGATGGGAAAGACGGTGCAAACCGTGTTGGACTTCAAGAGCCAACCCCAGGAGTCGCTCGACTCCATCATGGTCAGAACAGACCAAGAGTTGGGTGGATTTTCCACAGCCAACTTCAACGTGGACGCTGAGTCTGGCGCCGGCCACTTCCATGGCTACTTGAACTTGGACTTGCCAAAGGATAACCCAGCTGTCACCAGATCTGGCTACGCCATGTTCCGCACCAAGGACCAGAAGGAGTCTTGGTTGTCGGGAAACAGCTACTGGGACTGGTCTCACTTGAGCTCAGTGGTGTTGAGAGTTCAGGGCGACCGTCGCAAGTACTTGGTGAACATTCAGGCAAACACTCCCTTGGTCACCGATCTCTTCCAGCATCGTCTTTTCCTTAACCATCCTGGTGAGTGGGAAACAGTAGTGATCCCTCTCCAAGACTTTGTCATGACCAATTGGGGAGTGATCCAAGATGGCAGTGAGATCAACAAGGCTGAAATTAAAACTATCGGAGTGGGTTTGTTGGACAAGCAATACGGTCCATTTTCGCTCAAGGTGGACTGGATCAAGGTCATGACTGGTACTGAAGTTGAAAGAGAAACTCGCAGGGCTCGCACTGAAAGATTATCCATAAGCACTCCTCCAAAGGATCAACAAAATGGAGGAATTGAGGCATCGACTGAAGCAAGTCCATTTGGCTCCTCTGCCATGCCATCCACCAGCAACGACGACCCTAAAAACACCGTGTTTTAGATTGAATAACAATCTACTGGATGCTTGAAGACCGCTACTTCTGGGGTTCCGGGATGCTCGCATTTCTAGCAATCTTCCCTTTGGGTATGAGCAAGATCAATGAATACGGCTTCAGGACCGATTACCCCACAACTCACCCAAACTTACTTTCATACAGGATATGGTAAGAACATGATTTATAGGTTTAATGCATAGTAGAATAAAATACGTAGGCAAACCTTGGTGCATTGTGGCCCAGGGCCCGCTAAAGCAGATAATATCGCAAATTGGGTTATTCCCCTCTGTACATTTTCAATCCCCTCCAATAATTAGAATTAAAGATTGTTCCGCTTAGTCATACATTTTGATTTACGATTTAATTGTTGCTCCTCTAGGTACAATAAGTGGCGTCTGGATCTGGAAATATGGGAGATAGAATATTACCCCACAAAACAGGGTTAGTGCCCTATTACTCACGTGATGTTATATCCATCATGTGCAGATGAAAATTCTTTCACCAAATCTGCTCGCGCACGCATCCCAAAAAATTCAGTATATAAGTAGGGACCCTCGCTAACTATGACAATCATCCATACATATTATCCAAAATGGCAAGAGGCCCGTATGTCTAACACTCATGAGAAATCATTGAGCTAGACGAACATATCGGAGTACAGACCCTGTTTANAGGGTACGTGGAAACGAACCATCCTAAGATTTTTCTTAGAGTTACCAGTCACTGTTGTTGACTTGGATGGGAGCCTTGTCGTGATAATGTGGGATTAAGATGTCAGCAAAGACCGAATATGTGTCTGTTACTATGACCGAACGTGAACGAGCTTCTGACCTTGTGTTATGATGTGTTTAATCGAGTTGTGTAACGAACTTATCACCAATTTTCTGGCATTTTGACCCCATGCAGTTATCAGACAAGCTGTGTTCGCTAGCGCATGAATTTACTCGTAGAACTGTAACTAACTTTGATAGAAAGAAGCATTTGAAGAGATTAGCAGCTCCATCCCACTGGATGTTGGACAAATTGTCCGGTACCTACGCTCCAAGACCATCTGCTGGTCCCCACAAGTTGAGAGAATCCTTACCATTGGTTATCTTCTTGAGAAACAGACTTAAGTATGCCTTGAACGGTAGAGAAGTCAAGGCTATCTTGATGCAAGAACACGTCAAGGTTGACGGTAAGGTCAGAACTGACTCTACCTTCCCAGCCGGTTTCATGGATGTCATCACCTTGGAGGCCACCAACGAAAACTTCAGATTGGTTTACGACGTCAAGGGTAGATTTGCTGTCCACAGAATCACTGCTGAAGAAGCTTCCTACAAGTTGGGTAAGGTCAAGAAGGTCCAATTAGGTAAGAGAGGTATTCCATACGTTGTCACCCACGACGGTAGAACCATCAGATACCCAGACCCATTGATCAAGGCTAACGACACCGTCAAGATTGACTTGGCCACTGGTAAGATCACTGACTTCATCAAGTTCGACACTGGTAGATTAGTTATGGTCACTGGTGGTCGTAACATGGGTAGAGTTGGTGTTATCACCCACAGAGAAAAGCACGAGGGTGGTTTCGACTTGGTCCACATCAAGGACACCTTGGAAAACACTTTCGTTACCAGATTGTCCAACGTGTTTGTCATTGGTACCGAAGCTGGTAAGCCCCACGTTTCCTTGCCAAAGGGTAAGGGTATCAAGTTGTCTATTTCTGAAGAAAGAGACAGAAGAAGAGCCCAAAGCGGTTTGTAAGTGTATAATAGAGAGCTACGCTCAGGTAAATGAATGATAATTTCGGAAGCACTGGCTCCTAGTAGAAGAGTATATTTTGGACACTAGTGGAGCTTGGGAATTTTCCAGATATGCTACTGAATTAGACCACCACCTACTGGCTGCTCACTATATAGATACGTCAACAATTTCAAAACTAGTCAATATCTCAATATGCCCTTCGCGCCCTCGGTGAATTAGCCACTCTGGGCGTGGGCCCCACTCGGCTGAGATTGATCCATGATAACCAGTTTGGGTTCCCAACCACTTAAACGCGCATGCCCACGAGGACCCTGTCAATCACTCTACTCGACAATTGTCGAGCTTATTTATTCACCGATTGGATACTTCGTTCTTGTTATATCTGCTATTGTTGGACCCACTCGGCAACCCCCGCAACCACGCTCTAATTTGTACCGCAGCCGTCGCACTTCTCCACAAATTGGCCACTCCGATCGGATTGCTAACTTTCCACACACCGCCTAATATCTTCTTACTAGAAGTTCAGTGCATCTCGAAAGACTAACCATCTATCGGTCCAAACCTCAACCATACTCCAATAATGACATCCAGATATAGAGTGGAATACGCGCTCAAGAGTCACCGTCGTGACGAGTTTATTGAATGGATCAAGAGCCTTCTTGCAGTGCCATTCGTCCTTCATGCCGACGTCCAGAACTACTCCCACGGCATGAGCCACCACTACTCCTCCATTGAGGAGTACGAGCAGTATCTCGTGGAACAGGACTCGGAAATTGCTTTGGAGTGTCAAAAGAGATACCAGGAGATCTTCGAAGACGTGGAACGTTTGATTGAACACACCATATTAATCGATGACTCCAACCAAAAGACCAACAGGCCTTTGGCCCAGAGTAGGTTGAGACGATTGGTGCCCTCCGTGGGCAAGTTCTTCACCACATTGCCCTTGACCGAGGCGTTTTTGATCGAGGACGAACGGAGAGGGATTTCCAAGAGAAGGTTGGTCAGCCCTTCCTTCAATGATGTCAGAATGATCTTGAACACCGCCCAAATCTTGGCATTGACCAAGATCTATAGAAGACATTCACAGGTCGGCTCCAAGTTGAAGTTGATCACATTTGATGGTGATGTCACTCTTTACGATGACGGTAAGTCCTTGCAGGAAGACGATCCAATTGTCCAGAGACTTGTGGCCTTATTATCGTTGGACCTTTTCATAGGAGTCGTAACGGCAGCTGGCTACCCTGGTGAACTGGGAGCAGAAAAATATTACGAAAGATTGAAGGGATTGATTGATGCCATCAAGAACAGTAGCGTCTTGACTGCCAAACAAAAGGAGAATATGTTGGTCATGGGAGGTGAATCAAACTATTTGTTCAGATACGACAGTAACTTGGAAAGATTGAAGTTCGTTGATGCAGGAGACTGGTACTTGCCTATCATGAAGAGCTGGAACAAGGAAAAGGTCAGCTATATTATGCAAACCATCCACAAGCATTTCCTACACTTGCAAAATAAGTTTGGATTGGTTGAACATACCACCATTATTTTGAAGGAAAGATCCGCTGGTATCATTCCAAATCCTGGCTACAAAATTCTTAGAGAACATTTGGAGGAAATGGTACTTTCGTGTTCCTTGAAGCTTTCGGAAATATTGTCTCACACATCTGATGATACGGTCACTAATGAGTTTATGGATAATGAAGACCCAGAATCTGCCCTTAAGGACGGAATCCCAACCGAAGATATCAAGGTGTGCGCTTTCAATGGAGGTGCTGATGTCTGGGTCGATATAGGTGATAAGAGTTTAGGGGTGGAATCATTGCAAAAGTATTTGTGTCAGGACGAGTCTTATGATCACATCTGCCCTATTCAAAAGAGTGAAAGTTTGCATATTGGTGATCAATTCGCTTCATTGGGAGCCAACGACTTCAAAGCTAGACTCAGTGCCTGTACCGTCTGGATTGCAAATCCCACCGAAACTGTTGAGACTTTGGATGATTTAATTAATCACCTTCAATAGAGAGTAAAGAAAAATAGATACAAGTCAAATTCATTGTAGATCCAATAATAAGGTTTGAATAAATATGTAGGTTTTAGATATATCTAGCACATTACTCGAATACAGTTTTTCAATCAAGTTCGTTATATTCAAAAATCAAAAATAACGACAACTGCAGGACTCGAACCTGCGCGGGCATAGCCCAAAAGATTTCAAGTCTTTCTCCTTAACCGCTCGGACAAGTTGCCTATTTGTAGAATTTGCGAAATAAAGAAAAATAATGTACACACGCAACTGACTAATCCAAAAAATCTTACCGATTTTCAACCAGCGAGAAGGTTGTCCTGCAAAAAATCATCAAAAAACAAAATTAAATTCAAAAATCAATTAAATTATAACGGCTTGACTATAATGGTGTGTTATCCATTGCAATAGGTATATAATATACTTCCCATTCGCAAAAAAAACAACTCCAGAACTCCATCTGGAGGCTACCTCAACGTTCAGATCCTCAGCAATATTATAGGATGGGATGTTCAACCCGTTTTCCATACGGCCATTTTGGTCGTCTTAACGGGCGCGAAAGAAGTCAAGGAACAGGCACTCATCCTGAGCTGATCGAAGTTCCCGACTTAGGAATGGAAGGATGAAGAGAATTTTGTATCAGACTCAAAATTCTCAGTTTTAAGTATCTAGGGGCTATCGATGGTACACAACTATTAAACCACGTATCCGAGAACCACTGCATCCCTGATGAATCAACCTGTGCCCCAAAGCACAACAATACTGGGAAAATCTCAAGATTCTGAAAGAACTTAGTAGCTTAAGAAATGTAGTCAGGGGCAAGTTATCAACGATACAATTATCATCAAATTAGACTTGTTTATTAGGTGTCTTTGGAGGTATTGAAATAAACACGAGCACAAGGGAAAATCCAAGTTCGTCCTCTGAAATCCAACTGATCGAATTTCCTCTTGCCCAGTCAATTTCCTTTGAAATATGCAAGTTGTTGAAAAACATGAAAATTGACACTTCTTTGCCCAATCGAGATAAATATGATATGACACACTGCCTCATATTGAAAGGGATATGCTGGGTTTGGAAGGAATAATCATTTGATTTTACGCAAAACATGTTTTATCACCTCTTGTGTTCATTCAGATGAAATCTGTCTATAAATTTAACTCTATACTATATATATATACATATCTTACTATTTATTTGATGTAGAATGGCAATCCATATAGGACTGGTGCAGCACCGTTCAAATATGCCAAGTTGCAGCTCTCTCTACTTTGATGAATAGCTTCACTAATATTAAGGTCTTTATTCCCGTTGAAAAGACCCCATTTGTCGAACACCGATAAACTGAACTGGTCTATGTCCTTGTCAGTGACATCCCATAGATTTACTAATGCCATAGGACAACCACCAACCAACCAATTATACACATTTCCGGTCGGTTGCAATAATCCATTCATTTGCAACACTCCTGAAGAACATCCAATAAGTAAGCTTGGTGGTAATCTGGGCCCATCGGGTAAGCATTTTTTAAATAATGACGATGTTCGGAAGTATTGATCGCACCCTCCATGACCCAGATAAACAAACAAGTTGGAGTTGAACAAGTTCGAGAGGAATGATTCTTCTTGCGGCTTTTCACCTATTAAACCATGCCAACTTTGATTCTCCTTGAATCCGGGTCCTAGTTTTTGCTGTGTGCGAACTAAATCCCCACTCGGATTTATCACGTAGTATAGATTAGATGAGATATCGATTGAAAATTCTGACCTTCCTTTAAGTAGATCCAATAAAAGTTTAGTAGAAGGCATTCTTGAAACTGAAATTCCTCTCATACAGTGCATCGATTCCCAAGGAAAAAATGCACATTCCTTACTAGGAATTAACACAACATGATTCTTACCTCTTGTTCTTGATCTTAAATTAAAATATTTGTCAAACAATTTTTCGATGCTCTTGTGCAACCTTTCGAAATTTATTTTATGATACTCATTCTTCTCACCATGAAAAGTAAGAGTATCAATGACATAATACAATAAGTCATCCACTTGTTCTTTGACATAGCCCTTCAAAGAGTAAAATATTTTTATGAAATGATCGTCGAGCTCCATGAACCTTGCATCTGCCACTAACTTTCTAGTGGGAAGATAAGTATTGATTACCTTAAGAAGGTCAATTTTAAATTTTTCAAAAATCAAATCCTGTTCAAATTCATAGAATATGCCTTGAAAACCACCTATCCAATGATTTTCAACATCTTCCAACAAGTGCTTCATTTTCAAATCCAATCCAAATCTCAACTTCCACCAAGATTTCCTGTCTTCTTTGGTAGTGATTTTAGAAGTAGTAGCTCGCTTTGTTGACAAATTACTCTGTTTTATGATTTCTTGAAACAGCTCTTTAATATCCTCGAAAGACTGAATATTCCCATTTGATTGTCTTAATGGAAGTCTTAGAAAGAATGGATGGTGCCCTTTTACGAATTTGGACAAAATTAAATCACCACTACTACCACAAACATCGACTGTTACAATAGACCAACCATCAGGCAAATATAGATTTAGGTCGATATTGAAAGCCATGGACAGTTTAGAAAAGCTATCAGCTTCGATTGGATCTGAAATTTCCTTGGGAAGAAGATCAGTAGGCCCATTGAAGTTGTTACTAATTAGCTTTTCATTCATGAAGGGAAGGCATGCCGCAAATTCTTGAAGATAATATAAGTCAACCAATAACGTTGTTTCCATTCTGAATATAGTTAAGGATGATAGTGCTGAGAGACATTGATTGAACACTTTAGAATAGTAGTCAAGCTCATAGGCTGTCAATTTTGATATGTGTGCAACATTGGAGAGCAAGATTTCCTTGTACTGGATGAGTTCATCTATAATCTCTCTGCTGATTGAATTCAAATCTGTCAAACCATCACTAATAATCGAGGGAATTGTTTTTACCGCTTTGTCAAGTTGATTGTAGATCGGATTCTGTAATAATGCTTTGATGGAATTTTTGATTAAGCTTTTAGAGGAGATGACTACTGAAATAAAAGAACCATTCCCTGGTGAAGATTTTTTCAATTCCTTATCATCCAAATTGATTTCTTCTAATATTGAAGTCAAGTAGTAGCAATCAGTTTCAAAATTGTCATCTTTCGTATGAAGACGTTCCAAAATATAATCACTAAGCATACTTAATGATTTATAGGAGGGGAATGAATCCCCATGGGCTAGCCTCATCAAGTTGTTCTTGCAAACGATCACTGAATGGTTCTCTTGCACCAAAGTATGCTTGGTGAACTCCATGGCTTTTGCAAAATGAGTTGAAGATCCATCCTCGTTCTTGATAAGCATGCTGTAAAGTGTCAATTGTAAGTGATTCAAACAATTAATCAAGGGAATATCACTGGCACCATTAACCTTTTTAAACTCATTCAAATAATATATGAATTCTCTGGACACTCCTAGTCTTTTCAAAGTATTCAATATATTTTTGTATGCTTCGAATAGAAGTGTCGTTGTTTCCCACTTAAGCTCTAGATGAATGTCTTTCGAAATGTTGGCGGATGTACTCTTCATTATGGAGTAAAGTAACTTTATACAAACCTTCAAGTTCATGTATGAATCTGCGTGCTTTTGCAATTGTGAATTGAGTGATGAAGAACGCAATTGAAATGTGGCAAGTAGTAATAAATTCTTCAACTTTTGGATCATCGACAACTTATTATCATTATCTAGGTCAAATTCTGGCCTAGAATTTAGTACCTTTAGTGTTTTGGTGAACTTTTCTTTGGCTGAAGTAAAATTGTTAATAGACACCAAATAATCAAGTTGTGCCATATTAAAACTCATTATTTCATGTAGTGAACTTATTCCCCCAGTTTTGAGTAAGTGGTTCCATTGAGAAATGCAGCTAGACAAATCATCCCAGAGGCATAATTTTGAAAGGCATACATATACTTGTTTTTGCAACCAAAGATCAATTTCAGAAGATGAAACAGCACTTTTGAACTTCCTTATCAAGATTAAAACTTGGCCAGTTAATCCATTATGCATCAAAAATGACAAAACAAACTTGAATACTTCCAAACTGAAAGTGTCGACAGAATCGGCACATTCAGTTTCCACCCATTTTACACACATGGCAATAACCTTTTCCATCTTCGAGTTTTCCCACTTAAAGTGAATAAGATGATGCACCAATAGACCGGCAGACACCATAGAATACTCATAATCAATATAAGTTTCATCTTCCCCTATAACCAATTCATTCAACCCGTTGATATTGAAATAGTGGAAGTGGATCATACAGTTCAATTGCTTCTCATCAATTATCAAAGCTTGCATCAAGACATTGGCGGCACAAGTCTTTTGCTGGCAGTCTCCTGATTTTTCAAAGTATTTGAAGAGTTGGATAGCTACCAATGCTTTGAATTTGTTAGTGAACATGCTGGAGCTTAGTAATGGAATTGCAAGATCAGGCGAATTGAGAATATTTCTTGCAATGACCAGTACAGTTTGTTGATTTACTGCCAGCTCACTTGTCTCTATTATTTTCAAGTAATTTGTCAATAATGCTGATACCTGATCTTTTTGATGAATGCAATTTAAAAGCTTTTGCAATTTGAGTTGCAAGTACTCAAGATTGCCATTTGAAGGATCTTTCAAGTAAATGAGCGTCTCAAGATCAATTGTTAACTTGCATGCTTCAAAAGCTTTAAATCTGGAGCCCACGCCGAAGTATATGTTTGACAAATTTCTGATCCTTTTAGTTTGATTGAAATGCTTGAATATTTCGAGAAGCTGATTTAACACGACAAAAGCTGAAGCGTGCGAACCTTCGTCATGAGTAGCATCCCTCAAAAAAACAGTGAAATGATCAAGCAATAACAAATGGGATTTTGAAAGTCTTTTCGCAACGATGCTAGTACTGGCAATGCAAGATACAATAGTCTTCACGAATAAGAAGGATTCAGGTCGACTGGTCAATGTGATACGCTTGATTAATTCAAACACTCTCTCCTCCTTTATGATTCTATCACTTGAATTGATTAATTGTAGATTGAGTTTGTTGATGTTTCCTATAGTGAACGTTGTGACCAACAGTTCTAGAGAAACAATGACATCCGTAGAAGAAGACTTGGCCTGTTGAGAGAATAGCATATCAAATACTAACTCATACACTGGACATTTGGACAATTTCAAATCTTCTAGAAATGGTAAAAGATCATGGCTCATTGTCATGGATTCAATGCACGTCCCATCTTCTGTAAGTTGAACTAATTTCAACACAAGGCATGACCGATTTACTTGCAAGTTAGAGAGGTGAGGAATCTTCAATAATGTGTCCAATATCTTCACAAAGCCCCGGATCATTTTTATGCAATTATTTTTATACCTCACTATATTTTCTTGATTTGTGTAGGAGCTTCTTATCCAATTCATGAAAGGATGATTATCCAAAAACATTGATGGGATTATTTTCAATACATCCAAAGTGACGAAATTATCCTTCCCGGCGACGACTTGTCTAATACTCACAGATATATGTTGCAATAGACATTGTAGCACCAAAAAGTGGAAAGCCACCACTAGATTTATAAGGGGATAATTCACACTATCAATGAAGGGAATACCCAGCAAAAGTTCTGCCGATGTAGCTCCATAAACACCGATGTTTTTGCCATGAATGACTTTGTTTAAACCTTGATAGAGATATGATAATTCGTGCAATGCTTCGGTCAAGTTTTTGGATTCCAAAAGCTGTATGATAAACACATGATGCTTCTTAAACACTAAAATTGACTGTTCGAGACCTTGGGGTATTAAGTATAAACTCTTAAAACATTTCGATAAGGTTGTAGTATGGTCTTTTGCCAGGCAAGATTGGATGTAGTTTGTGGCAAGATGCTCGATTTCTTTTGGATTTTGAGCGAATAAGTTTTGCTTTTTCGATGGTGACAAGGGACTTGAGGTATTCGAAAGTATGAAGGACGTTAGGGTGCCATCAATGGGGTTCATCCTTGGTGATGGATGTTGGTTTGGGGTGTTGTAAACAAACAGGTTTGCGCACATCATCACGTGATCATATAACAATAGGATGGATATTTCCACACCAAGCACCAATGGCCAACAGGAAAATAGGATTCAGTTGAGCTGAAGAGTTAAGAATATCAGGGCATTCCTTTAGGGCAGTTATTTACTTCCTGAAATATAGAATGCTTGCTTACAGGTGTGCAGTAATCGCTCATTTACTGAGCTAGACTACAGAATATATGTATAATATTATATTATCAGTCAATATGTACAGGATGGCAATATTACAGATAGTCGAAGTTGCCAAACAGTAGTAGCAGTCTTTGATTTCCGTGTTCGGGGCATAGACTGGCCAAACGTGGTCCAGTACACTAGGTTTGATGGCCCGATGTAGTAAGCTCCTTCTTCTAACTCTTACAAAGCCACTAGAACTCTCTTTCACCTCTATTTTCAGCATCCAACTCTTCTTGCTTGAATTTCTCCTTTTCTTCCAACTTTTGTAAGGCCTTTCTCTTGGCCAAGACGGTTTTGGCGTTTCTTTCACCACCATTCTTCTTCTTACCTCTCTTGTGCTCTCTTAATGGTTCCAAATCATTTTGAAACTTGTGGATCCACCTCAACATATATCTTCTGGTCGAAACGTCTATACCCAAATCTTTCATTTGCTTAGATGAAGTACCGAGAAACTTTTGTAAGTCACCTTCGAAAGTGTCGAGGTGTTCCACGGTGCTTCTACCGATTAACTTGAAGAAGGTTTCCAAATCTTCCACATTTTCTTTTGTTCTGGTGGATGTGTTGGTTTTGAATGCAATTGGAGTGCTGGAAAATGCTCTATTTATATGTATTGGGGATGAAAAAACAGGGTTGATTTTGATAGGGACATTCTGAACCAAACGGCCAGAGCTAGCTCTACCAATTAAGGTCCTGAATGTGTTCATTATGATGTAGTTAGTTCTGGGACTCGGGTGATTCAAAATTGATCATTGTGCAAGTGAACCAAATTTTTCAAAACTTGGTCGTGCGCAGCGCAAAATGTCAGTGGGACTACGAGGATATCTAACTGTAGTCGTGAATCACGACAATTGTATAATAACCAGATTTAATTGGGTTAAGTGGACCCACGACACTAACTAGGGCTATTTAGTTTACAACAATCCCTTGTTTTTGAATTCAGCCAACAAGGAGTTACCTAATCTGGCTGGAGATGGTTCCACGACAACACCGGCAGATTGCAAAGCAGCGATCTTGGACTTAGCGTCACCCTTACCACCAGAGATGATGGCACCAGCGTGACCCATTCTTCTACCTGGAGGAGCGGAGACACCAGCGATGAAAGAAACAACTGGCTTTGGACCTTCTGGTCTGGTCAAGTTGTATTGTTTCAAGAATTCGGAGGCTTCTTCTTCAGCAGTACCACCGATTTCACCAATCAAAATGATACCTTCGGTTTCCTTATCGTTCAAGAACAAGGTCAAGGCATCAATGAAGTTGGTACCTGGGAATGGGTCACCACCCATACCGATAACCAAGGATTGACCAAGACCAACAGCGGTGGTTTGGGCAACGGCTTCGTAAGTCAAGGTACCGGACTTGGAGATGACACCAACCTTACCTCTCTTGTGGATGTGGGAAGGCATGATACCAATCTTACATTGTTCTGGAGCAATCAAACCGGGACAGTTTGGACCCACCAATCTGGTCTTGGACTGGGTCTTCAAGATTTGGGCAATTCTGACCATGTCGTGTTGAGGAATACCTTCGGTAATGGCGACGGCAAGCGAGATTTCCGCTTCGATAGCTTCTTCAATGGCAGCAGCGGCAATTGATGGTGGGACGAAGATACCAGTGGCGCTAGCACCGGTTTCCTTGATGGCATCCTTGACACTTGCGAAAACTGGTCTGTCCAAGTGGGTTTGGCCAGCCTTCTTTGGGTTGACACCACCGACAACTTGAGTGCCGTAAGCAATGGCTTGTTCGGCGTGGAAAGTACCTTGCTTACCGGTGAAACCTTGGTAGATGACCTTGGTGTCGGAGGTGACCTTCAAGTTCTTGATGGTGGAGGCGTAGTTTCTGGCTGGGGTGGCTGCAGAAAAGCCACGGACAAATTGTCTGTTCAACATTGTGGATGGTATGGATATGATGGTTGATGGAAGTAAAAAATTACCCGTAAACATTTTGGGCGCTATAGTGTCGTGGCAGGGGCTAGTACTGCGGGAAGGGTGTTTGTCGTCGGTAGTGCGGGTCGTGCGCTGGCGCGAAAACTTTGATCCGGGCCAGCGACCTACTGTGGTGGGACCGACGGGAGGTGGGAATGGCCAGCAAACGGGTGTGGGTCTGGGGAACGTGCACACCAGCACGATGGTCGTTTCCAGATACCGGTTGGATGGTCCTGGAGACCTAGGGGAACAGGCAACGGTGAGAAGTCACGTGTTGTTTCCGACTGTCTCCGAGGCTGTTGGGCCACGTGAGGAGGGGAAACGTTGAGCCGGGCTGGACGGATGCGAATCGGCCATGTCAAGTTGCAACTCCACTAGTCAGAAGGTAACCACTCAGAAGTCACTGCGAGGTGGCGGAGTGCATCCGGAACGCCTTGGCCGGTGTGGTGGCCAGGAATTTCTCGGTAAAAATGCTCTTCCCATCCATCACGCCCCTAAAAATGAGCTCTGCCCCGCTCACTTCCCACACCGCAGCCGATGGGCACTGAGGGGAGTCCCCATGAGCTCACACCCCATGGTTCCTCCCGTAGTGGCGTGTGGCGAGCGCACTGCTAGCGCGGTGGGGCGCTAGCTTCCAGTACCAGCGTGGTGCGGGCTGAATGCAGTCCCGGTAGGGTGCACCAGTAGAGTGAGCTCATGATATGTGCAGTACGAAGCATGTCCCGGAGATGTTGGTAGAGAAAGCCCGGGGAATGTGGTTCGTAGAGGGGACCGGTGCCCATTGGAGAACTTTGATGGGCCAACTACTTCAACTCACCAGCTGAAGCATGCAGTACCGTAACCACTTTTTGTTCTTTATCATTACTTAATGTAGACCTGCGATCACGTGTCATACATCCACACCCATTGCCAACTTCACCAGCCATGAAGCAGTGCTCTGGCCTGTCGTTGTTGCCGAGCCTCCGTATGTAACTAAGCTTTCTGGAAAGCGTATTGGGCTGTTCCCTCTAGGGTTACACATTCGTACTACATTACATAATTAGTAGTTCGTGGTTATTAATTACCTGTTCTGTACCAGGTAGTTTCAGGGTGAAGTCAATGGTCCAGATCCACGGCATCTTCCCACAGCACCTTCCAGTATTCTCTCAGGGCCACTCTTACTACAACCGTGTCATTCGTAGATTTCCCTCTTTATCTCAGATCTCCTGCTAGACAATCTCACTCGCGTTGAAAAATGAACACTATCACCTCCAACCGACAACCAATCCATCCATGTCGTCTCCCCAACCTTCACAGGATCCCCTACAAGTCCTACCTGAAACGGAACCAACGGAACCAACGGTGATCAAAACGGAGACTCCAGACGACAAAGAATCCGGAGATGCCAAAAGATCAAAGAAAGCGCCAGTAGCCAAGAAGCCAAGCGCTGAGGTGTTACAACGTCGTAAGGAGGGCAGAATCAAAGCAGCAGCCACAATTGCTCAGAACTTAAAGAAGACAGGAATCGGGAGATTTGAGCAACAAAACGGGTTTGGCTTGACCAGTGTCAGACCCATTCCCCTTATCAACCAGAAGAACTACTTCACCGAATACTTGAGGAAGGATGAACAGATATCCTTCATCAGAAACTGGAGAACAGAAAAGTACCTCCAACAAAAGCTCAAGAACAATGGCCAGAGTGAAAACACAGCTGCAAAGGGAGATGGGGCTAATAACTTCGATGACTTTGACTTGAATGATATCGAGGCAGAAATGAACAAGAAGAAGATTGCAACCACAGAAGCAGACGACGAGGAAGAAGAAGATGACGAAGAAAACGAGACTGAAGAAACTAGAGAGGAGAAGGCCAAGATTGGTCATGATACTATTATTATTCATCCCGGTTCATCGTACCTTAGAATAGGACGCGCCACTGACGCCGTGCCTGTGACCATACCCACAGTCATAGCTATACCTAGGAAAAACGAGTCTAAGCAATCAAACCGCGAACCTCTTCCCACAAGAACTGTAAATGAAAATGGTGAAACAACCTTCGGAAGCGATTTTGAGGAACACAAGTCAGTTGTCACCAAAGATTTTAAGGCCAGAATGAGGTTCTATAAGCGCAGAATCTTGCCCAACTCCAGGGAAGCTGCTGCAAATTATAACAAGAAGCAGGAGCCCGAAAGAATTGCCGATCACAATGATCCTTACAAGAAGGAATGGATTGATGTAAATTCACCAGAATTTAAAACTAAGAAGTTTTTCGTTGGTGATGAAGCACTCAAGTTACCTTTGAACCCTAAAAACTTTGACAGTTGGTTGCTCAGGTATCCAATCATCAATGGAAATTTTAACGAACATTCCGAAGACTACAATTCCCCTCAAGAAATTTTGGGTGATATAGCTAATATTGTGGTAGAGGCTTTAAACCAACTTGACATCAAGAATTTGTCACAACTCAAAGCGATGTTGGTCATACCTGACTTGTATGACAAGGTTTACGTTGAAACTTGGGTTGACACTTTGTTCAAGTTTGTTGGATTTGGAAGGGTAGGTATCCTTCAAGAGGCAGTGGCTGCTACATTTGGTGCCGGTGCTACATGTGCATGTGTAGTCGATGTCGGTGCCCAAACCACATCCATTAGTTGTGTGGATGAAGGAATGATTATTACAGACTCAAGAGTCCATCTTAATTTTGGTGGTGACCAAATTACAGAAACATTCATGAAGTTCTTATTAGAGAGCTCTTTTCCTTACAAAAACATTGACTTAGGAAGTAGGCTGGATGATTGGGAACTTGCCCAATCCTTGAAACATAACTTCGCCACTTTTCAAGATGCTGATATTGCAGTTCAATTATACAATTTTTACAAAAGAAAGCCTTCCGAAACCACTGAGAAATACGAATTCAAGGTTTTTGATGAAGTCATGTTAGCGCCACTAGGATTGTTTTATCCCGACTTGTTCCAAATAGACAAAGCAAAGCCATCAATTCCTTCATTGGCTTCATCCGCTTTACCAAACAACACTTACATCAAAAGATTATTTCCCCCATCAGTTGACCATTACTCAGGCAAAAGTAACAACCCTACGTCCAAGTCACAAGATGACTTGAAGACCAAATTGGCTTATTCGGACCAAACCGAAGAAGACTTATTAATCAAATTGGCGGAAAACAGACTTTTCAAACCAGCCCCAAATCAACTGCTCAGCAAGGCGTTGAAAAAGGACATCCACAATGTACCGCTCGAAAAGGCAATTATTGAGTCTATCACCAATGCTGGCTTAGCTACTGACTTGAGTAAAGTCAAGAAGTTCTACGACAACTTGTTGATTGTGGGTGGAGGATTTGCCAAAATTCCTGGGTATGACTTGATTCTTTCAGATAGAATCAATATCTGGAGGCCCAAGTTATTGTCAAACAGTGCCCTTGACCAGATTGTCACTTATGTTTTGGCTGAAATTAAAAAGGTGGAAGAAGCAAAAAAGCAAATGATCCATGACTTAAAGAGTTCAAAACGTGAGAGCCCCGAAAAACCCTTGGATGATATTGAATTGACTGAAGCTGAGATTGCAGAAATCGAAAGCAAAACTCAAGTCAATTTAGATCTTGACTACGTGGATTCCTTGTGTGACCAAGGCCAGGTATTGCCAGTCAACGTATTACCTCCTCCAAGAGAATTTGATCCAGAAATGTTGACATGGAAGGGAGGAAGTGTCTATGGCAGATTGAAGGTGGTGAACGAAATGTGGATCACCCAAAATGACTGGGATTTATTGCAGTCCAGGTGTTTGTACTATAAGAGTATTTTTAATTATTGATCTACAGGCTCATACAAGATAAATTGATTTTTTGATCTGTAGTGTATATTCGTCTCGCGAAAAACAATGTCGAAAGTATGAATGAGTTCATCAGGGATGAAATGCAAAGAAGCCTTGAGTGAGCTAGTGAAGCTAGGGAATGAATTTTGAAAGAAATGATTATTAATGGCCTCTTGTTGGTCAAGTAACGCTAGGGATATGCCCCATAATGACTTAATAGTCAAGAGCTTTTGGTTTTCTAGAAGCGACTAAAACTGATGGCCCGGGTCTGTTTGGAATGGGCCTATTAAGTTGTGGAATGGCGGGACTCAGGCTCTGGGATTTGATTTTTGATCCAATATTACTTGGACTGGTGCTTTGGTCTTTAGGGAGACTTGTAGCACCTATGGAGTTTGTTTTCTTATGCTTGGAAAGATTCATAATATTCGACTTCAGTTTAATTTCATTATCGAAATCCCAGAGCGTTCTCTTCCATTGTGATAAGGTATTATGTAGTTCGAATAACTTTAGAAGTGATTTCTTGTTCTCATTTTTGTTGATATTAGAGGTATTGGGGACCTTGAGTTTGTTATAAAGAATCTCATACTCTTTGTATTTCAACTTAAACTTCACCGCTAAACTGTTATAATACTCCAATCTTTTTGATGCAGACTTGATTTCAGGTGGAATGACGTTTGATGTAGAAGATGAAGAAGAAGATGAGCCAGTAGTTGGTCTGGAAGATGGATGACCGGACCTGATACTTCTAGGTGTGGTATCTTCGTCTATTTCCTCTGAAGATGGTGGTGAAGTGTACGAGTCCACCTTTAATTTCTTCAAATTTTTCTCTTCATCAGAGGAGTACGATGAAGACGATGAAGAGAATTTTCTCTTGGAGGTGGTACCAACATTGGCCTTTTTTGGAGGAAACAACGCTTTTGAATTGGTTCCTGTCATACTAAAGCTATCGATCGCGGGTGAATTTGAAGTGGTGTGAGTACCCTTTTTATTGTCCAATTCGAGTTTGTTGGCGATCTTGGGTGAATCTGTATGAGACTTTTTGAATGGAACTTGGGTACTCGAGGGTTTCTTGCTATTGCTGGTCAAGAATCCACCTCCCAAGGTGGACTTTTTCTCATCATCACTACTGACACCACCTTCCGGCTCATTGCAGATTTTCTTCCTCAAAGGATGTGTTTCGGAAAAGCCCAATCTAGTCAAAGCATGATGGATGTTTTGGATAATAAGAGTTCTTTCAAACTTAGTGTAGAACTTCCATCCCCAGGGTTTCAATTCCTTATAGTACTTGTCCTTGAGAATGTAGTGAGAATGAGAGTAGATCTGTATATCCTCGTCGTCCATGTCTGCATCACTGTCAACTAGCATGGAATCGATGTCGTGGTCATTCTCATTATCAGACAGATCATTACCAACGTGTCTCTTTATCCTTCTTCTTCTTTTCCGTTCGATGATTGGGAAGGTATCGTCTTGAATGAAGGTGTTTTTTCTGTCATAGACCTGACAACAGTCAGAGATCAAGGAAAGATGTGATTTCTCGAGGCCCAAAGCCTGGATGATTTCTTCCTGGGTCATAGGGCCCAATGCTAATAAGTGTAAGAACTTGAAGGATACTTGTGAAGGAGTATCCGTTGGTTTCAAACGGTATGCTGCGGTTCTACCACGAGAACTGGTAAGTGGGTGGGTTTTGGTTGGTGATTCCCTGGCGGTCCTGGAGGGAGACTTGGCAGGGGATCTGGACGGAGATTTAACGGTGGGCTCCTCGTTGCCCTTAAATTCTAATGCACGGTTGTATTCCTTGATTTTCTTCTCATCGGTAATGGGGTTCAACTTGTTCAAAACCCGGCCATCGAACTGGGAGTGTTTTATGGAGTAGATATCCACGTTGAGGTGTTCCGGGAGGTTGTGGCAAGGGAAGATGAGGTCATTGGAGATTTTAATAGACTAGATGTTAGCGTTTGCGGTGGTTTAGCGTGCCTGGGGCTGGAGTCTCCAGCCCACCACATGCTGAATCAGCAGGAGGTGAGGGTGGAGCCACACCGGCAAGAACGCAAGAAGTAGAGGCCAAAGCCACTTTGGGTACGGGTGGAGCCCTCCAGCAAGCTGCCAGCGACTCTAGGACAGCCAGGCAATACTGGGGGTGTGCTGGGGCTGGCATCCTCTGGCTGAGCTCACTCGCTCATACAAATACGTACGTAATTTCCGTCCTTGACCACCAATTTGGGGACGACGTTGGAGTCGAGACATGACTTGAGGTGGTTCATTAACTCGGGAGACATCTTTATCGAGATCGCCAACGGCGACTTCTTAGCTCCCCCAGATCCAGAAATACCGGACTTCAGAGGAGGTTCCAAGTCTGATATCACCACATTCGACATCTTGGCTGGCACAATGGGCGTGGTGGTGGTTGGCTGGAGTTGGGGACCACGGCCTGTAGGTGTGCTGGGAGAAGAGGATCAGTTGTGAAGAAGAACTAGAGAGTGGGTAGTGACTAAATTAATCCTGGCGTTTCTTTTTGTGGCAGTCCATACTAAAATGCCTATCGAGACATTATCCGCGAAGGGGCTCCGGCACGTCTAGGGCGAGATCTGGATGACGGTAGGACGGAAGACAGGCGTGGCCACACCGGGATGGCGGCTATGGTGCTGGAGGGGCTACTCGTGGGTCACCAGTGGCTGCCGGGGTCTACTGGGGTGTACTGGGGTGTACTGGAGGAGCCATTTCCTCCAGTGTCTGAACCACATTTCGTCTGGGTTCTCGGTGGTTATTTTTTGCTGCTATGCTCGTGGTATCAGCAACATTTCTTTTAGAGGCTCACTAGTGAAAAATTCCCCATTAATGGGGTAATTACGAGATTACACCTAGACCCAGGACTGGACGTTGCCCCGCCTGGATGAAATGGTGAGACACCCCGCGGTCTCAGATCCCAGGCGTCGCGCTACACCTGGTGGGACGAGTGGTCGTCCTGCTACTGGTAGGAGGAGGGTGCAAACTAGCAAGCACCTGTTTATTATTCCCCGATCGGGAAGCGATATCTCCTTGTGCGTAACCTCGCAATAAATGTCTTGTGTGGTCGTCCGGTGATGGGGTTTTGTGCATGGGACCGTTATGTGGCAGGTGCGACTGGGTGGGGGCTGCAAGGGATGCTGGGGGAGGAATGAAGAAGGAATGGTTGCTTCACCAGGTGGTCGCTGGAGGCACAATACGGATGGGTGTTAGGGGATGAAGCCGATGGAGTCCCCCGGCTCGCGTGATGACAATAGGCGGGGCCTGCAGGTGTGTCCCTTAGGCGAGCCATGACGGTCCACTGCGGAGCTCATCAGCTGATCCGGCGAAGGGGACGCGCCACCGGGAATAGGGTCACATGACCGAGGTCACATGACAGTATCCCTCAGCAACCGTCAAGATCAAGAAACTCCCTGCATGTGTCCTCATCAAACAACATGTTGAAGTGGGTCCAATCAGGTCTTTCCGCAGTCGCAGGCACCGCCGAGCCCGAGTACGGCAGAGAAGCCATCCACACTATCACCGATACCATCAATAACGGCGAACCGGTCTCCAGAGACACCACCATCGCCGACTTCAACTGGCAAAAGCCTTCCTTCACCAACGTGGAGACCCAAACGTTTTACTTCACCGACCTCAAGTCCGGATGGGTCGGTTTTGCCCAGGTCATCCACTCCAACGTGATGGGAGTGCACACCACCGCCCAGTTCACCTTCAGATTGTTCCATGCTGAGGACGAGGGCCATCCAGAAAATATCTGGACTTCCACCAAATTAGATAACTTTAGAACTGAGGGTTCCAACTTTTACGCCGACAACTTATCATTTGAATTGAACAAGGACAACAACCAATACGTGTTGAAATCCAGCGTCACTCCCGAGTCCGTGGTCGAGTTGACGGTTAGCAGATTGGCTCCAGGGGTCATTTTTGGTAAAGATGGTTTCACCTTGTACGGTGACGACGTCAAGGAACCATGGGGCTCCATGAGACACTTGTTCTGGCCAAGATGTGAAGTTAAGGGTACTGTCACCACCCCTGCCAAGACCTTTGACATCAACGGTTACACCATGTTTGTCATGGCTTTGCAAGGTATGAAACCTCACCATGCTGCCAAGTCCTGGAACTTCCTCAACTTCCAATCGGAGAGCTACGCTGCTGTCCAAATGGAATTCACTACTCCAAAATCATACGGCACTACCAAGGTCAACATTGGTATTGTTGCATCCAACGAAAAGATTTTGTTTACCACCATCAACAACGTTGTGGTCCACAAGGACTCCACCGTAGATGAAGTTGGCTGGCCTGTTCCAAAGTCCATTGAATTCAACTACATCAAAGACAAGAAAGATGAAGTTCCAAGTCCTTCTGATAAGGTAATTGCCACCGTTTCTGGTGACTTGAAGACTTTGATCGAAAGGGTTGATGTGATGGCCGAAATCCCCCAATTTGTCAAGAACATTGTCAGTGGTGTAGCTGGCGCTAAGCCATATATTTACCAATACTGCAACAGATTCGAAATCGAATTTAAGGAAGAGTCCAAGAAAGAATCAGGCTTAGGATTCAATGAAGTGACTTTCATTTCAGAGTAATCGATTTCCTGACACTCTTTGACTTTCTTTGAGTGTATCTCATGTTCACGCTTTGTCTTTTCGTTGATTATCATTCATGCATTTGTCTACATTTTGTCCTAATTCTTAATATGATCATTATTCTAACTTGGTTATGGGAAAACTAACTGTACAGTTGGACCTTGTAAAAAATTGTGGGATTCTGTAAAAAGCTGTGAAGTATGGATGTTGACTATCGCCTGCTTACATAAGTTATTAGTAATCACAGGGTCACCCTTGTGTACGATTGCAAAAACTACCAATGTGTATTCATTATTCAAATATCAAGCTGTAAGAAATCCATTTCGCTATAAAAGACCTAACTAAAAACCAATAGAATTGCCATTAATAGTATCTGTCAAATATGCCGCCTTTAATAGATTTACCATTAACTTCTGATTGGTATGAAGCGATTGAACAGCTAATTGAAAGGATTGAAGCCCGCTTATCGAACAAGCGTACGAGCAAAAAAGCACCAAGGTATGCTAAGGGGCCTTCAAAAGACTCGTTACAACATGTCAGGCTTTGGGCTATAGAACCGTATCTTACAGATGACTTTGAACTAGGAAATATGTGGGGGAGGTCAAAGGATAAAGAAATAATTGAGGTTATATTTTTACTGCTGTTTTCCAAAGCTAAGTTAGTACGTTACTGCCACGGAAATTGCTCCTTGGTGTTTCCCGACGGCTCTCGATATATAAGAGGAGAAAAGAAACTATTGAGATATAATCCCCAATCCCTGGGACTTTCTTATCTCAGTGTACTTTCCCAAGTTTTCACAAAGAGGGACATACAAGATGAATTTGACCATGTAAAAGTATACTTATCGAGTTTGAATAAAACTAGTCAAAGATATAGTGTCCCTTCTGAAGGAATTTGGGGCAACAATCATAGGAATGTGGCTCTTTCCGCTGGATCTGACTAGGAAGTTATTAGGGTACAAGGATATAAGAATAATAACCGTTTCTTCAACTAAATAAGTCATAAATAAAGTGAGAAACATCAATACTTTCCCAATTGTAATCAAACACCTTGAGCAACATAGTATACCAAAGCGGAAATCCCTGCTAAACTTGTCCAGAAGGTGAAAAGAGAGCTTGGGCCCCCAACGTTGACGTTACCGGTTCTTCCAAACCACACCTTGTTATTGTAATCCACACTAGCAATTCCAATCAAATTATCCTTCTTTGAGTTATAAGGTGGATATCTTGATTTCAAGGAAAAATCGTTCCATAACTTTTGTTCAATCGTTGTTCTTTCGTGAGTAAAGTTTTTGTACGAGTACAATCCATGATAAGAACCTTGTCCCGACTCTCCAACACCTCCGAAAGGAGCATTGCTCAAAGCACTTTGCATAACAGCATCATTAATCATGAGACCACCAGATCTAATAGCAGTCAAAATTTGATCAAGTTGTGGGTTGCTGTGTCTTGAGGTAGACTTACTGGTGAAGACGTATTGAGCCAATGGAGTATCAAACTTCTTTTGGATAGTTATTAAAGTCGAACCTAAGTCTGTGTAAGAAATGATTGGCAAAACGGGACCAAAAATTTCTTGTCTCATTGTAGAGTCACTCCAGTCCACATTGTCAATAACTGTTGGTGGGATGAATCTCTTGGAAGCATCACCTTTACCACCCACAAGGATGTTTCCCTTGGAGCTTTCAATTATCTTGACGAGATTAGCATATGCCCTGTCATGAATAATATGGGTAAATTGAGGTTCATCCTTAGTAAGGCTTGGGAAAAAGTCTTCTTTAATGATTCTGACTATTTCCTTAACCAATTTATCATGGCGGGAAGCGTGAACAACAACGTAGTCAACAGCCACACAAGTTTGGCCAGCATTCATGAACAGCGCCCAAGCGATTCTTCTGGCAATGGTTGGAATGTCACTGTCCTTGACATCTTCCAAGACGAAGGCTGGTGATTTTCCACCCAATTCCAAGGTAACAGGTGTCAAAGTTTCTGCTGCCTTTTTGGCGACAATTCTACCCACGACTCCGTTACCAGTGTACATGATCTTGTCGAACTTCTGCTCCAAAAGAGCGGTAGTTTCAGGAATGGCACCGTTGACCGCATAGAAAATTTCTGGATCGAGAGCCTTTGAGACGATTTCAGTGAATAACTGACTGAAATGGGGGGTGGATTCGGAGAGCTTCAATACAACCGCGTTACCAGCAGCAATGGCACCAACCATGGCACCCACTGTGAGGAAGAGAGGATAATTGAATGGTGAGATGATCAACACAACCCCCAAAGGAATCTTCTCCACGTACACATTGCTGGTGGATTGGCTAATACCGGTATCAGTGACAGGGTCCGGCTTGGCCCACTTGTGCAAATGGGCCATGGTGTGGACCAATTCGTTGAGCGAAACATTTACTTCGAAGTTTCTGGTTTCCGAAGGCACTCTGTAGAAGTCCTTGTACAAGGCATCGCAGATAGGCTCGACATTGTCCTTGATGGCGAAGTACAAGTTTCTCAATTGGTTCAATCTGTACTGGAGCGAGTGTGACTTTTGCTTGGAGTGGAACGCTTCAACCAAACGGTCGACTCCAGGAGCAATTTCCTCGATCTTGGTGTGGATGAGCGGTCCAGTGGACGTGGCAATAGCCTGAGGTTTAGCGGCAGGAGTCTCAGTAGGCTTGGCTGGCGCTGCCTTGGCAGCCTCAGCTGGTTGAGTACTGGCAGGACTGGGCTCCCTCTTGGTACTTTGGGAGGATCCAGATGAGGCAGACTTCTTGGAACTAATAGATGGAGGACTCATTGTGGTATGAGGGGCAATTAGCAGTACTGAGCTCAATTAGCGGTAGTGGCGAATTATATATATGGGGCCAACAATCACAGTCAGCTTTTATGCGCAAGTACCACCCCGCTCATTTGGCCAGAATCCGCTCGGATGGTTTCATGTGAAACCCCAGAAAATGCGCACGTGATCTGACCCGTCAAAGCTTAACCACATTGGTGGTCCCAACATTAGTGTGGAAGTAGGGGTGCTCCGTACGGGGTGATTTGACCTATCGGGCCGGGATGTACAGACCCATTGCAAATATTTCGATTTGAGTCATATATTCATATTTAGCTGGACATAACTAGAAGTGCCATGAAATAACCACTCTTCGATGTATTACTAGAGTAATCATTTCCCACATGGAGAGCACACGGTAACTTAATAATCGTCCTCGTCATTGGTGGGATTGGCTCACAAGACGGCACCTCTGGAAATGGCGTCGGTTCTTTCCTGCCACACAGTCTTGCCACTACAGCTGCACACCTGCTTGTCGTTTTCCCAGGCACCAGCAGACCTTGCAATCACCCCACAGAGCGAGTCAGGAGTGACGGTGCCCTTCAACTTCGACAAAATGACGCTTCTGCCAATCAAGTCGTTGATGCTCAAGCTGGCATGTAAGAACGACTGGCCTGACGCCAATCCATCCTCATCCAGGACAATTGGGGCACCCACCGAGCTGATGGTGGTATCTAACGTGGATGGAGTCTCCACTTGGATAGGATCCAATTCGTAGAACAATGCACCAGTAGAGAGCGGACCTTTGGATAAGTCACCCAGCGCCCTGATAGAGGGGTAGTAGGTACCTTTGGGGAGTCCATTGACAGTCAAATCGATGTACAAGTCCTTTGGAGACACAGATACAATCCGAGCCAATCCCTTGACTGGCTGCACATTGGTGTTGAATGACTCCAAAATGCACACAGCTGCTCCGTTGGCACTGCCAGTACCCCTAATGATGGCATCCTTGCCGGTTTCTTGGATAGCCCTGACTATTTCACTTGGAGGAACTTTGCCATAGGTGGTGACCGAGTTGTTGGCTAAGTCCACAGTGTACTTGACCCCCAATGGCTGAAGGGCCTGTGAGACGGAGTCAACACAGGCTTCACACTCAAGAGGTACAGCAAACACGATTTCGAACATAGTGGAAGGAATGGCAGCAGTAGTTGCAATAGTGGAGAAGCTTACTAAATAAGGTCGGATCAGGTGGAGGTGCGATTACGTAAGCGGGACCCCGAGACAAATCACGTGAAGTTCTTCGGGGTATGATAATCAGGGCCGTGGTTTCTCCCTATACTAGAAGCGGGCTAGGCTAGTCTACAAGTGCGCGTCCCAGCAAGTGTGCAATTTGAATATTAAAAGTACAGCTCTTGGTGTCTTAAGTATAAGACATGTATGTTCAATATATAGGTTATTCTAGCAGTATCCAATTAATTGGTTCTAAGCTACTGGTTACCCCCCTAGATCTTCAAGCTACTGATTCTGCGACGACCAGCATCCTCGTCATCAGTCACCTTGGTGCACACCCAGGTGGAGGCATACATGTTGGTTCTGTCAATCGATTGTCCACTTTCTCTGACAGCAGCAGGTTCGCACATGAACCCCATCTCCTCAAAAGTCCTGATATACCACGGTTGGGTCGATGCTGAACGCAACATCACTCTGCCCCCGCGAGCCAAGCACTTTTTCAAGGCGGTGATTTCTTCATTAGCTTCTTTACTCTTGGGATCAAACCAATCCATGTGGTCCATGATAATTGCAATGGTGATGGACTTGTTGCTCAATCTGTCGAAAACATCGTTTAAAGTATCGGTGTGCAATCTGATGTTATCGGCAGGGGTGGTGCCGTTATTGTTGGTGGTGGTCAAACGCTTATATCCCTTCAAAGTCAAGTAATCGGGGCAATTGTTGTAAGCATAGCGTCCCATCAAACAAAGGTAGTAGAAGTAGTTGTCCTTGGAGATCAAGGACCGGTTGATGAGCGGATCCAAGGTGTCCTTGACATACTTCAAAACCGAAGGTCCCATCATGGACGCTTGGTTTGCTGGAACTCCCAAAGCTTTCCACAAAAAGATGGGGTTTCCCACCATGAGGGTCGCAACTATTGGGTTGAACAACGCAGGCTTGATCTTAGCGTTCCAAATCTTTTTTTGCAGCTCCATGGTTTCAGCCGCACACAATTGTTCTACGTACTTTGTCACACCAAACACTGAGAAAGTCCATTTGGCAAGACGCAAAGCCCATCTGGTAGAACCGGTGTCGTAGAGCCCCTTACCAGAAAAGGTAGTTGGTCCCTTCTCCATCCAGTATTGGAAGGCGTGGGAGGACATGTGGGGACTCAACTTATCCATCAACAAGTCAGTAAAGTTATCGATTCTACCCTCACCAAACATGTTCCAGATTTGTTGGTGGTTCAAGCTCTTGAAAGAGGCCAACTTCAACTCTAACAAGTGACCTTGGTAGGGGTTCAAGTCAACTGCGTGGATCTTCTTAGGTGGGTTAGGCAATGAGGCGTACGCAAGAATGTTGTCACCTGCAGAGGTGATGGCCAACACCGTATCTTCAGAAGTGAAGTTAAGGATCTTGTGGTCCTCACGGGGGTCTTCCCAGGTAAAAGCATAGATATATTGGTTCTTGAACTGTTCGAAGTTTGAGTTGAGCTCATCGTAGTACACTCTCCAATACTCTTTCTGGTAGTAAAGAGATGGAAATGGCAAGTTCTTTTGAAAGTTCAGTAAAGCAGCCTCATGGCCCTTGGAAATAGGCACATCGATCTCCATTGGTGTTGAAGAAGGTGCTAAGTAAGGGGATTCAGTTGCCAAGCAGTTGAGTCTGTGCAAGATAGATTGAGACTTGGTTTTGTCGCAGCCAATCCAGATGTAGTAGGGGATCTTTCCCAATTTCTTATTGTAACAGTTGACCGACTTGATGGTACCAAATTTATATTCAAGATAGTTTCTTCTTGCAGAGTCCAAAAACACCTTGTCTGCTTCGAACCAGATTCTCCAGAAGTTTCTCAAAATCCAAGGAATGTTTCTGTTGATCGAACCACCAACCGTATTGATTCTGCCCATGGAAGTATCCGAGCTTTGAATACCAAAGTCTACTGAAGCTATGATACCGGACTTGTCTAATTTGGAGACTGCGTTGTCCACTGCTGCATTGAAGGTAGGAATCATGGAAAGCGAGTATGAGAAAGTAATCAAATCGGCGTGCTTGTAGTCGATTTCAAAGTCACAGGCATCAGCAACCATAACGTGGACATTGGTCCATCCATGGCTCTTACACCTTTGAGTGGCCACTTCACACAAAGAAGGAGATAAATCCACGAGATAAACTGCCTTGAAGTGTTTGGAAAGGTTCAAGATCTTGTTCATGTGTTCGATGTTGGAGCCAGTGCCTCCCCCAATATCAATCCAGACCAAGTCAGTGGTCTTCTGCAAATGGGCTACTGCCAAACGGAGACATTCTCTTCTGCCCTTCAATAAGAATTCTCTGGTGTTGTCGTAAATATGGGCTTGGGATTTGTAGAATTGTTCAAGCGACTGTTGTTGGTTGGCCTTGGTGGTGGCAGCACCGCTGGTTTTTTTGTGGATCAAAGGCTTGATGAAACAGGCCCAGGCAAATACAAGGAGGGAATGCACCGTTTCGTTGGCCTTGAACACTAGGAAAATGGCAGTTGCTACTCCCATTGCAGCAGTGGCACCACCAAAGTATTGGTAGTCGAAAAAGAGGTCAAACATCACAAAATATTGATTTAAAATTCTATGGACACCCACGAAGGATACACAAGACCACACGGTTTATATAATGCCATTTGCCAGAGCATGGGTAGGCCCAGTGGCTGTTAAATTGCCTGAAAACAGCCGGTACTGGCACGACAGAACGCACGTTTTGCAACATCCCCGTTTAGGTTCACTATGAGACTCCCAACGTGGACCCGAGATAACGAGGGGGGGGCGTGGTTTCAGTTGGTTGTTTGTTGGCAGTGTCAATGTAGCGTGTATCCTACACGTTCCTTGGATGGCATGTGAAATGATTCTGTTGGAAGCACGGATAATTTCGTGCAGGAGTTTGAGTTGGCAGGTGAGGGTTTAAAGGGTTCAACCGTTTTTATCCATGGCCACCATCAAGTCTACCAGAGGGCATACCACGAGCCCACCACCACGGCAGATGCAACACCCATCCAGACTAGTTAGGCTACCAGCAGGGCCCCAAAAATATCCTGTCAGTTGTTTACAGTTGTCGTGCCAGCAGCCGTTCGTATTCATGATAATAACAATCCTGCCGTTCATGGATAAACGAAGCGATTGTCAGTGGAACGCAGCCATTCCCGCAAACTGAACGATGCATTAATTGCTCCAAGGTGGAAATTCTCCGCCAACGAGGCTGATGGTGGGCGTGGGCACAGGCGTGGGTCCAATTTTGGATTTCGCATCCTCTCTCCGCGCATACTCCTAATTGTTCACGGCGCCGAGCTGCGTAATCCGGGGTTCAGAAACCTAATACTGATCACAACGATAAGACTACGGAAGATTCCAGACACCAGTGAGACACGGTAGGTCTATTGACAACATAACAGTTAATGGTCCCAAAGTTACGTCACACGAACTTTCCTTTATTGATGCTAATACTACCGCGATGAGGGAACGGTAGGCTCTAATCCTCATCTTCTAACCTTCTCAACAAATAGTCAATCTCCACCTTCTTGGTCAAAGGAATAATCCAGTCCTTGTACAACTGAGCAATCAACTCTGGCTTGACCTTACTCTGTGGGTTTTGACTGAACTTCATCGAGGGGTCGGTGCCGTAACTTTCACCCTTTTCAATCAATCTTTCCAAGATCTTTTGTTCCACGGCAGAGTTGGTGATGGATGCTTCGATTCCGGCAACATCCTTGGCCAAGATGAGTTTTTTGTACATTTCCTTGTTGCTCTGGTACTTGGCCTCCGCAACAAACTTGCCGAAATGAATTCTTCTCGAGATCGCTTGCAAGGATTCAATATCACTGGTAGACACCGACCCCAAGTTCTCTTGTTGGTCGCCAGAGTGACAACTCACTTGCGGCACAATCTGATTGATGTAAAATTCCTTGATTTCGTCATTGACGTTGATTTCGTCCGAATACGAAGCAAGCACCTTTGGATAATTGATGGGTGGAAGAATGGACTTCAACAATTTGGTTGGGAAGAAGGGAGTCTCGTCAGGCGCTTCGTAACGTCTAATCTGGGAGTGGGTCTGTTCCATTTGCAACAAAGCCCAGTCCAAGAAGGAACCATGGAAGTCCGGAATGCTGAATTTGTCTACCTCATAGACCGATGGTGACAGGTAGAATTGTGATCTCTCGATTAACCCAAATACGATGGTGTCTTCCATTCTGACCAACGCTTGACGAATGTTGTCAAGGTTGAGCACGGTCTCTGGTTTCATGAAATCCATTGTGGTGATGAAATAAAAAGTGAATAGGGTGAAGTTTATGGATCTTTAAAGTCGTTCTGAGTCATATGGAGCTCGCAAATCTCAAAATTACGTCAATTACCTGATTACGTAATATGGAATTGGTGGAGACAATACAGACTGGAGTACTTGTTCTACGATAGAGTGTATCGATGATATCTAGATCATATAAGGCGAAGACTGCACTAGTGTATTAGTTCCAAATAAAGTATTTGGGCAAGAAGGTGCCAGGTTGCACTTAATGATGTTTCCAAAACTTCTGGCAACAGAACCCTTGTACCAGCCAATGAGTGGATCCATAAATGCAGCCTGCAAGTGGAGTTCCTACATCTTGTTAAGATCGTCTTACATGTGAGACGTAATTACGTGTTACTATCTCAAAATGGATAGAAGATCAATTTCAAATTCCGCGTACGGCTGATCAATCTGTACCTTCTCGGTTAAATTTCCTATGCATTCAACCAGAGGAGTGGAGCAAAGATGTTTTGGAAAAGAGAGAGTTACGAAGCTTAAAATCGCTAGAAGCAGCAGGGATTTTCAGTTCGCACGATTTGCCAATCAACCACCCAACTCCAACACCCAATGGTTATAGTACACGCATCTAACTCATACGGTCCCTGATGATTCACAGGATCTACTGGTACTTCATTGTTCGTTTCTAATTGACCTAAGAACGTAGATGATTATGGAGAAATATTATCCTTTCATTACAAAGGCAACTTAAATGGCCGGATAGATATTAGTTGGGGTCATCATCCCATTTCTCAACTTGCTTCACAGCATATTTCCGCAACAAGCGTTGGTCCTCTTCATAACCCTCCTCCAAGTCTTGACCTTTCACGGCTAAAGTTGAACGCCTAGTGTCCAAAAAGTGTTGCATTCTTTCCAATTTGTTTGCATCATCTCCTCTCAAGTCTTGCATCAACTTCATATTCATAACTCTGGTTTTGTGTTGGTATTCATTCACGCGTTCGAGGGCCATCATGAATTGCAAGCTAAAAGCCAAAGCCCCGAAAATGACAACCCCAATTAATATCTTGATCTTATTTCTGTCAATCTCTTCTTTGGTGGGTGGTTCCTTCTTGTACTTCATCCTATAATAATCTTCCCAAGTACCGGCATGCCAGAATTGCTCATTTCTGTTGAAACTGTAAGCATTACGATGACTTTGTGCCTTCCGGAAGGCTTGAAAATTAGCCTTACTGAATTCCTCTCTCATGCCTGGGTCGAACAGGGTATGAGGATCCCATTTGGAATTGTAGTATCGATTGTATGCCACTCGCCGTCTGGGATCTTTGAGGATATCATATGCATTCTGAATCTGGTCAAATCGAATCCGTTTAGCCTCTCCAGACAAGATTCTACCACTTTTGTCAGCCACATCGTGTGCTACATCAGGATGATATAGTTTGACATACTTGAGATATGTGGACTTGAGCTGTTGGTTCATCTCCAAGGTGGATTTCCCACCATCTTCCATGTCAAATATCTCATAGGGGGTTGGGTCTTTAGATGATGGCCATGGATGCAATCCCCGAGTAGAATGGTCTATGGTATTAAATCTCACATTCACCACACGTAAAAGCTTTACTGTGTCTCTCACACTGTTCGTTATCTGGCTGTACTTAGATAATATCATGAGGATGATGCTTTGCTAGGACTCCGGGGTTTGGGTTACTTGGACAATCTTGTGTAATATACTATGCTGGAAGTGTGCTGAGCTTTACAAGCTTCAATGCTATGATGTTGTTGTAATAATATGCAAAGAGAAGAACCACAATCTCTCCTGGCGGATGTATGGCTTGTTCCGTGCTAATTTGGGTTGGTAAGAACTTGCTCATATCTATTACGTAAGCTAGCCGATATCACCTTTGGGCACAGTTCTTGTAGCAATTATTGCCATATTATCTACAAGTCTTGATATCATTATTCATTAATAAAGGCTAATATGTGTTGAGAACCAACGGGGTATATAATTTAACTTTTGATTTCCTTGTTTGCGTCTAAAAACTATTTGTATTTCCCTAAAACCAACCTGGTAAACCCGATCTCTATTTAACCCTTTCTTAACCCATGGAAAGCCTGCAGTCCTTATCAACAACGTAAGTATCCCAGTCATTGGCATGGGATATCGAGTTCTTGACTCGCTTTGTGTTCTTCAAAGAGCCGAAGCTCTTTTCGTCAGCTTCTTCGAGGTCCCTTTTTCTCCAAATATTCAAAATCATTTCTCTTGTTCTATTGACATTTCCTAACGACTGTCCTTCAATCTTCTCTAGCACTTCAAGACTCAAATAGCGAAGTTCTTCACAGTCCTCGCTCCAGTGCGATATTTCGCAACTGGCAATGTAAACTGTCCAAATTAAAGTAGCATACCACTTGAAATCATTCTTGAGCACGAGAATTTCCAACACCTTAAAGATGACTTTCACCAACTTGGAAATTTCGGGGTCTTCAGGAGTTTTGTCAAGGAGACAACATTCAAAATATATCACTGCAGCAAGTCTCTTGAGCTCACAGGCCAACAAGTAACAGAACTCTTCGGTATTTCCGTGATCACTTATCATGAGTTCCACTCGGGAGTCCATGAAGGATTTGGTGCTTGCAGTTTCTGGAACATTTGCGATATCTAGGAGTGGATCCAAAACATTAAGATTCTGAAGTTCGATCCTTTGTCTAATGGTTTCACAAATTGACTGGTAGTCCTGCGTTGATACTCCGGATTTCTCCTTTTCGAAAGAGAGGTCAGTAATGTCCTGAAGTATACTGAGAAGATTTCTATCACATCCAATCCACGATACAAGCTTGATTGGAGCCGGACTTCCGGATGGATCATTATTGGCCATTCCTTCATCTTCATACTTCAAGAAGAAACTATTGGTATCCTTGCACGCAGTTCTTCCGATAGCTTCGTGATAGTCGAGAAATTCCAACCCGAATTTAAGAAGAGAATATTCGATCGAGTTGTGGGGGATTATGAAGTCATTATTATGGATCAAATTTTTGGATAATTTGAGGTATACCGTCCACTGCAGATTGCAATCATTAGCAAGTTCGTAAAGAATGAGTAGAACATAGGAAAGGAGGGTTTGTGAGTTTGCTGACGAGGATTGTGGTTGTGGCGTAAGTTGGTCGTGAACACTGATTGCGGATTGGTTGGAGGAGAGCTCGTAGTCGTCGCCCAAGTCCTCCACAGTTGGGTCCATGGATTCTATCTGCCGTGGAGTACTTGCTACTGAACCACCAGAACTGTTAATAGCCATTTGCTGGAATTTTTGAGCCTTTGCTATCCACACTTGTTTTGCATCTCCGTTGACCAACTTCGATAAATAGATGGACCCCAACGCGAGTATTAGGTAGAAAAGATGCTGTTCCCGTTGCGAGTATTGTATCAAGGCCGTTAAGTCCAAGCCCTTCTCGATAACGATGTACTTGTTGTTGTCTAAATGGTTCAAGTAGACGGTTTCGCTTCCCAACGGGTTGAGGATGGGAGAAATGAAGCTCACATAGTAGTTGAGGGCGAAGCTCAAGCTCAGAAAGTCGCCATCGATGGAGTTGATGATGTCATTAGGGATGATGGACAGCTGTAATGAGATAGGGATTTTTGCAGACTGGAAGTCTCGATAGAAAGTATTGATGAAGCGTAGCTGGCTTCTGCGGAGCCGCTCATAGTGGGCACTCTTGCTTTTGGAAACGAGGGAGTTCGACGACGACAGCGCCCGCTTTGAGGCCCCGTTCTTGTACCAGACGCCTTCACGGCCGAACTTGCGGCCTTTTCTCTCTACATCTTCCCTGAACTGGAGCGTGAGTGTATAGTTGCAGTGGAGGTTTCTCGTGGAGCATCGGGAGCATTTGGGCTTAGCCTCGTCGCACTTGATATGCTTGAGGCGACAGTTTTCACACCCAGAGCGCGATCTGGGCTTGCTGCTCATGGTGGCGGTAGCAGGGACGGTTTGTAATCACCTGGCAGCAGAGCGAACCAGCTTAGTTGTATGGGCGGAGAGTGACAGGGATGAGGTGGTGATGGAGCGGAGACTGTATGTGTATGGGATGTTGGCAGTCAGCGTGAGCACGAGGAGCTGGGACGGGTGCTTGTAGAAGTAGTAGTGGTGATCAAGCTTGGTACCGTCTGGTGATTTTGGATATGTAATCCGGGGACTGAGCCAAAGTGCGAAATTAGGGGCAGCACCTGCGAGAATGGGATGATCAGGAGGGTGAAGTAGGAGGTCGCGTAGTACGTTAGGAACGATAACAGGCAGGTTCTCTCGTGGGACAGCAGACTACTACTCGAGTGGCTTGGAGGACAGCTGGGATTGGAGGCAGGCTTCGTTGTGAGCCATGGCCAGTGCGTGCCACAAGCGTGATGGATCTGACAAATAACGCCTGGGTCCGAGTCTGTTGGGCATACCACCACCGTAGAGTGTTTCCAGCAGGGCAGCGGGCAGCGGGCAGCGGGCAGTGGACACTACAAGTTGTATATAGCGAGATATGTGTATTTGTTTTATACTTGCTGGATGAACGCTACAGCCACCGTCTTTCTGTCCTGTGCTAGATCCATCGCCTAAACTGTCAGTACCAATTAGGCAATTCGGATCGTGCCCCAGCATTAACGTGGGACAGGCTCGGACCGTTCCAACTAACTTGTCACGTGTGCAGCTCAAGTATGGGGCTTTTGCCAGTTTACGGACACTCCAGGCTCCAAGGCCCGAAAAGTCTGCACTCTCGCTTGGTGGTCTTCTTACAGTCCTCTGCTTCTCCCCATCCCAAACACGAAATCGTCACCTCGCCCTAGAGCCGTTTCCTTTTTCACAACCACTGCGACCAATCCACTGAACAACCATCCCAGTTCAGTCCTTCGCCACGCTTGCCATGTCGGTGTTCTCAGAAATCGGACTCCACACCCTTCTACAAACGTCCAAAGATGTCTACATCATCATCTTACTTCGGATGATTAGGCTTATCGGCTTCGGAGGCACCTCGCTTATCATTGTCCTCTACCTCAAGGAGATTGGCTTCCGCGAAGAGTTCATCGGCCTCTTTATGACGCTTACCTTCCTTGGCGATCTCGTCTCCAGCTTCTTGCTTGCCGTGACTGCCGACCAGATCGGCAGAAAAAGGGTTCTCCTCTTCAGTGCCGTCTGTATGACTCTCACTGGTCTCGTGTACGGACTTGTCGAGGACCATTACGTACTCACTGCCGTCGCTGTTTTGGGGATCCTAACCCCCAGTGGTGGTGAAGTTGGTGCTTTCAGGTCCATTGAGCAAAGTTCGTTGGCCTCGTTGACTCTTCCCCAAGATCGGTCCGATATCTATGCCTGGTACACCTTTTTGGGCCAGTTCTGTTCGGCAATTGGCTCGGTGGCTTGTGGCTCGTTGATTTCATACACCAACACTACCTTGGGCTACTCTATTGTTGAAAGCTACAAAATCGCTTTCTTAGGGTACACTATCTTGAGCTTCATCTCCTTCATTTTAATCATGTGTATCAGCAACAAGATAGAGCCAAACGTGCCAATTGCCCATTCTTCTTCCCTGAAGAGGGGCACCAACTCCGAAGCTGCGGCTGGAACCTTGGAAGCCACTCCTGAAACCGAAACCACGCAATTGTTACCTGCCTCTGCCGAGGTTTCGGAGCCTGTTTCCACCCTGGAGCAAAAAGGGTTTATTTCCCAATTTTTGCCAACACTTCATCCTTCTACATATGTGCTCGTTGTCAAACTTTCCCTCTTGTTCGGGCTTGACTCTTTCGCTTCGTCGCTTGTCCCCAATTCGTGGCAGTCATATTACATCAGGGAAAAGTTCCATGTCTCTCCGGCCACCCTTGGTTCCATTTTCTTCACCACCACCATCATTGCCGGAGTGGCTTCTCTCCTCAGTACTTCGCTTACCAAGCGTCTTGGTGCTGTGGTTACTATGGTCGGCACCCATCTCCCATCTTCGATTGCGCTTGCCTTTATCCCAATTTCTCCATCCCTTAAAATCACCTTGTCCATTTTAGTCATCAGAGCTTGTACCCAATCCATGGATGTTGCTCCCAAGCACGTCTTTCTTGCTGCTTTAGTCCCAGATAGTGAGCGAACTGCAGTCTTTGGTTGGGTCAACGTTGTTAAAACTTTGGGTCAAGCCATTGGACCCGTTTTCGTTGGGTTCTTGACCGGTGGTGGAATGCAATGGCTCACTTTCATTGTCGCCAGTGCCCTAAAGTCCACTTATGATGTGGGTATTCTTGTTACATTCTTAAGCTACAACAGACATGCCCAGCATTGATTCTATGGAATGGAAGCTAGATACTTTTTATCCAGCATTATATAGATCTATTTATTGTGCATTCAAGCTTCAGCTCAAATCCTCCAATTTGGGTGTTTCCTCTTGACTAGATGTGTATTAGACTCTAACCACCAAAATAGACTTTAACTCCCGAACCCTTTATTGTGGGTTGACACGCAAAATTTGCTCAATTGTATCCTCAACGATGGTGTCTAAATTCCTGAATTCAAAACCCAATAACTTCCTGGTTGCCTCGTTTGAGCTCTTTGCTAAACTCTTGATATCCTCAGGACCCGAGCCAGGGGTTCCCTCCGGGAGTTGGGAGGCTAATTGTGGAAATTTTTCACGCAAGGTATCCAAGATCATTTGAATACTGAATTGACCATTTGTAAGGAACAATCTCTTCCCCACGAGCTTTTCATCGTCGAGTGCTGCGACATGAGCTCTTGCAACGTCCCTGACGTCAACATAGCTTCCTTTTGCATTGTCAAACGAGGCATGTGGCCCGTTTTTTATCAATGAATAGATGTACTCATTCGAGGTGTTAAGCTCCTTTTTCACTTCACTATCGAAAGCTTGGGGTCCAAACACATAAACGGGATTGATGGCAACCAAGTCAAAATCAGGAACTTCGACTTTCAAGAACTCCCACGCCAACTTTTCTGCAAACGACTTGGCTCCGTAGTAAGCATAGATCGGATCCTTGCAGGCATCAGCATAGGATATGTTATTCCAGCTGGTCTCATCGAAGGACAACGCTGAGTTCTGTTCGTCTTCTGCCGAATAAATGGCAGCATCGGACGAGGTGATGACCACTTTCGATACTTTTGGAGCATACTGGGTGATTGAGCCTAGGATGTTCTTGGTTCCTTGGATGGCAGGAATGATGAGATCCCTCTCTGGCTGGGTGGTGTTGTAGAAAAAGGGCGACGCAGTGTGTAGAACATACTTCACGGAGTCCAGGTGTTTCTTCAATGCTTCGTCAAAAGCACCAGTTGCCGTGATATCAGGCACAATTTCATATTGGAAGCTAGGACCGAAGTTCTCCTGTAATCGTTGCCCCTTGGCTGCGGAACGAACAGTTCCAACGACTTGATAACCCTTGGAGAGCAATTGCTTGATGATATGCTGCGCAATGAACCCAGAGGCTCCAGAAATGAACACAGACATGCTTAATTGGTATCAGTTGCAGATTTCGTTGGTTATATAGGGGCCAGGAAATACCTGCCTAATCGGTGTATTGGAACCGATTGCGCGGTTGTCAGTGATGTTGCGAATGGCCCTAATAAATGCGACATTTCTCCACCTACAAGGCGTTTCACCTTCTCGGGAGTACCTGCGTTAAGTCCCCGCTAAGCGGCGTGTAGGCGATTAATTATCTAAATTGTGTGTTAAAAGTTCTCTTGCATATTTTGAGGGGACTCCAGTAGTTGTTGAGTTTGAAGTGTAATGGGTAGAAGTAACAATTGGATAGTAATTCTCCAAATTCATTGAAGATTCTACTGGTAATATTTGGTCTTTGTGATACACTCACAACGCTAGTGAACACTTTGTCTTTATTATAAACTCACGAACATATTTTCTCCTCTAATGTCTACAGTCGCTTCTAATGCAAATTGTCAATTTCTATTTAACTAGATCAACTAGCAAATAATAAGGGTGGACCAGCACTGCTAGGCCACCACTTGTTGTCGCACGTACCACCTATCGTTTGTCACCTCTCCTTTGTTGATATCATTGAGGTAGTCCCATGGGTCTTTCCTAAATATGGGCAAATCACCCATCTTCAGTGTATCGTAGTTTCTCGGCACGTCCAAGTCGCCATTCAACTCGAGATGTCTTTGCGAACACTCTTTGGTGATGTCGTACTCGTCTTGCACGTAGATACTGCCACAGGCACCTTCTCTGGTGAGTTCACCGCGATTGTCAAATCTGGAACCAGAGGGAGGGGTCTTACACTCGCGATCCGGGACCCAAAGCCTTAAGTCCTTCTGATAGTTGTGACCCATAAAATTCAACTTTGTGGTGAACGAGTCCTGGCCATACTTGCGACTCAATATTTGGGTGACGTTGTGAGGAATGTACACAGAAGCACCTTCAAAATAGGTGTGTCTGATTGGGAGTAATTCCTCGAGCGAGTGCCAATTCCAGTTCTTGCAGTTGACCATGGTCAGATGTTCCTGATCTGGGACCACATTCTGGGGCGGCTCGAATGTAGTATGGGATAATGCAGAAATGTCGATGTAAAGTCCAGAATTAATGTCGATGAACCGAGCATCAATAAAGTTGCGGCCGTTCCCCTGCTTGACGTATGTGGGGGCCACCTCGAGGAAGTACTTGGCGTTGCCGTATCTGGGATCTTCCACCACAATCGATTTGTTGAAGTAGCGGCCCATGCGATCAAGTTGTCTGATGGGCATCTGGATGTCGATGTCGGTGTCCCAGGGCATGTTGACCCCGTTATAGGCCCAGCCTAGCAACGAGCCATAGTTTATCCACGAGGCAAAGCCCTGCAGCTCGGCGAATTGGAACCAGGCTCGCACCATGTGGTGGATGACGCTTTGACGTTCACGGTCACTAATGAAGCCTTTGAAGAAAGGGTATGCTAAATGGTGGGATCTTCCTTGGATAACGTCGGAAATGATCCATGGGTATTTGAAGTACTTGTCGGAAGTTTCCACCAATTGGTTGGCGTGCTTGAGGAACTCGAGGTACTGGTGATCCTGAGGTGCAAGGACGCCCACAGCGAGCTTGCTCTCGAGCTTTGCAATCTCGATCTCAGGATCGAAGATGAATTCCGAAGGATGAATGTGGACGGTTTTCTGGAGGTGCCTGATGGGAGAGGACCCTTGATTCTCGATGGCGATGTTGGTCTGTAGCTGGGCCATTTTCTCGAGCACCTGGCGCTTTCCTATGGCAGTGGGGATCTTGCCAGGGCCCAAACGGTGCTTGGCAACCACTGGCACCTCCAAGTATGCAGAGTCGATTGGCACGAACACTTTTTCGGGGATTGGCATCGAGCAGTACATGTTGGCCATTCCCCGAAGCACTTTTTTGTCGTGGGACTCCATCCAGTAGCCATTGACGCCAGCAAACCGCTCGATGGCCATGTCACACTGGCCTCCAGGGTACCACTCGCGGTAGCGGTTCAATACCCGGTCACCTGGCGACAAGTCCACCCAGTCGTCCCAGTGGAAGTACAAGCCGCGCGAGTCGCCGAGAGTGACGTCTTCGCGGTTCAAATGCCGGTACAACAAGTGGGTGATGGCGTAGGGGTTGTAGCTAGAGTGGAGCTGGCGAGCCAACGACGCTGCCTCGAGCGACTCCTGGGTGATGGTGTGGAAACCGTAGTAGTGGATGCATGCTGTCACCAAGAATACCACTGTGACCAAGCTGACGCAGTTTTGAAGCCGTTTGTTCCATAGAGACATGATTGGATCGGGAGCACTGATTTGGGGCCTCGGAGATTTATATATCGTTATCTCAGTTGCTGACACGGGCACCCCTCCGTCGCAAGGCTGATTGCTCATATATATGGACCCCATGGATAGCAGCCCGTACTGAGGCGCATTCCGGGGATTGTTTCTTCGCCTCTATGATTGCACCCAGCGCGCGGCCAGGTTTTGTGGTGCTGCAGGGAGAATTAGGCTAGTTTGGGGACGATCTGGGGCTACGCCGTGGAGGTGTGAAGGTGAAGTGGAGCTGCTGCTACTGGCTGGTTAGAGCGGTTCGTGCCAGGAATTTCAGCCATAGGTGGCCTGAAGTTGGCGTTGTCGTGTGACTGCAGTGAAGCCTTGGCAGACACCCCAAGATCGCAACCCAGGCACAAAATCATAGGGGCAGTGCGTAGGCGCGGCTGCAGCCATTTCCCTTAACGGTCGACGTCATGAGTGCGGAACTGCGACATGGCAATAAAAGACGTGACGTACCTACGCCCTAGACTGGGCTGTCACGGGAAGGCCCGAGGTCAGCGGAGCAGGTTGATATGACCAACACCATACGTTGGTCTAGTCCTGGCGGGCCCCACTGATCAGGAACCAGCTCCTGAAAATTCCGCTCTACCAAGCATTCTGGTCCTGCGTTCGCGAGTTTCAACATCAGACGGTGTTGCTGCGGCATGCCGCACTGGGTGTCTGCAGCACAGACTTAAATCCGGTTTGCTGTCAGACCGAGTAGTACTTATACTGGCAGACACCGTGGTTAGGCTGTCAAACGGCGGAAGACGGATTTTAACTTCATGAATCATAATAGGAGGAGTTCTACTACGCGATCCAGTCATCTGTGGTGACTAGAGATATTCTATTACATACTGTGCTCAACGATCCAGTCGTTTGTGGTAGGAAGCTGTGTTACGGCCTAGCAGATCAGAGCCCAGTCATTGTGGTGAAAAATTTAATAAACTTGTCTGTGAAAAACGAATATTCATATGTGGTGATTAAAGAAATTCTTGTCTTTTTATGAACAGTCATTTGTGGTGAAATTTTACTACGCTTCTCATTTTACCTACCTTTCAATTGCTGATAGGAGATACTACGCTTGTCTGGATATATTACCAAGAAACTAGTCTGTCATTGGATGTGTTTTACTGTCTAACAAGTATGCAAGTGGTATTAATGGGGATTGTCTACGATAACGGATCGAAGAACTTCTGCCACGAGGTGCCCCTGAAAACTCTCATTCCCATGGTGCTGCCCTTGGCAAAATTATAACTCAAGCGAGCCACCACGAAGTCGTGGTCCACTCTCTGGAACCCGCCCTTCCAGCACCAGAGGATGGTGAAGGAGGTGATGGAGTAGAACATGCCGGCAATCAAGTCCAACCGCCAGTGGTGGTCCAAATAGATGGTGGCCCACCACTGGAGCACCACGAAGCACAACCCCACAACCTTCAACGCGGTCCAACGGGAATAGTACGAGAGGAAGAAAAACACCATCACCGCCATGGCCGAGTGCAACGAAGGAAGCGCACCAAACACAATAGGACTGGCGTGGAAGCCGTTGGAATGCATGTGGGTACCCATGGCCATGTCCACTCGCGTCAACCCAGCAGCGTAGCCAGGGGTGTCGTAGTCAGCAGTGGCATCCATGCCTTTCAAGTGGATGAACCAAGGTGGTGCGTTGGGGAACAAGAGATGAGTGATTACTCCTGCGATATTTTGCATGCCCAACGCGAACGAGAACAACTTCAAGGCTCCAGGAGCATGGAACACATAAAGCCAGATGGCAGTGAACAAGGGGGCGAAAAAGTGGCCCAACACATACGAGAACCAGGCAAGAAGGTCTCTGTGGGTGGCGAGGGGCTTATGCAACCAGTAGTCGAAGTTCAAGAGGAACCACGATGCTCCACTGAGCGCCACGGGCGCAAGATACCAGCAGTTGTATGGCATGTAGTTGCCGGTTTTTTTGAAGTTGGCGAGGATCTTGTTGTTCGTGGCAGAGGTCTGGGCCGAGATTTGTTGGTGAGTGAGAGGGGTGAAGAACTCGAACTGTGTGTGGTGGGGGTCGTCCTGGAAGTCGCCGGGCGCCGACTCCTGGGGGATGAATGCACTGCTGGAGGCGCCGATTTCGCCAAGCTCGAAGTCCTCATGGTCGGACGACGACGACGACGACGAGAAGTCTTCTGCCTTGGGCGAGACCTCGCGGAGCAGCGACACCCTGGCGTCCCTGACCACCCGTCTGGACATCCTGTACCATTTCAAGTACACCAACACTGTGCCGATCACAATGGCCACGAGACTGCACAACGAGCCAAGTGGCTTGGAGATGTTGAACATGTAGTCGTCAAGGGTAGCCGCAAGCTTGACGTGGATGGGAGGTCTGATCTTCTTGGGGATGAGGCCAGCGTTTTTGAAGATCATGAGCCAGGTGAACACTGGAGCGAAGTTGATCCAAAAGTTGACCACAAGTCCTACCACACTCCTCTGGTTGAGGCCGGACCAGAACGTCCTGTAGAGAAAATGGAATAGAAAGATAAGTGGGGAAAATATGGACATGATGGAAGAAGTTAGTGTGAGTGCTGGCAAGTAATCTGGGCCTGTTTTGGGGACGTCTACCACAGGCAATCCGATGGCACAACCACTATTTGTTGTGACTGATAAACGAAGGATCCAAACGGGAGTTGTGGAGAAGGGGGGCCTGGTTGATCAACAGCAAAAACGACAGGATCAGGAAGCAAACAAGCGAGCAGGCCACGTTATCACCACAGTACTACTCTCAGATGGACTATACTGATATATGCCACTGGGCTCCTGAGATGGATATATGAACAAAAACGAAAACGACTAGCACTAGAAGAAAAAGCAATACGCACACAAAAGAAGCAGTCACGGTATGCAGACATCGTCTTGTGGTGCAAAAGTGCGGGATGGCGGAGTAGTTTCGCTGCCGGGACCGACAGAGGCGAGGCTGAGGGTAGCTAGCGATTTGCACAGGAGAGATGGGGAGGGACGGCAGGGGTCGTGGGAAACTAGCCACGGCAGGCCGTATGTGCTTTATATGCACTGGGGAGTCGGTGGGGGCCGCCAAGGGCTCATGGGGAGACCTGATGGTGGACGCACCGAGGAAATTTCACTGCCTCGTTTGGTAGTGGCCACACGATAGATCCGCGCTCCCTACAACACTGGGGCAATGGTGCAGGTTCCATTCAAAGGGGTCGCTAGCCACAAATTGGTAGGTGCGCGAGCGGAGAACGAATGGGTCTTGGCAAACAGAAGATGGGCGATAGCCACCAGTGAGCGTTGGGAGTCTGGCTGGAGGGTTTTAGCTTTCGTAGAGTGGATAGTGGACGGCGAACGAACGGCGGAGCGCAGGTGATGTCATCGGTGAAGGGGGGTAAATTCCGACTTCGGCACTTGGCTGTCGGATGCACCTCTAAAAATGCAAGGTCCGTTGTCGTGTGGGAATAATGTCACAATAGACACCTCATCGCTGCAGTGAGGGCTGCCCCTATCGCAGTAGTCCGAAACCAGGACGGTGTCAAACCTCCTGCACCCCAGCCAGCGTATCACGTGTAGGACGTGTGGTCGATCCCAGTAGCAGCCCGGGCGTCTTCGGCTTGTGCCAGCTGTTACTGGGATATTTGATGGGCAATTGTGCCTCTGGCGAATTGTTCGTGCGCATGCTGCACCGCTCCAAGCAGCTGTCAGCAGCACCCGCAGCTGTCAGCGTCTCCAGCAGATGCTAAACTCCCAACCTCTGTAGTAGCGTCCTAATAATCTGCCACGCAGAACTATAGCCATCGCTTGCTTGCTAAACTGGTGCCCAGGCTAAACTACGTCTACAGGTCCGATGTGCTCCTATCGTGTGCATGCAGGACGGTGGGGGTAACCCCGCCATCAAACGATTTTCCGATTATTCTCCGAAGCGCCTGATTGGCTGGCTACCCTGACCTACCCCACTTTCTGCTGGAGCAGCAACCGTCGCAGCCATGCACTGGCCTCGCTGGCCAATGTTGAGCCAGGGTCGCACCCGGGGATTCCCGCCCCGGACGCACCCGGGTTGCCCCAAACCCTTCCTGCACAGTGCCCCCGATTTCCCCAGATCTAGAGCCACCACCCCAAGAGTGGTATTCGCCTATAAGCGAAATTGATCTTCCAACCACATTCATGGAACGCAGTATCACGGCCCCTATATAGTGCTGAGTCCCTCAAACTTTCTCTCGCCACATCCCTCCGTTGTGGACTCCCAATACTGCCATCGCGTCTTTCCCAACGGCTAGAGTCAGCCTCACGGATCCCTCACGTCAACCTCCCTCGTTCTAACCACCACCATTAAGACAACCGTTCCCGCCTCCAGGCCCTCGACTCGTCCCCATGACTAAGAAACTCTCCTTACAGGAGAAGAAAAACCGGAGGCCTGCCTCCAGAGCATGTATCTTCTGCCATGAGAAGCACCTCCAGTGTTCGAACGAACGGCCCTGCAAAAACTGTGTCAAGAGGAAGCTAGGACATAAGTGCCATGACACGGTACGCAAAAGAGCCAAATACTTGAACAACTCCAAATCTTCCACTAACAGCTCTTCCACTGCAAACAGTTCACCTCCAGGTACTCCTCAAGGAGAGGCAGGCTCGCCTCGCCATCCCCAGTACGATATCAAGTTCGAAGCGACTTCCAGTGCCCCTACACGAAACGTCACCTATCCAGAGGAGCCTCCCAGATACCCACCAAACACCGTTTTAAACACCACCAACGACGTGCTCAATAAGCTCCTATTCGACACAAATCAAGATGACTCAGACGCCCATACTCCTCCCATTCAGCCCCATCCTAGATCACAGTCGCGATTGAAAACGTCCTTCAGCTCAAACTACTTAAACCAAGAGTACTTGATGCTTGGGGACATCATCCTCCAATCCAAACCATCTTCGCCATCTCCCTCGAACACAAGCGCCTCCGAACACAACAGTGCCGTGTCACCCGTCAACTTCTTGAATATGGACCTCAAAAATGAGGTGTTTCAGTCACAAAAGAAGCCTTCGCATAAAATTAACACACGGCCCTTCATATCGTTAGGCTACGACCAGCGACCTTCAGATTATCAGGACTCACGAGCAGAGCAAGATGGACCACCACTTGACCCTGAAGCTCCTGCAGTCATTGAGCCAGTGCCACCTTTGCCAACGCTTGCTCCTTCGCTTCCACCACCCTCACCGGTTGCAAACAATCCAATCATCAGCAAATTGTCACAATCATCAACGATACCAAACGAATATGTGTCCCCCTTAATATCACAGTACTTGTATCGAAACATCCAGGATATATACTCCAACAACATAATGAACTTTGACTACCCCCAATCATATCATCTGCTTACCCACTTTCTCAAAAAGAGGTTTCTGGGTAACAACTTGTCACCCGAAGAAAAGCAAACGAAAAGGCAAAACTTGTTAATAATATTAAAACTCATTGCAAGTTATCGACCCACGTTTATTTCTGCGCACAAGTCTTTGCTCAAGCCGTTGGACTTGCAGTTTCTCGAGATGTCGTTACAGAGATCGTTGATAGATTATCAAAAACTTTGTCATTTGAACTCTTCCCCAACCATCATTTGGAGAAGATCAGGGGAAATCGTATCAATGACCGACGATATGCTCAGTTTATTGGGGTTCGACACAGGCGATATCCTTTCTAAAAGAACGTTTATCGTTGAATTAATGCATGATGATGAGAGTATCATTAATTACTACAAGCTCTTCAAATCGGTTGCCGTGGGAAATCTTCACCTGAGTATTTTTACAAAGTGCAAGCTCACCAAGAAGCGCAGTGGTGATGAAGAAGAGGAGTATATCGATTTCTGTTCGGTGTGGACCGTGAAGAGAGACTTGTTTGACTTGCCTATGTTGATTATAGGCCAATTCTTGCCGATATTGCCTGCGGGTGAGGGTGTGCGCATGTACTGAACCGTCAAGTAACTATGGCCATAATCCAGTGTCAGTGATGGATTCAAGCCGGGTTATTGCCAGGTATTGCAGAAGGGTTGTTGGGTATAGCAGACTACTAATGTTAGCTCTGCCCTTTTCTAGGCACCATTAGATAAAACAGGTTAAAAATAGACAACTAATGGACGCACTCGTCTAAACTGGCCAATTTTCAAAACATGTAATCCGGAGCAATTTGCACCCAAAATACAAAGTTAGTGCCAGCAATGGTCCCAGTACAAAGAAACATCCTTACTACCATACGGTGGGGAACATTCACCCCAGCAAGACGGGCGGCGAAATGCTCCTGACTTCTTTCTACATTTCCAGCACGTGCTGCCAAGGGTTGCTCCTGGTCATCGCCACAGACGAGACGAACTCTGAACTGGAAAGCAACAGAACAGCGAGAAAACGCCACTACGCAGTACTTCTGCGGAGAAGCAATCGGTGGCATAAACCGCCAGACGATCTCATCAATCAGTCGATGGCTGATAAGGTTCAGCCGATGGTTTTGGTGCGACTAGCAACGTGCGACCAGGAAGAAGACAGTCTGACAGGTGAACCCACCATGGACCATTGGCCAATGACCAATGACCGTCAGCCTAAAGTAAGTCAGGCCATCAGCACCAACCGGGCCACTTTTTGGGCCTGATATGGTCCCCACCTCTCTCCACTTTGTCTCCTCCATCACGTACCACTAAGATCACCCCACTTGTCGCACCACCGAACAGTCATTTGGCACCACTTGCGATTGCACATCACACCACCAGGGGAGCTATATAAACCAGAGAAACGACATAATGTAGTGGCATCTTTAACCACATCTACTTACAACCAAATACCTATTCAGAAAAATGATGCCCCCTAAAAGAGCTTTAGCCATCGGAGGAGTGTGCTACGGAATTGGTGCATTCTGCATGATCAATTACTACTATAAGAACAGTTCTCTAAAGAAAATCTTTGTCAATGCCGACCGTCAATACGAACAAGTCAAGGTCGGCCATCATGCGTAACCTCGTACGGCAGTTGCGTGCTAGCCCCGAGGCCATGCAGTGGTGCTTGCCGTTGTAATCTAGCAGAGCTAGCCATCGGCACTACAATATATAATGTAATATAGCAAATGCACAGTGTGTATCTGACATGAAGTAGACATACAATAGAGGTGTGATCGCCAAAGCTAACTTGATATTTTCGTGAATTTTAGCGATTACGCAGCTGGTACAATCACCAATACCTGTTATCGTAAAATTATTGATCTGAGGAATTGCCCTAATGGGTAGATTTATGTTCAAATGAATTGCTGGGGCACATTAGCGTTGTCCAAATCACGATTTCCAGGCCCTTGCAGTGGAGACTGAAACTAACAATGGAGGAGCCCTATTTGATATGAACTATGTATATAATCGGCAACTTTATTAACATTCCACCTTAAGTTTAGCACTATAAACATTTGACAATCTTGAATGGAGTGAAATGGAAACGACAGCGCCAACGATGAATTCTTGCTCCTATTCCCAGTCTAGCACTACATTATGAACCAGTAGAATAATAGCCACACACAAACACTACAAATATCAGAGTATGTACAAAACAATTTAATTTTATCCCGTTTGTATTGTGAACGTCTATAAAGAATTAAGGTAAGAAAGTCAAATGACGAAATGAATTAGGTATTAAGCTCACAAACACTTCGATAGTACAATGATGGTGAATTAACACCAGAATCTGTAGAATCTGTACCAGAAAGGGCTGTCAGCCAAGGCCTGCTTTTCATCAGCAATTTCTTGCTTCAATGTTTCGACATCGATTTCTCTTCTACCAGTGTCCAAATCAATATCAGTCAACTTGACCATAATTTGTCTCCAGCTGCCGAAGATGGTCTTGTGAGCAACAATCATGACTACCATCAATGGCAAAGAAAGACAGTTCTTCCAGAATTGCATGTTATCGGCTGAGGCGGCACCTATTGGGAAGAGAGAGACCCAGATTTCACCACCAACAACAAAGAGCAAAATGGCAATACCAGTGTAATCACCAAAAGTACCCAATGGGGAAACGAAAATGACTTCGTCCAAGGATCTACCTTGGGCACTGAGAGCCCATCTCCATCTCAAGTGAGTGAAACAAATGGCACACCAGGTGAAGAAAGAGGACAAGGAACAAACGGAGAAGAACCAGGTGAACACTTCACCTTCAGCACTGGCCTTAACCAAGAAACCCAACAAACCAATCATGTTGGTGAACATGATAGCAACCATTGGTCTTCCGGCTCTGTCAATGTAACCGAAAATACCTGGAATCAAACCTTGGACAGCAAGAGAGGCTAAGGTTCTGGAACAACCGTAAACAGAGGAGTTACCAACGGAAACGACAGCAATAAGAACAACAGCGTTCATAATGTGTGGGACGACCTTGATACCGTTCAATTGAATGGCAATGACGAAAGGAGAAGCAGCAATACCGTCTCCGGTCAACAAGTCTTCGTTGGTGTATGGAACGAGACAACCAATCACGATAGCAGTCAAGAAGTAGAAGATGGTGACTCTCCAGAAAACTTGCTTGGTAGCCTTGGGCAAGGACTTTCTTGGGTTCTTGGTTTCAGCTGCTGCAAGGGCAACCAATTCAATACCACCGAAGGAGAAGGCAGCAGAGATAAACATGTTACACACACCCTTGAAACCGTGGTTGAAAGCACCAGGGTTGTGCCAGTATCTTCCACCAATGTAACCTTGATCACCAACACCACAGATGATACAGATACCCAAAATGATGAAACCTATAACGGCAATGACTTTGATTCCAGAAAGGACGAATTCGGCTTCACCGTAACCCTTAACACCGAAGAAATTGATGGAAACGATAACAACGTAGAAGATCGCGACCCACACGGCAGGATCCACGCTTTGGTTCCAGTACTGGACGGTCATTGCACACGCAATCAACTCGGAAGGAAACGAAATCAACCATGAACAAGCATACAAAATACCGAAGGTGAAACCCAAGGAAGGGTCGACAAAACGGGTGAAAAACGCATTGAACGAACCAGACACTGGGAATTGCACGGACAACTCACCCAAAGCATTGACAACACACAACATCGAGTACCCAATCAAGGTGTAACCGATAAGAACGGCACCGGGACCACCGAGAGCCAAACCGTAACCACTACCCACGAACAAACCAGTACCGATGGAACCACCGATGGCAATCATCTGCAAATGTCTGGACTTCAATCTTCTGGCCAAAGGGTGTCTGGCCGAGGCGATAATACTCTTTTCGGCCATGGTCATGCCGGTGGTGTCGAAGCCTTCATCCTCGAGGTTGATAGGCTTGAACGAGTCGATGAATCTGGAAAAGGCGTTGCCTTCCTCGATGGTCTCGTAAGTGTATGCACTGTCGGCGTACGAAGAGCCAGAGTGACGGGAGTTGGTCTGGCCCGGGGAGGACTCTTGTCTGTAGCTGTAGGCTTCGGTGTCCACCGAGTTACCACTAGGGCCCTTAAGTTCAGCTGCTTTTTCGTCGTACATCTTGAACCAAACAGAGAGGGTACTGAGACTCTTGACTAGGGTCTTCGATCGGTGAAAATCCGACGGCAGCTCTACTAATATATGCGATACATATGGGCGGGTGGCACAAAAACTACGTGCATGGTAACAGGGCCGGAAACTGAAAAAAAATTAGCAAAACAGAAATGCGAACAATCACATAAAAGCAACGGGGCAATCACGTCCCTAACAGGAGAAATGAGGTTGACAGACACGTAAACTGGGGTATGGCAAAGTGGGGTGAGGTGATCAATCACAGCAGATGGACCAGCCCAGTGACAGGCCTCTCCAGCCAGTGGATCGCACTAACTGCCCAGTTTTACTGTGGAATGCCCAAATGTCGCAATAAAGTTGGAGTAATATAAAAACGCCGATACATGCAAGCTAAAGCCACTAGCGAGATGTTGGATAATAACGGAGTGTGGCGTTGGAAGCATTGGCGCACTCCAACTCCTGGACAAAATAAACCCTCAGGCATGAGATTTCCTTAACTTTAGCCGGGTTTTGATGCCTGGCACCGTTTTAGTAACTATAATGCGCCTAATGAAACAGCATCTGGTTGGTGCTAATTTCCCCTTTCTATCGTTTTTGAGGGCCCTCCCGCCGCGCATTCATCTGGCCGCCCTGCAAGTGCGGAAACTTGACGCGAGATGCCGGGCCCCTCCAGGCAGTGACAGACTGATGGCAGACTCTAGCAGTTCTCCTGAGAACCCTGGGAGCGCAAACTTTATCTCGGTGGTCCCCATGGCCTCCGTATCGCACGCGTGTTCTTGCAGAACTGCTACATTGTTGGCAAGATTCCTATTGATGCTCGAATTTATCCATGTTTGTAATTATGTGCATGCCCCAAATGGGACTGGGAAAGATTGTCTGTTTTGATGCTATGCAGAAGCTGGCATGTGCCCATGTACGGGAGCGGAGAAACTACCAACGGTATGGTCCGCCATACGCTTGCTAGATACCTTGTATATCAATTTAGAGTTTCTGTGTAAAAGCACTCCACCTCCTCCCTCCTCCCTGCCTCAGTTGTGACGAGAATTCCCGGTTACATTTTTTGCCAGGGATCGAAAATGCCGCTCGGGGCGGACCAATTCATTCCAGCTTTTGGGGTTATGGCTAGCGACGGCCCCTAGCCTAGATGGTTCTGTATCCGATAACGCCACCTTTTTTGTCCATAGACGAGTGTCTGGCCTCCTGTCCCCGTAATTGTGCATTGACATTATCCATGTCAGAGCCATGGATATGCATGTACGTCCCTTGGTGCATACTTGCACCATGGCTGGCAATTGCTTTGGGGTATCTTGGGGTACAGACAATCTTGGCTGGTGTGCCTGCAGTTACAAGTCAACTCTGGTTCCCCTGCTTAAGGTACTGTTGGCATTTCTTGCTAATTTCACTTGCCATAACCCCCGCGCAATTTGGGAATCCTCACTATTGTCGTTTTATCACCTAAAAAATAGAACCTACCCTTGCCAAGCTGCAGGTGAAACTCTACAGGAAATCCATATTCGTGTATTGGGTCTGGAATTTCTGGGTGTCTTGAAGATCAACAAAACTCACATAAATGGGCTTAGTGCATAATTACCCAGAAGTGGGTCCTGAGATCTCATCCCAGAACACACATATAATAGACAATTACATGGACAATAGCCACCTTCCATCTCACTAGCCTACTATTGTCTGGATAAGCCCACTTGCCTGGCCACATGGTGGAAAAGATCTAATTTCTAGTCTAGTTTAGGCTTATTTATTACGAGAAACACACATGTGAAGCGACTGCCTCAACAAGATTTTTCTCCAGATCATGGCCTTGCAAGTACTAGAACCTTGGTTTCCACTGCTCTTAGTCCAGCTTGTTGTACAGTTTATCATCCCATCTCTACTATCTCTCACTCCCAGACCTTGTTTGGTCCTGTATATACGCGCATTACCTAATAATCGGGATCAGTCAATTCAATAGCGTAACTCTCTATCAACTAAAGCTAGCCTGGTGCAATGCAATTCTCCGAGCTACAGCCGACTGCATCTCCATCCCCGGTGGTTCTAATCATCAGGTGGGCATCTAAGCTGTCAATTGAGTTTTTTCCGTCGTCTGAATGTGATGTTTACATCATCACGAACCCCAAGTCATTTCTCTCCTACATTCAAAAATTGGTAGAGCCAGTGGAAGACTTGAGCATTGTCACGATCTTTAGTGGCCTTGAGAACTTGGTGGAAGCTTTGAAGTTCTTGGCTCAGTTTACGTCCAATGAATCCAAATACCGGACCATTTATGAAAACAACTGTCGTCATCACTCGAAAGCCTACAGACTGGAGGAGTCTGAGCTCCCCTTAGTCATGTCAGAAGGTCAATATGATCTCCCACTAGCATTTAACTTGTCTATTATATTAGATTCCAAAGATCTAGACGACCACTTGGCTGCCAAAAGTGTTGTGTTACAGCAGTACTTGAGACTCATTGCTCTTAAGCATGGTGGTCTGCTTTTATCACTCCAAGACTTATCAGAAGTATTGAAAACTCCTCAAAAGTTGTTTCAATTCAACCCACAAGCCAAACCCATTTACGATTCATCCCAAACAGTGGAACAGGACGGTATAGATGTGGTACTTAATATTCCTAGCGGGTGGGATTCGTGGACTAAGATTATATTACTCGCAAAATCAGCAATATTCCAGGATAACCCAAGTTTAATGTTAGACGAAAAGTCTTTGAGAGAAGCAAACAAGACTTATGATGACTATTTTGAAGCGGACGGTAATTTAGAGACCTTGATGGAAAAAGTCTACGGCAAAATCAAAGTTCAGGAACCAAAGAAGCTACAAGACACATTACAGTTCAATGACATGCTCGTACAAGCTTCGATGTAATCTGACCGAGCACTGAACTTTCTGTTCATCTAAAGATTGAGAAATGATAGCTAACCGACTCAATTTCTTATATCTTTCCCAAAGCTTTGTAAGCAAACAAGGCGAATGCTTAGAGAGCGCACAACTTATTACTAGGAATAGCAATAAATCCAACCATCAGATATCATCACTAGGCTTCAAATCGGTCCCTAGGCCTGCATACAAACGACCGAAAATTATCGAAATCATGTCAAGGATTCCACTTTCTGTACTCTCATCCTGTTGAAGTTTCAAATCCTCCAGACTAGTAAGGCATTCACTCGCCTGACTCGGATCGATTTTCTATCGCCAGCAAGATTACCAATACTACCATCTACCTCTAGGCTCACTAGTCACACATAATAGCATTGTTTAACTAGTTCGGAATGGAAGTAGGGCCCGAAGACCCTTTGGCTCGAAGTACAGCAAGATTATCAATTTCTGCCATCGATGTTGAAAATGAAAACCCCAGACTCCAGGTGGCTGAGTTTCTCCGGGCTGAAAATAAGTCAAGAAGAGATTCCGCTATTTCCTTGAATTCATTTGAAGAAGATGAGCCAAAAATGGGACCACCACCTAAAGGAGATAAAAGAAGAAGGTCATCTGCGCAATCATTCTCACTCCCTTCAAATTCCAAAATCGCTAATACAGGGAAGAGCCCTAAGAAAGTCCACAAAAAGAAATTGAAGAAAGCTACACTGGCACCTGAGTTGGAGTTCACTTCGGGTGCAACTTGGAAAAGGCTTCCTTTTAAACAGCTCCGTGAGCTTGTCTTAGGAGTTTTCACAAAGTCTAACAATGTGCAAAAAAGGGAACGTTGGTATGACATTTCCAATTCTGGAAACGTTACTTCATTAGTTTTCTGTTTAGTACCAGGCTTACCTAGTCCCTCAAGTTCAGAAAAAGACGAGGAAGGCAAATTTTATGTTCCTATAAATGCGGCCAATTTAGCGCCAGAGTTCGACTTCATTCAAAACTTTGATCAAATGATAAAAACACAAAGTCCTGGATCTAAAGATCTGACTTACCCACCACTTCAAACAATTACGAACATTCAATTAACTAAAAATGAGAAGAAAGAAATTTTAGAAAGCCTGAAGGCATCAAAAATTACAATCAATGATTTATTATTGAGTCCCGGTCAATTGGCTCAGAATAGATATCCAATCGACATATCCAACCTCGAAGGATGGGTAGAGACAAAAGATTTCGAGCATGAAGGCTCGCATACTTTTGCATTGGATTGTGAATTCTGTCAGGCTGCAAGTGGTAAAGTGTTAACAAGGATCTCATTAATCAACTTCCAAGGTGAAGTACTTCTAGATCAGTTTGTAAAACCAGAGGAAGAGATAACAGATTACTTGACCAAATACTCAGGAATTACAGAAGAGAAATTGAAAGATGTTACAACCACTTTAAAAGACGTTCAGAAAATGGTTCTTGAAATAGTAGCCAAGGGAGATATCCTCATAGGTCACTCATTGGAGTCAGATCTTAATGTCATGAGAATCAAACATGAGAAAATTTGTGATACGTCATTAGTATACCAACATAGCAAAGGTCCTCCGCTGAAACCATCGCTTAGATGGTTGTCCCAAAAGTATCTTGCTAGAACTATTCAGGCAGGAGAAGCAACTGGTAATGGTCACTCATCTGTAGAGGATGCTCAAGCATGCTTAGATTTGGTGAAATTAAAGATCATTGAAGGGTGGTGCTTCGGTTTGAATGTGGGTGAGATTTCAATTTTTCATAGACTTGCTAAGGAAGCCGATATTTACAATAACGGAGATGATTTTAAGTCTTTATGGATTGATTACAGCAACTATAAAGATCAAGAATCGTATATCGAGCCCGCTGAGTACAACGTCATTAAATTGTACGCTAATAACGATGATGAAGTGGTCAAAAACTACAAGGAGGCCCACGACAAGAAGAACTTCACGGTATTGAGTTTAAAAGAATTGGAGTACAACAAGGGGTTGTGTTCTGTACCTAGTCACTTCAATGGGAAGATAATTCAAGACCCTACAGAGGAGCAGTTATCATCATTGTACAAGGAAACTAATCGCAGATTGAATGAGATCTACCAGGAGTTACCAGAGAATTCAATTATGATTATCAACTCTACTGTTGGTGATCCAAGAGAGATGTACCGTTTGCAAGAAGTTAAGAGAGTGTTCCAAAAAAAGGAAAGAGAAGGTGAGGATTTGAAGGCATTGCCCAAGGAAGATGTGTGGGATATTGACAAGCAACAGGCGTTGCTTGAGGCTACTGAAAAGGCGAAGAAGGCTATATCCTTCATTGGGATTAAGAAATTAAGTAAAACTAATCCCGTTGTATAATAGATAGATATGACAGATGTTGTAGATTGGCGTAGCCGTGGCAGATTTGCCGAGTATTGATGCAATAGTAGAAGGCCCTCTTCTGTCGCTATGTATCATTGAGTTGTCTATGTTGCAGGTTTCTATCGAGGGTAGAGTATGTTTTATAGCTGTGAATGGGGCCATTGATCGTGGAGAGGATCGAATATTGCTCTAGCAATAGTGGACCTGTCGGATAACTTATCAAACCTATCAGAAACTTGAAGTATGTCACGGGTGTGTCAGATCTACGAATCACTACTCGTCATCTCATAAACCTACTTGTACATTGACCATTTATATACGTGAAAACACCAGATGCCCGTGGTGTACATAACTGTGTCCTACCACCAGACTTAGCCCAACCCCGAAATCTGTCCCTCATCTTTGTTGAACGAGATGGCACTTTCCAAGTCCTTGTCGACCTTGACCTCCTTTACCTCTTCTGGTTTTTGTTCAACCTTAACTTCCTTGAAGTACTTCCATTGTGACAAGTCTAACACGTCGTTGGCCTCCAACTTTACAGAGGCATTGTTCTTGTGACTGGTGCTGGTTTTGAACCATCCCTTCAACCTGATGGTGTCCAGCGTCCCTTCACCGTTGGCATCATAGCTGGTGGCGGGGTTGTACCAGTCCTTAACCCAGGTGACGTTTTCACCAAGTTGGTCATGGTAAGCAGCTGCTCCACCAGGAATAGGAGTGTTTGTACCGCTAGCAGAGAACATCCCGAATGATTGTCTGTGATAGGGGTGGTTGTTTTTTCAGATCTACTGTGGTTTGGCGACGGTTGGCGAGCGAGCTGCCTGCCTTGCGAGGATTAACGATGCGGTTTCACATCACAGTCGGAAGGGATCCGAAAAGGCAAATATTACCATGCCATCGATGGTAGGCGACCATTCTATGCTACTACAAATCCACAGGGGCGTGTGGTTAATGGTCGTGATCATTACTCTATGTACATGTAGTAGACTACGGCAGAGCACTTTTGGTATGTTATTGCAGGCAAATAGGCCTGGGAGTCCATGTGTCAGAATTCCTAAGTACCGGCGGTAGAAGAGATATCATCGGATGGTTTCTATGGATTTGCTTTGTTCTGTGGTTCCAATGGAGGCTCTTCTTGGGATGTCAAATGCATGTGGTGTTCGTCATGGATGTCCTTTTCAGCATCTTGAGGGTCGGGATGGGCTCCACTTTCTTGCAATTGCTGCTGTCTTAGCTCTTTTTGCTTTCGAATAGCTCTTTGTTTTGCATTTGCCAATTTCTTCTTGATGGTCTCTCTGTACCTTGCGTCCTTTCGACTCTGTTGTTCATACCATTTGATCATTTGACGAGGTTTTGTGCCGAAAATGGTCTCGTACTCACAGAACAAGCAGAAGTGAGGTGGTTGGTTGGGGGGCTGTGATTGATTTGGTTGGCTATTCTGTTGACCCTGTGTGTTCTTGTTTTTCTTCTTCTTCTTTTTCTTCTTCTTCTTGTTATCGTCGCCATGTTCAATAAAAGACTGGCTATCTCTTGATTGTAAGGTCATCATTCGTAACTTCTCTTCCACGTTATTATAAATTGGTACAAGCTTTCCTGTGTGGTCATATTCGAAGGTAAATTCACATGAAGGTCCATCTTCATCGTAGGCGTTCCTATCAGCACCAATCGTTCTGTAAGAAGGACAATCACAGCCATCAAAGCCATGCTCATCGCACTCTGACGTTGCATTCAACTCGACTTCTATGTGATGCGTAGGACTGTACTTGTATTGGTACTCATCGCCATTGATCTCCTCTATATCGTAATCCCCTTGGTCGTCATAATCATAGTCATATCCGTCAGTGTTTCCTTCATGCAATCCCTCTTCATCTTTAGTATCGTACAACGAAAATCCCTCTCTCTTCCCACTCCTTGCTGGCGGTCTTCCCTCTCTATTTATCGTGAACTCGTTGGATCTTATCATTTGTGAGATCTTATTACGAAGGAAGTCCATTTCACTCTCCTTCAAGAAAGATTCCCTCACTTCATCTTCCACGTTGTCCATTTTGTCTTGGATTTGGTTGAACACCTTCTCTTCGTCCAATTTGTTAATCTTATCACTGAAGTCATTTGATGCCTTTTCGAGTGCTTCCAAGAGACTGAAATTGAATGCTGAATCATCTTTGATTTCAGGGTCATCATTTTCGTTGGGAAAGGGCAGGTAGTTTTCTTCGTCCTGCAATTTCTTGCTCATGGCTTGCAGCCAGGTTTCGTAGTTCTTGGACACTAATTCGAATAGACGCTTATGATCGAGTTGGCCGGGACGAAGAGAGCTGGCTGACGCTGCCTGTGGCATTGTCCCAGACTCTCCGTCCACTTCACTTGGTCCGTCTGTCATATGCATCTTGGGGACATCAGGATCCATCATATACTAATCATAATGAATGGTAGTGATTGGTAAAATTTTTCTGGTGTAGTGAGAGCGACACAGTGCCTAAGCCAGTGATTAGGCAAAAGTGACATTGCATTAGCCATACACCACTGGAAAGACTAGCCCACCTCTAATATGTACTGTCTATTGTATGCCTCTCTATACCTGCTATAACAACTACATCTTTCTGACTACAGCTATGTCATTAGAGAGAGTACATTCGCGAAACTAAATAGGGCAGACTGGTACTCATTTAAGCTGTGATATTTGATAGGGTATAGTGGCTTGGCTCCGACCAGTCACGTAGACCCACTAATCCTTCTTCAATGTTCTTTGCTTCTCTGCGTTTTTGACAACCTTTTCGTCAACAAACAACCCCTTTCTTCTTCTAATAGTATTCATATACCTTCTGGCTACATTTTCTCTCTCAGCAAACTCACCCAACTCCTCCAACTCTTCCTCGGTATGGGGAACCCAGAACGGATCAATATCCAACATGTCAAAGCCAGCAAAGACCAATTGGGGACTGGCAGCACCAGAAGTTTTCTTTCTAATTTCCTCCGAGAATCCAAATGCTTCGATGACTGGGATTTGGGCTTCAATGGTGAAAAATGGTGTACCTTCCTTCATCTCCTCTGAAATGATCGAGCCACCTCTTCTCTGTACCACCGCGTAGACTTTACCCAAAACCTCGGATGATGCTTGGATGTCACATGTATACATAGCAAGGAACAATCTAGGAGATCCTAACAAAAACGTCTTGTGAATCAAATCTCTAGTCAAAGTAATTATTCTACCACTCAAGTTTACAACCCTAGATTCCTCATCAACAATTTCGTATTTGCTCTTCTTCAACGTGACTAAAATACCTTGAAGCGGTTCAGATGCTAATGGCCCTTCATTGGTGGCAATTTGGAATCCGTTGAGCACACTTGATTCAAACTCAAATCTTTCTCCTTCTTTGTTGTCTAAAAGATGTCTAAATTGAGAGTTACCAAACTCAGCAAAGATGTTTGGACCAACTCTCTTGGGACCAAAAGTAATGATACTGTTTACCAACTCTTCGGCTGATTTGAATGAACTCTTGATGGGATTTTCGGAAATTATTTCGATCAATTTTGCCTTGAATGAACCTTCATAAGATTTGGTTTGACCAATTTCATAAATTTCAGCTTCATTGTCGATCAAAAATTGAGTAACCTCCTTAGGTAAGGAGGTGACTTCGAACTGTAGGTCCACTCCAGGAAGGACAACATCATCATCCGCTTCTCCGACCTCTTTGGGGTCTTCTGATAAGCCTTCTCTGAATGGGATAACTGGCTCTTTTACTGTCACCTCACATCCTTTAGCAAACCTCTCTTCCAAATCCTTCAAACATCTCTCCAAATGGAGTTCACCTGCAACACAGACGATCAATTCACCAGAATCGTCATCAATGTGCCACTCAAAAATAGGATCCGCCTTAGCCAATAAATCCAATCCTCTTTCCAATCTGGACAATTTCATAGGATTAGTAGGTTCAACGGCTATCTTCATGATTGGCTTGTTGTGGATTAAGGTTGAAGTTGAAGAAAAGTTAATGTATGGTTTATTTCCGAGGTCAGAGCACAATGTTGCATTCTTTAATACAGCCAGTTCGAGTCCAACAACACCCACAATATTACCAGCAGGGACGTTATCCATTTTAACAAACTCTCTTCCCATAATAAGATAGAGATCCTTAATTTCGACCTCATGGGTGATTTGTTCTGCATTGCTTTCGCTGTCGTTAGGTAAGCTGGGGTCATACTTAGGGCCAATGACGGTGATTTTTTGACCCTTTGAAAGAGAACCAGCGTAAATACGAGTGAATGCGATCAAAGTCTCTGGGGTTATTTCTTCCTCTTCTTCCTCTTCTTCAAATTCATCTTCTTCGAACTCCCATTCAAATGGGTCTGCTTTGACTACTGTGAATTCATCAGTTGATTTTTCAGCGATCGATTCTGATGCCTTCTTCGCCAATTCCCTGGCAATTCTTCCTCTCTCTCTGAGTTCATCGGCAGTAAGTATAGCAGAAGTTGACTCCTTGGGCAAATCTTCTTCCTTGACGGAAATCAACTTCGAAACGTATGCAATTGTATGTTGTTGAGGATTTGAGGAATCACAGGTGAGGATAGCCTTCTCGAATTCTGGATCAATTATCTTGGCCTTATTTGACTCTGAAACCGCACTGTACATACTTTCGTCCAATATCTTTCCGATTCTTTCCTTCTGGGCATCGACTGGACTTGGCAAGAAATCTATAACGGCACCCAATAAAGCATGACTAATAGGAATCCATTGGGACATTATTACATTCAAAGTGTTCTTGTAATCTTTAGATCTCAAATCCCTAGGACTAACCTTTGCACCCAACTTCTCGATGATTTTCTCCAACTTTTCTTGATTTCTTTCGATGACACAGTTTTCGTAAACTGCCCATACTTGCTCCAAAATCAATCCAACGAATAAAGGCTTCAAATTTTGGGTTGCTTTGAGCTTCTTCTTGGGGATGATCTTTTTGTTCTTCATGTCCAAGTAAAAATCACCCCATAAGGTCTTAGACAACACCGATTGAGAAAATCCCAATTTAGCCAGGTATATCTTCGCAAAGGTATGCACCGAGAATGCCCACCCGTCCACAGCTGAAGCGAAAATGACATTATTTTTCTCTGGGGTGAAGTAGATATCTTGATCATCTTTCTCCACGAATTCAGTTGTAGCACCACTTTCTCTCCAAATCATATCGTCTTCCATTCTTTCACCGGCAAAAAAGGAACCGATAACAGAGTTCACTTGTTCTATGACTTTGGATAAATGCTGATATGCTTCCATTGGTGTGAGCTGCCACTCGGTGATTAATCTATCGATTTTGTTCAATACCAACAAAGGCTTGAGTTTGTCCACCCAACACTGTCTTAAGACATTAACTGTTTGAGAACAAACTCCTTCAACCACATCAACCAACACCACTGCTCCATCACACAATCTGGAAGAGGTAGAGACCTCGGAGGAGAAGTCAATGTGGCCTGGAGAATCGATTAAGTTAATCAAGTGTTCATTGGTTTCAAGGTGTTCGCTGTCCTGCTTTCTACGGACAACTTTGAAGTACAAAGAGATGGCCGAAGCTTCCATGGTAATACCTCTTAACTGCTCATCTTCTCTAGAGTCCAAGTATCTCACTTTACCAGCCATTCTTTGGGATATGATACCATTGGTGGCCAAAAGTGAGTCACTGAGTGATGTCTTACCATGATCGACATGGGCAAGAATACAGATGTTTCGAATGCATTCGGGGTTGGATTGAAGCTGGTGAACCGTTTCTTGTGAAAGCTTCATAGCGATGTGAAATGTTCAGCTAGAATGGATGGACAAGTGATTTCACCGATCAGTGAGTAGGTTTTCAGTAATGCGAAATTATTGGAGATGCGAATGACTTTTGCTCATCGAGGAGATGTTTATGTGCCCACTATGCTCTACACCTTTGAAGCAGCACTTGATCCAGCCAACTTTGGCACTCATCTCCTGTCCTCTGGAATCGTGTATCTATCCGTTTAATTTACTGGTGGCCGAGCTACATGATAACCAACTCTTGATCGAAGTTGACACAGCAGACATCATGGCCAAAATGGAGAGTAAAATGGTCAAAGATGTTGGAGTTGATGAAAAGCTAGCAGAATTTATAGCACGAGAAGACCCAGATGTTGGAATGTGATTACGGTCTTTCCTAGGGAATAGTGAAAACTTCGCATAAGACGAAACACAATCCTAGAACATATCGAAAGAGAATCAGAAGAACAATGCTGTATCAGGTAGGTTTTGCATGTATTCTATACTTGAAATCCCTCCGAATTATGATATCCTTGCCTACTTAATCTACAGATACGCAGGAGGGATTTTATTATCTTGGGCCCAAGATTGTCTCTAACTCTAACCGTCCCAAAGAATTCAGAGGGGGGGAGGTTTAAGGGCCCGTTTATCCAGAGTCAACCAACCATTCGTTGAAAATCCTAATTCGCTTTCAAATTAGAAACAATAGTTACAGGATTAGTTCAAATTTGCACCAAGTTCAAGCAAAGATTGTAAGATCATTCTAGAGCTTTATAGATTGCACAATGTAATTCTCAAATCCGTGGATCGGCATTTGTGATGTTGTTAAGTTAGCAATTGTAATTCATTCAGTTGAAAAAGTTAGTGTGACTAATTCAATTCTTCAAAAATTTAGACAAAATTGTACAAATATTACAAAAATTGAATTGAGTGAACAAGAGATAAAGAAAGTGGTAAAACAATACAGTACACACAACCACAGTATAAACCAATCGCTCACTCATTAAAACCAATGGGTTAGTGTAGCCTTTGTCGTTCGACTGGCAGTACAATAATTGTGTCATAAACTACACTTCTACTTCTATTCAACAAACTGTTAATCACCGGCAGTGACGAAGAAGCATCTCAAACATGAAGTTAGGTCAACCCATAAGTTACTTGCAATCTATTCTTGCCAAAACATGTATCTCGAATAGATTTATAGAAAGAAGTTGCAACGCAGATCAGGTCTGATCAATGTAAATTTGCACAAAGTCACATGGAGATACGATTTCACATGAAGAGAGTTGCTCCATGCAGCAGGTCTTTATATATTTTGCGAGGAAGCATTTTGAACCTTCTATCGTACTTAAACGGTCTCAATCTCGATAAGCTTTTCTACAAGCGAGTCAGGCGTACTTTCGCAGCATTGAGTATAACGGTCCGTTTTCGATCGAAATGCTGCAATATCCGTAGTTCTAGTCTTACCCATCAGTTTTGACACAACGGGATCTATTACTTCCTGTGGTATTTGAAGTTTTGTTACGAGTACCTCGTATAGTGACACCCATGCACACCGATTGCCTAGAAAGGATGTAAACGCAGCGATTTTTGTAGCAAGGCCTCGGAAGGATAACTGTTAATCGATAGTAAACAGTGAGTGATTGAGTAGTAACAAACATATCAAAGTTGGTCTACAAGTATGAAACTGCAGAAATTATTTGTCTGCAACCCTTTGTCAAGTTGGATGTGTCGAGAACATTTCTTCAGATTAGGGCATCACATAATAAATATATTGTTGATAATAGGCCGTAAAGAGAGACCACTTAGACTTAAACAGCCCGAGGGATCATGACATATTTGCATCTAGGCCATTCCCCTTGTGTTGCAATAAGCTATCGTTCAAGCGATCACTGGCCAGGGGGCGGGTAACTAGTCGTGCCCACAATCAAATAGCATTCAAAATTTTCTCAACATTCACAGCACGTACATTTGAAGCACACATTACCAACGTCAATAGACTGAATCAATCATATCAATTGAACCGTATCACAAATCCCAACTTGATCACGAGATTTGCCATACAACCATCAGGTTATTACACACAAAAACACCACTAGTATTCATTCCTCAGCTTACTAAGATTCATCCTTGGCTATTGTCAAGATCTGTACTATTATAAATCACTAGAACCTTAGAACACATACAAAATGTCTGATTCCTGGAAGTCTCAATTAAATATTCCTGAAAGGGATACTAGACCACAAACAGAGGATGTTTCCAACACCAAAGGTAAATCATTTGAGGATTTCAATTTGAAGAGAGAGTTATTGATGGGTATATTCGAGGCAGGATTCGAGAAGCCTTCTCCAATTCAAGAAGAGTCAATTCCAATGGCATTGGCAGGAAGAGATATATTAGCAAGAGCCAAGAATGGTACAGGTAAAACCGCATCCTTCGTCATTCCTTCATTACAACAAATCAAACCTAAAGTATCTAAAATCCAAGCTTTAATTTTAGTTCCAACTAGAGAGTTGGCTTTGCAAACCTCCCAAGTTGTCAGAACTTTAGGAAAACATTTAGGAGTTCAATGTATGGTTACCACTGGTGGTACTTTATTAAGAGATGATATTATGAGATTGAATGACCCAGTCCATGTTTTGGTTGGTACTCCAGGCAGAGTCTTGGATTTAGCAGCAAGAAGTATTGCCGACTTCTCGGAATGTCCTCTCTTCGTGATGGATGAAGCCGATAAAATGTTATCTAGGGAATTCAAGGGAATTATCGAACAAATCTTGGCCTTCTTCCCAGCTACTAGACAATCTTTATTGTTTTCTGCCACCTTTCCTTTGGCAGTCAAATCCTTTATGGATCAACATTTAAGCAAGCCTTACGAAATCAATTTAATGGATGAATTGACTCTTAGGGGTATCTCTCAATTCTATGCTTTCGTTGAAGAAAAGCAAAAATTACACTGTTTGAACACTTTGTTCAGCAAGTTGCAAATCAATCAATCCATCATATTCTGTAACTCTACTAATAGAGTTGAATTGTTAGCCAAAAAGATCACTGAATTGGGGTACTCGTGTTACTACTCCCATGCCAAGATGCCTCAACAGGCCAGAAACAAAGTTTTCCATGAATTTAGACAGGGTAAAGTCCGTAATTTGGTTTGCTCTGATTTGTTAACCAGAGGTATCGATATTCAAGCAGTCAATGTTGTTATTAACTTTGATTTCCCAAAGACTGCTGAAACCTATTTACACAGAATCGGTCGTTCTGGTAGATTTGGACACTTAGGTTTGGCAATCAACTTGATGAGTTGGAACGATCGTTATTCTTTGTACAAGATCGAGCAAGAGTTGGGTACTGAAATTAAGCCAATCCCAGCCACCATTGACAGAAACTTGTATGTGGCAGAAAATGACGGTGCTATTCCAAGGCCATTCAAGATTGAGGAATTGCCAAAGGGTAACGAGACTGTCCATAAGAAGGCAGGCTACGAGTACAAGGGACAGCCAGAGTTACCTGGCCAAGGTCCTGTCGCCGGCCAACCACCTTTGCAACAAGGTGCCCCAGGTCAAGTTCCACTTCCCCAGGGCCAACCAATGCAATATTACCAAGGTGTTCCTCAGGGAGTCCCACAGGGAGTTCCACAAGGAGTTCCACAAGGGTACCCATACCAACAATATCCACCACAATTCAATGGATATCCACCACAGCAATTTAACGGTCAATTTCAACAAGCACCACCACCACAAAAGCAATAGGTTTGTGATTTTTGACTAGTTTTCTGATTGCCCGAATCTCAATTTATATTTTGTCACACTAGTGTATTCCGACAAGTTTTTTTTGTTTTGTTTTCGTTTTTGTTGATTTGCTTGTTTTTGAAGGATACAGGATTCGGGCGCAGATAGTTGAGCGGTAGGAAGTGATTGTACCAAGAGAGGTGAAAGAGGAGTATATTAATGGCCGGGAGGGTGTAGCCATACTACTGGGGAAACAATTGGACGGTGCGAGATTGTTAGGGTGTCACGTTTCAGCTTCGACAAGGGGCAGAAACGAGTGCATCGAGAGGGGAAACGGGAAATAGGTGCAAAGTATGAACCAAGATTATCCAGGATAGTGAATCCTGACAACATGTGAACTGAATAGTGGACCCAAAGTCCCAAGGATGCTATTGAACAATCCTTATTGAACTTGAGCAAAGCCGGCCGTCGGATCGGCTGGCAATCATTTCTCCCTATATAGTGTTACCGTTACCGTAGCGATGGTTAGTGCGACGGCCCCGATGCCCTAGCGACGCCTGTCGGTACAATGCACCTCTGTGCGCGGTATCTTCTAATAGATTAATGATAAACTTGCAGTAAAAGTTGACTCCGGCCCCTCCGCATTTGTTCGTGGGCAAGTAAAAATTTTCAGATCCCCTAAATTCTGGAGAAACTGACTCTTGTAGATTAACGCATCGCTCTCTATCATTTAAGTGCGATAGACACTTATTAATACGTTTAAGCACCATAGACAACAACCCCCCGATCATATCAGATGTGTGGAATTCTAGGCATAGTGTTGGCAGACCAACAGAAGAACGTGGCCCCCGAGTTGTTCGAGGGAGCCATGTTCTTACAGCATCGTGGTCAAGATGCCGCAGGTATCGTTACTTGTGGTACCAAGGGTAGGTTTTACCAGTGCAAGGGTAATGGTATGGCCAGAGATGTGTTCACTCAGCAGAGGATGGTCAACCTCGTTGGAAACATGGGTATCACCCATTTGAGGTACCCCACTGCTGGTTCATCGGCAGGGAGTGAGGCCCAGCCGTTTTACGTCAACTCGCCCTACGGGATCACCTTGAGTCACAACGGTAACTTAGTCAACTCCATCGAGTTGAGAAAGTACTTGGACGAGGTTGTCCACCGTCACATCAACACTGACTCCGATTCCGAGTTGTTGACCAATGTGTTTGCCGCCGAGTTGGACAAGTTCAACAAGTCAAGAGTCAACAACCAAGATTTATTTTCCGCTTTGACCGGCACCATGGAGGCTATCAGAGGTGCCTATGCGTGCGTGGCCATGTTGGCTGGTTACGGGATCATTGGGTTCCGTGATCCCAACGGTATCAGACCGCTCTTGTTCGGTGAGAGAATCAACGCCGACAAGTCTCGCGATTACATGTTGGCATCGGAGTCGGTGGTGTTGAAGGCACATGGATTCCATACCTTCAGAGATGTCAAGCCAGGTGAGGCCGTGATCATTCCCAAGGACTCCTCCGGGGTGGTCAAGCCCGAGTTCCGCCAGGTCGTCGAGCCCAAGGTGTTTGCACCCGACATCTTCGAGTACGTGTACTTTGCCAGGCCCGACTCGGTGTTGGACGGGGTTTCGGTGTACCACTCCCGACTCGAGATGGGAATTAAGTTGGCAGCCAAGATCTCCAAGGTCGAGGACCTTGACATCGATGTGGTGATCCCGGTTCCAGACACCTCTAGAACATCAGCGTCACAGTGTGCGGTGTCGTTGAACATTCCCTACAGAGAAGGGTTTGTCAAGAATAGATACATCGGCAGAACGTTTATCATGCCTGACCAGCAGGAGAGACGGTCTTCGGTGAGAAGAAAATTGAACGCCATGGAGTCCGAGTTCAAGGGCAGAAACGTGTTGTTGGTGGACGACTCGATCGTCAGAGGGACCACCTCCAAAGAGATCGTGGCCATGGCTCGCGAAGCCGGTGCCAAACATGTGTACTTTGCCTCTTGCGCACCTCCCATCAGATTCAATCACATCTACGGAATTGACTTGGCCGATACCAAGGCGTTGGTGGGGTTCAACCGTGACGAAGACGAGATCGCCAAGGTGATTGGTGCCGACAAGGTGATCTTCCAGGACTTGGAGGACTTGATATCGTGCTGCACCAGCGACCAGTTGAAGCAGTTCGAGGTAGGTGTCTTCACCGGTAGCTACGTCACCGGGGTCGAGGACAACTACTTGCAAGAATTAGAGAAGATCCGGGCCCAGAACCAGCGCCTTCGTGATCGTAGAGACAGAGGCTTCAGTGTGGACGCCTGTATTGACGCTTCCGATATGGTGGACGTCAAGGCCGAGCTGGATATCAGCATCTACAACAGGGGAGATTATTAGTAGCATAGCGACGCGTGCCCAGCACCGCAATAGACGTCCAACACCACCACCGTAGGCGCACACCACCGCACTACAAACCGCAAAATCATCGTTGTAGCGACGTTTGTGGGCGTTCAGTACCGCCAGGATCTCCGACGGCCCACGCGGTCGCGTAGATCTCCGGAACTCACCTACCCCCTGAGCCCAAGCCTCATCGGGGGCATTTTACAGGTTGCTGCAGGGTCCACCAGACTCCAAATGGCTACCATGCCTCCATTAGCGCAGCGGCCAACGGTCCTAGGCGGCATCGTTGCAGCTCAATCGGGTGCCCCTGTGTCAACGTTTATGGCTTATTGTGGTAGTGGTGCGGTGCTCGCGCCCTATTGTGGTGCCAGCCACCGCCCTCGCGCGTCTCGTCCACGTCCTCGTCGATTTTTACAGGTTACCGCACGGTTAAAAATTTGATTGTTGTTCATTTCGATATCTTGAAAAGTTGATCAGTTTGTCACCGATTCCTCTTCACATTCGTCTTAGATCACACAGATCTAGTTTATGGGCATACTCCTGATCTACCTAATCAGTCAAGCAGTCTACCTTCTCAAGCGAAAGTACAACATCAACATTAACTTCAACATGGACAAATTATCCTCGGGAGCCTCCAGCTCCATTGCCAACTCGGCACCTATTTCCATTTTCTCCTACTGTGCTTCATCCATCTTGATGACCATCACTAACAAGTATGTTTTGTCTGGTTTCTCCTTCAACTTGAACTTCTTCTTGCTTGCAGTTCAATGTATCGTTTGTATCGTTACCATTGGTACCTTGAAAGCCCTTGGCATCATTACCTACAGGGAGTTCAACCGTGACGAAGCCAAGAAGTGGTCTCCTATTGCTTTCTTGTTGGTTGCTATGATTTACACCGCTTCCAAGGCCTTGCAATTTTTGAGTATTCCTGTTTACACCATCTTCAAGAACTTGACCATTATCTTGATTGCTTACGGTGAAGTGTTATGGTTCGGTGGTAAGGTCACTTCTATGACCTTGGGCTCTTTCTTCTTGATGGTTTTGTCCTCGGTCCTCGCTTGTTACGGTGATTCCAACAGTGCCAAGACTCCAGATGACACCCTTTCCTTGTACTTGGGTTACTTCTGGATGTTTGCCAATTGTTTTGCTTCCGCTTCCTTTGTGTTGATCATGAGAAAGAGAATCAAGTTGACCAACTTCAAGGATTTCGACACCATGTACTACAACAACTTGTTGTCAATCCCAATTTTGTTGATCTCTTCTATTATTTTTGAAGATTGGTCTGCTGAAAACCTTGCTCTTAACTTCCCTGCTACCGGCAGAACCTCCACTGTTGTTGCCATGATTATTTCTGGTGCCTCATCCGTTGGTATTTCCTACTGTTCCGCCTGGTGTGTTAGAGTCACTTCCTCGACCACCTACTCTATGGTTGGAGCTTTGAACAAGTTGCCAATTGCCCTTTCCGGTTTAATTTTCTTTGAGGCTGCTGTCAACTTCTGGTCCGTCTCTTCCATCTTTGTTGGTTTTGTTGCTGGTTTGGTTTACGCTGTCGCTAAGCAAAAGCAACAAAAAGAACAACAGGCACCAACATTGCCATTGTCCAAGTAAGGAACTCAGCTACGAAGATTTTTATTTCTTTGTCATTGATAGAATCTTGTGTAGACTGGTACTACCAAAGAATTGCCTAGAGAATTCTAGTGCCAGTATAGTTGTATACTTATATAAGCGCTGACTAGTATAGCTAGCGAGCATGTCATAAATTCACCCGTAGTTGCACGGAAAGTCTTCAATAGAAATTCACCTGGCTAAGGTATCAATCCGTGTATTTTGAATCCTGTTATATGGTGGCAAATTATTGAGTCAAATTTTACTGAGTAGAGAAAGAAAAATTTGGAAAGCAAGAGAAGAGAATTCTCAACTTTTTAGCAGTGAGGTCTCTTTCGACCCTCAAGTATTCTCAAGGTCTCCCATTCTAACCATTGGTTTGGGTTCTAAACTCTGAATCACGAATATGATCACGTGACCGTTCTGTATGAAAAGATTTTTTGTTTTCTTACTACACTGTGCATCAATTCTAGATATTCACTTCGCCTTATCGCTAGCTTAGAGATAGGCCTGCTCTTTCATATCCGTTGCGACCATTTAAACTTCGGTTCAAGCACAGCTTTTAATTTATAAAAGAATCTTCAATTGTCATGGCTGAAAACTCGCTCGAAGCTATTCCTAATTACTTGGAGCAATCACTTTCTCCTCAATTTGCCAAGCAAGCTGAAGCCCAATTAAAGTCTATCGAGGGTCAGAATGGATTCTCTATCAATTTGCTTCATGTGATCTCCTCGACCAACTTACCAGTTTCGGTAAGACTTGCAGGTGCCTTATTTTTCAAGAACCTTATCAAAAGAAAATGGACTAACGATGACGGCGATTATTTGTTACCCTTAGAAGATGTTGAAAAAATTAAGGGCGAGATCTTGGATGTGATGATTAAATTACCCAATCAATTGCAAATTCAAATAGGTGAGGCAATCACATTAATAGCTGAGAGTGATTTCCCTCATAGATGGACTAATTTAATTGAGACCTTGGTAGCTAAATTATCCTTAGATGATTTTGTCAGCAACAAAGCCATCTTATTGGTTTCACATTCCATTTTCAAGAAATGGAGACCGTTGTTCAGATCAGATGAGCTTTTTCTTGAGATTAAAATGGTTTTAGACCAGTTTGTTGAACCATTTATGAAGCTTTTTGTTGAGCTTGACCAATTGATTGAGAAAAACAGCGACAACCAAGCACTTTTAAACATTTATTTTGAGAACTTGTTACTTCTTATCCAAATTTATTATGATTTCAATTGTCAGGATATTCCAGAGTTTTTCGAAGACAACATGGTGGTATTGATGAATATTGTACACAAGTATCTTATCTATACCGATAAGGGATCTGACGACGATGAGGAAATCACCGTACCCATTAAATTAAAAACATCAATTATTGAACTTGTTTCACTTTATATTACCAGATATGCTGATGTTTTCGAACCATTGATCCAAAATTTCATAACTTCAGTATGGTCTCTTATTACTGACTATGTCACCAGTCAACCTAAGTTTGATTTATTGGTGGTCAAAGCATTACAATTCTTGACATCAATTGTCAAAGTTCAGACATACCATTCATTATTCAATAACGAAAGCTCAATTAATGAGATCATCGAAAAAATCATTTTACCAAACATTTATTTTAGAGAGGTTGATGAAGAATTGTTTGAAGATGAACCAATTAATTTTGTTAGATTGGACTTAGAAGGTTCAGATTTCGATTCTAGGAGAAAGTCTGCAACTGATTTCCTTAAGGAGTTAAAGGAAATCAACAGTGAGTTGTTGACTAACTCAGTCATGAAGTATGTTAACAAGTTCTTATCAATTTCCGGTGATAATTGGAAAAACAAGGATACTGCAATCTATCTATTCAGCTCTTTGGCAACTAAAGGTAACATTACTTCTCAAGGTGTTACTTCAACTAATGTTTTGGTCGATGTTGTTCAATTTTTCAGTGAGAACATTGCACAAGATTTGCTCAATGAATCGAGCCATCCGATTCTCAAGGTTGATTCGATCAAGTACATTTTGAACTTCAGAAATCAACTCACTAAAGACCAATTGCTAGCAACAATTCCATTGCTTGTTAAGCACTTGAGCACAGGCGCAAATCCCGTGGTTTATACCTACTCGGCAATTACGATTGAAAAGTTATTGGAAATGACAAATTTCAACGATAACCACCAATTGATCTTCACAAAACAAGATATTAAACCTTTCTCCACGGAAATTTTAACAAATCTCTTTAACCTCATTCTCTTGAATGATCAATCGCCAGAGAAGTTGTCTGAGAATGAATTCTTGATGAAAGGCGTTGTCAGAATCTTAAACACCATAGAAAACGACTTGCAAGAAAGATTACCTATTATCAAGCAATTATTGAGAATTTTGAAGATTACTGCAAAGAATCCCGCAAACCCCAAATTTTCCCATTACACCTTTGAAGCGATTGGTTTGTTGATCAAATTTGGACTCAATGAACTTGATGCGTTCATTGAATTGGTCATCCCGGCTTTGTTGGATATTTTGGGTGAGGATGTCCAAGAGTTTGTTCCATATACTTTTCAGGTGTTAGCCTACTTGTTGGAAAATTATCCTAAGGGATCGGGATTGCCACCAGCCTATCATAATTTAATCAAACCATTACTTTCCCCATCAGTGTGGGAATTTAAAGGAAATATTCCGGGTATCACCAGATTGTTGGTTAGTATCGTTGAACATGACCCCAGCGTATTTACCTCCAATTTGACTCCATTGCTTGGTGTATTCCAAAAGTTAATTTCTTCCAGAATTAATGATGGATATGGTTTTGATTTATTGTTGAGCATTCTTTTAAACATCCCATTGAACAGCTTGACCAATTACTTGAGAGACATCGCCACTTTAATTTTGACTCGTCTCAAGACATCCAGAACCGATAAATTTCTTAAGAGGTTTGTGGTGTTTATTAGTACATTAAATTCTTTGAGTTTGAACCAAGAGAATGCACAGTACACAAATGGATCTATACTTGATGGTGATTTTGTCATCGGGCTCATAGACTCTGTCCAGGCTGGGGTGTTCCAACAATTGTTTACCAACTTGATTTTGCCTACTTTGCAGGGATTCATCAACTTACAAGATAAAAAGATCGGAAATTTGGGAATATCACAGTTTTTGGGATCTCAAGGTTTTAATGGCAACTATTCTTCTTTGTTAGTGCCAACTATACTGCAGTTAGTTAAAAATTTGAATGGTTATGATGGTATCATTAAATCTGTTTCTTTAAGCAGCAATAACTCGGGAGCTTTAAACGAGTTGGATTTGGAAACCTCATCTTTCGGCTCAAACTTCTCCAAGATTGTTTCCATTCAGAACAAGCCATTTGATCCTTTGAGCAACGTCAAGAACACCGATTACGTTGGTATTAAGAGCGTCATTCTACAAAATGTTAAAAAGGTTGACGTAAGGGTATTAAACGAATTGGGAGAAGATGTGCAGATGGGGTTAAAGAATTTAGGTTTAGCATAATTATTTTAACGTAGTTTACGAAATACTACGTCAAATTTCATAGAGTCCTTCATAACACATACATTCCTAATTAATACAATAACAGTGTTCTTCCACGTAGTATCAAGAAATAAACAAATTTTATGTCCTTCGACCATTGTAGTCTTCACCGTCCGATTAAGCTATTAAATCCAGAAAAATGGATTCATCTACTTGTTCCTTAGCAGGCTCTGTTTCTTCCTTCAGAGGTTTTTCCTCTGATTCGGGCACTCTATCCTTATCTTCCAACTCTTTTAATTTTTCCAATCTCTCCTTTTCTGCAATCTCTGCGGCAGTCAAGAATCTTCCACCTTGGCCTCTTGGTCTTCTCATGGCATGCTTGTGCCTAGACTCATGGAGGTAAGGCTTTCTTGTTCTGGCTATTTTTAAGTTTTCCTCCAACTTGGCTCTTGCTATTCTTCTCTTCAATATCCTGTGGTACTGCTTGGCATTGACGTAGAACGGCTGCTCAGCAGGTTGGTCATTCGTCACAGGTTCCTCCTCGTTCTGAACCAGTTCTTGGAAGAAATGTTGATGGGGTCTTGGAAGTGGGGAGTTCTCAGGAAGGTTCTGGGGATTTGTGTCGTAGAAAGGAGTGGAGTGAGAGGATGTGGGGGATCTGCTCGATTCAATGTCATGATTTACGGGTTTATGTTGGTTGGGTACCGTGTTGTGTGTTGTGTAATACGTTGGGGCTTGTTCAGGGTAGTAACCGGGGTTGTCACTGACCGGGTTGTGTAAGGACGTCATAACGTGAGTATGTCGAAATGGTTGTGTTGAAAAGGCAGACTAGTCGATGTAGAGCTTCCTTGTCGTGTTTTTAGAGTTCCTGAGCAGTTGGGATGACTCTAGTCCTATTTTGTTATTTGACAATATGGAGGGTCGAGATGGATTTTTCTAATATTGAGCGCGGACACATATTGTGTAATCCGAAACGGAGAAGTACGAACGAGCAGGGAGGTGGCTAAGACCCCCTACCAGCTTTTCATATTTAAAAGGTTATCATAGAACAGTTTCGTCCGAAGGGCTCGCTATACTAAATATTGCTACTCAGAAGTAGCTTCTATTCATTATTATTATTGTGGTGTGAATTAAATATTAACTAGTGCTAGTAGATGATAGTGAACACTCTATGAGGGCAAAATTGGGGCAGTTCACGGACGTAGCGAAGTGACAGAGTTACCGAAAGTGCTGGGGACTTGAAAAGTGTAGTCTTGAGCCTTTCAGACTTGGAGACAACAAGCTCGGATGATCATGTAGTTGAACTAGAAGGGCTGTGTAGCGGACCCAGGGATCTGCATCAGCATGTCTTCAAGAAAATATGTACTTGGGTCTGGTATTTCATCGTAGTCTTCAAGTAGAGTAAGTGGGTCAACCAAAGTTAAGCTTTGCTGGGTGGACAGATGCTTCTGCAAAGGGGGCTTTACTGAGGTGGTAGAATGGGGACTGGAGATATACTTTGCATCAAAAGAAGGATTCAAAGTATGGAGGGTTTTCAATTCTGTGGCTTCTTGTATATCCTGTCTTTCAAACACAGTCTTGGTCAGATGGGTTGGATTTGTCAGCTTCTCTATCTGGTCCTCAACGCAGTCCTGCTGCATCGCTATTCTCTCCAAGAAGTAGCCGTGTTTTTTATGGTTTGGTGATTTCCAGTCTTGTCGTATGGGTTTCTTCGAGTCTGCCACATACTTGACTTGTTCTAGTTTTCGGTGGAGTTCGTGTTTTGAAGTTGGCCAAATGCATTCCACATTTTTAATTTCACAAGATCGACATTTTGGGTACAGCAACTCATCACACTTCTTTTTACGCTTGCGACACGTTAGACATCCCGTACGAGACCTGCTTGTCTTGCTCCTCTTCTTATCCATGATGATAAAGAAAGATATGACTCATGCCTAATTGGGTAATAAGTGAATAAGCGCGCTTGCACCCATAAACCATCCAACAGATTTTTCACTTTCCGGGTAAGTAAAAGGATGTGCGGTTGAGCAAAGATGGATAAAGGAGTGATTTGGCTAGTATAGCCTAAAAATCAGAGTGGCCTACAGATATCGTATACCAGCAGTTGTGTGAATGATTCCCATTCTTGTTTTCCAGGTTACTAATTTGTCACTGTGTACGCAATTAGTTCTCGGAAGTGCTGTAGCTGGATTTCGGATGTTGGCTTCAAATTCCAACAAAATTATACCCACCTCCGAGAAAAACCCTTCAATTCTAAATCACAGTATGTATTCATATTTATGAGCACTTATTTTTGCTGTCTACCTAAGGGATGAGATAGGTACTTCTGTAGACCGATTGCCGAAGCAGTTACGAGAATCTGGCCCTACAAACAATAAGCAATGAATTTCAGTATGAGTTTACTGACGTGCTAAATCAATAAATGAACTACTAAGTGCGGTGCGGTACAACGTCAAAATACTGGCTATGACGATTGCAAATCTGATTCCTCAAAGTTGGGTTCATGGCAAAAAGTATGGGCAGAATGGTCGGAGAAGATTCGATAAACAAATAAAGATCATCCCAAGCCAACAACTACTTTGATCACCGAATAGTCACCCTGGTTCATCTTCAAGTACGGGCACAACTTCTCTAGCCTCTGGTTTCCTGATTTGGTTTTCATACTTCACGTGACTTTCTCGATCGATTTCTTAGAACCGTGCCCAAAATGAAAAGATCAACTGCACACCTCGCGCAAGAGAAATAGCTGTTTCAAAGGGTTCTGAATCGTGTTTCAGTTTTCTAACTACTGATTGAGTTTAGGAGAATATAGATTTCGAAGGGATTATAGACAGACTTTCAATTCTGTTCCTAGATTCACGAATTGGATCGTTGAAAGATAACACAACATAAGGTTCTTGAGAAATGGCTGACGTATCAAATAAGCTTATCCAAGATGAAAACTCCCCATTGACCACGGTGGATGATTTTTTCACCCACTTGACCATACCTCAAATCCAGAAACTCAATAATGATTATAAGGAAAACATCGATAATGCAAAAGCTGAGCTTCATTCTTTGGTTGGGAGTAAATATAGAGATTTGATCAAAATTGCAGAAGACATTGAGAAAATGAATTCCACTACTGTCGAATCTGATCAAAAATTGTCTCATTTGTCATACAAGTCATCAAAGTTTTTGAGCTTTTCATCTCAGAACTCGTTCTCAAAATTTAGCTCTTTAGTAAAAAATCAAAGGGCCTCATCCGCCAGGCAAGAGTCAAAGATTACCATTTTAAGAAATTTAATTCTTACAAAGTTGACAAAGCTTGATTTAAGGATCAATTCCAAGCAAGCCTCTCCAGTTTTACACACATCAATTTTAATCTATTATTCGAAAGTATATCATACTATCAGCACACTATTTGGAGATATTCTTGAAAATGAAAATTCTTTGAATGAAAAATTCAACCAGTTGAGGTACAATTATAATAGATACCTTGAGAGAGAATTGTCCACTTATTCCAAGTTCACCACGTCCTATTACTCATCGTACAATGACAGTTTCAGAATACATCAAAGATTTCAGTTAAATGATTTAATCAGCAATAAAGTTTTGGTAGAAGAAGATTTAGAGGTTATTCTTGAGGAAGATCAATTTGATGAGGAGGATTCCAATAATGAATTTGATGACGAAGAATATATTAATGCCAATTTTGAGACTTATAATAGAAAATCCTTACCTATTATTAATTACATCGTTGCATTCATAATCTTGAACCACGGAAATTCTGATTTGAATACTTTAGATAAGGTGTCAAGAAAGTTCATAGACTTAAGACGTTGTTATGTTCGGGAGCTTTTGAGTAAGTTGAAAGTTCTGAACTCACGTATAGACTTTTTCCCCTTATTCAAGTACATTGAGAATACTTTGGGTTATGTGGATTCATACTTCTTGCAACCTAACAACGAAATGACCAAGCAGCTCCAAACGTACACCAAAATATGGTCGGGTCCCAAAATCATCGGATTCAGTAGCTGGGTCGAGGAAAAAAGTATTCCTTTCGATCAGCATTCATATACTTCATACTGTCTGGATGCAACCAAAAAGCTGATTGAACAGTTCATCAACCTAGGAGTAGATGAGGTATTCAGGTTTGTTGAGGAAGTGTTGAGTGCGTATCAATACAATATATCCGAGTCGTTGATCTTATTTCATAATTTTATTATGAGCTTGAAGAATTTGTATTATGTCATCAGTCAAAACGATTTGGAATCAAAGTTTATCAAATTATTCGAACAGGAAGCTAGGTCAGAGGACTTGTCCAAGTTATTGGAGCTGGTCATATCATGTATAAAATCAACTTATCAAGGCCATTTCAATAAACTTGATTCTGAAATTGTTGAGTCTGTCAGAGGGAAAATGATTAATAAATCAATCCAATCAGCTGGCCCCAATTTATTTTCCTTAGAACTAGTGGACATCATGGATGAAGATATTGATCGTTACATCAAAACTATCACTCAATTCTCCTCTGCTGCTTCTACCAATGACAGCGTATATGAAACCTTGAATCAATGGTTTGACTTCTCCAACGATTACAGTGAGTATATTCAAGTTCAAAAGACAGAATTATCCAAGCTAAAACCATCAAATTGTTTAAATAATTTGTTCGAAACCTTATCCAAGTCCAAAAATCTCAAGTTGGGTAATTTTAGTGCTGGAAAACTCCAGTCTGAATTTGAATCTTTGTCTCAAGTATTGAGTGACAACTTCTGGGATAAAATTGATGCATTCCTCAATAGCATTAATGTATATTTGGATAAAATTGATGATGAGAGTATCGAGAAATGGTACTACTTATTGGAGGTTGTGTTGATAATAAAGGGGAGAACTGCAGGAATTAGAGATATCAGAGAAACAACATCTTCAGAATTGCTACAGCTTGCTACAAGACTGTACAACAATATTATCAAAACCATCATTGGAGAATCGTTCTCGGATCAATTTGAACAACACATTGATTACATTGTGCTGGGTAGTATTGACAACAATATGAACGATTACCCTGTTAGACCTACATTAAAATTATCAAGCATGATATACGAGGTTGCCTCATGTTTCCTTTCATCATCCAAGGATTCCGAGAAATACATATATGGACATCTATTTTCAAATGAGTACTTTACCGAAGTATTTCAACTGTTGAAGAATTCCTGCTTCTTGGACTTGGTGGATAATAAGCTTATTAAAGGCATTGAAAAATTGAGCGAGAGCGGTAGCAGTGAAGTATCAAAGGAAACTAAAATTAGAGCTCAGCACTTGTTTGCCAATGTGGTTTATTTGTTACAATTCACTCTGGAGGGCTCTATTTCTGATATTAAGAGCACACATTTAAAGGAAAGGCTTGCTAAAATCAACGGCCAAACCGTCTTGGTAGATGAGGTGATAGGTTCTATTATCGTAAGAGGTGTGGCTGATTACCATAGAGCAAATAAGAATATTTATTTGCCATTGCTGATGGTTTAGACTAACCAACTACATGATACCTACATGAATAAATGCATTGTTACGATTTCTTTGATGATCTAACTTACCCGTAGTGTAGAATTGACTCGTATTCACGCATGAGTATCTAATAAAGATAAATCTTCGAGCCTTCTTTGGTTAACTCCTTCAATACTTCGGTGGTTTCTTTTATATCCCATATATTTTGACACTTGGAATCCAAGTAACTGTTGTCAACAATTACAATCTTGATCTCATCCTTTCTTAACTCACCACCTTCACTGTTTAAAACCTTTATCAATCTCCCGGGGGTGCAGCATAATACTCTGGATCTTGTAGTCTTAACAAGCTTCAAATCCACATCTACCTTGTTCTTGTTAATGAGCTTGAGAGAAGAGCCCTCCAATTCTCTAGTAGAACGGTGGACATCGCAAGCACGGATGGCTGACATGGACACTATGGCAATGAACTTTCTTTCTTCAGCGTTGCTCTTGTCATCTTCTGCCTTTCCTGTGGTTTCCTTTTTGTTCTTGTTCTTCTTCTCTTTCTTTTCCTTTTTGGAAGGTAACATATTCTTGAAACGACCAGTGAGGTACTTGGACAAGTTTTCTAAGGTTCTGGCTTCTTCAAACTCGGCCGAAGATCTTATGTCGGATTTGTTGAAGTATAATTCGGCCAACTCCAAAGTAGATAAGTCATCATTCTTGTGACGAATTTTTTGGTTAATGAAGTCTGCAATAACTTCAGGTGATGTTTCCTTAGAGAGATCTTTCTTCTGTTGAATATCCATCTCCATTTTTATCCTCTTTTTGTCTTGTAACTTGTTCGTCTTTTGCTTCCTTTTCTTACCAGTAATGGCTTCTGTCACCATCGGGGTAGAAGAAACATCCTTCTGTCCCTCAACAGGTAAGTCTTCATGGTCCACTAAGGATGGATCAGCTTCATTATCACTAGGAGCGAAGTCAACTTCGTACTCAAGTCCGTCTTCGAGATCGTCTGCTGTCATGGTGTTGGTGATGAGATGAGATGAAAATGTGAAGTGCGAAATCTATAGCACTGGTTGTGTGCATCGAAATCTCAAACTTATTGTGAGCAGATTGAGTATACACATTAGCAATACATTCAGGTGGCAACACGATTAGTTCTTGATCTTCTGAGTTTATCCGATACTATGTTTCATAGGATTCGATCACTTCAACCACCTCGTCTTACCCGTTCTATTGTCATTAATGCAGAATTATCTGCAAAACTAGCACAGTCCGAGCACCATCCAGTGGTAATTATTGGAGGTGGCCATGCTGGATGTGAAGCTGCCACAGGTTCTGCCAGGAGTGGTGCCAAAACAACCCTCATCACACCTGATATCTCAAAAATAGGAACCGCATCGTGCAACCCTTCCATGGGAGGAGTTGGCAAAGGCACTCTCCTCAGAGAGGTAGATGCCTTGGATGGTGTCAGTCCTCGGATAACCGACAAAGCGGGTATCCACTTCAAGATATTGAATGCTTCCAAAGGTCCAGCAGTTCACGGTCCTCGAGCCCAAATCGACAGAGCCATTTATCTCCGAGAAATGCAAAATGAGATCTTGAATTATCCAAACTTGAAAGTCCTTGAGGCTCAAGTCAAAGATGTGATAATTCAGCCAAAGACTGAAGAGGATCCAAGTGGGAGAAATTATGGTTTTGTTAAAGGTATAATTCTTGAAGATGGTAGAGTATTGAACTGTTCTCGAGTGGTTGTCACCACTGGTACTTTCTTAGGTGGGGAGATTCATATAGGGTTAAAGAGTTTTCCGTCCGGAAGAATTGGAGAGGAAGCCACTTTTGGTTTGTCTAAAACATTCAGGGAAGCTGGATTTAGACTAGGAAGACTCAAGACCGGTACGCCAGCAAGATTGTCTTCCAAATCCATTGACTATACAAACTTGACCCCTCAGCCATCAGACTATCCCCCACAACCCATGTCGTATATGAATGATCTGGTTGATTTGCAAGAGCAATTAGTTCAATGCCATATGACCAGAACTACCCCGGAGTTTCACAAGCTAATAGCCGACAATTTGGATAAATCTATTCATATTAGGGAAACAGTTAAAGGGCCAAGATATTGTCCATCAATTGAATCAAAAATCATCAAGTTTCCTCAAAAGACTTCGCATTTGGTGTGGTTGGAACCAGAAGGTTTGGATACTGATTTGGTATATCCTAACGGAATTTCATGTACCATGCCTGAAGAAATTCAGGAGCAGGTGGTCAAGTTAATGCCGGGATGTGAAAATGTGAAAATGGTGCAACCAGGTTATGGGGTTGAGTATGACTACATCGATCCAAGAGAACTTAAGATGACATTGGAAACAAAGTTAGTAGATGGGATATATTTGGCTGGCCAAATCAACGGAACCACTGGTTATGAAGAGGCAGCCTCTCAGGGGTGTTTAGCAGGTATCAATGCTGGATTAGCTGAAATGAACAAAGAACCATTATTGATCCAAAGATCAGATGGTTACTTGGGAGTTTTGGTAGATGATTTAATCACAAAAGGTGTGGAGGAACCTTATAGGATGTTCACCTCTAGATCTGAATTCAGGATATCCATCAGATCTGATAATGCAGACATGAGACTTACGGAGAAGGGTTTTAGAGCTGGTGTAGTCAGCGAAGAAAGATATAATCATTTCAAAAGTGAGATGAAACAATTTAACTCCATCAGGGACCACTTGAAGAATTTGTCATTATCAGGTGCTAAATGGTCTCCTGTATTGAGAGGATTGGTACTGGACGTTAATGCGAAGACTGTCGTTGATGGTTGGAAGTTACTCTCTTACAAAGGTATTCTGATTAATGACTTTTTACCTCATATGAGTAAATTTGTTGATGGTTCGATTCCCGAGTATTATCAAAATGTTAATCATAGATTGGCGAATAGAATTGATGTTGAAAGCACCTATGATCCATGGTTAAAAAAGGAAGAAGCTCATTTAAGAGCCTACGAGGCTGATGAGAACTTGCTTTTACCTCAAAACTACAGGTACAACAACGAAGGAAATGTCAAACTTTCTTACGAAGTTTGCCATTTGTTAAATACTATTCAACCGAAAACCATTGGTCAAGCAAGAAGAATCCAAGGTGTGACTCCAGCAGCTATATTTGAGCTTTTCAAATTAATCAAAGGTGAGAGGGGTGAGATCATTGGATCCCACCAGTCATGATGAACCTGAAGTCTAAATTGAGGGCAATTAAATGCCTTACTAATTATTGGACTACAAGACTACTCAATTATTCCTAAAGGAATTACTGTAAATATCAATTAATCTGTATATACATCAGAATCCTCAGATTCAATAAAATTATCGGAATCAGATGCATCTAGATCTTGAGAGACGAAATGTTCAACTCGCATTTTACCGGCATTCAAATTATTATCCAAGGAAATTAATAGCTCCAATGGCAAATAATTTTGAGCAAGACTGGATATTTTCCTGACTTCTACTTCCCTGTTTTCCTTAGAACCAACAAAGTTTACCCTATTCAAGTACAAAAGCACATCACTTAAATTAATACGTGGGGAGTCAGTTGAAGTTCTGTGCTCTGCATAGGCATGTAAATCAGACATCAAACTATCCAAAAACTGGTCCGATTTTTCTTGAAGTGATTGGTAAACTTCTTGTGATAATGATGTTATCCTTTTGGGCCTCTTTTCTGTAGAATCCGCTATACTTGCAATAGAATGGTATCTTATTGACTTAACGAGGGATCGCACGCTTGTTGCTGGCATCGATTTTGTGGACAAGCGGTTCAAATCGGAGGAGACTATACGCGAATTTGGTACCTGAATATCCTGTGGTATGTTAGAGTTCAACCCCACGGCTGGAATTTTGATTTCTGGCAAAGGCAAGATCAAGGAATCTTCACTATTAGTGGATGGCAGTTCAATAAAAGTATGGGAAAGATTACCATCACCGAATGTGTACTCCTCTTGGATAATTTGATTCGAAGAGTTAGTTCTTTGGAAAGGTGAAGTCCCATTTTGTGGCGTTATGACTTTACTAGGACTGAACTCAAGCGAGGATAGTGAAATGCCTAGTTGATGATGCCTTTCAGGAGTAAGACTGCCCGCTTTTAATTCATCGATATTTGTCTGTTCTTCTTGTTCATTGATTGTCGGATTTGTTATCGGTGCCTCATTAAAGTCTGGTATTTCATATTGAGGTGTGTCGTTATTCTCGCCACTCTCACTGTGTATACTTGCCCAATTTGGCAACTCTTGGGATTCTTGATGCCCTTCATATTTTGGAGACAGTTCTTTTTCTTTTGATATTTCACTTTTATCTTGAATCACTAGGAAGTCGTTTTCATTGTGATGGACTTCAGCATTTTCGTCTCTGCGATAAGATACACTCGAGCGACGTGAAGTGATCTCTATTTCTTGCAATGGTGTTCGTTTGGCTGTTCTTCCCGTTCGTGCTTTCGAGGGAGATTGATTTTTCATTTTTCTAGTCATTAGTATTTTTTCTAGGTACGAGAAGGTTTTGGGCTTCAGTGCTTCAGGAATAGATGGCAGAGTTTCCCCAGATATCTTATGCTCCTCTTGTGAACGTGACTTGCGTATTGGAAGGACCTTGTATTCCTCAAACAGAGGACTCTCGGTATGTATTTTGGCATAATTCCCTTCAAGCTGAAAAGGTGATTGAAGAAGCCCGGCTGATTCCGATGGTAACGGCAATGACTGATCAAAGTCTCTAGCAGAAGGAGATACTAATAGTGGTTGTATAGGAGGAGGGGGGCTTTGCAACTTATTTGTTCGTAATATTTCTTTCTCCTTCTCTTTGTCTTTGATCAGGACTTTACACCAAAATCTTAAATAGTCAATGGTAATGGGTCCCACATAGGTCGGGTCATATACTGCCTCCCCACTTTCAGTGAGTAGCATGGATGACCTTCTTCTTCGCTTATTCCGTTGTTCAATAACCTCACTGGCTCTCCGATTGATCCTAGTAGGAGTTCCTCTGGGGGTCCCCCTGGGAGTTCCGTGCGGCGTAGCTCGAGGAGTTGATCTGGGAGTGTTTCGAGTACTCCCTGTGGTGACTTTGGTTCTAGATCTGGACAGTGGACGTGAAACTTCTTTGCTCAAACGAGCAGTCACTTGGGGTAACTCGTATGGAGGCAATCGCACTCCATGACCATCTCTGATGGTTGAAAAGGGTCCACTCAGTCCAGGTCTTTCAATTTTGCTGCTGCTTATGGGGGTGGAAGGCTCAGTTCGACTAACTAAGTCATCTGTAGACATTGTGGAGCATTGGCACTGATGGGGTTGCGAAGAATTATGGGGATGATTTGTTTACCTGCGTAGTAGATCACGTGTAAATGTTCACGTGCGACATCGATGCTTAAGTTCATATGCTCAAAGGATCCTATCGGGGTCCACATATCAGCCAGAGTGCCAGACACAGTCAGATAACATAAAATTGATAGATTTCGCAACACAAGGCCTAATTGTGAATCGCCTCAATAAAAAAGTTTTCCTTCAGACCTTGCACCAATTTTTCCAACCAAATGAGCTCGAAGCAACCTAACGTCGGCGATAACTTATTGACGGCCCTTGTGTCCGGGTGCACTGCTGCTGGTGTGTCTGCCACCATCACATATCCATTTGATTTCATCAAAACGCAGCAACAGCTCAACAATACGGCCTACATGGCAAAATGGAAAATTCCAGGCAATTATCCAGGCACCATAGGTCAATTATACAAGGGTGGTAGTGCTTTGGTGCTAGGAAGTGTTTTGAAGAACCTGACAAGACTCATCCTGTACAATTGGCTGAGCAAGTTCATGGCGCTTGAATCTCATGGACACACTAAGACAAGCGCCCCTAGAATAGTGATTGCTGGTGTTATCAGTGCATTCTTCGAGACCTTGTGCTTGATCCCTTTTGAAAATATCAAGATCACTATGATTCAGAACATGACTTTGAATAATGAGATAACGCGTTCTGCCCAAGATGCTATCGGAAACGTTGCCAAACATCATAAACATCAGGCTCAATTCGGTAAGCAATACATTTCGCCACATGCATACTACACTTCAGATCTTATTGGACAAGCCAAAAGCAGAAAGCCTTCCTCCAAATTCCTGCCTCCCAAGCCTCACAACCCAAAGGATGCACTTCGTATCAAGTATAACCAACACCCATCTTTGACGTTTTTTGGAACAGTTCGTGAAATGTATTCCTTGAAAGGTTTGAATGCATTCACCGCTGGATCTTGTATCACCATGGTTCGTCAAGTGGCTATTTCTACTGTCTGGATATGGACTTACAATTCTACCAGACAGGTTCTTGATCCACACAACAATGACCAGAATTGGTTTGGCCATAAGCATACTGCCTTCCAACTGATGGGTTTGCACTTCTTGTCCTCATGTGCGGTGATTGCAGTCACCCAGCCACTCGATGTCATCAAAACACATATGCAGCTGAAAAATGGAAAAGCAGTCTATCGTGACTCTCTTACCACCGCCTACCGCTTATTTGTTGAGCAAGGGCCTAGAGCCATGTTCAAGGGTTCACTTCCTCGGGGAATCAAGGTCTTAGTCAACGGAGGACTTACTGCCCTCGTTTATAATTATGTTGAAGATGTGGTGAAGGTCGCAGGAGGTCAGAAAGTGTTTGCTGATGAGTAGGCTTTCGTTAAAACTTATATACCCTAGACAATTTTTATTATAACTCTATTAACTTCCTGGTTAACCTATCACTCTGTCCTTGAGTTTACTCCAAGTAGACTGGAACCAATACTTCACCACTCTTATGAATTACCCCATTGAAACTCTTGGCCAACTCTCCACCACTGTAACTGGGCTGACTAAAACTAACTTGTGCCTTTTTTAGTTTGATCCCATAGAACGTATGATCTAGAACTATCTGCAATAAATTTTTGGCTAGACCGAAACGTCTCCACTTGGGTGCAACCCATATTCGGGAAATCCCCACTCTTGTGGCCCGATTTACTTGCTTGGGGACCAATTGTTGTGTTTTGTGAATCATCCAGCGAGATTGTACCTCCAAGTTTGTTATCGGGTCGGTGGAACAAATGCCTATGGCCCGGTTATCGATGACTAGAAGGAAGGCCCTTCCAGCTTCTTGAAGCTCATCCTTCCAGGACTGCGGATCTTGGGGAGCGTTAAGTTCCTGGTTGACCATCTGAAGGAGCTGCTCCGTTTTCAGGATCTGGCGCTTATTCCCCTTCTCTACTGACACTATCCGTACTTCGACCGCGTCCTTCGAAACCTTGGACTTGAGGCCCTTGCCCTTTCTGACGGGAACCATAATATCAAAGCTGCCAATAACCTTGCCACACATCGACTCAGGCCATACTAGCCCATTAACGAAGCTGAAATGGTATTTCTTATGAAGTTCGGTATCTTTGGCGATGTGATAGTAATATGTCATCCCGCATTCTCCACAGGTGGTACTCAATGCTTTTCCAGTTGAAGGGAAGTTGAGAACAGTCTGCACGGTCCGTTTAGGATCTTTCTCCTTTGTGCTTTTGGCCATGGTCATATCATGTGGGATTTCTCGTTGGATTTCTTGCTGGTATTCTGGTGGACTTTACTTGTCGCAGCATATTATGACCCGGAGGTTAGATTTGGAAAGGTCTCATATCGTCCATTTTCCCCGGAAAAATGAACTCATCCATACTACACCACCTGAGAAATGGCTTCAGCATACGCCAACTTATTACCAGCTAATGGTAAGTGGAAGCAACAGATCACCGACTTCTTGACCGAGGATGTGCCTTCATTTGATTTCGGAGCATTCGTGGTCGGAAACAAGGTTGAAACAGGTTCCCTCTACATGAAGCAAGCTGGATTGATCTGTGGTGTTCCTTTTGCAGCTGAAGTGTTCAAACAGTGTGAATTGGAAGTTGAATGGCACTACACGGAAGGTCAATACGTAACAGAGGAGGAGTTGAAGGCTAAGAACGGTAAAATTGTCGTCGCTACCGTCAAAGGTCCAGCCAGTAAAATCTTGTTATCCGAAAGAACTGCTTTGAATCTTTTGGCTAGAGCTTCAGGTATCGCTACCCAATCCCACATTACGAAGAAGTTGGCTGACGAAAATGGCTACACCGGCATAATCGCCGGTACTCGGAAAACCACCCCGGGCTTGAGACAACTTGAAAAGTATTCCATGTTGGTAGGTGGTGTGGATACTCACAGATACGATTTGAGTGCAATGGTTATGTTGAAGGATAACCATATCACATCTACTGGAAGTATCACCAAAGCCGTGCAAAGCGCTAAATCCGTGTGTGGATTCGCAGTCAAGGTGGAAGTCGAAGTCAGCACTGAAGAAGATGCCCGTGAAGCCATTGATGCAGGCGCAGATGTCATCATGTTAGACAATTTCAAGGGAGATGAATTACAGAAGGTGGCCCAAAGTTTGAAAAATCATTACAAGAACAGTAAATCCTTCTTGTTGGAATGTTCTGGAGGTTTAACTTTGCAGAATCTTAGCACTTATTTGTGTAATGATATCGATATCTACTCTACATCTTCCATTCATCAAGGATGTGGTATTATTGATTTCTCGTTAAAAATTAATCCTAATTAGTTATTAATAAAAATAGAGGATGGGCACGAAAATCTCAATGTAAATGCTTGTAGATGCTAATAGAACTGAATTATGTCAAACTGCCAAAGTTATCTGATGGAAGAAACACTTTTGAACTCTAGACTTTGAAATGCAGAGTTGAACCCGATTATATCATTAACGTTTCCTAAGATCCTGCTGGTTACTTTATCCTCCATTCTCTCGTCGTTATTTTCATCTTCATCGTCGCTATAATATTGTTTACTTATGTGATTCAACAGTAATCCTGATGCACTAGTCATTCCACTAGCAAGACTCAAATCTTTTAGTATTTCTTGAGATGGTTTGGGTGCTGTCGAAACAACATTGGCAGATTTTTTTCCAAAACAACGAATAGCCCTAATATGTGAGTCTTTGCCATCTTGGTGATTTGCGAGAATAACCAATTTCACCATGAAGCATTTTAACACCCCATCATTACGAATGCCATTGAATATGATGTGAGACCATCCAATTGGTTTTGAAAAGTTCACCGTGCAAACTTCACTCAAATCCCAGCCATCGGAGCTTCCCGCCATTATCCGTATTCTCGAAGGAGTGTAGCTTTCATCAAGTGAGAAATTAGTGAAGATCGATATTCTTTCCAAAGATACCTTCTTCGCAAACTGGATCGTTATAGAATGTGGATTACTCAATTGATTGTTAGTGATCGCGTTATTGTTATTGTTTCCATTGCTTCCATCCGATTGCCAGTAGCTATCAGGAGAGTCATATCGTAGTTGGCTCAAACCGTAACCCTGTTTGAACGAGGACAATTTCCAGTTTGCTAATGGCGAAAGGTCAAGTAATTGTAAGTTATCCAATTCTTCGAGCCCTTTAGTGTAGTATACTTTTTGTATTTGTTCCAAACTGGGTTGTTCTGTTGTGCTGTTTGAAGTTCCCATACCTACGTCTTGGTTCTCTTCTGTACCACCTTCAACTTCGTCATACCCTTCATAGTTAACGCTAGATGCAGATACGGAAACGATGGAGTCAATCATGTCTTGTGAGATAGCATCCTGGGTTTGTAGTTCGTGTTGCAGTGAACTAGCGAAGGCATTCATCGAAGTTGATGGCCCTCTATCTGACTCCCAATTTCCTGAGGAGTTCATTGTGCTCACAATTGAACTAATGGACACTATCTAATACTGTAGTGTATAACTCGAAATCGTTGTAGCGGTGACCACTCAAGGTTGTGTATTATCGTTGCAAAATAGTTCCAGTCAGAACTGGTTTAAATGCGACATATAATTTGTGCGACATCTGGGACTCTCGTCTGATACAAAAAACGTTCACGATATGGCTTTACTATAGTACAATCTATTCATATCCATGCTTAACGCACAGTCGAAATTTATAAACTGGCTAGCTAGCTATTCTTTGTCTCAGGCAGCAGTTTCCAACTTCCGTTCCTCTTGAGGTTCAGAAATCAGGATTTCTTGAGAGTCTTCCTTAACCTGTTCTTTCGAAGGTTCTTCTTCGTTCAAGGAAACTTCGTTCAATGCATCTACCTTGGCCACGTCTTCCTTTGATTGCTCCTTCTTAGATTGTTGTTTCTTAGATTGTTGCTTCTTTGATTGTTTCGGAGTTTCCTTCTTTGGTTCTTCCTTCTTTGGTTCTTCCTTCTTTG